GGAGATTCGTTATGTTCTTCCAAGTCGTGACATCGTTGCGCGTACTTGTGAGGTTTGAAGTAATGTGATGATGTGTCGTGTGGATCAGTGGGTAACGATCAGCTGACCTAAGACCGGTTCTCGACGGCTTGCTGCTCGCCAGTGGCCACTGCTACAAGCGCTTCTAAGCGTCTCATGTCGTTGTTGGCTGTCTGCGGCAGTGGCTGACCGAACGTTGCGGGTCCCCGCTCGGGTTCGCGCTGTGGGCGATAGCTTGAGCTCGAGCTCGAAAGGCTGTGGCTGTGGTAATGTTGCGGAGGCTGTGAATGCAATGGGTGGGGCCTCTCCATAATTGACGCTGGTGGCGCGGTTTTGTAATCTTCAACAACTGCTGGCGCTTCGACATACCCGTTGCTGTGGACAATAGCAGGGTGATAATCGATCATAGTGCCTGGCGTCGGCACACCTTCGCTGCTACTGGAATCCTCGGGTGACGTTCTTTGCATAGCTCTTTGCGGCTGACTAACAGGTCCATTGTACCAGGCTTGTCGCTTATTCTTTCGAGGTGTCACTGGCTGTTCCTGCGAGGTTCTGGGCGAGGCGTTAATTGAAGGAATCTGAATAGGCTGAACATTGGAGGGTTGACGACTGAAGTAGCCATGAGGGGCTGTCGTGGGCCGTGCAGCGTTTGCTCGGCCTGCACTGCCAGGGTATTGTTGTGACCACTGATTACTTTGGGAACCTGGACCAGCAATGTTCAGACGGTCGATTTCCCATGAAATGCTCGTTCGTTTGTGGTGACCTCTATTGGACGTGTGCTCCATTGGCGCGTGGTAAGTAAGCGGACGTGCCGGAGCATCAACTTGCATCGGACTTGGCTGACGCCGAGGTAGCGGAGGCGGAGGCGGAGCATGGTCGAAGCTTTCGATGCCTGGAAGTCTGGTGGTCTGAGAAGCAGCAGGTTGTGAGGTGTAAAGAGGGCGTGGAGCATCCGGCGTCTGGTGGTATCCAAGTCCACTAGTCGCCGGTCGAGGACCAGTATAAACTCCTGGGTGCCAAGTTCGTCGCCTCCAGTCCGCCTCTGCATTCGAGTCTCTCCTTGAATCTGGAAATTGAGACACTGTAGGGCTTGCATATGCGCTGCTTTGTGCTGAGTAGGCAGGGGCAGCAGTCGATTGCAGAGGCGTAATGTAGGTAGGAGGAGCCTGTCCTGGTGCACCGGAGAAAGGATTGCCACTGGAAGAGATAGATTGGCGACGTCCCGGAGGTGGTGGTCCAGCCCATGAGACTGGCCTTGATGAACTTGATACGGGAGACTGCATAGCAGACCCGAAGCGAGCGGGGCTGCCAGTAACTGTAGAGAATGTCGCAGAAGTAGGTGTTGTAGGCGCGTTGGACTGTGTATCGTACTCCACTGGCCCAGGACTGCCTATCATGGGTGGGTCATATGCATTCATAGTGTTGAGCGACAAGCGTGCTCTTGCACTTGCACCACCATCGCTAGCCATAGCCAAAGGTGGGGGTCGTCGCCGAATGTCTGGTGATTGTGCCACACTCATTGTCGATATTGTAGAGGTTATACTGGATGCAGAGAGGTTTCTGCTGTGACCTCTGCTGTGACCTCCGGTACTGCCTAGTGTGTTTGCTCGAGAACGATTTCCAGGTGGTCTTACTCGGTCGGTCCGGATCTGCCGTTGGAACCTTGTGCCCGTTGCGGCTAACGATTCAGAGGGTATATCTTCGTTGACGTGAACTGTTTGGGCATGCTGTCGCAGGTTGTCGAGACGTGAAAATCGTCGTGAGCAGTGACACTGGAAGGGACGTTCACCTGTGTGTTTACTACAGCATATTAGCGAATGCGGGACAACGCACGATGAAAGACGTACCGAATGTGCCGTGCCAAGTGCTCACTTCGTGTGAAGCTCAGGTTACAAGGCGGAAAGTCGGTGCAGAAGAAGCGCTGTCCCTTCTTCTTCTTGGACGGTCGGTTCGAATCACTAGTCACGCTATCGTTGTCCGATCCATCTTTGTCGTCCTCGTCACCATCGCCCATATGCACGTCTTGACCGGAGGCTGTTGACCTATGCGAATCCTCTCTACTCTGCTCACTCTTGTTCGAAGCTGAAGGTGTCTCGCTCAGCTCACGGGCGGGTGTGAAAGGCGATGAAGGCAGTGGTCGCTGACCAACGAGTCCCGCAAAGGTGTTACGTGTAGGCGTCTTAGCTGATGGGTCTTCAGCGCGGATTTCCTCTGCCGCTTTCGATTCGGCAAAGAATCTGCTATTCGGTCGAGGAGTAGTGGGCGTCGTCTCGTCACCTGGGCGGCCCTGTGGCGGATCTGGAACCGATAATGTAGTGTTGACTGCTTGGAAGGAAGACATGTTGGAGGGGCCGATGACCAGCAGTCTACAATGTCCACCTCTTGTTCCGTGTCGTGGTGAGCGTGCTGCGCAGGTCGTTCTACAGTGACGGGGCGCGTATGGCTTACGGCGTACACGACAGGACACGGTTCGGTAGCGCCAGTGATCTAAGACTGGGACGTTAATGCAAGCGCAGGTCCCAGGCGGGTTGCCTCCAGCGGCGCAATCAGTGTGATACTGCGGGTGGTTCCTTGCTGGAGCGGGTGTGGGAAGGCTGAAACGAGATGATGACGAATAGAGAGCGGCGTTGCAACAACATCCGGACACAGCGCCCAGCGAGCAAAGTCAAGAAAATCTACAAGGTCTGGTTAAGTTCGATCGTTGCGTCGTAAAATCGTCAAGTTGGGGTCGTCCAAAGGCTGACCAGTGGTGAGGGTTGAGCAACCACGGATACTCGGACTTTGGGCTGGGTATGATAAGGCGCAGGATGGACTGCCTCAGGTGGCGGGGAGATTGGCCCCTCTTTGACGCACACTCGATGCGCACAAGGGCTCGAGCAGAAGCGGCAGGATGCGGCTCTTGTAGCGATGCAGCTAGACGGTGCAAGACCCGGGTATGAAGGCAGAGGAACAGGTGTGGACGCAGGAGAACGGGATTACAGACGAACTCACGATTGCGTTGCAACTGCATGCGAGGAGGGGTTGGTAAGGCACAGGACGGGACCTTAGCGGCTTTGTCGTGCGCCCTGGACGGACGGCCTGGCAGAAGGCTGGGGTTAGAGTCCGATCCACCTTGCGACGAGGGCACATCTTGCCTGCAGATCCTTGGAATTAGCGATGGCTTGGCCCGCCTACCCAGACATGATGAAGCGGTGCAGCTCAGCCCCAGAGCATGCTCGTCCGCCTGTCAGACCATCCACAGTATCATCTGCGAGCCCTGATGAGCAGCACCTGTCTGCAGTCAAGTTATCGGTCATGGGTGCAGAACACGGTGCCATGTCCCACGGCGGGGCTCTCTGGATACCACTGTCTGTTTCCGGTCGCTAACAACGGCCATAGCACATGCTTGCAGCGATGGCTCGCCAGAACCTGACTACTTGGCCTAGGTCGTGCGTTGTGGCCGGGACCTGAGCATGCGCAAGTTGATTATTGATGACGAAACACCTACCAACGCCCACTGCCGCGTTTCACGTGCTATCAGAGAAATCGGGGTCATGTTGGCTGACCATGGCATCGCAACGTCGGCGCCGCTGGCCGGTCCTCAGAGGCAAGTTGCGCGCGCTGGACAAGATCATCATAAGCAGGCCGGCATGGCGTCTGCCTCGAGACAAAGCTGACACTGCCATGCCGAAGCAATTGGTTGACGCGGATAGGCGCTGCAAGCTAGCAGCGTGGGCGAGCGCCGATGCAAGGGGACTCGACCAGGTCCACAGAAAAGTGTTGTACCTTTGTACCTTGCCGAAGCGAAAGACTAGCATCCGTGGTTCTGCCGGACTTCAGCGACTCAAATTTTGCGTCTTGCAGCGCAAACGGCGCCAGAAGCTATTGAACGAGGCGGTCAGCGAACATGGTCTGTCCCATGGCGTTGGGCTATAGGCGGTGCGTGACAGTTGTTTGCCATCACAGTCCATAGCTCGGAAACGCTGACAGAAAGCGAAGGACCCAGTGGCCCGACTAGTTCCTGGCAAGCAAAATATGATTCGGTGGAACATGACGGACGCACGCGGGATGATACCATGGATCGTGGATATCGTGGTCATCTGCACTTCTTTGCGTGGTCCGTACCATACTTTGCTCGTCTCGTATACTCGCACTACCAGGATTACACTTCTGGTGCCTAGATGAGACGCAGCATCGCTATTGACACGTTGCTTAGGTGCCTATCCACACGAGGAGCGTGCGTTACCTCGAAAGAAAATACTTGTCTTCCATATTGCTGCAGCTGGTAGCATGGTGAAACACATAGTGTACATGCGAAGCGCAGTGTCCAGAATAGTAGCTTTACCGAACTATGCGGGCTTGTATTAGCGGGCGGACCAGATGTCTGGAAGCATGCGCCGCCAGCAGCGGTGGCGATGGCGATGGCGGCACTGGTGTTGAGGGGTCATTACTCGCGTTCAATCGCGAGCTAACGATGGGTACCTGCCACCAGCAGCCAGGACGGACCGTGATAGCCCGTGCGCTAGTACCGAGGTACGTCCTATCGATTACGAATAGCAGCAGTCGTCCGAGCTGTATACACCAGGAGTTGACCTGGAGTGGATTGCGACCTTCAGGTTCACATTCACCCCTCGCCAATACTCGCACGGCAGCCTAGCGCTATGTTCCATCGCCATGCAATTCATGCCGTGTAGCAATGACGGGCAGCACCCTCGCCGCACGAATCGTAGTACGAGCACTGAGCCGAGGCGATAAAGAACGATATGATGAAAGCTGGTATCACATTGCACTGTTATATAAGTCATGAACTCGCTTGGTGCGACTCCCAGTCACGAACCTACCGCCCCAAACAATGATGATTTCTTCTTCGTATCTTACGCCAATGCTGCGGAATCAACTCGCTCAATCCACACCGCCTAAACAACACGTGCCCACATACGTAGTCGGTGCTTACTGCACAACCTAAGTGAGACGTCAGTGTTGTCTCCGAGTACGCAGCTGACTCATTGGTATACCTTTTCCCGGAGTTTGCTGATCCACTGAACAATACTCTCTCCTTGGTCTGCCCGGTCTTCGACGAGTAGTGTCTGCGCCCATAGCTTGAGGCTTGGGTCGCCATCTTCCTTGATGATATACAGGGTAGGCAGAGTGATAGAACCCACGCCCTTCGACTTGTGATCCCTCGACTTCTCCACAACTATCTCATGTCAGCACTTTGAACGGTCTACACCATCAGTAAAAATGGCTTACCGGCTCGAACTCGTTCCGAGTATTCATTGTCAAGGAGAGGCAATGAAGCCTTGCCCTGCTTCAGTTGTGTACGGTCTTCGACGCCAAACACATCGTTCAGGAGTGCTGGAACAGCATCGCGGCCGATCCATCTAGCTACGTTAGTCTGCATCAACAGCGGATGTGCATATGCACTTACAAGAATTGGTTGACACCGTCGTCCAGGAGGTACAAGCCGTACGGGACGATAGCTGCACTAGAGAGGTTCAATGCGGGTGGCATTGTAATCTGACCAGTAGTAGGCTCCGGTACACCAGCGTCATCAGGCATGTCGTGAAGAGAGTAGAAAGATGGGTAGATGTACTGTGTAAGCAGTCGCAGTGGTAGTGTAGAAAGGAGATCGAGAGCAGCTGATCGAAGATCGCTTGGAATCTGAGCGCTCTTACGAAGACCAACGTTCTTGATAAGACCAAGGAACAATATGGGGAGAGCGCGCAGATTTTGTGGTAGCTGCAGACCACCACCGCCCATACTTCCACCTGCCAACTCCTTCCTGTAGGTTGACAGAATCTCAATGACCTTGGCCTGCAATGCGTCTCGCGCCGCATCAAGACCACTCGATAATGCTCGCTCAACCGCCTTATGACTGAAATAGGTGGTGATCGCTTGTGCGTCTGCTGAAGCGTAGACCGATGCTAGACTCTCAGTTGTTGGCACCGCAAGAGTCAAAACTCTGATACGACGCTGGCCACTTGAAGTAGTATGAAGCACAGCAGCCTGTAGACAGGCGAATGGCTTGGAGATTGTCTCGTCAATAGCGACTTCGATTACAACAGCTTGGTCTCTGGGGTATGCTGGGAAGGCACAGAGATCAGACGAGCGGTTGAAGAAGTTTCCGTAGAATGCGGACATTCTCAACCCGGTGGTAGCACGCACACGGAGCACAGCCTCTAGACCAATCTCAGCAGATAAGTAGTCAGCCAACTCAGTTGCAATCTTGACAACATCCTCTTGTCTTGCAGCATTCCATCCTGGGTAGAAGTATGTCTGACCGGCGGTGAATCGCGGAAGGTTGCTTAGGGTTGCGACATCCTGGTACTGTGAGGAGAACAGGAACATGTCCACTGAAACCTGGTTCTTGGAGCATTCTACGGCGAACGACTTGTACCAGTTGTTTGCAGGCTGCAACAAACTGCCTTCTTTGCCGGTTCCCAATAATGATTTGTCTTCTCGGGGGCTCAATGCTGCATGGCCAACATTGGGCAGAGATGCGGCAATGACGGTCAACTTTCCACCAAGCGGGGAAATGAGCTTATGTGCGGATCGGAGAGCTGAGCCTAGCGCAAATCCAGGGACGTGTGTGTTCTGGAACATGGTCGGAAGGCGGTCAAGGAAGGTCTCAATGTTGTTGCGGCATTGGCTGAGGCTGACCAGAAGGTCCGAGGGCATGGGAAGGTAGGGCTCATCTAGATCGGAAACCACGAGTTGTTGGGGTTCATTAGATTCGCTGTTGTCTGGAGGGATACCAAAGAAATGTAGCCCATTATCGACGGCCTATTCCGAGTCAGTATACAGGTGACTTGTGTTGTTTGTACCCAAAACTTACCATGAATCCGATGCGTGTCCGACCGTCTGCATTTGGTATCCGGCCGAGGGACTCCTTGATGACCCTGGAGACGACAGCGAGAAGTCCGCTGTTCACTGCTCCCTGGGTACAGTCCAGGAGAATGTAGTAGCACAGAGGCTGTGGAGGGCGGACCATGTATTCCTGGGGTGCAACGAACTCGGTCACTGCATAGTTCAGCTCGGGTCTCTGCCAGCGGTCGACGCTCTTCTGCTGTGCTGCATCCCAATCGAATGCTTGGGGAACATCGTTGGTCAGGTTGCACATGTTGCACCTCCACCTGTGTCCATGGTCTAGGAACGAGACAAACGGATTAATGTAGGCGCGGCATCGTCGACAACGGCTAATGACCTGATCGTGTACTACTGGCACAGGGTCCTCTGAGTCGTGCAGACTAGCATACGGGCTTATGATGAGCGCGAATGGAAGTTTGCTCTTCTTGAGCAGCGAGTGGTTGGTGGGGATAGTGTTGAGCGTACATCGCAGGTATTTACTCGACTCGTTCGCGAACTCGGAGGGGGTGGCTGCGGCGTTGGAGGGCAGGTTGATCGGAGGAGGAGGGTTGTATAGTTCCGAGACGTGGAAGGGCTGCGCGATGAGGTCCGAGGGGAACAGTTGGTTCTGCTGAGTAGCTGCGGCGGGCTGCTGAACTTGAGGGGCTGCTTGTCCTTGGCCTATGTTCATCTGCCCGAACTGCTGGTTGAGGGCATTCGGATCTTGAGGCATAGGCTGTCCATAGCCCTGGGCTGGCGCTCCGTAGCCGGGGGTGGGGGCGCCAAACCCAGGAGAGGGAGCGCCATAGGCAGGTGATGGTGCACCGTATGAGGGCGCTGGAGCTCCATAGCCAGGTACTACTGGTGGGGGGACTCCTGCTCCTTGGGCGGCCTCTTGTGTATTCGCGCCGAATTGGTATCCTGTTCCCGCTGCGTAGCGATCTCTCTTCTTGCGGTCCGCCATGGCTACAGCAGCGGAGACTGTGAGTGGAAGAGGTGGGGAGTAGTGGTGGAGAAATTGGCGGTGTTCGTGGGCTTGCGCGTGAATTTAGAGATGAGGTAGAGCTCCATGTGTCTTCTTGGGGAACGGCACATTCCGCGCTAAGAGTCCCCGCCAAAACGTGTGCACGGACAACTCTAGGGTTGAGGTGGGACCTACATCGGCCGCCCTTGGGTCTCTACTACATTTCCATCCCTACTTCCAGGCGCCCGTCTATACCATATCCTTGTTTTACCCATGTGCATACTGGATATGCCTTAGACACTACCGGAAAACCCGCGGGCATACGTGGCGTTGCAGAAGCATGTCTTGCTACGGGAAAGAATACAATAATCAAGAGACGTATCAAATCATTAGTACACATGGACGCAACAAAGATTCCTAGAAAGATGCCCAGACACCACCGCGTTCCACTTTCAAGCCACGTTGGAGACTTCCTGTCTAGGAACCTCCTGCTGCTGCCTTTCCACTCTATCCGCTTCCTCCAAGGGGTAAGGAGCTGAACCCGCCTTGTCATACTGCACGCCTACGGGACTCTCGCTTCGTACCGTACTCTCGTACGTAGTAGACTCTGGAACGGGGACTCCACTTGTTTCTCCCGCTCCAACTCCTGACACGGGGGCTCCCGGCATTGCACCCACTCCGAGGTTGCCTGCATTCGAATGGATAGGCTCAACATCCAACTGGTAATGGCGAAGATCGTCTTCTGCGTCGGTGAGTACCTGGCGTGCTGCTTCTACCTCTGCGAACGGAGGGTGTACATCGCCGGGGACGATGGGGGTGTCGTCGACAAGGTTCAAGAGACGACGAGCGTGCTTGGCTAGGATGATTTGCTTCTCAGCACGTTCGATAGTGGCTGCGAAGTGGTGGTCGTATGCCTCCTTGAACTTCTGACGAGTCTGAAATGGTCAGCGGGTGATAACAGTCTTCGTGGAGCTGCTGTACAATGTTGCTGAGTTGCGCTTCGGCAACCAGGCTTTGTGCCTCCGCGCGCACAAGCTCCTGTTCGAGCTGGACAATCTTAGTACTCTGAGGTTCTTTGTATTTCAACTTGGCGATCTCATCCGACACCTGTTGTCTGGTTAGTATGAAGTCGCTGGCTAGAGCGAGAGGCCATACCTTGGTTTTGTGGTCTCGGCTCGGCTGCACTGAGCTTTCTGTGTTGCGAATCTGCTTCAAGACACCTCGGTATTCCTCCAAGGCTTGTGCATAGATATCCTCTTGCTCGGCAATCTCTGCGAGCAGCACTCCGAGCTTATCTGAAATCTCCGAGATCGTCTCGTCCTCTGTGGCCTCACCCCATTCCGAGAGCTGCTGAGCAATGCCGACCCGTTCACGTGCCGCAGCCTCGTAGGCGCCAATCGCATGGTTTTCAGATTTGATGATCTTGAACAGTTTCTTCGAAAGCTCCGGCTGCTGCGTACCTCTAAGGGAAGCCATCGTGAAACGGTGCTTGGGCGCGGACTTTTCCCCACTGCCGCTACCGCCGCCCTTCTTCGAGCGGACTGAGAGTGACCGATTCCTGGAATTTCAAGAAGTGATTAGCGAATATTTGGGGTTATGCGCGCGAAATCCTTGCTTAGCAAGAGAATGTGCAAGACATTACAACACCATCGTTCGACTACTGAAGTGGAAGACAATAAGAGTGAGACAAGAGTGGTGCGCATTGTGATATCGTACGGTAAACGACTCGTGGAATGACTTACATCGTGAGGGTAACTGTCGCTTTGGTTTTTATGTGAGTCTACAGCCGTGAGTTGTTAGCACTGCTAGGTTATGCGCCGGAAGAGCAGGCGTGTCGCGACGCGATCTGTGTGTTGACATAGAGCCATGTGGGAATATACCTTTCTGTGGGTATAGCAAGACCGATTGCGAAGTTTCTAGGATTAACGTATCGGGCGGTAAACAGCTGCTGCTTGAGTTTTAGGAAGCGGGGGTCAGCCTGGGGAAGTCGTACAAGACCCGGTGATGTCATAGGCGTGGCCCGGAAGCTGCGCATCGCGAACATTGGCATCTACAGCTAGTCACACAGCCATCACTGCCGAGGCATCCGTCTTCTATTGTCAAACTATAACCACTAATGTCAAAGTTCCATGTGATGAAGACTCGAACTCTCCTTCGTCTCTATGATCCTATGCGCCTTCCATCTCTATCGTGCTCATTCGACCGGACTGCATACCCGCAACCTATTGTACGAGCCTAGGCCATGTAACACCTTCAACTCCGCGACTGTCAAAGCAGGTGTAACAAGAGAAAGCTTCTGAGATGCTATGGTCTGTGATACAGTCCTAATCCTTAGTATTCTAGCTCCAACAAGATCATCACACCACAACCTAGTAGTCCCTCTGCCTCGTTAACAAGATCCAATGTGCTGCCACGCCTCGAAACCACAAAGCCTATATTTAACGAGCTTTGCTGCACAAGGCCTATAGATGTTGCGATATTGTCAACACTACTAGTCAGTAGCGTTGGTGCATATCTCGTTTCTGGGTAACCGCATAGGATACTCATTGGTAAGCCCACTTTCTTATGCAGTATACATGGACGCTTGAAGTGTGGCCGTCAGTCGGAGGTTCTGTAAGGTGCTTCTGGCTTAATGTTCGCGCTCGTCATTGCGAACGAAACTCATACTGAATACCTCCAGGCTCACTCACGGGCGTAGTTGTTGGCTTGTTGCAATGTCATGTAAGTACGCGATTCGAAAGAGCACAGCCATTTGACATATCTCAGAAAGATGTATCATACTCGATTTCTCAAGCTGCGATAGAAAAGGCTGTATAGATCCACAGTACCGGAACGCGCACTTGCTTCACTCTGTGTCAGCCACATCTAAACAAGTAGCACATATGCGCGCTTGTATCCAAACGGCAGGACATTGTTGTGGGCAACTCGCCTTGACACACGTGGAGGTGGCCAAGTGTGATATGTCTAAAGAAAAACACTTGGCTTTCCAAGGGCGCTTCGCATCTTATCTTGTCAGTACGACCTTCGCGCTGCGTCAGGGGTGATCCTCAAGGAACGATCCAGACTGCGACGAGGATGTCCAGTGTCACCTAAGATGACCATCCTTTTGTTCCTTTATGCACTTATGGGTGCCCTTATCGACCATCCTCCGCGGACCCAATCTGTTTTACCTACAGCTACCATCTCACTCCCCATCAGCTGGTTAGATGCTCACCGCTAAAGCTAATCCATGGGTATGATCAGCGTCTGTTGTGCCCTCACGCATTCTTGATCCATCACAGCCTAACAGCTATTGTACATTTGTGGCCTCACGAAACGAAACAGCATGGTCCATGTAACCACATGGGTCCTTAGGGTCAGGCTGGAATACTACAACATTCAGGCGCGACAAGCTCCTTTCGAGCTATGCGCTGACTGCCGGTACCCAGCCCCTAACTTAGCCATGCAATGTGCAGCCAACGAACGCTTTGCATATAGCAGGCTACTATTCTTTGCGCTATTCAGGCTTACCTGGTAGCGTTGTTAACAGTTGGAGACTTGGCGAAATGGCCGGTTTCGACTTACCAATCACGCCAATCCGGGGGCGGCTGGACCATGAGCATTTCATAAGCACCGAGAAAAGATCAACTTCGGGAGCGGGACCCTGGAGAAGTGAACAGTGCCAAGCCGGCTGCCGCGTCATTATCGGATGTTCCTGTGTCCAACGGCGCATTTTGGCCTATCCGTGGATCAGAACGCAACGATCTCAGCACAGCACAGTGCAGGAATGCATTTGGCAACAAGCTGTTGAAGATGCCGAGAAATTACTGCTCAACTCGACAACCTCACCCGGATTCCAAGGATTAGTCCCGCTTTTTTTCTTGGCTAAGTGGCACGGTGACCTGACGTGACTATCATCATCAACGAAGAGATCGCAACTGCTATTCTATTAGCGAGTCAATCCCACCTAAAAAGCTGGCAGTCTAGTCTCGCGGCTTGAGTCTTCGGCTGTTGAACCACCAGGATCACAAACACGCTGATCAATCTGAGGAAAACTCGGCGTGATACCGGCGTAACGATGTACGGCAGTCGACGAGATCGAGAAATCACGCCCATCTTCATCACATCCTGCCTGCAAGGCGGCGTTCTGCCCAGTTGTGGAATTACGCGTGCATCATGTATATGCAGGTCAACGTCCCAGCCTCTAAATCCTTGGCATCCATACAAGTGCCTCGAATAGACTCGCCGTAAGTGGGTACCGTTAATCCGGGAATTTCCCAAACGCGCGATGATCGTTCGCTTTGTCCAATACAAGTCGTGCTATTCGATAATTCAGGACTGTGGAGCGATGATGTCTAAACTAGCATCCATGTCGAGATGTGCACGCTACAAGGTCGTACCGCTCTGTTGCCGTTGCTGTTGACGTTGTGAGGCGGTATAAATCCACAGCTGTCCGCTCTCTCCTATAGCTCACGTCTTCCAGAATCTCTCTTTACTTCAAGATGGTGCGAGTTCAGATCCTGACGGCAGCCACTGCCTTGCTGCATATTGCTCAGGCAGGATGCCCTTACATGGATGGCGACGCTGTCGTTCGCCGAGATGACAATGCTGCGTCGACTGAAGATTTCATGGTCCGCTACGAGGTTGATGACAGCGATGTGTACATGACAAACCCGGTCGGTGGTCCGATCGAGGAGCAAGAGAGTCTCTCAGCTGGCGAGCGTGGTCCAACACTTTTGGAGGACCAAGCCTTCCGAAGAAAGGTGAGTTCTGGGAAGACAATACTGATGAGATTTCAACTAACCTCATACCTTTACAGATCATGCATTTCGACCACGAGCGCGTTCCGGAGCGTGCTGTTCACGCAAGGGGAGCCGGAGCCCACGGCACCTTTGTATCTTATGGCGATTACTCAAACATCACTGGCGCATCTTTCTTGGGCTCGTCAGGGAAAGAGACGCCGATCTTTATGCGATTCTCCACTGTTGCCGGATCAAGAGGCAGTGCCGACACAGTGCGAGATGTGCATGGATTTGCTGTTAGGTGGTACACTGACGAGGGAAACTTCGGTACGTTACGAGTTCTTGTTGTTCGAGTTCTCCTGCTAACCATACCTGTTGATAGATATTGTTGGAAACAACATTCCGGTCTTCTTCATCCAAGATGCAATTAAATTCCCCGATCTGATCCATGCCGTTAAACCAAAACCAGATTCTGAGATCCCACAAGGTATGTTGTGACTGTACGAATTGCATGTGAAACGTGAACTAATGTGTTGGCTTCTCTACAGCGGCCACTGCGCATGACTCCGCTTGGGACTTCTTTTCCCAACAGCCCAGTTCCATGCACACACTTCTGTGGGCAATGTCAGGACACGGTACCATCAGGTCTTACAGGCATACCGATGGGTGGGGAGTTCATACCTTTCGCTTCGTGACCGACCAAGGCAAATCCAAGCTCGTAAAGTTTCGCTTCAGGTCGCTCCAAGGAAAAGCTTCTTTGCTGTGGGAAGAAGCGCAATTGACCGCAGGCATGAACGCCGATTTCCACCGCCAAGATCTGTTCGACAGTATCCAGCAAGGATTTTTCCCAGAGTGGGTGTTCGAGGCTCAAATTATGGAAGAAGAGGATCAGCTTCGATTTGGCTTCGATCTTCTAGATCCTACCAAGATTGTACCTGAGGATATCGTGCCCTTCACTCCGCTCGGAAAGTTGACCTTGAACCGGAACCCACGCAACTACTTTGCTGAGACAGAGCAAATCATGTTCCAGCCTGGACACTTAGGTATTATGACTGTGCAACATGCAGAATAGGCATATGCTAACCCTTATAGTTCGTGGAATTGATCTGACGGAAGACCCTTTGCTTCAAGGAAGAATGTTCTCTTACCTTGATACGCAGCTGAACCGCAATATGGGTGGCCCTAACTTTGAGGTTCGTTTTGATTCTACGAAATGAATGTGAGACAAAGACTAACTTTGATCCCCACATCAGCAAATTCCTATCAACCAGCCTCGCGTACCTGTGCACAACAACGAAAGGGATGGCGCTGGCCAGATGTACATACCTCTCAACACAGCAGCCTACTCTCCAAACACGTTGAACGAAGGATCTCCGCGACAGGCAAACCAAACTAACGGACGTGGCTTCTTCACAGCCCCAAGCCGCTCCACAAGTGGAAAGATTGTCCGATCTGTGTCCAGCACATTCGCAGATGTCTGGAGCCAACCTCGCCTGTTCTTCAACTCGCTTTTGCCCGTCGAGCAACAATTCGTAGTCAACGCCATGAGATTCGAGACCTCGCAGCTGAAAAGCGACATTGTCAAGAACAACGTGCTTATCCAGCTCAACCGCATCTCTCACGACATCGCCGTAAGGGTGGCAGAAGCGCTGGGTATGACCGCGCCGGAGGCAGATGACACTTACTACCATGACAACAAGACTATTGGAGTTAGCGCTTCTGGTGAGCCATTGCTCAAGCTGGACGGCCTAAAGGTCGGCTACCTTACTACTGCATCCTCATCTGGCGAAAACACACAGGCCATGAAGTCAGCTCTTGCTGACCTCAAGGTTGGAATGACTGTTGTAGCCGAGCATCTTGGTAGCGATATCGACCAAACCTACTCGGCTACATCCGCCATCCAGTTTGATGCTATCATCGTCGATGGTAGCGCAGAGAGCCTCTTCGCACCCGCCGCCAGCCTGGCCAACTCCAACTCAACTGCTTCGCCCCGCAACGCGACCAGCAGCGCCCGTTCGACTCTCTACCCTGCCGGTCGCCCACTCCAGATTCTCCAAGATGGATACCGCTTCGGTAAGCCCATCGCCCTGCTCGGTTCCAGCAACAATACTGCTTTCAGCGCGGCCGCCATCGAAGCATCTACTCCCGGTGTCTACAGTTCAAGCGACATGTCCACAGTCGTAGACCAGCTATCTGAGGGTCTTCGCACATTCAAGTTTTTGGACAGATACCCCCTCGATAATTAGAGGAATTGTGTAGTTTGCCAAGGCGTGTTTTTAACGTAACATTTCGGTTTGTTCGTGTATCAGGTACTCAAAGGAAGCGCATTTTTAGTGTATATACCAGTAGCTTACACAATGACATACTTTGAACACACTATTGTTGAGCGAACCAGTTTTGCTTGGTAGCAAAGAGCGTAAGAAATGTAGCCAAGCAGTGTAGAGTCATCACTTCTGTGCATTGCGTGTATCTACTGTAGTTTCAGATCCTCCTCACTCAGCACACCGTATAGCTTTTCAATCTCCTGCCCAATAATATTGAGATCATGCGCGAGCTGCCCAGTCACCAGCGCATACGCATACAATAACTCGTAGTCTTCATCGTTGGCGATGACCTTGCCCAGTCCGCTCTGTCGGAACTCAAAGACCTTTGCTAACAATCGATCGCGCGTGTGTTCGACATTGGGCAGTACATCGTTGAGTGGATAAGCTAGCTTCATTGAAGAAGCCATGACTATACCGTGTTAGTAGGTGCGCTTCGTACAGCTTGATGGATGTTACTTACCCGAAAACAAATGACTGATGCGCCAACTCAGGTCCATCCATTCTTTTTTGGTATACCTCAAAGCCTCTTTCTCACCTTCGGATGCCTTCAAGTCTTTCAGAATCACGACGTTCATAGCATGGAAACTATCCAATATACGACTAGTCGCGCCTAGAATGATCTTGAAGCTTTTGTCCGGGAAAGGGCCCTTGAGCTCAAATTCGGCGGCAGCTGATGCACGCAGTGTGTCCAGATGAGATAGATATCGACGAAGCTCGAGTTCTTCGCGTTCGGACATGTACGAGTACGTTCGACTTGAGTTCTCGTTGGACTCAAGTAAGGTCTTCAGAGGGCCGCGCTTCCAAATCAACCCCATCTTGAGCCATAGCAAAGATGTGCCCTTCTTGACTTTGCGACGTGCTGAGATGGGCCAGATGACCCTCGTCACAATGATGCCCCATAGACAACCAGCCATCACAGCGACGACACGATGAAGCACAATCTCCCATATCTCAGGCGAGATACCGCCCTCGTCGTCGTCGTCTTCCTCGTCTTTGACAGACAGCGAGTATGCGTAGAGTGCAGAAAGGTTGTAAGTCAACAGGATGAAGCGACCCATAGGCCCTTTGCCCTTGCCCACAATGATGTAAAAGCAGAACAGAGAGATGAGCCAACCGAAGAATCCCAGAACGAAAGCATGGTCATCAGCTGCAATCCATGCGGCGATGGCAAGTACAGCCCCAAGACATGTGCCAGCAAAACGTTGGAAACCAGTGGTGTTGGAGGCACCGATAGTCATCGAACAAACCAACATGTACGACAACAGGCCCCACTCTCCACGCCAATGACCGTAGAATCCCCGGGTCGATTGGATGAATGACCACATGGCGTAGAGGACTGCGCCTATTCCAACCTTGACAGCGAATTTCAGGTCGTCTCTCCTAAAGACGGCCAATGAAGTCCAAATGCGGTATGACAGCGGCTGTTCATTCTCTGACTTGTATGGATCGCCTCGCGTCGACTTCCGGTAGATGGGGTTATGAATTTCGTGCGAGCCTCCAGGTGTTTGGGCTTCTGTTTCATCAACAAGACTGGACTCTTCCGAGCCATCTCCGGATGTAATCTTGTTGCGCCCACGTTGCCAGAATTTTAGCCAATTGTAGGTTCTTTGTCGCGGGTAGCGATTGACGTTTCCTTTTAGCTCTTCAAGAATATCAAGAAACGTGACCATATCTTCGGCGAAATCCAACAACGACGAACTGAAGTACCCACAACTTGCGGCAACCTCTTCAAAGTCGGCTGCGACCGCTGCGGAGCTTGCCCTGGTTGGTATCTTGTTCTTGTAGACAGCCGAAAGAGCTTCTCGCCGTGCATTTGAAAACAGTGCTTTCGCGTCGACTAGACTGTGACGAAAGTGTTCGTTGATAGCCATGTTGTACTCGGGACCGGGTCCGAAAGGTAATTCAGAGAGGACTTCGCGTAATGTGTATGCTAAAGATTTCTACTGAGATTAGCACACGCAGCAGACTGGACTTTCTGAGCATACCATTGGTGGCCCCAATTGAGCAATAAACACAGAGAACATGTCAGCAGGAGTAAGGTTCGACTGCAAAAGATTTGTGACTTGGCCAGACTTCTTCTTGGTCGGAGTAGACTCATCGTCGGATCCAGCTGCTGAGGGGTATGCGGATGCTTCAGCAGAACTCTCAGGCAGCTCATCAATGGAGGCGAGGATGCTAGTGCGCCTCTCGGTATGGCTGAGACTGGGAGATATTTGCGGCGGACTTAGTGACATGGTATGCTCGGAAAATATTGACGAGGTAACGGTTCCGTTGGCAGGTATAGGCTGATGCGAGGCTCCATTTGGTTCCGACTCTGACTGGGCCAACAATGTAAACTGAGTCTCAGCAGCACTCCGCAGTCCTCCGCAGCTCTGCATTAGCTTTTCCAAACATTTAACAAGCTTGGCATTGATCTTGTACTCTTGCTCAGTACCTAGAGCGTAGTGTTCAAACTTTGCTTCTCCCAAGTTCTTTACAAGAGTCTTGAATGTGGACTGGCTCTTCTTGGAGGCTTCGACATAAGAATCGCTTTTGAGGTCTGATTCGGCACCGGAGAGGAAGCTGAGGGTGATGCCGTTGAGCATCTCGGCCATAGCATCGGTCGACTTTATGAAAGTGTCGCGGAATTGGTTGCGCGCCGACTTTGGTTGCACAAGAAGCGACACTAGGGCTGAGGCGGAACAGCCCAGAATTATCATCTTCAAGACTTGCCAAACCTTGACGTAGGAGAACTTGGCCGCCTGGACAGCGCCCTCCTTGGTCAGGATGGTGATGAGGGCGAGTGAAGTCAGGGAGCAAGCCACGTTGACGAGCGGATTGCCGAGCTTTTGTTTTGTCCATCCAACCAGTCCCAGGCCTCCTCCACAGAAGACAACGAGCACTATGACATGGCCTAGTACTAACAGGTCATGGTTTCCAAAGTATGCAGACACGGCCATGCTGGAAAAGGAGACCAAGGCGGCATACATGAAAGCGGCAAAGGCCAAGATGACTGCCTCGATCATGCTGCCGGCTGAGCGGGCTGGATGGAAGTAGACAGTAATGGTGGCGACTATGTGCTTTCCATCGTTCTTGCCCAGCAGTCCTGCAATGGCTGGGACGAAGGTGGCCAGGGACCCGAGAACATAAGCCAGCGAGCATTTGAATATGCCGATTCCAGTATCACTTGCCGCATACGCGTAGGCCTGTCGACACTTGTTTCGGACTATGACTCTGGCGAGTTGGACTCTTCCCATGTCCCGGTGCCGCTGTTCATGGTATTGGCCCGGCGCAAGCAGAAACTCGGAGGATTCGGAGGGTCGGTGCTGGGATCGCCGCAGAGTAAAGGCTTTCTTGACGCGTTCGCCCGTCTTGGGTTGGACCATGGTCGCGCTGCGTAGCTGTATATCATGGTGAGCTCATTGCCTGCATGAATGCCCGGAGACGCGACTTACACTGGGCCGCAGGAAGCGGCGCTCAGCCGGGGTTTGTGGGGGCGTTTCGTTGGCCATGGTGCACGTGGTAGCCCGTTGGATTCTGATCAGGACCTAGGACATGGCGATACAAGACTGTGAGCGTTGCGCTGCAGAGGCGCGCCTTGCGTTGTTGGACGTGAACCCTGCAGATGCCCAGATACAACGGCACATGCGCTAACCGCCAAAGCCACCCGCATGCCACATGGCGTCGGTGCTTACATACTCTACTACCCGCGTGTCCGGAGCATCATGACCATGGCGTTCGTGCTTGCCATCATCCCTTCCGCAGTGTCATACGGGTGTGACGGAGAACGCGCATCGCGAGGGTTGTGGTTGGGTTGCACTTGCCGAGGTGAAGACTAGCGGCTTCTTCATACGAATTGGTCATCACGAGCGGTACCATGAACCTCGACATCGCTTCTTGACTGTCTCCTATTCCAGACGACTAGCATATCCATGACCCCATCTACCATTGATTCAAACCTCACAAATCCCACGTTCCAAGAACCCTATGTTTGACGCCTTCCCCGTCTATACCGTCTGCGCCAGCCGTCGAACCATGAAGCCGTCGAGAAACGCCAGACTGGCATCAAGACTTGGATCCAGTAACGACTTGCCAGCTGTCATAGGCATCCGTTCAGGTGCAGGCTGAGATAGATAGGCTTTCGATCTCGTACGATGCGCTGCCCGGAACAACTGCACCTTGCATCAGTATTGTCCGAGTCCAAGTTTCGACGTGAAATACTTACTCTCAGCCGTCTCAGGATCTCCTCAAAACTCCGCACTATTTCCACGATATTCTTGTCGTGAATGTCTGCCTGGCCGATTGATCGACGAAATGAGTGTTTTCTGAAAGCATAGCATACTTCTCTCTGCCTCTTTGGCAAGTTCCTTTCCATGTCTCTTGGCGCAAGATATTGATCAATTCCCAAAAACGCATCTAGCGCCTGGAAGAGCAGTACCTGATTACCGCTAAGCCCATCAAACGTCTCCCACTTGTCTGTTACCTTGTCGTAATGACCAATGCCCCACGCCTGGAAGCCCTGCACCTTTGACAGCCAGACAGAATGTGCAATCATCTTATCATGCACATTGTCCATGTAGGTGCCGAGTACAAGTCGCATCTGCGATGCAATATTTGCAACATGGACGGCGCAAGCTGCCTTGTCACCACGCATGAAGGTAATGATCGATTGTGCCATATCGTAGTAGACGGGCACACTGAAGACTTCGAGGTCGTAGAAGATGCGGAAGAAAGTCTCTTCGCTACATGTCACTTGCAGCTCCATTCCTGTGTTGATCCTGTGTATGTAGGTGCCCCTACGATCGAAATTGAGCAAAACGTTGCTTGCTAGACGGTTCAGTCAGCTTTGTTGTAGCAAGGAACTTATAGAACTAGACAACGTACTATTGTTCCCTGCGTCAGACGCACAACCGAAGTGTCTCTGCATTGCGATCCAAGGTTCAACCAACTCGATAGGCAAGTCAACTTCTCTCTCCCGTTGGGCGACTTTGACGATGGGTATGGTGGCCCATCTATACGCATGTCGGCTGACGGCAACACAGCAGTAAAAGGCATTGTACGTCTCGCGGGTAAAGTCAATCCAACATCCCGCATCAGTTGCTTGGAAAAGCTAACAGCTTCGTTAGCACGTTAGCCATCTGTATAACCATTGCTGCTCTCCTTACCTTTGCAACTTCGACGAGATCAACGCGATCACGGAGTAGATCGCGGAATCGCTGTCGGAAATTCTCTATACGTAAGATGTTGACTTCTTCATCTAGAGAAGGGGTCGCCTGGGGAAGGAGGGGTGCGAGTTCCAGATATATCTCTTTGTACGGCTGTAGAGGCGTAGGCCAGGTCGTATGTGCGTGATTGGTGTTCGGTGGCCAAGAATTTGCCCCGTCTTTCTGAATCATATCACTCAATAGCTCTGCTATCTCATGGTGTTCCGCCAATGCTATGATCTTTTGGACCGTACGTTCTTTCTCGTCGTTTGGACTGGGTTGATGTATCAGTGCAACCACGGCTCCACAGTCGATGCGTCTGAACCATGCCATAGCTAGGGTGTAGAGACTGCCGACCCTGTGGAGACTGGATGGGAGGCACCAAGCCAAGGGCTTCGGTGCGCGACTCAAGAACGACAATTGGAAGAGTACAACTGCAGTGAACAGAGCACTGCCCAAGACAAGTGTGAGAAGCTCCATCCTGTGGTGTTGATTTTAGGTATTTGGAAGAAGTTGAATGATAAAGTATTAGGTATAGATGATCCGATGGGGCTGGTTGTAGTTGTAGATAAGAGATCTGTACAGAGGGAAGTCCCTTTATAGGGATGCGGCAGCCTCAAGAATTGCGAACGCAGTAGCAAGCCCGTAATAGTGAATGTCTCACCCTGGATGTCTTCGCCGATTTCATTAGGACGCTCCGAGCGCCAACGACACTTCCAACGCTTGGTCACTTATAATTCAATCTAGCTTGGCCCTTCAATATTCTGGCAACTATTACTTCCTGTGGTTCTAACAGCCCCTTGCTATCGATACTGCGTCTGTCCGCAACCCTTGATACTTTACACCTACAGTCACGTAGCAGTTCTCGCCTAGAAGGAGTAGACCCCTTGCGCTTCAAGCGTTCATAAGTACGTTCCATGCGACAAAGGTAGACATTCATAACAACCAACGAATAGCTGACGCGAAGTAGGGTTCTTTCCGTAAACCCGCTTATGCCCGGTGTAGCTGCCAAAACACCGAGCAAGTAGACTAGTCAGATCTGCCTGGGAGGTAACGTAGTCGTGTTTAATAAATAAGTATTTGAAATCAGTTGATTGCAGCCAGAGACAGGTCTTAGTGGTTGAGATTCAGATTGTTGCCCTTGTGAAGGTGGAAGTGTTCACCGGTGCTTGGAGTTCGTAACACCATACAAAGTGACCAAATGTGTCAGTACATCACGAACTTCAGATCGCAAATAATCAGCTGATTTTGGTGCTACGGGAGGCCCGCTCCGCGATAGGCGGGAGTCAAGCTTTCTGACGCCATCTGACGGATGTCAGATACCACCATGCCTAGGGATGCGCCACTTTGTGTATCGTGTTCTCGAAAATGGATAGAAGGTGTTCAGAAGCTTGGAGCTAAATGAAAGTCGCCGATCTACTATGGCGTGTCGAGATGGCGTGGTGGTATTAGGAATGTGAATGTATTGGATCTACTAAGAGGTGATCGGATACCGAGCTGCTTACAGGTTACCTTCCTGTCTCTTCAATCGCTCGAACAACTGTACAAAGGCAGCCGGATCCTGTGCTCCGCCGACTTCGTACATGCCGTTTATGGTAAAATTGGGAACGCCAGTGATTTGTTGTCGACGCGCCTGCTGCACTTCCTTATCAACCTCAGGGCCTCCCTTGCCTGCCTCCAACCAATCCTTGATCTCTTTCTCATTCAGCCCAGCTCTGACACCTGCCTCGGTTAAGATCTCTTGGGTAGTAATATCCTTCTCATTTTCGAAGTATGCAGCGAAGAGCTCCTCGATCACTCGGGTCTGCATTTGCGGACCCTTGGTTTTTCCAAGTTGTATGAGCCGGTGCGAATCGCGTGTGTTTCCAGTCTTGCCGCCGTATTTGAAGTTGATTCCCTCCTCTTTGCCAATCTGTGAGAGGCGCTCTTGCATCATTGCTGTGCGCTCTTTGCCAAATTTCGACTCGTACAGTTGTTGCTTGTCGGCGCTCTTTGGCGCATCGGGGTTCAAGTAAAAGGGGAACCAGTTGGTATCGAAAGTGTCTGTGGAATCAGGGTGCTTCTCCTTGTAGGCCGCGATACCCTTTTCCAAGCGCTTCTTGCCTACATAGCACCATGCTATAAATTGGTTAGTGCCAAATACCCATTTACTGGATGCTTTTTCATGGGGACTTACGGCACACCGTGTCGCTTACAATGTCGACCTTGAAGTTGGTCATTTTGCGTAGACTTGCTCTGAACGCCACGATGTAGGTGTGCGAGATCGATTTCACTGATGGAGTGATGTCATAGTCGCCAGGTTACATGCTCTTTATACCGAAGCTGATGGCGAGTTTTGCTGACAAATTAGGCGGAAGAGGTTGGAGTCGCGGCGACCGGCCAAACTCGCCCTTACAGTATAGTATATAGTAAATTCCGCAGCTGTTCCAGAAAGTCATCTCCATTTCTTCTATCGCGTACCCGCTCGATTATCAATTCGCCTTGCAGGCACATGCGACCCCGGTATGCTGACCCGCTACAAGGTGCCGAGGTCGTCGTTAGGGGGACGTGGGGTAGCTTTGGTGATGCTCACCCCCCCACCCCCCCGAAGCTTCCTCGTTCTCAAACCAACTGTTTCGTGCTTACAATAGCATCAAAAAAAAACACCTGCAGAACAATTTATACGATAGTCTCGACGTTGAGTTGAATTATGCGTTGTTCAATAAGTGTCATGCTAATATAGAAAGCCAAATGTCTACCAACGCCACGCTATGCCAAAAGACAAGTTGTCGCTCGTAGTCGTCAGACAGATACGAGAAGTTTAATCCAAACCGAAAGCATGTTGTCAGGCAGCTACTCACTTATTCAGCTGCTGCTCTCTTTTCAATGCCTCGCGGAACTTTGCGCCACGGACCAGGATCAGAAGAACTCCTGGTATGCAGAGGAGGTCCAGAATTCCTAAGCCGGTGAACGCCCATCCCCAGCCCAATGCGTCCAGGATGCTACCCATGATCGCCGCGCAGATCGCTGCAGCGACATTGCGAAGAAATCCTCCTAATGCCACTAGACTGGCAGTCTGAGCGGGATCACACTCAGTCTGGAATGAAGTGCTAGTGACGAAGACGACGGAAACACCAACTGCTGCGAGAGCTGAACTGAACAGACCAACTGCTGGGAGCACGTGATTATGTGCGAACCAACCGAACATGATTTTTCCAGCCGCTGCGATAAGAAATCCGGGTATCTGGATGGCGATTCTCCGCTCAGGTGCAACCTTGCCATCAGGACTGTTCGAGATGGCCCTCTTGCGCATATAGTCAGAAAGTCGACCTACGAGGATCGAAGCAACGAACATCGCAATACCGGGACAAAGGAAGCCATACCCAACCTCGGCAGTTGTCCAGTTGTACCCTTCCTGCCAAATGGTGGGGAAGGATATGTACATGCCATATAGACCGGCAAACTGGAAGGCACCATTGAAAGAGACAATCAAGTGAGGAGGATACTTGAGAAGGTGCATAAATTTTCGAAACGATGGTCGGGGAGCTTTCGGGACTTTCATGTCCGTACATGGTTTTGTCCGGAACTTTGGTATCGAAAACCACGGCTGGTGCGCAAGGGCTGTGCCGTTACCCACCAGTGACCGCAAGGTTTCTGGCATGCAGAATACGATTGCAAGGTATACTGGAAGACTGGCGAGCGAGAGGAAGCCAAAGACCCATCGCCATCTGGTCTCGGTTGCGAACTGACCGCCTATAAGTGGACCAAGGATGGGGCCAAGTTGAGGTCCCATGAGAAACCATGCTAAGGCGGATGCACGTCTGGCAGGCTCTGTAATATCGGCTACTGTACCGGCTCCAACCGAGAAGACGATACATGATCCGAATGCCTGGAAGATACGGAGAAAGTATAGGAGAGCGATGTGTGCTGGCAGCAAAGCCAGTAATGTGTTGGCAATAAGAAAACTGCCGAGTCCGACCATGTACACCGTTTTCCTTCCGCCGACGTCAGAAGCTGCCGCACCGAAGAGAGGCTGTGGATTGTTAGTTTTACGCTCTAGTACACCGGAAGGAATGACTTGCAGCAACAGCGAACACCACCATGTACATTGAAACTGTACCATTGACCGCGGTTTCTGATGTTTCGAAGATCTTTTGAAACAGCTTCAGAGACGGCAGGTAGACCGCTCCGCACAGCGGTCCAAAGAAGCCTGCCGCTGTAACTACACCCAGAATAAACCTTCTGCGATTGACTGAGAAGGCCGAATATGGTGGAGGAGGTGGAGGAGGAGCAGAATCGCTCGTTAATGACTGCTCAGATTCATCGATGGCATGTGGTGAAGGGTAGTCATCGCTGTCGAAGCTTTCACGACATCGATCGTAATGATGGGCCTTCTCGAAGTCGATTGGAGAACGCATGGCAGAAAGCAGTATCGGTGTGATATGATAGATGATACACAGTGAGCCTTTTTGAGATCAAAGGACACGATAAGACTGATATGTATGAAAGAGACACTAGCATCGCCGTGTGTTCGGAGCGTCCTACGTGCCGACTATGCACTGCGTAAGACTGCACAACTCAAGGCCTTGTTCTGGGCACGGTTGTGTTCTGCTTTACAGGCAATAGCACAGCCCTACCCTCCTTCGCGACCAATGGGAGGACATCCTGATACAAAGGCGTATTTTCGTCTCGGCTGCGGTCAGCTCCTGCGAGAGGAACGCTTTGGCGCATCCCGCGCCACTTTGTGTATCGCCAAGCGACCCGCTATTCTAGTCACAGGGATTACCAGCCGCAGAATTGGCTGGGAAAAGCACTGTCGGTGTTGGATATGCGGGACGGATTGACGAATACATCGGCCAGCTCTCGTCCAAAAACTACGTCTTGCTTGAAGCTCAACACTTCTTACTGCATTACGTGGTTTGCACAGATGTGGCGGCCCGTTACAACTGGCTCAGAGGACAAACATTCAAAACCTAGATATGCAGCCGTCTGTGCATAGCAATCCGAAGCAGCATACTAGCATTACCCATGAACCGTGCACTGTCTGGATATTTTGTTTGATACAACACCGTCAGCAAAATAGGTCTATTTCACTAGCGCCTGTCGTCTAGCACTGCGAACCCGAAGAGCTGGGGGACGCGTGAGGCTGAATTGCTTAGCGCCACACTAAGCTGGATAAGTTTGTCCTGAATACTCCGCCTTGTAGACGATTCGCTGAGGGTTGACTACAATCTTCCCCGCATCACCGCGCCTTGGAAGTGTTTCAAGGCGTTGCTGAGATGGATCCAGCTACCAGAGAGGTTATCATGAGTCACCCAAAGCTGGACGGAAGAGCACAACAGGGTTGCGTCTTTCTTACGAAGCTGTGACAAATGCATATGCATCAAATACTGTCTATCTAGGATTTGAATTACTACAGCATCAGATCGAAGATTGATACAATCAGTTCGAACCAGATCTCAGTTCCGATAGGCGTTGAGTCTACAGTAGACATGCGACCCCTCACCAACACCTAGGGGCCATTTGAGGAGAGTTTGACGCTCCATCTCTACCAATCACGATTCTTTCAGCTCTGCTTTGGGCATTCAACTACTGAGTTTCCTTTTGTGCTACATCTATTTTCGATTTTGCGGTTGACAACCTGCAGCTAACGGCATCGCCGAAGCCTGATTCACGAGGTGCACTTGACAGACTCAACAACTGACCGACTCGAGTGCTGTAGTCGTTCGATATCGCAGTGAGAAGGTATATCGTGCTCTTTCGCACATGTGATTACGAAGCACAAACTTCGCCGAGTGGGTAGAATCCTGGTTGCTTATCCGTTTCTGCAAAAATCATAACCTCTCTCAACACGACAACGGAGGAATCCACCGTAAGCAAGTCACGTTTTCAGCACGCCTGATTGCGGCATGGTAAAATCGCATCTGGCGTATCGTTGCGCCGAGATTGCACTTTCTTACTATCTGTCCCCACCCTTCCCGCTTGGGTATACTATGTTTATTGCAAATCTCCACATCACAATACGTCCAAGCCAAAAGTCAGTCGAAGGATTTATGACACGTTGGATCCAATCCACTCTAAAGCTTGGTGTAAGCCTTATTTTCTGTGGTATTTGCGGTAGTACTGGGATGTGCGGGACAACTGTAGCATGAGCTTTCGCCAGGCGTCCCATAGCCGCCTGGTGCATCCCCTGCCCTTTGCTACCCGCTACAGGGTTGCAATCCTTTGCACAGTCACATCGTCTTGGACCCCACGTCAAACACGCTTGGTAAACGGTGATCTGCAGAGGGCATGGTCAATCCAATTGAGCAAGCATAACCTGTGAAGTCAGTATACAGTGCAGGCGCTCGAAATTCTGAAATTTTGAAGATGAAATGTATAGATTGAGCATGTAAAACACTTATCGATGCTGTTGCACGACAATCAGCTCACCCTCATGGGAAGGGTTTCTAATGTTTGGACAGTGGAATAAGATAGTTGGGATATTAAGACCCAGAATCAATAAACATTTCATCTAACACAAGACACATATCCAGAAACTCCGATCGCTATGCACACATATGCAAACCTATTGTACCCAATACTTTCACTTCTCCGTCAACTTCTCAAACTTCAATTTCAAGCCTCGGGGATACAATGGCCCAGCAGGTGTCATCCTACCGTCCCAAGTCTCATCTACCCTCCATCTGCACCTCCTCACCAATTCTGCCAGAGTAATTCTCAGCTGCTGCATCGCAAACTTCTGCCCCAAACAGGCTCTTCTTCCACCATGGAAGCTGATGAAAGAGCCCTTGGAGTTAGCGCGACGGTATAGGTGGTTGATCTCCTCGTTCGTGGTACCCCAGCGCTGCGGCTTGAAGTCCTCGGCATCATCGCCCCAGAACCCAATATCGCGATTTGTGGAGTATGCGTTGTAACCCATGTAGACACCAGAGGGTACAGGTACCTTGTTGCCAAGTACGACAGATGTTGTTGTGCGGCGATTGATAAGCTGTGAGATCGGAGGAAACATGCGTAGAGATTCGTAGAGGACTGAGGTGAGGAGTGGCAGGTCGTGGAGATCGGTATAGGACGGCTCGTAGTCTACATGTGAATCGACAGGGAAGAGGGTTGAGATCTCTTTGCGAACCGCTTCTTGAACTGATGTATGCGTGCCGAGCAGATACATAAGGGACATGAGCGCGAGTTGAGGGTTTTCATGGCCTGCTAAGAAGGTGCTGACGAGGTTGTCGTCGAGATCCTTATCGCTGAGTATACCTTCGCGATGCGAGCCAAGCAGCCTACAAGCAACGTTCCTGTTGTCATTCTCATTACAGACGTGTTGGGAATGTCCCTTGGATATGGCAGTGCGGAGAGTGCCGCGGAACTGCTTGCTGAGCACGCGACCGAGCTTCCGAACTTCCAATGGTAAGTAGTCGAGGAATGGAAAGTTCATGAAGATAGGCTGAAAAATGATTGGCTTGATCTTCATCTGAATCATATGTAATGGTGCGTCCACATGCTGCAGCGTCTCAAAGCTTGAGCTATACAACACTTCTGAAAGATTGGCAAGCGCATACCGGTGAAGAAGTGAGTATATTGGGATGCCGTTGCCGCCAGCAGTCTTTGAGTCGTCCAGAAACATGTTCGTGAGTATCCTGGAGTTCTTCCAGATTTGTTCCGAGTCCTGGTCAGCTTGTAGAGCGGGTTTGATGACTCTTTGGTAGAGTCTCCATTTCTCGCCATGGGCGCTGATGATGTTCTCGCCCGTGTACTCGGCGAGCACACTGTGCGGAATCTTGACTTGATTTCCAGACTTGGCATAGGTGTCCTCATGCTTGAACATCTCCGCAATGTACGCGGGTTTGGTAACTAATATGTTCCTACAATTCGACATGTGAAGTTAGTGTGTGTGTGTCGCAAATGTGTTAGGTACATTGGCGAACTGACCATTGTCCACCAAAGAATAACTTGACCGCACCATATCTAGCCAGAGGTTCTTTGAGATATTGTCGGTATAGCTCAGCTTGGTCAACATCCTTGAAAAGCGGTAGAAGACCATAATAGAATGGTATGGTTGGTATGTTCTTCGGAAAATTACGAGGTGGTGTAAAAAGGTAGACAAAGAATGAGAACACACCGAAGACGATGGCGAAAGCGGCGATAAACACCAGCGAAAGAGACGAAACCATGATGCACAGTTGCTACAACTCTGATAGTACTGACGACGACTGTTTAGCCAAAGCATATATGGAACTAGCCGCCATGCGAGAAGGATCTCAGCCCCATCTCGGTAAGTTGGGGGCGGTGTCTCTAAGCGAAAGCTGAAGCGAGATAGGCTGGCGCGCATACCCTGCACGCCAGCTCCATGTACCTACTTTTAGAAAATAACGAGTTTTGGCTGGTAACGTTCGGATCCTGTTATAACACCTGGGTGGAAACAACCGTTTTCGTTGTGGGGCTGACAGGGGCGGAGATCCTTCCACCCAGGTTATGCTGCCAAGCAGTGCATACGCCTGTCGTGGGATCATGATAGCTCTGCTACGACCACCTGTCTAGACCTGTTGTTGCATGATGGCTCGCTGAATCCTGCCGTATGACGGACGTCTGTGCAAGACAACTCGCCGTTTACTTGCAGAGTTGCTTCAGCTAGCCTCAGGCAGCTGCGGATGCCAAGTTACCTAGTTATGCATCCCGGCTGGCAGCAGCATGCCATTTGTCCCACTGCAGCAGCAAAGCATCAAGCGGATCCACACTGCCGCCAGACGTGTTGAGTGCGACGGTCAGTTCAATGGGCTGACCCGATGCGTAGCGAGATTGAACAGTGCCGTAATTAGCGTACCAGTCGGTGTGCGGATTGCACGAGTTGTGGCTTGTCGTTGATGCCATCCGCAGCTGGCTGGGGCGAGCGCGCTTTGACCGAGTGGAGCATCACCTTTGTGATGTTTGAGACATGTGTGTTGAGTCTCTTTCATATATTAGAAGCCGGCTTGTTGGCGGTTCTGCAGGCCAGTAAACAGCCCCTACAATTGCTCAACGCACACCTCTTCATTCCGTCTCCTTTGTTCCGACTCTTAGCATTTTACTTTAGCGAGATTTTGCCTCTTATCGTCAATCATTTACCATGGCACCACTAAACAAGTCCATCAACACCTACCACTGCATTCAGGGCCTGTACTGGAGGAATGCCTCTGGTGAACTCCTAGCGGTCGAAGGCAGTAACTCCAAGTCCTTGCCAGAAATCTGGACACAATTAAAGGATATCGTTTGTTCCACAGAGAGGCAATGGGCTCAGCTCAATCTTCCCTCTGGCAAGTCCATCAAGACTCTCCAGATTACAACCAATATCCCTGCTCTTCTTAACATTCGTTCGAATTACCCTCCCTCATATCAACAAGAAGAGCTCTGTACCCAAGTATCTGAGATCGAACACGAGAATGGTCTCTTCTTGGGTATGCTGACATCGAGGCCGAAGTCTGTCAAAGCCGACGGCTTCGGGGTATGGGCAGAGCGCTTCATTCTTCTAGAGACCGAGTTCCAGCCATTTGCGAACATCTCAGCATCGACGACGCCATGGGCAGCAAAACACCGAGAAACATGTGCAACAATAGCCAATATCTTCGAACGTAGACTCAAAAACGTGTCCAGGGACGACCAATGGCATGTCTGTGGAAAAGAAGCTTTCTTGAACCGCGTCTACGGCTACGTCGACAAGAACCTTCCCATCCAGCTTGCCTTACCTGCCTTCCCTTGCAAATCGCCCAATCCGAACAAAGTTGGGGGTATCATGCCCGATCTAGCTGAGCATATTGCCATGGACGCACTCCATGACTTCGTCAAGGAGGTCAATACGGTTTACGAGCCTGGTGCGACCATGTGGGTTATCAACGATGGCCACGTGTTCTCCGATTGCAGTGAGTCTTCCCTGGACTCTCTCTTCTAGGAATAGTACTAAACATAGATGACAGTCGGTGTTGACGATGAGATGATCGACACATACGATGCTTGCATGGCTGCGATATACAAGGAGCGCTATCCGGAAGATGTTGGCCCTGTCCCGACCATCAAGTTCAAGGGCCTGAAGAATATCTTCTCTGCTGACTCTGAGGGCTTCCAAGGTCTCCAAAAGCTGCTCTTGAACTCTCATCAGATGCCGCACCCTGTGAAGACCAAACTCACCGGTGATGCCGAGCTTTGTCGCAAGCTGATGTTGGGGATTGGAGGACCTGACCGTGCGTATATCCGTCAGTTGATCGAAAAGCAGGAGCCCGACGCTCTTGGTCTCTACCGCGGCCAGACTCGCTTCATGTTGGAGGACCTTGCAGACATCCCTTCAGTCAAGTCGCTGAGTGGCAAACAAAAGAAGAAGACAGCTGCTCTTGTCGCTGAAGAAATGATGTCTCGCAACCAAGCCTACTCAAACCTGACTGAGCTTCTGCTTCCCAACTACGTTCGTCTGTCCATCCACGCGCACAACAATGCAGGCCCCAAATTCGCTATCCGTCTTTTACCAGCAAACATGGTTCGCGCAATCGACTCTCTCGAGACGCGTCTCGAGCCAAATCCGGTCTACGAATACCAGCTTCCTACACCCTGGCACAACTGCATGATCAAGGTAGAGGGCGACGAGTTCATGTATCTGGCTAAGGCTCAAGTGGCCAGAAAAGCACTGGAAAGTCCAGACTTCGATGGCTCTTGGGTTGACGGTCCAGATGGATCGTACTTCAGTTTGAAGCGCAAATCGGCCGCAACGAAGGATGCTGTTACGCTTCCCGAGCTTATCATCCCGGGATCTACCCCCACAGAGAAGATCAGCGTCTTCAATCAGAACAAGAAGAGCACGATTGTGCTCGTCACACCCATCACCGAGAAGAAGCGACCCATTATCATCTGTTCGCCTGTCGTTGGCAAGAACAGCCCGATTGTGGTCACATCGCCCACCGCAGACGGACAGAGACCCATCGTCATCTGCTCGCCCGTTGGTCGCAAGCAGGCCATGTTCTCACCGATCGCTGATAAGATGCGCTCTCCTGTCGGTTCGCCTATTGTGCGTAGGAAGACGTCCGTTATCGCCTGCGATCCCGCCGCAGACAAGGGTACTTCCGTCACCGTCTCACCCATCGACCCGAGTCCTCTTAGGCGCCAGGATACGCATTTTGTTCAATCGAAGGAGAAGAACAGGTTGCGCAAGCTCATTCCGGTCATCTCCATGCTTCGTTCGATTCGGTCGCAATCTTAGGGTGCGCATAGTGGTTTCGCTACAGGTTGCGCTTTCGCATTGTCTGTTTCTGCGCTTTCATTAGCATGTTGTAATTTATGAAGTATGGTGAGATCGTCACCTATATTGATACCTCGATTCCAATGCGTTTGGCGTTTAGGCGCAAGGGCGCCTCTTGAGTCATCTATTCATAACATAGCGAGTCAGGTTTCGACTCACGATAATTGGATACAGTTTGTCGCTTTTAGTGGATTCGGTACTGAGCGCATGGTGATGACATGATCGCTGTGCATGGATGAGCGGGCAATTAAGACGCGATCGCGTTCGTGGCTCGGCCATTTCCCCACACCCCACACGGACCGTCTGCACTGGTGTCTTTCTTCGCCTATCTACTACATCTGACATTGTCTATGCAGGAACTTGCGCAATCTAGCGCAACACCAATCGCGCATACCTACGAAAGAGATGAACATATGCAACCCCTGAGTAAGATTGTATGACAATGCTAACGCGATCCAGACGTTTGCCAACACGCTTTTGTAGAGCTTCCGCACCACACCTTCGCCGACCCTATGAGTATTCTCATCGCAGATTGGGAATTCACCGATATGGAAATATTGCTGGACACCTTTCCCCATATTTCATCAAAAAATTATGTGTGGTTGCAGGCTTTAGAGCTGGCCAAGAGTTCCATATTGTTTGTGATAGAGTGCACGAGACGAACACCTGATATGTCTACGTGACTGAACTGTGGAAGCTTCAACATACAATTGTGTATGTGACCAACGTGATTCAAATAGCTTCAGATTGTATGGTAAGATTAATGTCTAGCACTTTGCTCAACAAGTTTCACATTCCTCACATACACCATGGGTGGCTTTTTACAGTTCATCTATCCTATCGTGTCTCTTCTCTCTATCCCCCTCGTCTCGACAGCAACTTGTAAGAGATCACTAATTAGGTTGGAAAGCTAAGAAAAGAGCTGACTTTATGAGTGTCGAATACGCCCGTACCGCGCACCTATGGCATCGTTCTCTTCCGCATGTTCGACATGCTTGATGTATACGGTCCATCAGAGATCCTTCAATTCATCGGCGGATCGTACCCAACAAACATTGTGTACATCGCCGGGACCCTGGAACCAGTCACCACACGCCCAGTAATGGCTGCGATGAATCCACTGAACTCATCCGTGTATCCATCTCTCACACCTACACACGTGTTCGAGACAGCACCGGACCTAGACGTTCTCATCATTCCTGGCGGTCCGGGATGGCGCAATCCGACAAGTTTGAACGCTACTATGGCGTACATCAGGGAAATTACACCGAAAGTCCGACAAGTCCTCACTATATGTACAGGGTCAGCTCTGGCGGCTCGTGCTGGTATACTGAATGGCAAGAGAGCTACTGCGAACAAATCTTCCTGGCCAGCGACAGTAGCAGCCAATCCGAATACAACATGGGTTCCGTCTGCTCGATGGGTGGAGGACTATTCAAGCTCACCGCCTATCTGGAGCTCATCCGGAGTCACAGCTGGCATCGATATGATGCTGCATTGGGTTGAGAAGTCGTATAGTGCGGAAAACGCAACAAACATTGCGCGATTTATCGAGCATGTGAGGATTACAGATCCAAGCATTGATCCATTCGCCAGGAATGAGACTGTGGTTGAGCAGGCATACTAGTCTGGTGGTTCAACAAATCATGACCGGAAACATTACTGACAACAGTGAGATACGCTTTTAGTTGATCTTCTGTCATACCGACACCGCCAAAAGATCTTTACCCAGCCAATCTGCCTTGACGTTGTGTGACGTTATGTATGTAAGCCACGTTGGCCCACGCAGGACTGCTCTTTAAAACAAAGACCTCTCAGTGTTGAAAGCCACAACGTACTGATATCATCGCAAGCATACCGGAGTTTTGTCGCTTAGCCAATTTGTCGTTGCATCCAACACGCACAATTGCATGCCGATATGGCCCAACCCCTGCAGTAGTTCGTCCTTCTCTTACCCTTACCAGACTGGCACCCATATCACCGGGATGCAGCCGCACGGTATTCTGCTGCGCTTGCAATATAAGTCCATATATCGCACGTTGACTTGAAAGTATTCTGCCTGTGAGCTGCAGTCCCAACAGATGCACGCAAGCGGCCCGTTCCCCTCGCTTCACCAACAAACATCCAAAACCTGTATGGATCCAACATCTCGCTGCATCTCAATACCTGTCAGACTGTGTCGACTGTTATCTTCACGCAGGATTCGGAAGGCGTGAAATGTGCTCAGAAACCTTCTCACTTCATTCGACCTCTAGACCTATTCCGGTATAGCTTTCTGCAGGTCGTCCCTGCTTGTCAAGTCTCAACGAACACCACCACACGGATAAGCGGGTCTCTTACTGCGTTGTCTTACGATATGGTAGGCTGAGATGGTTATGGGAGATACTTGCGCAAGGCCGTATTCGGTGAACGGTCTGTGAGCACCACGCCACCTCCTGATGATGGCCGTAGAAGCTCTCTGGGCCTGTGAAGTCCGCAGAAGGTTGCATCATCCAAAAAAAGGCATAGCCGCCGTGCTTTCATTGATATTCGATACATTCTTATCTTGTTCGATTCCCATTCTGCCGTAAATCCTCCTCAGTTTCCCCAGCTCTTGAACATAAACCGCGTTGTGGTGATTGCTGCTTCCTTTCAACATCTATCGCGCTTGGAAACTTGCTCATAACTTGCTCAACCTTACTTGAGACGCACTATTGAAGTAGATTAATTCCTTGCGCTGTTTCAATTTCTCAGTAGGTTTCCAATATTTTGCAGTCCTTACGATATAACTTTGAACCTTCTTCTCACCTCCTTCCATGCAGGCGCAGGCAATTATGTCAATGGATATGGGTATGTCGATGGCTCCGACAAGCACAGGAATGGCTATGCCGAGCATGACTATGACACCGACTGCCAGTGACATGATGCCTATGGCAACCTCATCAGGCGGTATGGGCGGCATGGATGATGCGATGGACATGATGGGTGGATGCAAGATCAGCGTGAGTCTCGTTCCGTGTACGTGCGCTATCGAGAGCCCCAGCTAACATACGTATCTCACAGATGTTATGGAACTGGAACGTAATCGACACATGCTTCATCGCAGAGTCCTGGCACGTTCGCTCCAAAGCCATGTTTGCCGGTTCTTGTATCGGTGTCGTCCTCCTTGTCATCCTTCTCGAGTTTCTGCGCCGCGCAGCCAAAGAGTACGATCGCTACATCGTCTCACAGTATTTCAAGAAGTTGGCTCCCTTAACAATCGGTTCCTCTGCCTCTTCTTCATCAAGCAATGACGGCACGACTAAGACTCCCGCCGCTACAACTACATCCGCTGCTCGAGCACCTACACCCATCACAACAAGCAAATTCCGACCGAGCGTTATGCAGCAGGCGATTAGAGCGGCATTGCACATGTGCGCATTTGCCGTGGCCTACTTCGTTATGTTGTTGGCTATGTATTATAACGGATACTTCATCATCTGCATTTTCATTGGTGCATATCTGGGCTACTTCATCTTTGGGTGGGAAAGCTTCAACCTCAGCAGTGGTGGCGATGACCGTATGCAGGAAAACGCCACGGTCTGTTGCGGATAAAAAGACATGATATGATTGATTCAGTATCGCACGGTTGTTGTACCACATAGTTTGAAGATGTGCAAGGAATAAAGACTTCACGAGTGGAAAAAACACTCGCTACGCGAATATTGTGTTGGAGCAGTTGAATTTCTCATCTGGTATCACTTGAGCGTCCTAACGCCCCCCTTCCCCTAGTAATCGCATGCTTTTAAAAATCAAGTAGACAGGGTTTGTTCGAAATCATCTGTATAGTATTAGCGCACTGATATGTGTGTAAAATGATACGACTTCAATTACCTTGTCACGCTCTCTGCGCATCCTCTCCTCGCAATTAGCTGGCTTATTTACCCTACAAGTCGTCAGTATGATTCCCATAATAGATAAGAACGTATGACATACGGGGCAGCCATCGCAGGTGCAAGTGGAGCCGCAGTTGCAGCTACCGGAAGCACAGCCGCAGTTACCCTTCATATTGATGGTTATTGGGAGGTGGTTGTTTGGCTGGAGGAGGTTGTTATAGTGAAGATCGAATTGGTCTGGAATATAAACTTGATTGTTGTGGTGTAGAAGCTCATAAGAGAAGGTAAGCCACGAAGTCTTTATATACCCAGAGCATGCGCGACTTGTGCGGCAGCAAGGCAAACGCAGGGTAATTCGCACCACCCCTCCCCTGGAGCAACGCCGTCAGCGGCGGCTCCCATCCGTGGGCTTCAGACATTTTGCCCCGCATCCCACCGTATTTGTAGCAAGATTGACTGTAAGCTTTGGCCTCACTGGTTGACATCTCTGTTTGGCTCCATGCGTCTCCTGCCCACTATTGGCTCCCACTCGTGTGCGTACATTGTGCGGTTGATTGGGTGGGGCGTGAGGGACTTGTGCGGTGATCTGGCCGGTTTTCTAGAAAGCGCCAGGGCTTGCCGCGGTGAAAAGTGGAGTTGCGTAGTTTGTGCGGATGGATGCCAAGGGATCCGGACCGTAATTCAAGCGGTATTCGGACCTTATGTCTTCTTTCGTCCCGCGACAAGGGACACGAGCGTCATGAACATGCTGGGTGAGACAAGTGGGATGATTAAACTTCCAAGGCTTGTGGTCATGTTATCCTTTAACATTTGGCAAGCCATGCAAATGAATAGAGCATGCGTACAGAAGTTCCAACCAATATCTCGGTAAAGTCTACCATGAAGGGATAAGTAGAATCTTATGCTTTATTTCTCGATGGAAGTTGATAGTGTTTACCATGAGAGTCAATTTTAGGGATAGATTCAATCCACCAAGTTGCGTTGTTTCATACCTTTCAAGCCGGGTAAGCTCAGTTGAGTTCTTTCAACCAACAAACTTGCCACCGCAGTAGACGCAAGCATCGCAGGCAAGGAACAATACTCGAGCCAACGTAACAGGAATCTGCCTCCTTTCGTACAGTCCATCCTCGTCTTCTGGGTCGTCGCTTGCTTGGTCCTCGTCCATGTCTTGTTCAGCTACACTTTCTCGACCCGCTCCATTCAATGAACCACCGTCCTTGTCTTTTCTACCAACCCCCTCTGAGAGCTCTCCATCTCTTGTCACATCAGCCATGACTACATCGTCTCCGATATCTAGACTCTTCTTGCTGTCCACATATTCCTGGGCCATGACACACTCATCACTCAAGAATGGAGTGTTGCATATGCCACAATACTTGGTGATACCTGGTGCTTGGATGGCCAGAAAACTCAATCCGCATCTGGGGAACTGATGTCCATTGATGCAAGCTGCTGAAGCAATGTCTGTGAAGGGTATAGGGGCCGAGCAAAAGTCACATGTGTCTGCTGTTGAGGTTGCTGATGTCCGATCCGTCGGACTGCTGCTGTCTATGACACCAGTAGTGACTGTTGGGAGGTCATTGTCTTCCGATGTATCGTTGTGGCTCATGGCCATGTTGACGAGAGTAATGAGTTGCTTGTGATGTATGACGACTTCCGCACTGAATAGAGTATTTGAGAGCGATAGAGGAACCTGTTGCAAGGCAAGAGCAAGGCGATACGCGATAAGTGTCCTGAACAGGTCTTTCTGGATCTGTGTCTTGTATGCTTCAGATACGAGTAAAGTGTAACGGTCCTTCAGTGTATCCGCATTGAGAAAGGCAGACAGTTTGAATTCCCTTATCAGCGAGTCGAGATTGTTGACATCGGAGTACGCTGTCGGTGTCTTTGCGCTGTTCTCGGGTCGAGAAGGAGTTGTATAAGTCTTGGCGAGCTTCAAAACCATCTCTTCTGCGAATGCAGGCATATCATCAGGATCCTCAACAGCCCCTTCTGCCAGTTTCTTGAGACTGTAGGTTATACCCTCAGCGGTGACGTCCTCGTTTGGAAATATATCTCGCCGCTGGCTACCACGTCGCAAGGAGCTGATCGCCACGGTGCCGCTTCGGTCAGCCGGAATGCCATACTCGATCATATCAGAAGGATGTACGCTGTTGCATGCGGCGACGAAGTCGCCTAGTGGTGACCTTGTTAGACCCCACACTTTCGCTTTGCTATTTCCTTTGAGTCCATTCTTTACACTGAAAAGCGCCAAGTTGTTCTCAATCTTCTCCCGCCAATTTGGAACACCAAGACTCTTCAGGCCATCGTATGTCTCCTCAAGAACAGCGGTCGGATTGTGGAGGGTCGATATCAGTGAGCTTATATGTAGGCGAGGTGTTACTGTTTCGGTCGTATCCCAGACTACACCAGAGATGGGGTCCCATCGGCCGTCCAGATCGTGCGTGCTCTTTGTGATAATAGAAGCGTCGAGGGCTGATATCGTCAAGTATACCAGCTCTGTGTTCGTGAAAAGGGCAAGCTTTAGTCTGCTTTCGCTCTCGGGCTTGTCGAACCACTTCATTGGCCCATCGTATCGGAGTACATAGCCTGTGTAGATGATTTCATTGTCCAAGGTCATACGCCCACTCGTGTACGTGATTGCCTGAGCCCGTACGTCTTCATTCGTAGCGTATACAATTACGGAATGATGGGAGTCGTCACGAATGATCCAAGGACTCCATGCAATGTGTGAAATATATCTTTGCTGTTTAACCATGTCTTCGAAGACGTTGGGTTTTAGAAAGATGGTATCTGAGGGCGGTGCGAAAGATTCATGTATCAGAACATCTGCCCTCCAGTCTCGCTCAGCTCCCAGGGTGGATGTTGGTGATCCGATTTTCAAGAAGACAAGGTAGTTGTCGTCATTAGAGACAGCTAACATGTGCTGACCATATGACAGGTGAGTTCCAACGACACCAGTCGGTTCCGGACCAGGTAGAGCGGGTGCCCAAGCGAACGCTCGGATGCGGCTTCTCAAACGCAGTCGTTCTTTAGTTGATACCGTCAAGTGACTGAGCTCGTCATCACAATCTTCGAAGTGGTCAACAAGCGCATCGTTGATGATGAGCCGCCGAGCCCAGCTTCCTTCCTCTTGCAGTTTGCCTTCGGCTGACCAGATCGAAAGCGTCAGATTCGCAGTAAGAGCCGCAAGTGCGCACTTTCGGTGTTTCGCAAGGCCAGGCGGCGACCACGCAATGTTGATGGGTGCACTATTCGATATTTCCTCTCCAACGGAATAGTTTGATATAGGCGCAGGCTCTTTGAGTGGTAGCTCATCGGTGGAAAACAAAGGCACCTTGAGGGGTACGTGCTGCCACTGAGGGGCAACTTGATCTCGCTCAAAGTCGATGGTGTTTGGGAACTACCCAGCGGTTAGTAAGAGATGCCTTATGTATGCACGCGAATAGATCACAACTCACGAGCAGCTCCACGCGCTCATCCGACGCTAATGCAATGATGCCATCCGGAGACCAATCGATTGCATCGACGCAGGCTGGCCAACATCTCAGCACTGTCACGTCCGCCATGATCGCTCATGGAGTCTTGGAAAAAGCGGTCCCTGTTGTTTAGTGGTTCTGGTCATGGCTCGCGGTAGTGAGAGCGAGTGGGTAAAAGTTTTGACTAGCGCGGAATTGCGGAGCTTGCTTGCAATCACCAGTCCGGAAGATCAGAGAACTATCGTCTGCTATGGGCAGACACAGAGACTCGTACGCGTCACACTCGGTGCATGCGCAGGGTGGTGAAAAGCATAGACGACGCGAGACTTGCTGGTCTATGATCGCGTTGGACCCTTTGGGACTAGTCGCGGTCTTATCGATAGTGCCCTGGTCCGACTGCCGACGAAAAAAGTGATTTTTCCGCCATCCTTCGCAGCTTCTCCACAAGTGCCATTGCCCACCAACAAGATGGGGAAACGTCCAATCTCTGATGTTGTCGCCGAAGATGGCGCGACCACTACACCCGACCTCTCAAGGAAGAAGAGCAAGAAAGACAAGAGCAAGAAGCTTAGCAAGACCGCCGAAATCGACGCGACCGAGACCAACGGCAGTGTCGAAGCTGTAGAGGGCTCTGAAGATGACGAGAAGCTTTCAAAGGCCGAGCGCAAGGCGGCAAAGAAAGCAAAGAAGGAGGCTAAAGAGGCGAAAAAAGCGCTGAAGGCTGCGGCGGAAGACGAGCCAGCTGGCCAGACTGCGGAAGAGAGCGAAGAAGCCATCAAGGCAGCAGAGAAGGCAGCGCGGAAGGCAGAGAAAAAGCGCTTGAAGGCATTGGCAAAGGGCGAAGCTACCGAGTCTGCGTCCTCATCGAAACCTTCATCGGTCCAAGCCAGCGCCGAGCCTACAGCAACGAGCGCAACCGCGACCGAATCAGGCAATTATGAGGAGAGCAAGGAGCTGACGCAGCTTCCTCAGGCCGAAGTCGACGCCTTCCTTACCAAAAACACCATGACTATCCAAGACCCCAAACCCACCGGTCGCGCCCTACGACCCATCCTCAACTTCAAGTACCTCCCAGTCGACGATGCGCAACGCGCCTTCTTTGCCAAGTTCAGCGCCCCTACACCTATACAAGCAGCGACCTGGCCATTTTTGCTGTCAGGAAGAGACATGGTTGGTGTCGCCGAGACAGGTTCAGGCAAGACACTGGCATTCGGTGTACCCTGTGTGCGTTACATTGCAGCGCTACCCAAGGACAAGCGGAAGGGTATCAAGGCTGTCATCGTTTCACCCACGCGTGAGCTGGCTGTTCAGATTTACGATCAATTGGTAGCGTTGGCGACACCAGCTGGACTGTCCGTAGTCTGCGTATATGGCGGTGTGCCAAAAGACCCTCAAGTCGCTGCTTGCCGTAAGGCGCACATTGTAGTCGCTACACCGGGTCGTCTCAACGACTTGATTGGTGATGGCTCTGCGGATCTCAGCAAAGCTGAGTACGTAGTCCTTGACGAAGCTGACCGCATGCTTGACAAGGGATTCGAAGAAGCAATTCGGCAGATCATCTCGCAGACGCCCAAGAAGCGTCAGACTCTCATGTTTACTGCTACGTGGCCACCTTCTGTTCGGGATCTTGCATCCACCTTCATGAACTCGCCAGTCAGAATCACGATTGGTGACAATCAATCTGGCGAACTCCGTGCCAACGTGCGCATCAAGCAGCTCGTAGAGGTACTTGATCCCCATGCTAAGGAGCAGCGCCTGCTGCAGTTGCTCAGGCAATATCAATCTGGCAAGAACAAGGACGATCGTATCCTTGTGTTCTGCTTGTACAAGAAGGAAGCAATGCGCATTGAAAACTTTATCCGCAGGCAAGGCTTCCGCGTGGGTGGCATTCACGGCGACTTAAGCCAAGAGAAGCGCAGCGCCTCACTGGCGGCGTTCAAGGAGGGCCACGTGCCGCTCCTTGTCGCTACAGATGTTGCTGCACGAGGTCTTGACATCCCCGCGGTGAAGGTTGTCATCAATGTCACGTTCCCATTGACAGCTGAGGACTATGTTCACAGGATCGGTAGGACGGGTCGTGCCGGAAAGGAGGGTTTGGCGATCACGCTTTTCACGGAACATGACAAAGCATTATCTGGATCGTGAGTATTCCTTGCATTTTCCTGCACTAATTCGGTCTGCTGACTCTATTCTTAGGTTGATCAACGTCCTCAAGGCAGCAAACCAGCCCGTACCAGAAGAGTTGATGAAGTTCGGTACGACTGTCAAGAAGAAGGAACATGGTGCATACGGTGCTTTCTACAAAGACACTTCAGACGTCAAGGCCGCTACTAAGATTACTTTTGACTAAGTTGTATGGGTCTGGGCATGTGTTGTTAAAAGCGGACTCCGGCACCTCGTAATAAAGCTGGTCGGCGAAGTAGATGCCGCAGGTTGCAGCTGCAGCGATGATCGAATTTTAGACGCAGGAGCATTCCTCTAGCGGAGGCGTTTCGGATCATACAAAGCAAAAGTTCCGGTAGTGTACATTGTACAGATCGCGATGTGTTTTCCCGAGGCTAGTTTGCAAGCTATCTTGTTGTTCGTAACTGATTATTTGAATTCATTCTTGGGTTGAAGAGATGCCCAATCCCATAGCTTCCGGAATGTTACTATCATGCCGTTGAACAATCGTACGATGCCTGAGACTACGCGTCTCCGAGTCCAAACAAGAAGGCTGAAGCCACCTCATCATATCGTATATGTCTCTTTCTAGCTACCATGGGAAATCTCAAATCTGTCTGCATCTACATGCGTCAGCCCAAAGGCGTAGCATCATGCAGCACGTCTACTCAATGCACTATCCTACGCTCGCCACTAATCAGACTGGACCTCCACATCCCACTCCACAAAGTACGCAAGTCCGCACATCGACACAAAACCATCGACAACCCTTACTCTCTATGGCTCGGTAACGACCCTGCTATAGGTTCTGTCATACGCCCCTCCCGCAGACTAAACCCCCATAGCGAGAAAAAGCGTCAAGTGGCACTTCGCCGAATGTGGTCGCCGACTATGGTTCGGACAAATCACTAGACAGCCAATCAGAAAGCAGAAGTGAGATGCAGAGGCCCAGTATTCTGGGAAGGATTGGTCCCCTAGAGCCCGGGCGAGTGTCCATGCCTCACCGCGGCATTGTAAGACGCGTAGGTAAGGTATCATGTTTGGAAGGGTCTTCGGCGAGAAGTATGAGCAGGTGGAGAGGTGCGACGTATATATAAAGGTCCGGGAGCTTGTCGAATGGACCCGATTTCGAAATCTTCATCAACCAAGATACGCATTCAAACCCACTGCAGTAGTATAATTCACGCTCTCGAGCTCTATTCAAAGGCTTCGGCATACTTCCTCTACCCTCGGCATACCATCGTCGGCATCGTCTCATCACTCCACGCTACACCACTTAGCACTTCAGCACCTACAACCAAAACTTTAAAATGTGCAAGAAGGCTTCCTGCAACTCCTGCAGTATGTCACCTTCCACAGGTTCTTTTCCTGAGCATCGCTGACATCTCTTTAGACAAGACCACATGGTGGGGTTGCGGTAAACACGTTGCCGGCGTTATGGAGAGCGTACCGAAAGAGCAATGGTGCACATGCGCACCTCAAGGAAACCAATACCCACCGATGGGCACACTAGCGTCCGCGTGACTACCAGCTTGGTTGAGGGGTTCGAAAGCATAACATGGAGCGATACTGTACGGAAGAGTGGTTTTTCGGAGTTTGGAAACATACGGAGTCCCGGTGTGACGGTTTACGATAGCGACGCATGGACATGGTTCCCAAGAGCATTAGCGACTTACAATACATACCCAATTTCTTTTCTAGAGACTGCTTTATAGATGGTGTTGAGATTAGGCCCGCCTTGCCGGCGTCCTCGGCCTGTTTTACAAGGCAACGCAGCCGTTTGAACCATGACCAGCGCGATCCCATTTGCGCTCAACTCGCCCTGCGACATCTCAAGGACATTGCGGGGTCGGCAATGAACCATGTTGTCACACGTAGTAGGTGTTTGGTGTTGTTCAGCAGCTTCTCAATCCGATAGTATATCGCCAATTCAACCGGGACGCACCGCAATTATGATGTGCGCGAGACATGGCAAAGATGAGAACGAAAATGACAAACTGTGCGTTGTGCAACGAGGTCCTGGTTGCGGCCTGACGGGACCTTGCAGTCGTGTCCGTTGCTCATTCCACAGGCATGGAGCTGGAAGCTGCAACATGGCACAAGGACAGCTGTGTAATACGGGAACCCCACGGTGGATAGATCTGGACCTTGATGATGACAGACGCTATCATCATCGGCGGCAGCGGGTATCCTGAGGCCTCCTTGTTAGGCTTGGCGGTTATCTGAAACAGCTTCTGGAAGTCTCAGATGCTTCGACATCAAACAGCTATGATGTCGACGTGCCGGGCTACCACGGATATCTCCTTCCTCAGCGGACCCCAAGAAATGCCGGTGCCGACAGCTAGCGCGTAAAGCGCAACGATAAGACAGTCAAGAGTCTTGGACGCAGATGATCGAAAATGTAAGAATAGGATGGTTGGTGACGGTCGAGTTAGGGGAGCAGCCGGGAACCAATAGGTTCGGAGAGGACGATCCCGCATGGCGAGGCTGGTCTCATAATGGGTCTGCTAAGTATAGCCGTTGCAGATGTGGAACTAGGCCCCTGCAACTAGCCGGTTTCAGCCATGGCCCTACAGCATCCGAGCCTTGAGCTTCAGTGATGAGGAGGATGACAGGCAGCCGCCCTGCAGCAAGAGAGGTGACTGCGGTTATGGGAAAGGTAGTGAGGGAGGCCTGACATTGGGTAGATGCAGGGCTGGCAAAAAAGCAAATATGCAGAAGGCCGTCTTAGCACATTGCACGAGGTGATGCAAGAATGGTAGCTTGTACTGGCGAAACAATTCTGGAATGTTTAAGCTGATTCTCGTGCATATAGCAGAAATCACAGGATGTGACTCGCGCAGCTCACACAATGGCTGGATCATGTCGGCGGTTAGCTCAAAGTATGGCGGGCGGCCGTCGCGGACACCAAACGAGGGCTGCAACGTCCCGTGAGGTATATTTGCACTCTATAGTCGGCGCGTACTGCTGGTCTTTGCAAGTTGTGATTCCCACGCGCATTTTGTCTTTGCCTTGTGTAGTGTTGAATTCGATTGCACCTGAGCCCAGCTGGTTGACCCCGCCATTCCACTTGGAAAGCGCGACACGGCCGCCCGCAGCAGCAACAAACACGCCATCGCCCCTCTCGAGTGTTTTACACGATCCCCTCCCGTGTGAAGAAAGGCACGTTCCTCATGCCCGCTACCCGCTACCTGCTACCACGCTGAGATCGCATCTGGGACTGACTTGGCAATACAACAGACCCTGCCCCCACCTTATCCGTCTCCTTTCTGTCACCGCCTCACTCCCTCTCCACCTTGCGCGGGCATCACCCCAGCATACTCGAGAAGCTCCGAAGCGCAGCCGCACCAGCTCCAATCGGTTGGTCAACGACATCTCTCTCGGTAACCAGCGTCATTAAACGGCTAAAGACGAGCGCCATCTCCCAGGCACCACCAAAGCGCACGCACGACCTGTCGGCTCTGGTGACCGGACGGACCTCGATCCTCAAACGACCCCAATCCTTTGGTATGTCAAATTAGATAGATGCACACGCGGGCGGCGACGAATACAGAATAGCCCTTCTTTGTGCTCTGTCGTGGTCGCTGCCGCCGTGAACACCTTCTGCGGCTCAAAGGCCAGCACGTGGGGCTGGCTCAGTGTCTGACACAGTGCCGTTTCACCAACGCGCGCAAGACACGCTTGCTGTTCTGCGAACAATGCTTGCCATACAGCCTTTCCGAGCTTGAGCTGACAAGCACGCTCTTAGATCCCACCTTCACCACCGCATACGCATCCTCATCCACCTTCCTCCTTCGCTTTTCAATTGTCCACCCTCGAGCAATCACGACCCCGCAATCACTGAGCACCAGCTCAATCGACCTAGTCCGCCGCGCATCAGCGCATACCCACCACCACCACAACCACCACAACCGCCAACATGCCACCAGCGGGGAGCGGTAGCTCTAGAAAGATCTCTTTCAATGTCTCAGAGCAATACGATATTCAGGATGTCGTAGGAGAAGGCGCGTACGGTGTTGTCTGGTAGGTCCCACTTCTCAGTGCCAGCCAGACTGTTGCTAATCCTACTCCAGCTCCGCATTGCACAAGCCGTCCGGCCAGAAGGTCGCCATCAAGAAGATCACGCCCTTTGACCATTCCATGTTCTGTCTGAGAACACTACGAGAGATGAAGCTACTCCGGTACTTCAACCACGAGAACATCATCTCCATTCTCGACATCCAGAAGCCTCGGAACTACGAGACCTTCACCGAAGTTTACCTAATCCAGGTGTGTAGCCCGCCAATCTCACAGCTTTCAACCGTGGCTAACACAGCACGTAGGAACTCATGGAGACCGACATGCACCGCGTCATTCGCACACAAGAGCTTTCGGACGACCATTGCCAGTACTTCATCTACCAGACCCTGCGCGCGCTGAAGGCGATGCACTCAGCAAACGTCCTCCATCGCGATCTCAAGCCCTCCAATTTGCTCCTCAACGCCAACTGCGATCTGAAGGTCTGCGATTTCGGCCTTGCCCGCTCAGCCGCCTCAACCGAGGACAACTCAGGTTTCATGACGGAATACGTTGCGACGCGTTGGTACCGTGCGCCCGAGATTATGCTTACGTTCAAGGAGTACACAAAGGCCATCGATGTGTGGAGTGTAGGATGCATTCTGGCTGAGATGCTTAGCGGAAAGCCTCTGTTCCCAGGAAAGGACTGTAAGTATTGCGCACACAGGATGCGCCAGGGGCTCTTTGCTAACTGTAGTCAGACCACCACCAACTCACGCTGATTCTCGATGTGCTCGGTACGCCTACCATGGAGGATTACTACGGCATCAAGTCCCGCCGAGCTCGTGAATACATTCGATCGTTGCCATTCAAGAAGAAGATTCCGTGGAAGGCCATGTTCCCTAAAACCAACGATCTGGCGCTTGACCTGCTCGAGCGGTTACTCGCTTTCAACCCTGTCAAGCGAATCACAGTCGAGGAAGCGCTCAAGCACCCATACCTTGAGCCGTACCATGACCCAGATGACGAGCCGACGGCCGACCCTATCCCAGAGGAGTTCTTCGATTTTGACAAGAACAAGGACAATCTGACCAAGGAGCAGCTCAAACGTATGTCGTCATCTTGCTCTCGTGTTGAATCCCTGCTAACTTTCAGAAGTTCTCATCTACCAGGAGATTATGCGGTAAACTTTCACGTTTCCCACCAAAGTGCGAGATATACACAAGATACCACCATTGAGTCGATTTCTGGAACTTGTCCACAGCTAGCTGGTCTGGGCTCACTACCAAATTCGAGGAAGGTCTACAATCATCCTGTAATTTGGATTCTCAGCAGAAGAAATAATGTTAGCAATGACAGCATGGAAGATATGGGGAGATACGCTTCAAATCGCGCTCCGTACAGAAAGAAATTTCCTACACCCACAGTACTTATGATAGGAAAAGACAGGAATGCATTGCTTCTTTGCAATTTTCATTTTGACCTTGCAATTGCGACGAAGTAAGCGATCCCTATGGGATCTGCTACATCGTTAATGCCCAATCCATGCTTTGAATGTTCTCTTCCACTTTACTGCCCCTTCCACAACGAGGCCCGTCCCAAATCACATCTCCAAAGTTCTTTGCGTGCACTTCAGCATCTGTGGGTCGTGTCCAATCATATATGACCGATTCACTTCTACTTCCTCTCCAGGATGCATGCGCACTACCCGTACTACCTCCACCATGATCCCTGCTTACGGTACTGAATCCACCGGCAGCTCGGGAATCGCCTGTGTGACCCCTGGCTCCCGGCTCTAGCACAGTGTCCAAAATAGACGATCGTCGTGTAGGACTCGTTGTGGATCCTCGTCGAGCGACCTCATTCCACCATCGCTTATCGTATGAATCTTGTGGGAGCGAGGAGCTGCACCGTCGAGCTGACCTCTGATAAAGAGGATTATGGAGAGGAAGTGGATCCAAGGAGCCGCGTTGAGATTGCCGACGAGAATTCGTAGGAGAAGGTCTTTCAGTAGACGTCAAAGGGAGAGTGTTTTGATGAAGAGCAAAAGCATTTGGCCCCAACATCGAAGTCTTGGAACCTTGTATCCGCCATTGAGATAACCCGGGCCATTTCCTCTTCTCCCTATTTGCCTGCACGTTCTCTGTTCCTGAACTACTTCTCGATGAGGATGTAGCAACAGAATCTTTTCTCAGTGAGATTGATTTCAACTTGGATAAGCTCCCTGATCTAACTCTGCCAATCTCCTCACCATAAGAATTGCATTGTCTGCTCCATGTAACCCTCTCTATTGTTGGATCGAGACGACCTTGTGCGGATCGCGACTGCTGCTCTAAGTCTGCTTGTCGCTTGTGCGTATAGTGGAGGCGCAGGTACCATGCGATGGCTACAAGGACCAGGAAGAGAAAAACTGACAATGCGATGACAGAGTTGCGGTCGATGTGCGTATTCGCGTCTTCTGGAGAAGACGAGGAGTCGGCTTTGTGCTTGCTCGCCATCAGTAAGACAGTGGCAGTAGCAGCCATGTTCCCGCTGTTGCTGCTGTTTTGATGTTTGGCTGAGATGATTGATGTATAGGAATCGAGTTGCGACGAGGATGCGTACATGGGTATCACAAAGGACATTAGTAGATGCACGGCTTCTAAGATACGGACTCCGGATAGTTGCGTGTGAATCATTACACGTAGTGAGATCATAGTCTGTTATGGTACCACACCGCATTGTGTTCGAGACTTTGGGAGGTTTGGTACCGAACCAGCTCGGGAGGTGGGGGAAGCATGTGTCGCATAGGAAGCCATGAAGAAAGAACCGGGCTACATAATGAGTGTAGCTTGTTGCGGGCCATGTAGAGATGGTTGAGTTGTTGTAACCTTGGAACGCCGCCCAATGCCGGTATCTAGTCCGTGTTCGTACAGAGTGGTGTCCTTCACTATGAATGACCCACCACCCATGTTCTTCGTATACACATAATCATACATCAACACGTGTCCATGTGTCCTTGACGTCTAGAAGTCACATCTCCCATCCTTCCATCCCGTTCTCCATCGCTCTTCCCACCTCTTGCAGTCAAACTGCTCTTTCCCCAGCTTCTCGTTTACAGCATTGTGCGCCTCACACATCCACTCTCCGAACTCGTTTCGGCTGCTCACCCTTGGCGTGTTCTTCTGCATCCACTTCTGGAAATCTTCTGCGCACACCCAGCACGGGTAGAGTTTGCCAAACGTGGTAAGGAAGGACTTGGTTTCGGACTGTAATTGTGGTGATGGATTCGCTGGGTAGGCGCCAGTTATAGAGTGTAGTAGAGTCCAAGAGGAGCGACCGAGAGCCTCAACGTCTGGCGGGCAATCTGCGGGCAGGGATGGTGCGGGTTCGGTGGTAGTCGGAGTGGCAGCAGCAGGAGTGCGTTTTGTGGGCAGCTTGCCTGCAAAGGCAAAGAGGGAGGTTACATCGTTACAGGTTCGGCATCTATAGATTGGACACAGATGTTAGCATACGCTTGCTCTACAACATTGGCCGTTGTACTGTGTGCATGTCTTCCGGCGCATTCCAGAATCCACGGTACTTACGGCTTGCCATCTGGACCGAGTATGATGCCGTTCGCCAGCTTCTTGTACCCGGGCTTTCCCGCTATGTCCTGCCCTTCGTCGGTTTGCGTCGAATCCTGCGCCATGTTTTACTGCCTCGAAAACGCTATCGTGGTCGCGGTATGTTGCGTCGCTCAAGTGGTGATTTCTAAGCTATTCGAAGATCGGACCTCGGAGGTAGGCAGCTTTCCAGGGTCAACCATGTCATGTATTGTCGCGCTTTCGCCGTAACAGCGGTACATCTGCGGGTGATTCATCGCCATCGGGGTTGTTTAACTTCGTGCATCCGTGCTTTCGTAGTGCGTCTCGCGACATGTTGTTGCTCTCCAATTGCTCTTGGCGCGTTGTTAAGAAGGACGTGGTGGACGTGCAGTGGAGGGTGTTAATGAACGACAGCTCTTGAACATCACAAACGGATTCCTTCAACAAACATATCGGCTCTTGAGTGTCGATCATGGACGTGCCAGTAGCCGCGAACGTACTAGGTACACTCGGCGCAGTACGTATATCCTGGACTTTTGAAGCGGTTGTGTTGATAAGAACAGGTGTGTTGGTCCGTTCAGGTACACAAACGCCTCAAGCTACCACGATCAAAGGAGCTCAACTAATAGTGCGACATAGTTGGTTCCCCAGATCGTTATCAACTATCACAGACATAATGCTACCGGACTCCAGCCAACTATGATGATGCTTTGGGCATGGGCTGGAGTCCCACTTGGAGTTTATAACATTGCAGAAGGGTACAACATTGCGCTACGGATTCAGCCTCAGATCCTTACCATCCTGAGCCTAGTAACTTGGATCCAGTGCTACTACTACGAGAAGGTCAATAGTTCTTCTCGAAGAGTATTCTCGAGTATGGCGGCTAACGTGTAACAGAATTGGTCAGTTGTCCGCTCCCTCGCTGTTGTCATCCCGGTGGCTTGTCTGATGGGGGGCATTCAAGCTGGCCTCATTTTTGCTATTGAACATGCGAAGGCCGAGGGTCTTCACTGGCCCAGTATCCTTATGGCAGTTGCTTCAGCTACTCTACTTGCTGCTGGTGTCATGAGACACTACTGGGACATCTACGTCCATCGTACTGTCAGGGGTATTTCCTTCATATTCGTGGGCATCGATGCCCTAGGCGACCTCTTCTCCTTGGTGTCAGTCGTCTTCCAGCCAAGGCTTGATATTCTGGGCCTGGTCATCTATGGCTCCGAACTGGTGCTTTGGGTCGGAATTTTCGTTTGCGGAGCTTACTACAACCTCCCGACTTGGTACGCTGCAAAGAAAAAAGAGGAAAGAAGCAACCCGGGCGTGAGTGAGTCTGATGGAGGGGTGGTAGTCGCATCTGGCATTGCGCTCCACGACCTGCCCTCCAGCACCTCTGTATTCAGGACGCCATCGGGTGAAATTGAAGCTGTTCGGCAGCGCAGTGTGAGTTCAGTGCATGGCGCCAGCTTGGAGCACTTGCCGCGAAGAGTATAAGTGAAGTGTCGATTCAGCTATATTCAATCCAGGGTCTTTGATTACATCTTTCACTCCATACACCATTTGTACCCGCTAGCCATCTACTGTATAGACAACTCTGAACTGTGTGGCTACTTCCGTGTCTGCGTGAAAAGTCACGCGTTTGTTGCTTCGCGGTTCTTCAACTTTGGGTAGGCGCACGCACCTTCTCCACAAACGCTCCTCTCGCTCCCCACACTCGGATCTACGACAACCATCCGCGACTCTTCATGATCTGATTTCAACGTCAGAAATTATCGACCGCGTTAACATTATAATCAAGCGTCAGTTGCTCGTATAAGTAAGCTAGCTTGCACTCCCACGATCAACATCTTTTCACGACCTCGAACCCGGATTACTTATTCGACCTATTACAGAGCACGAATATCGCAGTAATACCAACAAGACCAAACAGTCAGATTGATTGTAATTCAACCCCGGCTCCTGACTTTGATTCCACCATGATGTCCAATACTACAACCAAAGTCACCTCCTTGGATTCGCAATCCGATGGCGCGTCAGTACCACACCCGACGCCGGCAACTGAACCTATAGGTAGTCCTTACGAGCCTGTCGACCCTCCTCCGGAGATGGACTACACGGCTGTCGCCAAGATCCTTGCTCCTATCCAGGAATCACTCAACGAGGCCGCCATGGAGGCAGCTTTCCCATCCCCACCCATCAACACACCTGTATACGGCTCTCCGGCTCCATCCGTAGCGTATCGTTACCCATTGACCCGGGGTCGCGGCTTCAGTTTGATTGGCGATAGACTCGTGCAGCTGAAGCTCAATGACCGCAAGCTCCGCAACCGCGAAGGAGACGTGGGCTCGAGCATCTACTCGCCCGAAGCATCCGTCGCCGAGGATGAAGAAGCCGATATTGCGAGTATCTCCGAGGTTCTGAGTGACAGTGGTAGGGACAAGCAAGGTTCCGGGCAAATTCGTAAGAACCCTGGTTCCATCGATATGAATGAGGACTCAGTACCTATTGCTCTAGGCTCCCCTGCCGTGAACCCGCGCATCGTCGAGTACCTGACTTTCACCTCTGATGATCTGCCCACGAATTCGGTCGCCCCTTGCTTTCCCTCTACGCTCATGAAGACGAGCACCGGGTCCCTCAAGACTGTTATTGAAGGAAGCGACCAGGCTAGCGAAAAGAGCAATGGTGTCACTGAAAAGAGCAACTGGGCTGAAGAGGTCGAAGAGGCTGTCGATCGCACTTGTCTCCGCCTTGAGCAGCTAGCTGATGACGAATGGAAGAAGGACAGCAGTAAGACCTTCGCCGAATACTATGTCGCTCGCCTCGAGCGCCTGCTCGGCAGCAACAAGCGGATCGTTCCTGTCAGCATCAGGAAGAGCCAGGATGCAAGTGAGTAGGTCGTCGGAAAGTTTCAGCTTACGACATCTCACGAGTAGGAAGATGGCTCATAAAAGGTGACGGCGTTCACGGTATGGGTAATGCTTTAGATGGCTTTCACGGTCTTAACGGTTCAGTATCTTGTCAACGGCGACCATGGTTCTTTATACCCATCACTTCCTTCGTTCATGACTTACGAGTTTACGATGATGGTTTCTTCGATAGCAGGTTCAATAGTGGGGCCTGACATAGCAGTAATGATAATGTATTTTCCTTTTATGACGTGGTTGACCCTGCTGCGTGTGCGTCACAGAACCTACGCAAAACGGGAATACGAACCATTTCTCATACCAAGTCCCTGCAAAATTGCAACAACAGCCAGTGTAATGGCTGTAGGTTTATCATTGCTCTTCCAGTAAGCCGCACCAGCAGCAGCTAGCATACCTGTCAAGATGCCTGCGATGCTCTTGTCGTATACATCGTAGATACCAGTAACCGACCATTTGTAATTGAGTATACCTATAGAGGCTTTTATTAAACGAGGAAGCGTAACAGAACGCCAAAAATGGACTTACTCATCATCAGGAAGAAACCGCTACCTTCGTACCAACCGATCTTACTGGCACCACGGAGCATGACCGGGAGGGTATTCATCGTGGGATGTTTGAACTGATCGAGACCTTTCATCTACAGTCAATGTTAGTATACTGTTATTCATAGGGAGCTCTGCGCCTACTGTATGGCCAATTGCCAAGATGGCGTAGGCAGCCGAGGAAGCCTGCAAGAGAGGGTGTGATTGGGAGGTTGCCGACGCCATTGTGTTAATCGCTATACTTGAACGACCAATCTATACGATGTCTGTAGTGGCGAATTGGAAACGAGCACTGGGGATAAGGAAGGAGGAATCTCTATGTTGTTGTTGTTACAGGGACGCACATGTCACGATCGCGTCGTTGTGATGCTCAGGCTGGTTACCAGCCGAGGTCAGTATGAATTAGGACGGTCTTCCCCACTTTTTGCGGGTCCGCCCAAAGCTACTCTTTGATTGTGTACCATACGCGCATATCCAGCCTCAGGCATACTTGTCTCTCCATGTAGTCTCATAGCATGCGGTTCCTGAAGCCGTGGAAAAGGTCTGTGGCCTGAAGTTGACAAGAGCGGCCGACCACTGATGATGGTCAATGAGATTAATACTTTGCACACTTGAAATTCTCAAAAGAGCCCCTTCATTCAAAACCGCCGTCGCAATTATGGTTCGTCGTACACTGTCACAACAATCCACAAAGGAACTCCCTTCACATCACCACACAAACGGCACCTTCCCACCTACTTGGCCTGTCCCCCTTCCTGATCACAATTTGCCTATTTGTGCCGTGTACGCCCCTCTTCTTCATCAGCTTCTCTCTTTCTTGCGGTGCTGGTCCTCCATGTTGGGGACACTTGTAATCGATCCATATGGTTCTGGTGGTTGATACGGTACAGCTCTCGTGACTCTCTTTAGCCTTTTGGCATTGTTGAAAATCTGCGGCGACGCAGAGGTCGTAGCCTTTGCGTTTGCAAGGGAGGTAACGGATTTTGTAAGTTGTGCACATCGTTTATCGTAGCTGGGTTTCGTGCTGATGTATTAATGTACAGAGTTGATACAGGTAGTCAGAAGAGTAGAGCTTGGATGTAGACGGATGACAGTGTAGAGTGGTCATGACATGCGATTCTTGTGAAGAGGGCGTCGTCGGAGACAAGTGAATGCGTGGGCATACGTGTACGTACGTATAGACGCATCACCTGAATGGAAATAAGAAGAAGTCTCCACTAATTCATATGATATATGTATTCCCTAACTCAGCCACCATAAGGGGAGAGAGAAGATTTGTTGACACCACCAAATGCTGAACCATATAACCATACCCTGATGCCAATCTTAATATTATACAGAAACACCCTGCCGGCTAGGGTCCGAAATGAAGACATCGCTTGAGATATAAAGGAAGCGGTATAGTACAAAATTGTCTAATCCAGAACGCCCAAGTTGGTGTATGTGTGCCTCATCTCTCTTCGTATTCTCTTAGCTGGACGTGAATATCCAGAATCCCATGCTTGAAATGCATGATGTCACGCCACATCCAAGTCGACCTTATATCCCTTAGAAGAGTAACGCTCACGAGGGTCTAAGCTTCAATGATACTAAGCAAAGAGTCAAAAACGTCGTCTTCTTCGCTCTCTTCAACTACCTGACGTTGCGCATATGCATGTGCTTCAGCATCACTATCCTCGCCTAGTTGGCGTTGTGCAAACGCACGCAGTTCCGCGTCACTATCCTCTCCGTCGTCGCTTGAGAAACTTTTGATGCTTTCGTCTGCAGAACTTGCACTCATTTCAAAATCTGGCGCCGAGGCGCTATCATTGTCGCCGTCAGTGACACCGGGCCAGCTTTGCTCACCGTCATCGTTGTCGTCATCGGGTTCAGTATCGCCGCCGTTGTTGTAAGCATTGAAGCCAGGGCCGCCCACAAAAGGCCCCGAGTGCGGCGTTGCGTATGCGAAAGGCGTTGACTTTCCTGCAACGGCAGCAGAGCGCTGACTTGGTCTGCTCATGACATCTGAGTTGGATCGCGGTAGGGCAGGCTGTGATGAGTAGAATGGTGAGGGTGGTTCTCGCGAGTGACGAGGAGTCGCATTCCATATTGGAACCTGCGCAGTCTCAGGCCGTGGGGAGGAGGAATTCGCAACACGGCGTCGCTTCAATCTCGTCATTGAAAGGCTAGGTGCATGTGAAATTGGCTGTGGGGCGGAAAATTGTTCTGTGGTAGAAGCGTGGAGGCGGCGCTTTGACAAGCGGGATGGGTGGGTGTCGATGACTGAAGCAGAGACTGTGCGATTGCGATAGTATTGCGGGCGTTGTGGGTGGTTCTCGCTCAATGGAGAAATGGGCTGGGGTTGCTTATTTTTCAGAATCGAATTGGGGGTAATCGATCTCCGCCAATTTCGCCCAGCAGGACGCATCGATAGCTGAACTGACTGGTTGCTTCCAAAAGAGGAATGCACACTGGCAGGCGGCGCATCATATGTCTCAACAAACTGCCAGCATGCTTCTTTTGCATCAGCCTCTGGAACATGAGGCTGGCCATGTTCATCGATGCCTTCCATCTGTGAGTCTTTGTCAGGTTGACAGCGAGGTAACTGTCGCAGTTCCGGCCATGACTGTTCCATGACGACAAATTCGTTGCGGTCGACTTGCTGTGTATAAGCTTCGCGGACCGTCACGTATAACCTTTTCTTTCCGCCAGAGACTCTCATCATGACGCCCGCAGAAAGGAATTGGGCATTCCAGAGCGCGCTACTGGACATTTCAGCAGGCGTAAGAAATCGTAGCCGCGACTCTTTAATTACTTTTCGTAAAGGTATGTACGGCGCCCGAAGACCAGGGTATGCAGCAATCATAGGATTTTCGTCGCTGTCATCGTACTGCAGATAGTCGAACACGTCGGAAAAGGCGTGTGACAGAGCTTCTTGGATATCTTTGGCACTAGAGCCTCTGAATGTGACATCTCGCACGAAACCCCTGCTTTGGAGTCGCTTGTAGACTAGGTTATTGCTTCCACAGGCTTTCGGGAATAGCCAGTCGTCCGTAGACCCTGAAGCCCAATTACTAATGTCTTGGCTACTCCATCCGTTCTCAGTCTGACTTGGCACGGAGTCTTTATTTGAGTTTCGGGTTACAGGATAGGGGCTAGAATCTGTGTCTCGTCCGAGAAATGGTATGGTGATAGCCTTTGATGTCCGGGCTTGAGTCCACTCTTCGGAATTCTGTGTTGTTTTGGTTACATCATGCATTGGTTCTTCAGGCGAGAACCAGATGCCTTTCAGGTCAGGGCCCCATGGTAACAGGACGACTTCCACCTCCCAAGGTTGCAGCGATGTGGGTGGCGCTGCAGCTTCCAACACATTCAATCTGTCTTTGATGTTGTCAAGTTCCATCTCAGTATCCTTGCGATCCATGGCTGCGAGAACAAGAGCTGAAGAAGTAGTCGAGTCTACGGAGCCGAACGACGTCGTAACATTATCTACGCGCCTTCTGCCAAAAGAGCTGTTGCTAGATTGGTCATCCATGGCCTGATGCATCCGTTCATGTTCGTCCAAACGATGCTCCACATCAATGAGCCTACCCTCATACATCTCCAAGGTCTGATTCAGATCTTCGGGCTGAACATAATTGAAGGACCCATTCTCCAGCAAATCCAGGCGGCTGCCAAGTTCCTGCATAGTGCTAGCTACGTTAGGTATGGAGTTTAACAGGTTGTGAAGAGGAGCAAGGTAGGAGACGAGCTTCTGGAGGCCTTGTGCAGGAGCCGATTGGAGGAGGGTTTGCAGCTGTTCCTGTGGCGCTGCAGGAGTGTTCTTTGGCAAGAGCTGAGTGGGAACCGTGGCATATGTCTGTCCTTCTGATGAGCCAGCGGATTGCTGTTGGATCTCCGAAGTTATCCGCTTCATTGCTTCAATCATATCTTTCCCATCCTGTACGGCCCGATCCGCAGCACTCAGATCTGGTGTATTCCCAACACTTGGAGTAGCCACCTCGGTAGCGCTCTGTATGTAGTCGTCGGGATTGTAGGTATTCGGTATGGTGTCGCCGGGCTCGTCAGGCTGGAAGTTGCGGTTGAACTCGAAGACTTGCTCAAGAATGCCGCGCGATGGACTGACGATGTTCGCTTCGTTTTGGACCGTGTGAGCCCTGTCTGGGGAGTTACTCGGCTCGTTGGAGGGCTTTCGCGGGGTATGAAGAATGTTGATATCGTCGGGTATTGTCGGTGTGGGCGACTGCTGACGATTAATCCGATCCATGCTCTGCAGGTTCATCATTGAAAGACCAAGACCCGCCACCGTTTGACGCGACTGATTTACGCCATTCCTAGCTTCGTTGTTAGCCACTGGGCGCCGTTCATGAGATAGCAAGCAGACTGAAGGAATTCCAGGAAGGCCGCTCGTGCTGGTTTGTGAAGGAGTGTCCTGACTTTGTAGCAAGCGACTGAATGAGTTGGTGTGAGTAGACTGTTGCAAGAGTCGCTGACTGTGACTAGGCAGCTGGTGCATGCGCTCATTGTATTTGGCCTGGCCCCCTTCGGACAGAAGGTTGTCTTCCAATTGTCGCTCTTCACCTCTCACATGAAGCGATTGAAACGGCGCATTTGTCAAAGGCGCAGATTTTTCTGGCGCACGCGATGCCCTCAAATGGAAGCAGGCATGGTGCCCACAAACACACCACGTTGAGCGCTCACTGCTAGGCCTGTGCTCGGCGCTCTCATCGTGCAGCTCAGCACTGAGCTTGTCCCAGAATTGATCACATCCACACTGTCCTACATTCGCGTCGCGATAGTTGCATGGCCCGTCTGGAAGCGATCGTCTCGAAGGTGTTGGTGGAGGTAAGGGTGTATAATTGCTTTGTCGCGTGATGTTTGGATTTGGGTCCACGAAACCCGCCATTGGTGTTGATGGCTGAGCATCCCGCAGAGGACGCGAAAAGTCTAAGAGTGAGACATGTCGCTGTTCCCGTCGAGGCTTCCCTCCCGTTAGCACGATTTCAGGAAAAGATGTTGGTGGGGCCGAGCGCGTACCGAAGATTCTGCGAGCACTTTGCGAAAACCGGCTCGTCACCGCGGGGGGATGCAAACGGTCTTTATACACAGGCAAGGCGGAGATTGAAGGACGCGCGACTGACGCGACAGAACTGGTGGGCATGCAGAGGGGAAAGAGGCCGTGGATACTTTTGGGCCGTGACTCTTTAGCACGCATGCATGCAACCAGCAACGGCTTAGTGACGGGCACCTGTAACACTTCCCCGGAGTCTGGGTACGCGCGGGATGGGCTATCGATACAAAATCGACGACATGATAGGTTGAGGCGCCGCATTCCTCCGGCTACCCTGTCTAGCTGACGGCCGGCCGAACACCCTGGCCGTTGGCTACCCATCCATCGAATCCAGCGAGGCTATAAACGCCATGCGCGGCTTGCGAAGAGTAAAAAGTAAACCCTCCATAGCAACCCTGATACATCTGCGAAAAAGCGATTTCTTCGCAGCCTCTCCAGCCTTACATGCTGCTTCCTCATTTGTCAAGGCAGCAATGACCCTATACTTGGCGTCTTTCCAATCCACATGGCATGCTGCTCATTGGTCAATACTCCAAGAGGACCGTCGCGCATCTGCATTGCATCTGCACGTCCAGCAGGCCCGACCATGATAGCTGCGTATGGCGACAAGTTTGGACCCAGACATCAGCCTCGGTTTCCGACAAATCTGTCCAAGGCAGAAACTATATGTGACTAGTTGTCGTCAGCGCTGCGTTTACCATGCATCTGACAGGGTCTCGAACGGGAAGGCGGGCGCTAGTTGAGGAAGTGATACATCATTCTGCGATACAAGAATCTGCCGGAGCTCGTCCCATCTCATGATGAGTAGGGCGCATCTCGCGTCTTGTGACCCAGATCTTCTCTGTGCTGCATACATGATGCGTACCCACACACACCATTGCCCTACAGGCCGCGAAGCACTTACGTATTACACCAAGGATTCTTGTCGCGTGCACCTTTTGGTATTGTTATGGATGCCGGAACGAATATTCTGCCACCATGTACCAATCTACCGGCCGGCGTTCTAGGGTTATAACTTTCACATTAAGCATTACCCAAGTATACATGAATTGCTAACCATTGTACGTTAAAAAGTCTCCAGCTTGTGTAAGAAACCAAACAACACCGTCTGTCATTCAAGCTTCCTCTTCAAACTCCAACGAGCCCATCATCCCATCATCCCGTTGTCAACCTGGAAACCCCTCGGAACGATACCTCCCGTCGTGATCAGCGAATCGTCCGCCACCAAGAAACAGTACACCGTGTATGGCGGAATCCTCATCACAACCCCCTTCTTCATCTTTAGTTCCGTGGGCTGGAAGTCCTTCATATCCATCTTTTCAGGTTCATAACGAAGCTGCCAGCGTTCCGCCTCAGACAACGGCCTTCCGTTTAGCTGAACCGTTGGCTCGCCCTCCTCCGCGAGAAAGTAACACTCGTTAGTGGTGAAGCGAGCGGCTGACACAAACTGGGATTGGAAGAGAATCCGATGGGCAAGCCAGAATGGATCTTGTTCCATATAGTATTGGAGAGTAGGTAAGTTATTATGTGAATAGTTGATGTTCATGACAGTGGTTGGAATGACAGGGGCCGGGAGAAAAGGACAGCATATGAGGGGTTGATTATTGGATCGGAAATGGGCCCTGACTTGTCCTTTGGTCCATTGATAGGTCTGCGGTGCGGCAGATACTTCGACGTCGACTGCCTCGTTTGGGTTGCTCCAGGAGGTCAGAAGGTCAGCGATGAGTGTAGTTGCCATAGTAGGCGTTAGGCGTGTCGGAAGCAGTTGGATAAGACCTATTTGTGAGGTAAATGAGATGTCTTACGTGCAGAGAGTAACTGGGTGGTAGAGAAGTGGGAGGTAGGATGGTGTATTGAAGATACAAGCAGATGTATGGAAATCTTGTGGCTTGAGAACTCCAGGTGAAGGTGCGGGTGGAGGTAAGTGGCTCGCCAATATAAAACGATGTCCCAATACAGTTGAATCAAAGGATAAAGTAGCAGACGAACGATGTCTGTTCTCTCAGTGAATGCGATGTCTATTCTATAAACATGGGGAGATGCGCTTGCTTGATACCATCACCTGAGATGAGCTCTGGAGACAATCAATAGTACTTTGGCGCTCACAATGGCGCCCTCTTTCAATTTTGCAAATGGACATACCTACGATATCTTTAACAGTATTGAAGCTAGCCAATTCACATGATTCTAATCTAAGCAAGTCTCAAGCCGTTTTCCTCAGGCTTGAACCATTCCCGCAGAAGATCATCCAATATTTCGTTAGCACCCTTCTTCGCCTCTTGGCTACTCTTGCCTTGACACTCAATGTAAAGCTTGATCTTCGGTTCGGTTCCGCTTCCTCTGACTGTGAATACCGCCCCGTCATCTAGCTCACATGTTATCATCTGGCTAGTGACATCTACCGGCAGATCGGGCTTGTGGTCCTTGCTCTTTGAGTCATAGCCTAGGGTCAGATCTCGCCAACGCACAATCCTGCGGGACCCGATGGTGGTGGGGTGCGGGCTGCCCAGTGCACGGATGGCTGTGAACACGGACGTCGTCACGGATGGGGATGGTGATACGAGATAGGTGTTCGCGTCCTCAAAGTAGCCAAGGTACTCGTAGAGTTGCTGCAGTTTGGCATATGGAGTAAGACCTTGTGTGGCCCAATGCGACGCGGCAGTGAGGAATACTGCAGCTGCGCTGATAGAGTCCTTGTCATGTACGGTTTGTGGAATCATGTATCCCAAGGCTTCTTCGAACGCGTAGACGACATCGTAGCCTTCGCTATCGAGTTGTCGCGCGACGTTCCCAAGCCACTTGAATCCGGTTAGAGTCTCGGTAAACTTAAAGCCTTCCTTCTTCGCCAAAGCCGCGAGCATCCTGGAACTGACGGTGGAAGCCAGCATCGCAAGCTTCTCTCGTGGTTTTGTCTCCGGGTAGCGTTCGAAGAGATACGATCCGAGCAGCGCTCCAAGTTGGTTTCCGCTAAAGATGTGCCATCTGTCTCCTACCTTCTCTGCTGCCGCGAGTCGGTCTGCATCAGGATCGCTAGCGAGGATGAGGCGTGTGGATGACTTGTCGGCCGTTTCGATTGCCAGGTCAAGCGCACCCTTCTCTTCAGGGTTTGGAAACTTTACGGTGGGGAAGTCAGGGTCTGGTTTTGCTTGAGCTTCCACCACAGTCATTTGCGAGGCCACACCAAGTGTTTCTGCACATCGCTGCATGGCGGGAAGGCCAACACCATGCATAGGGGTATACACAAATCTGAGCTCTGGGTCCATCTTGACTTGGACATGCTCGGGCTGCGCAGCGCAAAGGATGGCTCTATGATAGTTGTCTTGTACCAGTCCTAGACTTCCCTCCACAAGGAGCGAAGAATCTACCAGCGTCGTATCCCAGGTGACAGGCTTCAGGTTTTCCATGATGGAATCAGCAATTCCACTATCGTGTGGAGGGATGATCTGGCAGCCATTTGACCAGTAGACCTTGTATCCATTGTCTTTGGCCGGGTTGTGACTGGCTGTTATCATAATTCCAGCAGCGGCTTCGAGTTCGCGAACGCCAAAGGGAACCATGGGCGTATGGCTGGGTTCCTCATACCACCACACTTTGATGCCTTTAGCAACAAAAGCGGCTGCGGTGAGCTTGGCAAACTTTTCTGAGTTGTGCCGCGCGTCTCTGCCAATTACCACACCCCTTCTCTTTACATTCTCTTCAGTTTTGAGCAAGTAGGCTGCAAGTCCTTGGGAAGCTTGTATCACCGTCAGAGAGTTCATGCAAGCGAATCCGCCCTGCATAGGCCCTCTGAGTCCAGCTGTCCCGAAAGCGATGCGATGTCGAAGTCGCTTCTCGAGCTCGTCGGTATCGCCATCAACTAGCAGCTTGTAGATTTCATCTGTAGTTGTTTTGTCTTGGTCGAGCTCCAGCCATTGCCTCGCCAATTCCTTGATGTCTTGAGTCATTGTCGAGCTTTTGATCTTCAGGATGAAGTCTGTGTTGAGCAAGTTGTTCGAAAGGGACTATGGAACGAACAGAAAGATCGGAAGTCGAGGGACGTTAGTCAGCATAGAATGGTCATGTAGTGGCAGACGCAGCAGAGTGAAGGAGTGTCGGAGTTTGCCGACAGAAAGCGGCCGACAGCAGGCTCAAGTGGGCACCTGCCAGATTTATGCTTTCCAAGACATTGGGATTTCTCTAGCCTCACGTGTGGAACTCGGTGAGCTTCTGCTTAGGCATACGGAGCCCTCACGCCATGACATGTTCTTGCGATGGCATGTGATGCCGCTTCTGGGTGCGGCTCTGGGGGCGTGGCGAGGGCAACGTGGGGGCGTTGGCGTGCAGGGCCCAGGCAAGCTTCGGAAGTTTATCAGCTCATCCTCTCCTGTTCCACTGGCTGGCTCCGGCGCAACTCACCGCGAGACTAGTTGCTTCTGAGACACCGCAAAGTTATGGTCTGGCCGCGTCTGTCTTGAAATTCCTTTGTCAATTGAAGCCACAGCTGGACACCCGTCTGTATACCCTTCGCGTACCACACCGCATCGCATCATGGCCGCCCGGGCAGACAGGAAGTCCAAGGTCTTTAGTCGGCAAGAGATCGAAGCTCAGATTGCCAATGGCCGCTCCATTGTCATCGTAGACAACAAGGTCTTGAAGGTGGATGCATGGCTACCCTACCACCCTGGCGGTGATAAAGCCATTCGGCACATGGTGGGACGCGATGCAACAGACGAGGTCACTCGGTATGCCCGTTTCAACTATCCAACAAGGCTATCTGCTGACCTGTACTCAGTTTCCACTCTACACAAACGCTCGAGCTCATGAACCGCTACCAAATCGGCCGCATCGAAGGACGATGGACCAACTTCCTACCACCGATGCAAGGAGGAAAGTTCAGGACACAGGAAGAGCTGGACAAGCTTTCTGAGGAAGAATACATGGAATCATGTTCGGTTTCAGAGCAGGAGACTGCAAGCTCAGCTTCTTCTGCCAACAGCAGCCCTCTCTTTGAACCGGTGGACCGGTCTTCCGCCTCGATTCGCAAGCGCAACGGAGCCGATATTGGTGGAGCTTCCTCGAGCTCTAGTGTCTCATCGGTCGAACTAGAAGATGTCGTCGCTCCGAAGATGTCAGTACTTGATAGACGGACTCAGGAAGAGCTCAACTTCGACAAGGCCAAATACCCGTCTCTAGATCCAGCCACTCAAGATCACATCACACAAAAGTATCGCGAGCTACAAGAGCGTATCAAGCAAGCAGGCCTCTACGATTGCAATTATACTGCCTACGGTATCGAATGCCTACGTTATGGGTCCTTCTTAGCCGGATTCCTGTTCTTGTTATCATCTGGTTGGTATATTACTAGTGCCATCCCGCTTGCATGCTTTTGGCACCAGCTCACATTCACGGTCCATGATGCCGGACACATGGGCATCACCCACGATTTTACGACCGATTCCACCATCGCAATGTTCATTGCCTCGTACGTAGGCGGGTTGAGCGCTTGCTGGTGGAAATACAACCATAACGTGCACCATCTTGTTACGAACCACCCCGAACATGATCCCGATATTCAATACATTCCCTTCTTCTCTATCACGCATCGATTCATGGAGAGTCTCACCACGACCTTTTACGAGTGGGTCATGGAATACGATGCCTTCGCAAAGTTCATGATCCGGATTCAACACTACACCTACTACCCGATTATGCTGTTCGCACGCTTCAATCTGTATAGATTGTCTTGGATGTATCTGCTCCTTGGAAAGGGCCCCAAGAAAGGGCCTGCATGGTGGCACCGATACTTTGAGTTGATAGGCATGGCAGTTTTTTGGACCTGGTTCGGCTACGGGGTGGTATACAAGTCCATACCTGACAACTGGAGTCGGTTCTGGTTTGTTATGATTGCCCACGCACTTACGTCTCCGCTCCATGTGCAAATCACGTTGTCTCATTTCGCTATGAGTACAGCGGATCTGGGTATCCACGAGTCGTTTGCTCAGAAGATGCTCCGCACAACGATGGATGTTGACTGTCCTCAGTGGTTGGATTTCTTCCACGGTGGCCTTCAGTTCCAGGCCATCCACCATCTGTACCCACGAATCCCCCGTCATAACCTAAGACAAACCCAGAAATTGGTTCAGGAGTTCTGTAACGAGGTCGACATACCGTATGCGCTATATGGTTTCCTCGATGGCAACAAGCTGGTCGTTGGGCGACTTGCTGATGTAGCAAGGCAGGCTGCCATCTTTGCTGAATGCCAGAGGACGATTGCTGCGGAAGGAGATTACGGAATGCACTGAAAGATATACTATAGATATTTTAGAGCAAAGAGATACGTTATCTATCCACTTGATCTACGGTTTGTTGTAGCAATGATTGGGGTTGAAGCATTACCTTAGGCCACGAGTCTGCCCAGGCTGTACAAAGATGCTTTAGTCGCAAACTTGCGATTGATGCCTGCGTAGATCATTGTCCGCTCGGATAAGGGTTCCGACACCGAAACCAGGGTTGGGTGGGAAGTGGAGGCTTGCTTGTCCGCCGCGTTCCGCTGTTGAGAGCATGCTGAAGGTATACTCAGGACTGGCGCATCAACCTTGCCACGCCAACTCGAGCACAATTCTTATTTCACCAGCGGGAAGAAAGACATCCGGTACCCAGGTACTCTTCGTTGCCGACTCAGTCAGCTCAGACATATATCACGCCATGTATGGCAGATGGCGAGGATTGACAGGAACGCGTCGCCACTAGCGTGACTGTTGGTTGACCCCACCTCGGTCCATCAGGCCATGACGCAACCAACAAACAGTCCCAAAAGGAATTTGTAGCTATGATGGTATCGCGCTGCAGTAGCATGATTACGTGCAGAGCACCAATGACAGAGCTCAATGGATCAGGAGAGCGTCTCCGGCTCTGCCGCTGACCAGCTTCCAAGCTTGCAACCGCGACTACTGCCGCGCGACTGCTTAAAGGTCCTCTACCTCTTCTCTCCAACATTATCTGAAACCCTTACTCCTCAATCTCTACACGTATTTTCTGCTTGCAATTGCTGTGTGGAGCCTCTATATCCCACGCAATTCAGCCACCTCTCCCAGATCTAGCGGCACTCGAGACCTTACCTGAACGGAAGAAAGGTCGGACCTTTCAGACAACCTGTGATCATGGACGCCATGGTAGCGAAAGCTCCAGTAGACCCAGAGACAGTAGTTGAAGATGTCGAGCACCTCAGCATCTCCTCATACGGGCCCGCAAGATCATCAGTCACCGAACATCCCCTCAGCGAGGATGAGGTGCGGAAGATGACCGATTATTTCCATGCTTCTCTGTACATGTGCTTGGGCATGATTTATCTTCGGAGGAACCCTCTTCTCCGCGATCCACTCACTCTGGACCATCTCAAGCGACGCCTTTTGGGACATTGGGGATCGGATGCTGGACAGAGCTTCACATGGATTCACATGGTATGAACAATTATATGCGGTTCTTGAATCGTAACAAGCTAACTTTATAACTTTGTAGAACCGTCTCATCAAGAAGTACGATTTGGACGCTATCTTCATATCTGGCCCTGGCCATGGCGCGCCCGCTGTTCTCTCAAACAGTTTCCTCGAGGGAGTCTACTCTGAGGTCTATCCCGACAAGAGCGAAGATGAGGAGGGTATGAGGCGCTTTTTCAAATCTTTCTCGTTCCCCGGCGGAATTGGATCTCATGCCACACCCGAGACACCTGGTAGCTTGCACGAGGGTGGTGAGCTGGGTTACTCTATCTCTCACGCTTTCGGAACGGTCTTTGATCACCCAGATCTCATCGCTCTGACTATGGTTGGAGACGGTGAGTCTGAGACTGGTCCTCTTGCTACGAGCTGGCATTCAACCAAATTCCTGAACCCGATCACGGATGGCGCGGTCTTGCCAGTGTTACATCTGAATGGCTACAAGGTATGGCGCTTAACATTGTCGAAGGATTTGGCTAATACTGCATAGATCAACAACCCCACGGTTCTCGCTCGCGTAAGCCGCAAGGAGCTCGAAGCGCTCTTCGTTGGTTACGGATGGACACCCTATTTCGTCGAGGGCAGCGATATCCCATCGATGCACCAGGCTATGGCCGCTACGATGGAACGATGCGTCACAAAGATCCGCGAATATCAGAAAGAGGCTAGAGACTCGGGCAAGGCTTTCAGGCCGCGTTGGCCCATGATCGTGCTTCGTACACCCAAGGGCTGGACAGCACCCAGGAAGCTCGATGGAGACCACTTCTTGGAAGGTTTCTGGCGTGCGCATCAAGTCCCTCTTACGAATGTTCTCAAGGACAAGTCTCAGCTCAAAATATTGGAAGAGTGGATGCGCTCGTACGAGCCTGAGAAGCATTTCGACAAGAACGGCAAGCTTGTTCCTGAACTTAGAGAGTTGGCCCCCACTGGCAACAGGAGGATGAGCGCCAACCCTGTCACAAACGGTGGTCTTATCCGCCACAAGCTTCACGTACCCGACTTCCGTGACTACTCTGTCGAGGTGACCAAGGGCGGTGTCGCCAAGGTCGGTAGTATGGCCAACTGCGCGGCCTTCTTGCGCGACATCATCAAAGAGAACCAGAAAGACTTCCGTCTATTTGGCCCTGACGAGACTGAATCCAACAAGCTCGGCAAGGTTTACGAGGCAGGCAAAAAGGTTTGGATGGGCGAGTACTTTGAGGAGGACGAGGATGGTGGTAACTTAGCTTACGAAGGGCGCGTTATGGAGATGCTGTCTGAGCACACTGTAGAGGTAAGATACAAAACCCTCTTTATAACGCAGTAATACTAACTTTGCTCAGGGCTGGTTGGAGGGTTACATCCTCTCTGGACGACACGGTCTGCTCAACAGCTACGAGCCTTTCATCCACATCATTGACTCCATGGTCAACCAGCACTGTAAATGGATTGAGAAGTGCCTCGAAGTCGAGTGGAGACAGAAGATTGCTTCGCTCAACATTCTGCTGTAAGTGTCTCTGTACGAAACGCACATGAGACCTAGGCTGACTTCGTACACCCACATTTAGTACTGCGACTGTTTGGCGACAAGATCACAACGGATTCACTCACCAGGACCCTGGATTCCTCGACGTAGTGGCGAACAAGAGTCCTGAAGTTGTCCGTATCTACCTCCCGCCAGACGCTAACTGCCTACTTTCAACGATGAATCACTGCCTTCGTAGCGAGAACTACGTCAACGTCATCGTTGCCGACAAGCAAGAGCATCTCCAGTATCTCACCATGGAGCAAGCCATCGCCCATTGCACAAAGGGCGTTGGTATCTGGGAATGGGCGAGTAATGACAAGGATCAAGAGCCTGACATTGTCATGGCATCCTGTGGTGATGTTTCCACACACGAATCCCTCGCCGCGACAGCATTACTACGCATACATCTACCTGATCTCAAGATTCGCTTCGTAAACGTTGTCGATCTCTTCAAGCTCATCGACGAGGAGCAGCACCCTCACGGTCTCAAGGCACACGAGTACAAGGCCATCTTTACCGATGACGTACCATGTATCTTCAACTTCCACTCCTACCCCTGGCTGATCCACCGCTTGACATATGGGCGCAAGGGCCAGCAGAACCTGATCGTCCGCGGATACAGGGAGAAGGGCAACATTGACACTCCTCTCGAGCTGGCTATCAGGAATGGTACTGACCGCTACAGCTTGGCGATTGACGCACTTGACAACATCCCCAGCTTGGGTAACAAGGGTGCGGCAACGAGGGAGAAGTTATTGGATGAGCAGATCAAGGCCAAGAACTATGCGTACCACGAGGGCATGGACCCCAAGGAGACTGAGGATTGGGTTTGGCCGTTTTAGTCGCTTCCCTAATGGGTGGTTGAGGTTGATTGAACGAGCGCGGTTACTTTCTTCTGGGTTGAGATTGAGGCTACGATCCTGTATGATAATGATATCTTGAACGATTTGCTATTATCCCTTCACCTCTATGATACCCTGAGTGAATAACACATCTTCGACGGAAACGCCGGCGATGAAGAGTCGGAATTCAAAGAACCAAACTATGCAAGGCAGTCTTTGCTACCAAACCCAGAACGCCATTTCTATGCAATGCAAACATGCGCTCACGACAGGCGCGCTGCCAAAAACGCCGTGAACACCATGCTTGGTAAGAACGAACAGCAAAAAGGGAGCCTAAGCTCAGAAATCGTACCTAGCATCAAGGCTCAACCCCATCCTCATGTTATCCACCGTCTTGCCTCCAACACCTTTAAGCATAGCCAGCGATTCCAGATCCATGATTTCCGCATCGTCCATTTCGACCAGGCAGTTTACGATGTTATCCGCTTTCTTTGCACCCACACCCTTTAGCGCTTTGATCTGGTTGACGTCTCGTGAGTTGATGATCTTAAGAAGGTGCGAAGTGCGAGGTGTTTGTTGAGCGGCGGAATGGACAGGTAAATCAATGGTAGCAGTAGCAGCGGCGTCGTCACGGAATATGGGCAGTTTCTTGGTAGTCTTTTTTGGCTTGCGGGTGACTTTGGGTTTGCTGGTGTGTTGAAAGCTAGTGTCGGAGGCGTAGGATTCTTCGTGGTCAGAGGGCGGCGGGGGAGCAAATTCATCGTCATCTTCGGACTCATCTCTGTAGACTATTCTAGGCTTTGGGGTTTTCTTTTCAGCTTTCAGGGGGGCCATGAGAACGTTTGTGATGGGGGCTGCAGTGTGCGACGGGAGTTCAACGGGAGCAGAGACATGCTTGATGCTTTCCTCCCGTTTGGCGCGTATTCGGTCTTCGAGTGTTTTCATCTTGGACTCCAGCTTTGCGTTGCCAGGGAAAAATGGCTGTGCCAGTTGGTACATTCTCAGTGCACTGGTATCTTCTCCACGCATGTGGTGCTGCTTGGCCATTAGCAGGAACTGCAAGCCCTGCGACTTTCCATCCTCTTCGTGTGCATCGATGCGGTGCTCGAGCTCATCCAAACGCTTCTGCAGCTCTGCAGAAAGCGCTGGCGCAGCTGCGCCAGCATCTTGCAATGCCTTGGCTGCTAGAGCCTCGTCTACCTTTTGTGCGATGAGAGCTTCAATCGAGGCTTTTGTCAGGGCAGGCTCTTTACTCGGTATCCGTGAGGTGTTATCCCCAGTTCGGAATGCCTTTGTCGGTCGGGTCGCAAAGGTGGTGCTAGGTTCAGCTGCTCGCTTGGAACCCTCTGTTCTCCGTACTCCTTGGTTCTGTGCAAGGTTAGTCACACGAGGAGCAGCTTTGTGAGAATCAGAGTATACAGAGAAGGCCTTGATAGGCTTTTCCCCTTTCTTCTGCTTCTCTGCCTCTGGGATGTTCGCATTGGCTTTGGCCGCAAGCGATCTGAGCGGTTGCCGTGCCATGGTTGCTCCACCAAGGCTCGTGGTCGTCGCCAATGGCTTAACGGCCGTCTTGTACATTGGGTCGTTTTCCACCTCTGCGACCTCGATCTTCTTGGTTCGGCTAGCGAAGTTTAGAGAACTGATTGTGTCGAGATGGTATGCGCGGGTTGGGGCAAGGTTCAGAATCATGACAGTCAAGCCCTTATTCTGACCTAGGGACAAGATTCGCGTCATCTTGGACTCGCGGTATGGAATCCGGCTGGCTTTCTTGTTCATGGCTTCGACGCATTGTGCGAGCACGAACAGCGACTTGTTGATGGCCGAGCTCTCGACGAGGCGCTCTTTGTTGTTTTCGGTTCGTCTGTTGTCTTCGGATCCTGCAAGATCAATGCAAGATACTCGGCTGACGCGAACACTTTCTTCGGTGGTTTGCGTGATCTTTACGCAGAGGACGGCATGCGAGCGGGAGGAGTGTGCGTTGAGCTGCAGTATCGTTAGGACTGTTTTATCTCAGACGCGTGTAGACTCTAACCTTGGTAGCAGAGGTGGACCTGTTCATGTTGGCTTGATCGTAAAGCTGCTCAAACTCCTTCAATGTTGTGCATGGCTTCTCGGTAAGACCAACGACGACAGTCTTGCCGTGGTTGTCTCTGATGGGCAGACCAGACGGGGTGCGCTTCTCCGGGGGTTCGAACAGGTCGTAGACGCGATCGCAGTAGATCTCAAAGTACTCCAGAGCAACCTCGACTTGTGTGGCACCGGCCGTGTCTTTCTCGATCTTCTTGCATCGCCGGTATATTGAGCTCAGCAGCCTTGGGATGACACCGCGGTCCGCCAGCGACTTCCCTCCTCGCATCGTATGGGTCTTGCCGGTGCCGGTGCAGCCATGGGCAAAGATGGATAGATCAAAGCCATTGAAGAGATGCTTCACCGTCGGCGCGACTAGCCTCGAGTCAGCTTCCGTCCCGAAACGCGTCCCATCGCGAACTCACTCTCGGCGTCAAAAAGCTGCTGCTGTGTCGCGTCCTGCTCGTACACAGAGCTGAATTGGAAGCTGAAGGACTCGGCCTCGTTCTTGGGACTCGGTATCCGTACGACGGCCGGGGTAGTCTCGCCGTCCAATGTCTCTGCGGTGACAATGGTGTCTTTGTCGAGCTCCTGTTTCAGAAGAGGACGTATCCTCGCGACGACGCGTACGCTCATGGTGAAGGCCGAGGATGCAAGGCGGCACGATAAAAGAGAAACAAAAGTCTACGTCTACAGAGAAAAGAATGCTGGACCTACCGTACGTGACGTCGAAGCTCTGGCGATATTCTGCCAATGCAAAGGGCCTGGTCCTAGCGGAATGGCGGTCTGTGTTGTTCTTCCTTGTCGAAACTCGCCTGTTACCTGAGCAACCACCCACCGCCCAGACGAATGAACATCAGGCACGTGCAAACCCGCCAACACATCTCGATCCACTATGAAAATCGTCGATAGCTATACCTGCTACCTGCAGGCATCTAGCTGGCAGTCTATCGTGAATGTTGAGATGCCGTCTTGTGGAGAAATCCTGCAGGGTCCACGTCTCCAACGCATCGCAAAGCCGAGAGCCGGCAGTGTGTTGCGTGAACAAGCGGAAAGCGGCAGCACTCAACGGCTTCGGGTCGCGTAATCCAGCCTCATTCCGAAAGGCTATTTCTGGCATATGGGGACCTGGAGGCTCTGCACCGGAGGCAGAGTCGCTCGGCCAGGCGCTTGGAGGTCGTGGCTCCATCATGCCATGTCGCCGTCTCATTGGTCCACGGGTGAAACACCATGTCACGACTCCAGAGCACCACAGCCACTCCTCCACTCACCAGCGCTACTTTCCTCTGAGCCCCCCGTGACACATCCAAATCACAGGCCACTGCGACAATGCTGGGCCAGTACTACTCTTTGTTCCATTGTATACTCAAACCGTGCTCATGGCGGCTAATGCAGCTTCAAAACCCGCTGCCAGCCCGCTCAGCAGTGAGGCCCTCACCGTAGCCATCTGAACGTCTAGACTGTGGTTTGCTTGAGACGAACGATTCTCGTTCTTTTCCTTGTTCTTTTCCTTGCCGTCTGTTTCTCCTTGTCGATCGTTTCTCTTAATCGTTCACTATCTCAGTCTTGCCATTCAGCCCATCGTTTTTCTATCTTGACTACAAGCGCCGTCTTTCCTTCGTCCATCCACTCCTGATAAAGCGTCGTCTTGACGATGGCTATCTTCCCCACTGTTCTGCTGCTGGCAGCTTATTCAACATCAATAATCGCCGGGCCGGTCCCCAAGCATCAACGGAGGCAACTGTAAGAAGCTCACTCGAATATTGCGAGAATAGTCACTGACTTCGTACAGCTCCACGAGTTATGCTAACACTACCTCTGCCGCATTTTCAACATCAGCACAACGAATTGCGGAAGCAGAAACTGCTATTATAGTGGAGCCAATCCAGCAAACCATCGTGACTTCGATAGCACCAGCTATCACTTTCGTCCTCCCCGATGGAAAACCACTTGTAACACAAGATCCACAGACAGTCTTCTCTACCTCATATATCACGCCATCAGCTTTGCCAAGTACTGAGGAGAGTTCAAGCGCAGTAGCCACTACTTCAGTGACACAAAGTCCGGAACCTACGCCAACAGAGAGCGTCAGTGTGCCAATCTCGTCCGCCATCGAAACTGGAATTTTGTCGAGTTCAGTAGGGGCGGTCGATAACAAGACAGCTAGCGAGACAAGTCAGCAAATTCCCTTGTTCACTTACTCACCCATAGAGGAAGAGACGTCTACTTCGCTTGCTATTCCTCCTGCATCGGCGACAAGCGCGGTCCCAGCTTCCACCACTGGAGGCTTGTCTGGCTTCACCCATCCCGCGGCAGTACCTTCAAGTTTGCCTGTTGCCAATACCACTGCTAGTTCGGTGATTACAAGTGCTCTTTCCGTGATCGAGTCGGTTGTACAGGCGTCATCCTCCTCACCTCTGGTCAATTCAACTTCTCTGGCACTCCCACTTCCCATATCGTCCGGCTCGCCAACAGCTGCTGTACCTTCCGAGACTGCATCAGATGCTGTAGACGTAACATCGCGCATCGTCGTCACACAATACACCACCATTTATGCGACATCTCAGCCACCCCAAACACCTGCACAGGAGTCAGCTATGCCATCCGAAGCGCAAGAGTCCATTTCTTTGGCCTCTTCTCCATTATCATCAGAAGTGGCTGGTGCACCTACATCGTCTCCATCGAATGCTCCAGCTGAAGTATCTCCGTCAGCATCTCTTCAAGTACCGCCTGTAGTGGTTGTAACGTCATACACCACGGTCATGCCAACGCCAGCACCGCAACCTAGTCAGGCACCCGAGACGCCTGTCTCTTCCGCTATGCCAGAGCCGGTTCTTTCCAGTTCGATGGCCCCATCATCTTCAATCGCAAGTTCCTCTTCGAAGGTAGCGGAGCCAACGCCCACGGCGCCCACGCTATCATCTTCGATGTCCGAAATTCCTGCGCCTACACCTACACCGCCCGCGTTGGCATCCTCCATCACACCGACGACTTCAAGCGCCCCTGAAAGCTCGGCGCAACCAACCCCATCTTCTTCATCCGTGGTATCACTTCCAGAGGCTTCCTCGCAGCCCTCTCTCTCATCCTCTATCGCGCCACCTCCGGAGGTAACTGCATCGACATCCGGCGCCGTGCCAACACCGCCGGCACCTACAGATACGCCATCTTCTGCGTCGCCAGAGCCAGAGCCAGTGCCCTCATCGACAACATCGGAAGGCCCATTAATCATCACACCGATACCACCAAGTCAGGTGTTTACTGTGACTGTTACTGCGACGGCAACGGAAAAAGAGACAGTCAAGGAGACGACCACTGTAACCGTGACGGCTTGAGCGGCCAGCCAAGGGAGTGATGTTTAGCATGTTTTTCTGTATTTTGTCAAAATGATTGATTGCGCTGGTTTGCAAGGAAAAGAATGTAGTTTTAATTTGATACCCAAGATTCGGTAATGTCATCTGCTTTGTAAAGCAACTACGCTTAGATTCGCAAAGCTGTGCTCATAATTTCGTCGTAGATTTTTGAATACGAGAGAGTTTGATCTCTTATCGTGCTACAAGTCGTTATTCAATGTCGTGCTACTGTGGCTTGACATGACTCCCTAGTGAGATATGCGTTCCTACGAACCTTGAAACCAATTTCGGTATCCGTTCGAAGAGACGAATATACGCTCAATACCCACTTTGCTCCTTCCTCCCATCCCCTCCAGCTCCACCATCATCTCCATCATCCCTACTTGCTTTCGCTTCACCAGCAGCCTCCTGAATACCCTGCGCGTCACCTCTCAGCTTCTCAAAATACGCTTTGACATCTTCTGCGCCAACAGCTTGACCCGACTCAGCAAAAGGTTTCAAGAACGCCGAAACCTTGTCTTTTAGGTGCGCATATGCCATTGCACCCTGAATAGCACGTACACGGTCCATGTTGTTGAATGCTGCTTCGCCACGATCGAGAATACTGCCTGTGCCAACTGATTGTCCACCTTCCTCGCCCTCTTCGGATACGGGGGGCTCGTAGGTGTCTTCCTCTTCTAGGAGTTGAGGATGAGCTTTCAGTTGGGGATAGCAGGCGTCGCAGTGGCATAGATGATCGCGGAAGTCAGGCTTGAGGAAGAGAGAGAAGGGTGTTGTAAGAGCAGCTTCGGGCAAAAGAGGGAGGGAAGCGTGCTTGGGCGTTTCCGGCTTCTTTGGTGTTATGGGAAGTGTCTTGGTTTCTTCGGGAATGCTGGAGAGTGTGCCGCTTGGGTCTTCAGACTTTTGGCGCTTAGCCGGAGCGGGTGCTTGGAGATGCGTTGCTGTCTGTTCCTCTTCGTCTTCGCCGGAAGCTTTGCGTTTCTTAGAATCGCCGTTCATGTGCTCTGAAGTTGACACGGTGGACTTTTGTGCATGAGAAAGCGCGATAGTCTTGTCGTGAAAGACTGGTGGTAAGAATCCAGTTGAACCAGCGTACTGCTTGATCCAAGGGTTTGCCGCGACACACTTGTAGCAGATGAAGTGATCGAAGTCGTCCTCCTCAGGAAAACCTGGAGGTAGTGGTGGGTCATCGTCCTCTTGAGTACCAGCATCTCCTGCAATGTCGTTTCCGTCAACTCCATCATCACTTGCCACTGCAGCCGCAATATCCGTTGAATTCGGAGGCGCCTTTTCATCTGTGTGTTCGCTGTTCTTATTTCCATCTGTCGTAGGTTTGTCGGTCTCCATTGCGTCTTCAGGACCAGTCGTGTCGTCAATTTTCGGCTTCTCTATCATCTTGCTATACTCAGCCCGAGTGAAGCCTACCAGGCACTCAGGGTGCCACCAGTCTTCGCCACAGCCGCCCTCTTCGCAAGTTCCAAGCCCAAGGCACTGGAACATTGTTCCCTTCTCTTGATTGGGGTCATAGTCCTCGCCGCAGCCACAGAACTTATTTCTGAAGTTCTGGTTGTACTTGTTCGTCTTTGCTGGCTCCTCACCCGTCACGTCGCCTTTCCGTCCAGTCTTCGCGTTGATACGGAGCGTGCAAGGCGTCATGTCCGGTATTCTAGTAGTTCCGCAATCGCATATGAAGTCCCGCTTGTTGAACAGCTCAACAAGAGTATGTTCGCCATGGCACGAGATCGAACACGAGTAGCAGACGCCTGCTGGAGTATACTGCTGAGCGGACGATGCTGGTGCCGGGTTGCACGTAAGGCATGCGTAGAGGCTCTGGCGGAGAGGACCAAGATCGCGTGTGCAGGTGTCGAATTGCTACGTCTTGTGAGTCAACGTGCAATCGAGGCGGCATATGTACTGACGTATGGAAGAGCCTCGCGTGCTTCTGCCTCGAGGCTGAGTTGTTCTTTGATAAAGCTGTTGGTATACTGTTAGTTGTCACGTACAGAGCAGAGCTACGGGAGACACGTACTCGGCTGCTGTTTGCGAGCTTTCTGATGCTTGCGATATGCTGCTCGTGCGCGGCTTCGAGGACATGGCTGTTGACTGTGACTCGGCCATGTTTGCGATGCAGCGAGTGATAAACCTATCCGGAAAGAAGTATTATTTGGAGTCGAGGAACAGCCAACGAATTGTCAAAACACGAGATTCTGCGCCAAATTAAATCGGTTGTAGTGGTTACAGGCCGTAAACTCTGGTGAGCGGTGATAAAGGCGCTGGATGCGCGTGGCCGCTGATTGGCCACCGCGAAACCACTTTACGCGTGGAAAAGGAAAGCGCGACGCGGGCGTGTTGCTGGCCCTTACAACCCCTTCTCTCCCACCCTCAACCCCGCTCTGCAACTCCATATCACCCTGATCTGTCTCGGTAGTATATGGAAAGAGCCGTGCTTCCAAGTGACTATGAGGTAAGTGTCTCAGATTTCCACGATACTCGTAAGCCGAGCAACGACTCGAGCCCCTCTTTACCACCAACAAGATACTAACAAACATCAGTTCACCACCACTTCGCTCCAATATGTCGTCCGCAAACCGTGGACTAGGCCCCAGCAGCAGAAACAATAAACGCGCACGAGATGACGAAGATCTACCTTCTTCAGCGGCGCATCCGCCATCCAGCCGTGAGTGCGACGAAATATGCGACACAACAATGGCTAAACAAGCACAGCAATGGCCTCGTCTCCTCCCATGCTCCCCCAAGATGACGATGCAGACATGCTCGACGATGACGACATCATTCGCGATGTAGACGACCTCGACGAAGATGCAGAGGAGGCCGAAGGAATTGATCTGTTCGCAGACGATTTCGAAAACGACTACGCAGCCCGAGAAAACGATGCCTACGAAGGCCAGGGTATTGACGATGAGGGCGATTACGAAGAGCTCAGTCTTGCTCAGAGGCGGGAGCTTGATGCGCGACTCAATGCTCGTGATAGAGAGGCAAGACGCCGCATGCCCGCTGCTTTCCTTCCAGACGAAGACGAGCAGGATGGCCTGGCAGGTCTGATGGGAACGGGGCGCCGCCGCGTTCGGAGAAACCGCTACGATGAGGAAGACGATATGGACATGACTGACGATATCATGAACGAGGAGTTGACACTTGAGGCGCTTACCGATGTAAAAGCCAACACATTGACGGATTGGGTGGCCCAACCTCAAGTCGCCAGGACCATTGCCCGCGAGTTCAAGTCTTTCCTCACAGAATACACCGACGAGCAGGGTCATTCGGTATACGGAGCCCGCATTCGGACCTTGGGTGAGGTCAACGCAGAGTCTCTAGAGGTGTCATTCGACCACCTTGCCGAACAGAAGGCGACACTGGCATATTGGCTAGCCAACACCCCGACGGAGATGTTGAAGATCTTCGATCAGGTGGCTATGGAAGTTGCCCTCCTCCACTACCCGGATTACGAGCGCATCCATTCCGAGATTCACGTTCGTATCACGGACGTGCCTGTTCAGTATACTCTGCGCCAGCTCCGCCAATCACATCTTAACAGTCTGGTTCGTGTCAGTGGAGTTGTCACCCGCCGAAGCGGAGTTTTCCCTCAATTGAAGTACGTCAAGTTTGACTGTACCAAATGTGGCGTTACCCTGGGTCCCTTCCACCAGGATTCCAACGTTGAGGTGAAAATCTCCTTCTGCCAAAACTGCCAATCACGTGGTCCATTTACGGTCAATTCCGAGCGTACGGTCTACCGAAATTACCAGAAACTTACCCTGCAAGAGTCTCCAGGGACTGTGCCAGCGGGACGTTTGCCTCGTCACCGCGAGGTCATCCTTCTCTGGGATCTGATAGACTCCGCAAAGCCAGGTGAGGAGATCGAAGTCACCGGCATCTACCGTAACAACTACGATGCAGCCCTGAATAACAAAAACGGTTTCCCCGTCTTTGCGACGATTCTTGAGGCAAACTACGTAGTCAAATCGCATGACCAACTGGCCGGCTTCCGGTTGACCGAAGACGATGAGAAGGAGATTCGACGATTGTCCAAGGATCCTCGTATCGTGGACAAGGTCATCAACTCGATCGCTCCGAGTATTTACGGACATACTGATATCAAGACTGCCGTGGCACTCTCCCTCTTCGGAGGTGTCAGCAAAGAAGCTCCTGGTCGCCATTCTATTCGTGGCGACATCAACGTTCTGCTGCTTGGAGATCCTGGTACCGCCAAGTCTCAGATTCTCAAATATGTCGAGAAGACTGCCCATCGTGCTGTCTTCGCAACAGGTCAGGGTGCTTCCGCTGTTGGTCTCACCGCTTCCGTCCGTCGGGATCCCATGACGAGCGAGTGGACTCTCGAGGGTGGTGCGCTTGTACTTGCTGACAAAGGTACTTGCCTCATCGATGAGTTTGATAAGATGAACGACCAGGACCGAACATCCATCCACGAGGCCATGGAGCAACAGACTATCTCCATCTCTAAAGCTGGTATTGTCACAACCCTTCAAGCTCGCTGCTCGATTGTAGCAGCTGCCAACCCCATTGGTGGTCGATACAACTCTACGATTCCTTTCTCGCAAAATGTCGAGCTTACCGAACCTATTCTCTCTCGATTCGACATTCTATGTGTTGTACGCGATACTGTTGACCCAGCGGAGGATGAACGCCTAGCCAAGTTCGTTGTGAACTCTCACGGCCGTGCTCATCCTCTTGTTAACTCAGCGTACGGGTACTCTGACAAGTCGAAAGCGACGCAGAATGGCGACGACCAAATGGAAGTCGATGGTGACGCTCCGATAAAAGAGGGTGAAATCCCTCAAGACCTTTTGAGGAAGTACATTCTCTACGCAAGGGAGAAGTGCAGGCCCAAGCTATACCAGATTGAACAAGATAAGATTGCACGTCTATTCGCAGACATGCGCCGAGAGTCTATGGCAACTGGAGCCTATCCTATCACCGTAAGTACATAACTCGTTTTATCAAAGCACGTACTCACAATTACAGGTCCGTCATCTCGAAGCCATCCTACGTATTGCAGAGTCCTTCTGCAAGATGCGTCTCTCCGATTACGTTGCGTCAGTAGATATTGATCGCGCCATTGCTGTTGCTGTCGACTCTTTCGTTGGGTCGCAAAAGGTCAGCGCAAAGAAGGCATTGGCAAGGGCTTTCGCAAAGTACACTTTGAACCGACCTGGCGCTGTTGGAGCTCCGACCCGAGGAGGACGACAGGCGCAAAGAGCAGCGGCATAAACGGGGCTTCCTGTCGTCAGAGTTCCCTTGTGATGAAGCCTAGTAGATGTGTTGAAAGAAGGAGTTGGGTGGATGCGTCTTAATTGATGGCGTGTCAAAGTGCAATGATACCATGTTGGATAGCGTTGTCTTTCTACTCGAATTTTTCTACATAGTACTGTGAGCTAGGTGTTTGTATGGCCATTCTCAGCTAGAGAACATGTGAATCAAACATATGACTATCCTGCCTTCGCTATGGTGCAAGATGTTCATATACACTGTTGCGATGACCTGAGGCGAACACATTTTATTCCAACACATCTAACAAGTAATCTGCTAGTCACTACATCAACCGCCAAAATCGATCCGTGACATCACAAGTCATGAAGATGCTGTGTCCATTGTTCGCCCGCTGGAGTAGCGCTAATGGCTAGCGCGCCAAGATTTGCCCACACAATTTTCGCGCGACTGCCCCAATTCCTACGATCAACCAACAACGACCGGAGCTCAACAACCCTTAGGAATACCACATTCGACTTCCTACGAGCAACGATGGCCCCCAAGAAGAACAAGAGAACCGCCGACTCCATCAACTCGCGCCTTGCGCTTGTGATGAAGTCCGGTAAGGTCACCCTCGGCTACAAGTCCACCCTCAAGAGCCTGCGAACTGGCAAGGCCAAGCTCGTCATCATCGCCGGAAACACCCCTCCCCTGAGGAAGTCTGAGCTCGAGTGTAAGGAACACTGTCATCTGTTTTGTACGAGCTATCGCTAATTCCAGACAGACTACGCCATGTTGTCCAAGACCTCCGTCCACCACTTCTCCGGTAACAACGTACGTACACTCCCGTCCACTCTCATTGCCTAACGACAAGATACCTTGTACGCCATGGAGCTCGTTATTCCACGGATTCAGGATGTATCAGCATGTACACAGAACGTGACGACGACGAGCTCTTTGGTGCTGGGTATACTTCGAGGGCTGGCTCTGAGAAGAGGTCTGAACATGGCTTCGGAGAGCTATCAGCTAATACCAGTTTAGATTGAGTTGGGCACCGCTTGCGGTAAGCTCTTCCGCTGCTCCGTCATGTCCATCCTCGATGCCGGTATGTATCTCCTCTTCTGGTCACATCAAACACAGCCCGCTGACAAATTGACAGGTGACTCCGACATCTTGAGCCAGAACACCGAGAACTAGAGTGCCATGACAATGGAAAGGAAGCAGTTAGACATGATACCTAGGGCGTAGCGCAAGCTCGACCCATGATGATATCCAATGAATGCCACAAGATTCATGAGCCATAATGACTGTCCAAATCTGCACTTTGTGACGTGACTCTTCCAAGACAGGTTTCAACTCGGCCTTGCTAGTGCTTACGGACCGAGCTCTTGGGACCGTTATGCATCGACTCATCTGTGAAGAAGCCATGGATGCATCAAAATGCAGCGCAAATCTGGCGAGGGGACTGTAGCAGGTCTCAAGTACGACGCGTGCATTTTGCACTCCCGAAAGTGCACAATATGTTGAGTGTTGGTCACACTCATCCACGGATTGCGATTGCGACTGTGATTACGAAAAACATGTTTTGGTTCCATGTTGCACGTACCTTGTTGAAACATGCGCCGTATCGGCTATAGAGATCGCTGTACGCGTCCCCAGAATTGCACATTCGCAGCTCGGGCGGGCTGTGGCGTTGCTGTGCTTTGAAATCCGGCTGGGGGTGCTTGCCCACACAGGGTCCGTGCGTACGTCAATATTCCGCTTAGCAATCCATCACGACTTCCCTTTCGCCTTCGCCTCAAACACCTCCCACTAACACCAAGGTCATATATAGGGTAAGGTACGTACGGCCGCCGCATCGCTCACCGCCGGTAGACGTGTTACTGACAGTTGCACCAGTTTGCGCTCGCCCTCTCTTTCGACGACTCCGGACATCCGCTCATTGATTCACAGCAGGAACAACCGTCACAATGGCCCGCCGTCCCGCCCGTTGCTACCGCTACTGCAAGAACAAGCCCGTACGTCAGAATTCGAATAGGAGATGCGCGAGAGGAGGACAATAAACTGACTGGGCTGTTGTAGTACCCCAAGAGCAGGTTCAACCGTGGTGTCCCCGATGCCAAGATCCGCATCTTCGACCTTGGTCGCAAGAAGGCCAACGTAGACGACTTCCCGCTCTGCATTCACTTGGTCTCCAACGAGTACGAGCAGCTGTCCTCCGAGGCGCTCGAGGCCGCCCGTATTTGCGCCAACAAGTACTTCGTCAAGAACGGTGGAAAGGAATCTTTCCATCTCCGTGTCCGCGTCCACCCCTACCACGTCGTCCGTATCAACAAGATGTTGTCTTGCGCTGGTGCCGATAGATTGCAAACCGGTATGCGTGGTGCTTTCGGCAAGCCCAACGGTCTTGTCGCTCGTGTCAACATCGGCCAGATTCTCATGTCCGTCCGGACTAGGGACTCTAACCGCGCCGTCGCTCTCGAGGCTCTCAGGCGTTGCCAGTACAAGGTATGTTTAATCCCCCATGCAGAGTGACACGAGACTAACTAGCTGGCAGTTCCCTGGTCGCCAAAAGATCATCGTCTCCAAGAACTGGGGTTTCACTCCTCTCAAGCGCCAGGAGTACATTGACCTCCGCCAGGAGGGCAAGGTCAAGATTGACGGTGCTTACGTCCAGTTCCTCCGCAACAAGGGTAACCTTGCCGAGAACATCCGTCGCTTCCCTTCCGCTTTCGAGGCCTCTGCTTAGGTTCAGGATTGAGAGATGAGTTGTGTGCATGACGATCATGGGTCCAATGGGAATTCGGTTACGGCGTGATTTGCTTTCTTCATCAGTTGTGGATGAAGGCTGGAGGATGAATATCTGCGGCGTGTAACTGTAGAGAACAACCAGACACAGCCGGACAATGACAAATGATACAACAACCTCTCGTTCAATATGCTCGTATTCATGAATCTTTTGCAGGTAACCTTACACTGTCTTGACATACGAGGAATTCTGTTCTTGATGTTTGATACATCCGGACATGGAAAACGTACCTTGAACCTGTAGTTCATAGTATACGTCTAGGGCTTGCACATTCATCAGGAAATTAATAACAATAGACATGTACGTCACCTGCAAATCGAAGCACGTCTTAACGGTGATCAGCAGTTGTCATCTATGATTGGTAGTGACGTCACTCTTGTTATTGAACAATTGCAGTCGATTCTACTTGTAATATGCGTATGACTTGTGGTATAAGTTTCCAGCCCAACAACGCCCGTTGCCAAACGCCATTCCATCCTCAATATGACGAGAGGCAAATGCAATACAAAAATAGAATCTAGACACCGACACCAGCACCTCGTCCTTCAGCTTGTGCACGAGAAAACTGCTGCAAGAGCTGTAGTACACCTCCACGGTTATTGCCTGGTTCCTCCTCTTCTTCCTCGTCATCCTGCGCAAGGCGACTTGTTCGCCAAGAGTCGCCCAGTGTGCTTTCCTCTTCAATACGTGTATTCGACGGTCCAGGTCCACCCGGAACTGCTTGGAGAGGCGTTCGGTACCTGCCATGTGGCGCTTGACGTGGCGAACCGCGCAGCACCGACGCAGAAGAGGGTTGGTGGTGAGGATCGAGAAGAACGGAATTCATGGGCTCATCCCTATTACCTGTTCTATGTCTTGGTGTCCTCTGCTGGAGATTCTGGCGTCCAGTCGGACCTCTACTTGTTCCTCTTGCGCCCATCTCTACTGGCTGAGCGGTCTGTGACATGGAGCCAAAGTTGTTTGGGAACTGTGGTGGAGGATTAAACTGGCCTCGTCCTTGAAGACGACCATTGTAGCCACGCCCAGAGTTCTGGTACGTGTCCAAGAAGCCGTAGTATGATGCCATCATCTTGTTGTCTTTAGCCATGAAATAATCTTCTCGAAGATCCGGATCTTCTCTTGGAGCCGCAGTCCCGTTCGCGGGAATATTGTTGGCATTCCGTGTGGTCTTTGTAGACGGGAACATGGAGTAGGAACACGTAACACCCAGGCCGTCGACTACAATCGAAAATTCACGGAAGAAGTCAACAATACGATCGCTACATTTGGGCAACCGAAAGATGAGGAGGAAAGGAGTAATGACCATGCTGAGTATCTCTTCGGCAAAGATGAGAATCTTGGGCTGGTATAGTTGAGCGAATTCGGCGCGAACCTCGTCCGTGTGTAATCTATCACGCCACGACTCTGGCTCGTAGCGCGTGTGGTAGATGACATGGTTGAGATAATAGGATGGATCTGTGACCTGATCATCCTGAGGGCTGCTCCCACGTGCAACGCGGTAAATTGTACTAAGGATACCGATCCAGAAGATAGCAGTCTTTCCAGGTGTGATCTCAAAGTTGAGGAATAATTCTGAGTCAAGTAGTGTGAACACCACGAGGACAAACGCAAAGGCTCCCGCGATAAAAGCTACAAATGAGGAGACCTGTTCGGTCTTATCTTTAGGAAATTGGGCGAGGTAGAGATTTGCGTACGGATAGGCCATATTACGGCGGCGGGCGAAATAATGAGGAAGTTCGTTGAATTCGCGGAACTTCCACTGAGCAAACGTGGTAAAATCGCGGTTGCTGAGTTGGCCAGGGTCCTTGTGGTACTCGGTGAAGTATTTGAACATGTATGATGCAAGCACGAATACTACAGCGGCAGGTGCGCATAGGATACTAATGATACCGGTCCAGAAGAAGCGGGTTTTTAACCTCTTAACCAGCTCTCGGCGGTTGCGCTCCTTGAGGAAATCGGGGTTGAACTGGCCGTTTGGTCCACTAAAGACGAAGTCCATGATGGCGAGGTTGACGTGCCACCTAGTTGTTTCCGAGAAGATGTACCGGTCACCAATGAAGGGAAGCGGAACAGTGACATCCAATATCTCTTTGTTGAACAAAGCGATCAGGTAATTGTCACGACGCATGAGACGACCTGCGATGTCAATAGCATCTAGTCGCTGCCTGCTTTTTGAATCGAGCAACTTGCGCGTCTGTGGGGACAGATTCGACGCAGTCGCCAAGTTCAAGTCCCGTAATGCCATGATGCGTGTCACCACCTGCTGCCACTGTATCGTTTGTATGTCTCGGTCGGGAATATCGAGAAGATAGTGATAAAAGTCGTGCATGGCTCGAAGTCGGGGTACGTCTGTGACGAGGGTGTAGAATGAGTAGAGCCAGTAGATGAGGAAGAGCCAGAGGGCGAATATCCAAAAACCATGGATTCTACATCATGTCAGTCTAGAACCGTATTCACAGGGCTGGATGGCCTACCTCGCAGCGCACTTGGGTACCAAGACCTGGCTCATCTTGTTGCTCTCTGACAGCTTGGAGTAGTCAATACACCAGCCAAGGAATGTCATGAATCCGACTACAAAAGCAGTTTGCGCGAGCGTTAGAGCTCGTCTCAGAAGGATCGAGTATATTCCGCAGCCGACATAGTATTCGTAGACCTCGGTCATGTAGTTGTCCAAGTCCGTCTGATTGACCCACAGCCACATGGCCTTCTCCTTGCGGTCGGCTACAAAGTGACCGGGCCTACTGGTATGTCCCCACGGCCGCGAAGATGGGCCGCCCCTATCCTCATCGTGCAGCCGCTGCTGTGTTCGGGTGGCATCCCATTGTGCCCGTGTCTGCCGTGTGGCTGGGCCAGGCACTGGCATGGGAAGGCCTTGATTGCGCTGGGTCGAACTGGGCCCAGGCTCGTGTCCTCCTTCGAGAAGCAAAGACTGCGGTACATCGTCATCGTCATCTAGAGGTACGGTGCGAGCTGGAGTTGGCTGTCTCCACGCTGGCATGCGACTCGCGGTGTTGATGCCGGGCGGAGCGTTGCGTTTGGCCTCGGGAGAGACGGCGCGACTCTCAGCCGTCATCTGGCTTGAAGATGCCTCCTCGAGCAGGTGTGCCAGGTCTTGCTCCTCGAAGCGAGCCTCAAAGTTCTCCTCGTCAATGTCCATCTCGTGGCGCTCCTCGGTCGAGGTGGAGTCGCGGCGGGCGTGGGCGGTGAGGGGTTCGCGTTCGTATGTTTCGTCGGAAGCAGAAGGAAGTAGCCTAGACAGGAGGTTGGAGGCCATCATGGCTGATGTATGGTGATGCGCTCAGGCAGCGGCGGGGCGCGTGGCCGTGCTGTGCTGTGCCGTGCTGTGCTGCGCTGGGTCAAGCGTGTTTGGAGGATGGTAGAGTGGTCAGAGGACCGAAGACGTGATCCCCAAGAGTCAAGACGAGCCTCCATGAGCACTGACGTAAACCTAGTCAGTGATCATTTCAGCGTGATGGCGATTAGGAAGAGAGATGGTTGCCGCCATCCTGGGGCACATGGCAGTCACGCAGGTGACGCGACCGATATCGATAAGGCTCGGCTGCACTTGCCCCTTGTCAGTCCGATATGCCACCTTTCTGGGCCCAAAGTCACAACACCCATCCAGTCATGTCCGTGAGCTATTTCCAGGACCGGGCAACTCCCGCTTCTCAGAATGGCACCTCTCCGTCTTCTCCCTCTGTAGCCCCCGCGTCGCGAGGTACAAATGCCCTCTCGAGCAGGATCACCAGTGTGCTCTCTGCATCATACGCAGATCTAGAGATCCGCGATGCCTTGGAAACTCTAGATGCACGTCGAGTGCAGAACACTGCCGAGACACGACGTCAGCTGCGTCTAGATGTGCAGAAGGAGGTCATCGAGTGCAATGGCGAGATCATCAAGGACTTTGGTCAGGTTGCCGAAGTATGTTGCAACGCGAACCGCTGAAAACATTAACTAAGCTCCACTAGCAACTCAAACGTATCGGAAGTGCTATCAGTAGCTTGAACACTTATTGCGCAGATATGCGCGGTCATATTGAGGCTGCCAATAGAGAGACTGGACCTGTCTTGGAAGAAGCCACAAGCCTCATCACTCAAAGGAAGCAGGTCGAATCTAAGCAGCAGATCTTGAACGCCTTTAGTACCCACTTCCTGATATCTGAACAAGACGCCACTACTCTGACATCCACTGCTGAGCCTGTCAACGAAGACTTCTTCCAAGTCTTGACCCGCGTAAAGAAGATACATCACGATTGCCAAGTGCTGCTCGGAACCGAAGACCAACGATTGGGCTTGGAGGTGCTAGAACAGAGCTCCAAGCAACTCAACTCAGCCTTCCAGAAGCTATATCGGTGGATCCAACGCGAGTTCAAGACACTAGATCTAGAAAACCCGCAGATTAGTGCTTCTGTGCGCCGGTCTTTGCGCGTGCTAGCCGAACGTCCTACGCTATTCCAAAGTTGTCTTGACTCTTTCGCTGAGGCACGAGAAGCCATTCTGTCCGACTCGTTCCATGCTGCGTTGACTGGATCGACTTCAGAAGAGCACATAGCCACCAAACCGATCGAATTCCATGCTCATGACCCACTGCGCTACGTCGGAGACATGCTTGCATGGGCTCACTCAACGACCGTATCAGAGAGGGAGGCACTCGAGAACCTCTTCATCTCAGATGGCGATGAAATCAAACGTTCCATTCAAGCAGGTCTTGAGAGCGAACCTTGGCTGAGAGGTGAAGAAGATGCAGAAGTCTTTGACGGACGAAAAGCTTTAAACCAGCTCGTCAGCCGCGATCTCACAGGCGTGGCCCGTCTCCTAAGGCAGCGTACTGAGCAGGTGGTTCAAAGCCATGACGATGCTACCCTTGCTTACAAGATCGCAAACTTGATCGGCTTTTACAAAGGAACCTTTGCCAAGCTGCTTGGACCAGATTCCGATGTCTTGGATGTATTTGACGGATTGGAAGCTTCTGCGATGCGGCAATTCCGTGCCAACATGAGGGACTACGTGGCCAATGTTCAAAGCGATCTTGCTGTAGCACCGGCCGACTTGTCTGCTCCCGAGTTCCTAGAAGATGCGCTTCAGATGCTTCGAACTCTCGCAAAGAGCTACGATACATCAGTTGCCGCAACGGAGGATAACGGTCAAGGGTTTCAGACTGTGCTTGCGGAATCGCTAGATCCTTTCTTGAATGGCTGCGAAAATTTGCAGAAAGAGATGAGAGAGCCGGACAGCGCCATTTTCGCCATCAATTGCCTCTATGCAGCAAAAGAGGTGCTCTCTGTATATGCCTTCGCTAGCGAGCGAGTCAGCGAGATTGATGATACGATTGACGAGAACGTTGCAAAGTTGACAGACTATCAACATCAATACCTGGTTCACGAGTCTGGTCTTGTCACTCTTCTCAATGCTCTTGAGGAGATCGATGATTCGCCAGAAAGTCTCAAGACAATCCCTGAGTTGGAAGCTTTCAAGCCAGATGCACTTGTCGCAGCCAGTCAGCAGCTGGATGAGTTTCTGCCGTCAGCTGTCATTGACGCATCGGAAAATATCAAGCGGCTGCGCAACAGGAAGATGATACAGAACATCACCGAAGAAGCGGCTAGCAAATTCTGCGAAGACTTTGAAATTGTGGAGCGCAAGATGATAGCGGCCGACGATCTGACATACGATGAAGACAAGGAAGACGAGGAGCAGGAGCCCGGTTTGAGGGACTTCTTTCCTCGTACCAGTGGTGAGATACGGGTGCTACTCAGCTAGACGTCTGCAGTGACAAGTATGTACAAGGTAGTAGACAATGATCATGATATTCCACCTCATTCATGCATCGTGTTCATCATTTCCATCATTTTTGACGCGCAAGTCTGTACTCATGCTCTCTGGAATGTCTAACTCCATGTGGTCACGCTTCACTGAGGTTTCTTCTTCTCCCACTCTTCTGGCGTATGGCACTTTGGCGTCCACGCATGTATTGCCGCAATTTCCTCTTTCAACGTCGAGTTGACTAGCCGATGCCGTGCTAGAGTGGTCTTCTTGGCAAACTGGGGAGACACGATGATGGCCTCATACATCTGCCCGCATCCGCCTATTCTTGTTCGTTAGTATGTGCTGAGGACACCAGTTGCCAAACCGTACTTGTTTAGTTCAACACCATGTTTACGACAAAATCCTCCTGGCTTGTTTTTTAACACTGGAAACCAAAAACTAGTACGTACCACTCAGGTCTTCAATCTCAACGTAGGTTGCGCCCAAACCCTCCTTCAATTTCCTTTCCAGTCCCTCCATGGTCACGCCAGAAGTTGCCTGCACGTTCGTCGCTTCCTCGTCCGTCCTTGCACTCATATTGTTCGTAGTGTCTGGTTCGATGGCAAGATTATCAAGAGTTTTGTAAAGTTTGTGCCGTGGATCCATATGGCGATGATGTGATATTGACTTGGTGTTCCTATCTTCGGATCTGATAAGATGCGGCTTCCAAACGGGGAAAGACCGGGATTTGGAGAGGGGAGGGGCAATGACGCATAGCTGCAGGGGTCACAGGCGCGTTAAGGCGGGATTGCTGCACGCGTAGTTTTGCTTTGCAATTGTTCACCTGGGAGCTGTATGTTTGCATCTACGGCACGACGATTCGCTATGAGTGCGACCACTACTTCAGCGCCCTTCTCCAAGGCGGTGGTGAGGGCTATGCAGAAACTGTAAGTGACATTGGATAGAATGCATCGTTCTCTCTTCGATGCATAGCAATTGACCAGGACCCCTACGCGATTCAAATAACATCATGTACTGACTGGTTCAAAGGTACCCCCGTGAACTTGCAGACAACTCCTGGGACAATACTGGGCTGCTGCTCGAGGCGCCATTCGATCCGGCGCGACGCCAGTCAAACACCGTCCTCCTTACTATCGACCTCACGAAAGCTGTCGCCGACGAAGCAATCGCCCTCAACTCTTCCATTGTCATCGCGTACCATCCTATCATATTCCGAGGCTTAAAGTCCTTGACTCTCGCAGATACCCAGCAGCAATCGCTACTACGCCTTGCTAGCCATGGCATCAGTGTGTACAGCCCGCACACTGCGCTTGACTCAGCTCCAGGAGGGCTTGGGGACTGGCTAGCGGATATCGTAACAGGCACGAAGACGGTTCGTGACGGTTCAGATACAGACGGTCAATCCGAAGCTACAAGCAACACAAACGCAGATGATGATGACCCCTTCGTCGAAAAGAAGAAGCGCCCTACGTTCACCCTGCAACACCATCCGAGCCAGCCAATGCTCAGCTTTGGCAAGCTACCTGCCCCCACCACGGTCCCTCTCACAGCTCCTCACAAGCGCGAAGCCATCAAACCTCAATCGCCAGTACTAGCCTCACACCCTGGAGCGGGTATGGGTCGCGTCGTAAGGTTCGACCACCCACAACCGCTTCCTACGCTACTTGATCGCATAGGCAAGGGACTCAACAACCCCAAGGGCTTCCCAATCGCCATACCACAGGACAAGACGATCTCTGATATTGAGATACGTAGCGTAGGCATATGTGCAGGCTCAGGCTCTGGCCTACTGAACGGTCTCGATGTGGATTTGCTATTCACAGGCGAGATGGATCATCACTCGGCGCTCGCGGCGATCGAGAAGGGCAGGGTCGTTATCAGCTTGTTTCACAGCAACTCTGAGCGTGGCTTCTTGGCAGAGGTGTTGATGGAGCAACTAGAAGAGGCAGTGCAAGAAGAATGGACAAAGGTCAAAGAAGAAGAGAAGGACAACAAGGAATTACAGGATGCATTGGCGGACGATGACTTTGAAATTGGCGTCAGCGAGGTCGATCGAGATCCTTATGGCATAGTAGTACTGAAGAATGACGCAGAGGAGGCATAGCAAGGTCATATAGGACGAAATACATGGCAAATCACAACGATGATATGGATGTGGAATTCGAGGTGGTGGGGGTCCGGACCTGGTTGCCCCACTTCATTGCGCACATTTCACCATGCGATAACCGCGGTCGTGCTGAAGCTGAGGGCCTGCTGTTGTAGATTGATATATTTGATACAATTTCCTCAATCTCAACAAATCCTCTGTGGCGCAATTGGCTAGCGCGTCTGACTGTTACACCAGTGGCTATCAGGAGGTTGGAAGTTCGAGCCTTCCCGGAGGAGGATTGTTTTTTTTTCAACGTACGTTGTGTCGTCAGCACGTAGACGTATGATCCGTATTCAGTACGAAGCTACATTTTTTTTAACTTCAAAACTGCTGAATACATTTGCTAAAAGCATATATTGACATACAGCATGATTGACACTTACGTTGGTATTGCATGAGGTCCGAGGTGACGAGTATTGCTTAGATGCGTCCAAGTAAAATGCGTATGTGTTGTATCTCCAACTAGGAAATAGTAAGAAGATTGCATATCATCCCTTGCTAAATACTCAATATCTCGTCTGCAGGCTCCAAAAATAATCAACACCGCGCATCTACCCGAATGATGACGCATTGCTTCGACATTGTATCGTACAAGCCAAACTCGCTTACAGTCCTCAGACATATCTCCTCCAATCTAGCTTTTACCACAACCATTCTTACTTGATCCAATTGTTTCACGCCAACCTCGGGATTTCGGCTCGGTGAGCGCAGCTCTGGCCCTAACGATGGCATAACCCTACTGAGAAACCCTCTCCTCGAATGTCTTTGTGCATTATCCGCTTCACTTCTTCCATGCCCTCTGGGACTCCTGAGAACCGGACTTGCATTCAGGTTTTCGCTGAGCATACGCTCCAACTCTACAATCACAACTTGCGGTCTCCAAAACTCTGTCCGGTTCATTTGGCCTTCTAACCGCACGACTTTCGGCTCGTCTTCTGATGAGAAACCGACTACTTCTACTGGTTTGGAGTCGGAAGTGTCGAAGCTGTATTCAGACTTCTCTTCCACTGCGGGTAAAGGTATATCGGATGGGAGCATGGCGATGGTTGTTTGGGCGATGCCGTAGGTAGCGCGTTCTTCGATTAGAGGAATGACGTGCCTTTCGATCACGGATTGAATGTGGTGTGTGCGGGTTGTGCTTAACTGATCGAGGATAGTTTGACCTCGTGTGGACGCTGGTGAGCTGTACTCTGAGTACGGAGGAGGAGAGGCTTGTTTTTCGTTTCGAGACATTGTCGAGATCTGAAGGTGAGAGATGAAGGTTATCTAGGTATCGCTATGTGTAGAGGTGCGGAAGTTAGATGCTGTGACATCAGGATTTCTTCGACGATTCGAGTTCCTTGGTCGGTTACTTGCTCTCTTTACCAAACTTCTGTTTCCCGCTTGGGTGGCGGTAGTCAAAAGAGTCATTCATCGATATCCACGGATCTCGGCAAACCCATACTCTGGTTAGCAGAGTTCTAGAAGTCTGCCCTGCCTCAATCCCGTATACTGATGCCTTAACTAGTCCTAAAAGGTACCTGTATAGTCTCGTGACATTGTAAGCCATGGGAATAAGGACGCAGTGTTACGCTGCGCCGCCTATGGTAAGCGAATCACAAGCATGCATCTGCACGGTCGCGAGGCGTTCGGCCCGGGAAGCTTGGCGCAGTGAAGACAATGTCTTGGATGCGATAAGATAGAAGGCAGTAACTTCAACCAGCAAGTTCAGGACGGAGGCTTAGGGACGCCCAGTTTGCACAGCGCGTTCCTGACTTTCGGCCTGAAGATCGCCTCACCGGCCCTTTTCTTTGAACAATGCATTGCGTAGCAAAAATACGCACCTATTTCGCTCACCGTGCTGGAATTATGCCTCTCCAAAGTCAAAATGCCGCTTCAGGCCCAAGGCTGAGATGATCACACGCAGAGGGCTATGTGGCGCAAGGCAGAAAGCACTAACCTCTTCAGGGTTAGCAATATGGTCAGTGCATATGTTTCCACCAACACCAGACGAAGACGGTCACCGAAAACGCCTTTACATGCCGGCTGCACGGATGAGCCAGCATGTGCAAACAATATCTCAGAGACTTCGAGATGTATAAAATAGTCAATATGGCCCCTGTTTTGCCTGATACGCCTCAGTACACCTGTTCATTATCATCGCGAGCCTCAATTCTGGTACGGTCCGACCTCGAGTACTTTACGAGCACATTAGGTACCGTGGTTCTATCAGCACTGCATAACCCACGCAAAGCCTTTAAATTCATCACTGAGTGGGATTTCTATCCTTTATAAAGGCTGCATCGCTCCTCTTTACTACACCACCTATTCCAATCTCCATCGACTATCCTCCGATATTGGACACCAACTCCATCGAAACTACCATCAGCATCATCTGAGTTCTTTAGAAACCAGCCGTCAGCATGTGGTACCATGTCGCCGAGCCGAATTCCTACCTCGTTATTACGGGTGTAGGAATCGAGAAAGTCTTGATTAAGAAGAAAGCTTTTGTATACCCCCTACAAAAGGTCTCGAAGATCTCGATTACACCCTTTGACTTTTCCATGGCCCTCCAGGCTATGACTATCGAGAAACTTAAATTTGCTCTACCAGCAGTCTTCACAATCGGTCCTGCCGACAGCCCTGAAGCTCTTGAGAAATACGCCGTATTGCTCACCGGAGAAAGCGATGGCAGTCCTACTCAAACAGCAGCTAAGGGTGTTGTCTCAGTTGCTGAGGGTCGCAATCATGTTCAAGAGATTGTCAAAGGTATTATTGAGGGTGAGACTCGAAGCATCGTCTCCACCATGACTATGGAAGAGCTTTTCCGTGAGCGTAAGATCTTCAAGGACAAAGGTAAGCTCGAAATCTACAGATTAGCTATATGGCAGACACTAATTGCAAATAGTAATTCAGCAAGTGCAATCCGAGCTGGACCAATTTGGTCTTTGCATTTACAACGCCAACGTCAAGGAATTACAAGACACACCAGGTTCAGAGTACTTTGCTTTTCTTTCTCGTAAGGCGCACGAGGGCGCTCTCAACCAAGCTAAGGTCGATGTCGCCCATGCTCGTATGCAAGGTGAGGTCGGAGAGGCCGAAAAGCAAGGAAAGACAAAGCAAGAAGTCGCCAAGATCCACGCCCAGACTGCCGTCCTCGAAACCGAACGTAAAGCCGAGAAGGCCACGGCAGACGCGAAGTTCACTGACAAAGAGATTGAGATTGGCCGCGACCTCAATGTTGCTCGAATCAACGCTAAGCGTGAAGCTGAACGCCGTGATGCGGAGTTGCAGACGGAAGTCGAGAAGAAGAGGGCACTCATGGAGCTTGAACGTCTTCGAGCAACCAAGGTTGTGCAGGCTAAGATTGAGAAGGAAAGTTCACAGCAGCAGGCTGACGCAGAACTGTACACTCAAGAGAAGGCAGCAGATGCAAGCAAGTACGGCCAGCAAGCCGAAGCCGAAGCTGCTGCTTTCCGTCGACTCCGTGATGCTGAGGCAAACTTCCAGGCGAAAGAGCGCGAAGCCGAGGCGAACTTCATCGTCTCCAAGCGTCAAGCGGAAGCGGAATATTTCGCTCAGGAGCGTGCAGCTCAAGCCCGCCTCATCACACAACAGCGCGAAGCCGAAGGTCTTTCCGCGATGGCCAAGGCCTACGGCGACATGGCAAATGTTCTCGGTGGTCCTCAAGGTCTCATGCAATACCTCATGCTCACCAACGGCACATACGAGAAGCTTGCGCAGGCCAATGGTAACGCTATCAAGGGACTTCAACCAAAGATCAATGTCTGGAACACTGGCAGCCAGGGCAGTGAGGGCATGGCGGATCCGTCAGCACCTATTCGCAACTTGTTCCAGAGCCTACCACCTCTTCTCAGCACTATTCATGATCAGACTGGTATGGCGCCACCTACCTGGTTGGCGCAAATGCCTCAGCAGAACGGTGATTTGAGCAAGATGCATCTAAGGAACGGCAGTGATGTATCCTCGTAGAGAGGTGCCATGACCAGCGTTGGTGATGGACAGAGACAAATCGTACAAGCAAGAGGTGGGCTGTAAATGTTAGTGTGTCCCTTTCTACGTCATTGGTTGCTATACCCCGGTTTAGCTACGGCTAGGAGTTCGGGATACGTTGTTGTACTATTTGTTTTTTTTTAGACCAGGATCCGTTGCTTTTACTATAATATAGACTTATCATAATGTACAATGCTACAAAAACATACTACTGTACTTAGATGCGAATAGTCCCAGTGATGCCAAAAAGAGGCCTAGCTTGATAACAGGTACATCTCGAATATCTTATACGTTGCGTAGTCTTTTTTCATATGAAGGCCACATGGAACGACAATCATTGGGAAAACTAGTCTACCGAAATACGATCTGGAGGCAATAAATCATAAAATGGAAGTGAAGAATGCGCATCCTCTACGGGAGCATAATCAAAACATCACAACCTCTCACCTTAGCACGGTGCGTATATTTAGAGGCAGCTTCCCACACTAACTCCACATTCCTTCAAACATCTCGAATCTACGACACTCCCGCATGCTATATGAATTGACTGTCCAGCACGCCTCACCGCCTAAAGTTCTCAAGTATTGGCCTGAGCCAGTGCAAATTACACGGGGGAAGTGTGCTCGCTATAAAAAGCTAGATCACTCGACCACACACATATATGACATCACTTGTCTTGTGCGGCTAGGTTTTCGCGACGAGCATATTGGTGGTATCGAACGGCGTGACAACGTCCCGAGGAGCTGGCATCGCATGCAACACGACAGTTTGCCAACTCCAGACTTTAGAACTTCTCAATAGTCGCTTTTTTTTTTGCACACTGTACGAGAGTAAGAGTCCTACCCAAATCCTGGTGGTGCACTCGAAGGTACTGCGTGATATTTCAAATGTAGGTTGTGGGTTCAGTACGTTTGGTCATCCGACGTGGAAACCTCGGGCAGAGTTCCGCGTGCGTTAAGAGACAGCAGCCAGGCCTAGGTGCTTCCGAGATACGATCTCCTAAGCAACAAACAATTAGTTCACCAATCGACATGCTTGTAAGATGGAAGTTGCCATGTCGATGGAGGATCCGAAGGCTGCGCCGAATGGCCTCGGATAAACGCGAACGCGTGGAGCGACGGGGAAAATATCCTGACCAAGCATAGGTAGATAGCTACCCGCATAGAAGATCGTAAGATGGTAAGATCTAGTTCAGTCTCCAATATTGCAAAGGCGATCCGTCGCCTTAGGCTTGCCTCAGTTGCCGTGGTAATACTGAAGATGACGCCAGTGTTCAGCCCAATATCATCATCCGTCGAACCTTCCGCATGCAGCGTCTCCACACACACCCCGCCCCCTCAACGTGAAACCGGCCACGGCTGAAGTTTTTCAACGCGTGTCGTCAGTATCGTGTTATGGTGTCGTGAGAACACTAAAGCAAACAAGGGCCTGGAACGGAGATGATCAGGGTTGGGCTGGATGATGAGGGGAATAAACATCGGCGACCGATGATCTTGAGCTCGCTCAGCAAGCGAGGTCCGCTTCTCCATATACGCGTTTAGTAGAACCTGCGTCTACTATACATGCTCACCGGCAGACGCATAAGCATCCGCACCCAATACCATTGCTAAAGGGCTTATCCCTAGTTGCCAAAAGCAACTCAGCCGCTGCACTAGATAGGTTACCAACGCACGCGATGAATCCTTCTCAGGGTGCCCCTCTCCATGCCAAACCATGACTTTACCGCATCCGGTCCAACTATTACGCAGTCAACACGTCCTTTGACACGTCTCACGCGTTCGCGGTAGCACATGATCTACTTCCGACGCGTCGCACCAGCACAAGGGCACGGGCTGAGAAACTTGGCACGCGACGTGCGACACAATTCCATCACAACTCTCCACACAATAAGCCCAAGTGGGTACTACGGCTTACGCTCGCACTGCCTGACTGGCCGGACAGCTACGGCAGCGAGGAAAACGTTAGGCCTCGGCGTAATGCCTGGGCTAATTGTGCATGCGGCCGCGAAACTTCAACTTCGGGGTTGGTGTTGTGGGCTGGTTCCATCCGCTTGCTGCATGTTTTATTTTTTCTGCCGGAAAATCGTTAGATGGTCATCGCCAGTCAGGCTCATCTGTACAAAGATAGAGATTCAGGACTTATTGGCTTCTTGTTCCATACCGTGTGTTGAAACAGCTGTTGCTTTTAATCAAAGAGAATGAATGCGGTGCAGCAGGGGGATCCATCGCGTCGTGGCTTAGGGCTACCTGCCTACCATGGATCATGGGCAGAAGGCACAGACCAGACATGATGACGCCTGTGCTCACGTTACGGAACTACTTTACGGCACGGCGGTGCGGAGATCAGTGCACTGAGAGGGGCTTAGGTGGAACGCACAGTCTCTTCATCACACTCTTTTCATTTGAATCATCCATTTCATTCATTACTAGTTCATCTGCTCGAAGCATCTGTATTCCTTCAGAAAGGACCAGCTGATCTGCCAAAGTGTTTAGGCTCTTCTCCGAACCGTCAACCCCGCTATATCACCCATCCAGCCGATCCATTCATTCGGACCAAATCCATATCGAAGCAGATGTCACTGAAAGACAAGAGACTGGGTATTAGTCGTTCACGCTTCGAGACAGTCATTGAGATTCGTGAAGACTCCATACCCGATTGGCGCCGATATCCCACCCACGCTTCGTAACGTTCATCATGTCCGTCGTGATAGAAGAGAAAGACATGAACACTAGGAAATAAGAAACCAATCTGTATGGTCGGTTGATAAAGAGAGGAAGCTATAGCCGAGCAAGAATGCCTGGATACGCAAAAGAGATGGGAAAGCCGAAGCCGTAGGTTTGGTCGGACGTCGTCTGTTGTAGGACCTTCCATACCGAACCCAACGTCGCTCTCGGCCTCCCATATCCAAATTATTGAAGTTCATCGAAGACACATGTAGCCACATGATCATGTCCAAGAAGTAAAAGTCGAGAACATGAACCAAGAAGCAATCCAACGTGCAGAGATCTGCCGCTGAAGAAGGTCGAAGTTGGTATAGACAAGACAAAGGAAATGCTTTTAACAGGAAGCAGGTTTAGGCTGTGAGCCAAAAGGCAAGTGTATGCAATGACAACGCTTGAGGCTGTCGGTCGTAACGCCGATGATGCAACCATGCTTAGGTGCATAGATTAAGCGGAAGAGAAGACAACTGAGCTCTACGATCGATATAGGTGTGCCGAGTCGCTAGGCATGCCGGCGAAACGCTGTTCGAACGAAGCTGGAGGCTCGAAGCTATGCGAGAGTGCCGCTCGAGGAAAGGTATTACTTGATCGACCAACGAATGGTGAGCCTAGTCGAACAGTACCTTTACTTTGAACATCTGCTGGCACGGCAGGCGAGGTCTGAGCTGGGCTAGGCATAGCAGATCCAGCATGTGCGAACGGATTGAACCCTGATGGGTCATTTACTAGAGGTAGTCGCCGGGCACCTTCCATCATGTCGCCCAAGCTGAAACCACGGCTCCTTACACGACGATGGCTTGACTCGGCTGGTGCCCCAAACATCTCGTTGACGAAGCTCTCTCCACGGTTTCGTGCTCTATCTTCGAAGCTGTTGTGAAGCGCGCGTCGCTTGAACACCCTCGACTTGGGTCGAGGCGCGTGCAATTGAAAAGGTGAGCCGAGACGTGGTGTTTGGGAAGAGGATGACTGCGCGTGCCACGTTCGCGCGTTGCTCTGGTTCATCTTGCTGTTGGTAGACTCAGACCTCGCATGGAATGGTGAGCCTAGCACGTTGCCCAATCCCAGACCGATATGGAGCGATTGCGACTTCTGGTGAGCAGAAGAACGCGCACTTGACCATGTTCGCGGCGACGGTCTCGGTGTTATATCCTTGGTAAGTTGCGACAACGGGTTACCCAACTGCATCGACGCTGCGGTGCTTGTAGCCAGCGACAGATTCATGTCCCTTGTGGAAAAGCTAGCAGAGCCGAAAGGCGAGGACAACGGTTGCTGTTCTTGTTGCTGTGGTTGCGTCTGTTGCATCGGTTGCATCGGTTGCGGCTCTGGCTCAGGTGGGGGAGAGGATTGTAGCGGCGAAGGCGATCGACGAAGCATACGCTGATAGTGTGCAGACAGAGTCGGCTTCTGCTTGGCCAAGTCTCGTAGTCGCTTTCGACATTGCTTCTCGCTAGGGAAGCGTGTTGATGACTTGCTTGACAGAGTGATAGGTGTGTTGTTGCCGCTCCTTATCGACCTTAGGGCACTTGGTGTACCAGTCAGGGGGTGGGATTGTGGGGTCGCGTGCGGGCCAGCGCGAGTGTGCTTTGGGCCCTTCCAGGTCTTGCGGGCCATCCTCGCCACGCGATGGCATACTCCATTCGGGGGAGTCGTGCTCGGCAGAGCCTTGAACGGCGTCACTGTAGGATCTTGGAGATACTTCATGTAAGTCATCCACAAGTGGTGATCCATTTCTTGATTGAAGGATGCTCTCAATCTTAGCTTCTTAGCAGGGCGAGGTTGTGGGGTAGCCATCGAAGGTGAGGTCGGACGTTGAGGTTTGTTCGCGGGTGGGCAGAACGCGAAGGGATCTGATGATTCGTCTTCTAGACTGGTGCAGCTGCCGCTTCGCGACATGAATGATCCAATGCTATCGCAAGACGAGACAGACGAGTCTGAGAAGCCCGACGAAGAGGTAGGTCTGCTTGATGATTCACTCTGACTGACATGTGGGACGTCAGACCAGTCCTGAGGTCCTTCGTAGTGGCTGATGGTTCTCATCTGCGCGACAGGAGTCTTGGGCGGAGAGAGGATACGACTGAAGCCGAATCCTGGAGACAGGAACGCGTCGTTTTGTGGCAGTGAGTATGGTGGCAGATCGCTAGAAGTTTCGGACATGATCTCGGGGGCCTCAATGGTTGGGATAGGTTGCTGGTCCATGACTGCGTCCATGCTGTCGTGGTTCAAGGCCATGGTGGCACGGCGACGACGGACCTTGAGCACTTGTCGAGGCGGCGGCGGCGGTTGCAGCTGTTCGGGTTGTGGCTCTGGCTCGGGTGTCTGTGGAGCCGGGCCGTCACGGTAATGAAACATGAAGTTCCTTGGTAAAGTAGTAGATAGGTTGGGGCGTTCGGCGTCCATGTTGCTAACGTATTGAGATGACCGGGATGTCGGGTGTTTCAGGATACGGTCGTCTTTGACCACACCAAGAGGTCAATCTCAAAGAAAGTGCAAGGAGGCACGACAGTTCAGGCACGACAAACGATTAATGCATCCAGTTGGAGCGTGGTCCGATTGTTGTCGGGTTGGTTTGATTATGCAGGGCGGTAGGTTCGATATGGCGCGGGTCCCAGCAGCTGTTTGGTACTCTGCGAACGCGACAGTGCGGCTGCAGGGAGGTTACACGTGCAATCAGAATCGAGTGCGGCTTGATAAAGCGAGCGTACTATCGCAAGGCGTCGCGCACTCTTAGATGCAGTGGCAACAGGCGTTTTCAGTGTTGCAGAAGCTCTACAGCCGAGGACAATGCACAAGAGGTCCTTGTGGTGAGGATGGCGCGTAGCTCCAGGTCGCGACAACAGCTTGCAACTGGCGAGAACGCGATTAGCAAAAGTCGAAGACGACGCGCAAAGGTCCAGAGACGGGTGCGAAGACGCGTGGATTATCGTAAAGGTGGATGATGGCGGGTTTTTTTTGGCAAAATATGGGCGTCGTGGGTCGCGGTGAACGGTCCGGGTGCGTGGGCGGAAGGGAAGTGGGCGCCTTATTCCGCGTCCATGGAATGCGCAAGCGAAAGTCAAGATTCGTGAAAGACGTAAAGGAAACGGTCGTCAGGAAGTCGCGTGGCGCGCACGGGAGTGCGACAGGCGAGGTCGGCTCGGGATGGTCGTGAAAGTCGTGATGGTGAAGGTGATGTGCGGTGAGGTTCGCAAAAGTCGGCTGACGGTTGCTGCCCGGCTAGTGCGAGACAGCGGACGGGCTTAGACCAAGATCGTCGATAGAACCTCTGCAAACCCACCAAGTGCCCCGAGCCCCATACAAAATCAAACACTTGTCGTCCAACACTTTTTTTCAAGTCGCCCACATGAGGCGGCATGCGCTTCTGTGCCTTGGTCTGCGCACTACTCTGCCCTTTGTGCTTCCGCACACCACGTGAAGCTGCTACCGTAGACACTCGATAACGAAACTGACGCGTTTCGACGCGCTCATCTCTCCCGGTCTAACCGCATCCAAGCTGCCATGGTCTGTGCAGTCATACCTTGACCGTGGCGCTCTTTTCGACGGCGGCCCCTGCATAGAGGCCTTGTTTTTCTGCACGCACGAACACATGTCACGACTTTGCCATCCAGTCTCCCGCTGCCAACTCGCTGCAAGCTTGTGGGCGGTCTCGCCGCTTGCATAACGGCCACTCCCCGTTGTCTTTTGCTTTTCCTCCCCACTTCACCACATACACTTCTTCTGCACCGTCGTCGACTTGAAGGAGCGACGACCAGCAGAAACCTGCCACCTATGCGCTACGCGACACACTACGCACGGCCAATGCCACACTGGAGAACCCCAATTCGCTACGACTCTAACCCTCTTCTCCACAGTGGAGCGTGGGCCTCTGCTTTACAACACAACAGATGCACGAGTCATTACTACATGGCTGTTCCATAGCCAATGCTTCGAGTCCTCTGGTGCATCCCACTACATGGCACGTCCCAATCAAAACCTGTTTCTCTCTACTACTGTCTTCTTTGCTGTCCGCGCCGCTGTTGAATCGACCCTGACAAGTTCGATCCCGTTTTATGCCCGCCCGCCCGGAGTTGGTGTGCTGCAACGTTATGTGCATACCGCGCTTGGCTGCGAAAAGGGTCTGGATCGGCTGCAGCTCGTCACACACCAATATCTAGCTATCCCGATATGCACGTGTCTTGCTCGATTCGGAAATACTGTCGACCAACAGTCCTGGGTTTCGATGTTTCATTGGCTGGATTTTGCTTTATTAAAGACTGCCGAGCGCCCTGAGGGTCTCAAAGTGGGCTCCAGCCGCTCAACACAGCACGAGGCCTAAAATGCAGCCCGTTCTAGGAAGACCATGGGCTTACTATGTGCATCCAACATCTTCAATAGTCGAGAATGCGGGGGTGTCATGCGCTTGCGAACATTATCGCAGCCCACTCACGCTGCCGAAAGACATGAGGCGATCATCAAGCATAATCAGCGCATCGGCTAATGAGATCACGCTCTGGTACGTTTACGCCGCGCGTTAAATTGGCATGTCTGGCAAAGTGCATTAACCTGTGAAGAGAACATTGAGTCAAATGGAGAAGTCCCATGAGGCTCATATATTTTAAATTTTTGAAAGTCAAGAATGGTATAATGTCTGTTCCATACAGGTCTCTGCCATCGTGCAAGCCATGTCATTGCATCGATTCTCCCCTACTGTTCACGTCCCATATCAAGCCTCTATCTAAAGACCAAGAGCCGAGTTAAACGCATCTGCAGCCGCCTGACCTGTCAGTCCCGAAGCGGCAGACGCAGCAGCATCACAGGTGCTGACAGCTGCAGCGTCTACGTCGCACTTGTTGGACATCTGTGAGCAGATGAACTGTGAGATGATGTCAATCTTCTGAGCAGACCCGTGGTTGAAGGTGCTCAGATCGGTGGGCTCAAAGGCCTCCTCCTGACGGCCATCCGAAGGGATACCAAAGGTGATGGTAGGGTCGCAGTTGCCGAAGGCGGCGGCACCAGAGGCGGCAGCGTTACCGGAGGCAGCGTTGCCAGCAGCAGCATTGTTGTTGTTACCAGCATTGGCGTTGTTACTAGCGTTGGCATTGCTGTTACCGGAGTTGGCATTGTTGTTACCAGAGTTGGCGTTATTACCGGCGTTGGCGTTGTTGTTACCAGCATTACCAGTAGCATTACCAGCTGCGGCAGTGCCGTTACCAGCAGCTCCACTGACACCAGCGACTGCAGCAGTAATCTCATCCTCGGTGAGATCATCGACACGAAGGTTCTGGGTGTTGATGCATCCTGCATCGTCAGTGTCGACGTCGCAGGTATTGCCGGCACCGGTCGGGTCGCCTATCTCTCCAGGCGCGAAGGTTGAAGCTTCGTTAGCCATCGATGGATCACCACCGACTGAGGCGATCTGGCGAGCGAGCTCTTCGGCGATCTGCTTGTTGAGTGCCTGAGCGCCATCACTGGCAGGGTCCTGATGCTGCTGGAGCGCAGCAATCTCAGGATTGACGGCCTTGATGGACTGGCAAGGTGCAGAGGCCAGACCGACGGAGCCAGTGTTTCGTTCCAAAGTACGGTAGATGAGAGCCATGGTCATGCCCGCGACATCACCAGCCTCCTTGGCATTGGTGAAGGCCTGGTCAGCTACGGCTTGCTGAAGACAGTCTATTGCTAGTCAGTTTGATGAAGCTTGTGTGCTGCGTTCCAAACAACTCACCCGTATCGGTGATGTCTCCGGCACCCTCTGCAGCAGCCTTGGCTCCAAGGAGAGCAAAGACAGGATCCTGAATATTGTCCGGGTTGTTCTGCTGAAGCAGGTCGTTGACAGCAAGGTTAACGTTGCGGTGAGCGTGTTCCTGAGGAACTTCACGCTTGGTCATAAGGGTCGGGCGGGCAGCCGCGACACCAATGAGTGTAAGAGCGATGACGGAGTTCTTCATGATGAATTCTTGTATCGTTTCTTTCGGTCGTGATCGTGAATAATAAACAAGAATAGGGTCTTAATAGGATATATAACGAAAGTGGGCCGGCCTATCGATTCTCCAGGAACGATGAAAAGAATGATAACGAAGTGAACGACTCGAAAGACGATGAATGAAAGACGTGCGTAGATGGATGCTGATGATGCTTTTCCATGCAGCGCAAGGCGTTGTACCTTATATACAGCCTAAGTCCTACCAGCTATGCTATGCTATGGAGTCCTGCGCTTGAAGCGTTGCCTGACACCTGTCAAGCAAGCCGCCGTAGCGGGAGCCGCCAGAGCTGACCGTGCATAGAAGCAGAACTGCATGAAGGCTACCCCTGGATGGAAGGTGAAGTCCCTTCGAAGTCGCTGCCGTGCAGCCTCGCGATGGTGGCGATGGCTCGCTAACCTTGTGAGGCGCGGAGGGCCGCTATGAGTGGATCCGCGCTAAGACTTTCGGGATTCCTTGCGTGCCTGGGTGAGACGTTGGCGACTCTTCGGAACGTCGTCTGCTTCATCAACCCCATCAACCACGTCGCTGCCTGGAGATCACGGTACATTTGTGTGAGGACGTCGCGCGCAAGTCGAAAACGTACTCTGCGCGTCGCAAACATGCTTCATCTCGGCGGCGCGCCCTCGCTTGCCTCCAGAACGCGCGCATCAATCCTTTGAGCGCGATGGTATTGACATGATCACAAGCTAGCTGAATCGCTTTTCCACAGGAGCGCTCGCCACCGTCGTGATAGAACAGCCTCTTTGTACATGCCGTCTCGCCCCCTACCTTGGCCCCTTTACGAACTCCGCACCAGCCCATCGCATTCAGAGCACGATTAGCCACCTTCAAGCGGGCAGAGGGGCCTTTCAGACGAACAATGGCAAACGATTCATTGTAGTACGAGCCACGGCATACGCTACGTGTATCATCAGAGCTACGGTCCACCATGGAAGCAGGCCTTCATAGCCGAGATTGTCCATCTGCGGCCGGCATTTTCTCATGAATGCTATGCAGCTGGTATTCGGAATGTCGTGTTTCCGACAAGCGACCGGTAACCTATGGGTATAAAACAATACCACGCCCATATGCCTTGTATGTTAGGGTAGCCTTGTTGCGTTCTATTGCGTCATGGGCAATCTCCCGTGTGTTTTGGTATTGAGACGAGTCTGATAGCATCTGGTCGTATTACGCGCTCGCAACGTCGAACGTCTCAGATGACTCAATCCTAGGCAACATGATCTACTTCCAGGATGCAGCCACCACTTGAGTCTCGAAACGCTTTCGAAGCACTGTAGCCACATCATTGAGACTGTATACTCACGGGGCTCAGATCGAGTTCTCAAGACATTCCTGCCAGACGCACTGAATTGCGTCCCATCGTTATCAAAGCTACTACGCATCCAAGCGCAGAGTTCGTTCCTTCCAGGCTATAGATCTTCTCTATAAGAAATAATAGAAACGGCTGACCTGTGTGGTTCTCGACATTGTTGTTGCTTGTTGCTAGTGTCGCATCCTCCGCTCCATCGCGAACCTCCTCGAAAAGACCCACACCAACTCGAGACGAACTGTATGCAACCGGTCAACACACGGGCATCAGGCACCCTGTGGCTCACCCTTTTCGTTGCTACCTCGCTGGGGCTGCATCGAAGTCATGGCCAAGACAAAAACGCTTATCATTTCAGGCCCGATGGATGCTAAACACATTGGTGGCGTGAACGTGCTGGGCGATAGCGGCTCGAACCTCGACAACTACTTTCCTAGCACTGCGATAGTGCCGGATGAGCGACCCTCGCATACCTTTGTTGCTATTGGAAGGACTGAAGTACCAAGGCGGTCAGATACCGTTGCCGGCACGCTACGACGACCGAGTGTTTCCTTGACCAGAGGCCTGTCTAGATTGAGGCGCAGCTCATCTTCGCATCATACTGAAGTAGCGCGCGGAGCTGGCGGAGAGCAACAGGTGCATAGTCAAATGGAGAATTCCAACAATGCAGGCAGGTCCTTACGGATGCAGTCGAGCATGTCGAAATTACGGCAAAGGGTTGGACTAGATCGCGAACTATACGATACGACGCCAATATCAAAGACGCCCACTCCTGAACCAAGACCTATACCAGAGCCGGTGCGAAAAGATTACTTGCCACTGCAAGAAACAAGGGCACTGGCGCGTCTCACCACGACCTCTTCCATCTACTCGAGTCCAGATCTCAGTTCTCCAAAAATAAGGACCCCACACAAACAACAACCTATAATTGTTCAGCGAAGACCTCCGCCCTTCGTACATCAGCTCCCAACCATGAATACGCAACCACTCGCAAGATCGAAGCGCGCAGATTCGGGTACCGCAATAGACTTCAAAGACGTGCCTGTGCAGGAGCGGCCAATCCCTTTCAAGGAGATAATGGCAACTCCGACTCTTGCTGAGCGTATGGCCATGTACAAGAAGACGCGCGAGTACTGGGCGCATGCAGATCACGGTTTGGTAGCATGGACGGAGCGTGCCGCGGGACCGAAGGTAGCCACTACTGGACTTTGAATGTGGATACCTGTTGGTTCCGATGTCTTGACATTTCGATAGCTTAGCATGTGTCTTCAGGAACGATACCCTCGTAACGTTTGGGGTAGTCATCCATCCATAATTTATAACTGGCGCCAGGCGCCTTATTTTGCCTTGGTACTCAGTTTCCACAAATTATGATAGACTTGGCGCTTTTACCAGCGTACACCTTTACAAAAAGATGTGTTTTCTCGCAGCTGTGGTGTTGGCGATAGAAGCAGTTAGGTCCTGGGCCGTGCATGGATTGCAGTTGTCAAGCTCCGCAGGTGACCTTTCATATCTTCTGGGTCCGAAACATCTTACCAACGGCACCAAATTCATCGCAGCATACCATGCGCCTGGGCTTCCTCATCAAAGGAAAATCTGATCGACCCAGTCTGAGATGTTCCAAGTATTCAGTGGCCCCTGCCCTATGTGGCTTATCTGTCTACAACTGAGATGTTTCTATTGGATCGATGGAATTCTTGTATCGGAACGATCCACTGCATCCATAGGTACGCAGATATGCCTCGTGCATTCTGATAATGCGCCAATCAAGGGACTTTTGATTTTCGCTTCGCACGAATACCCCGTTTATCCAAATATCTTTCGCATTCAAAATCTCTACTATAGCTCTTGCGCGATCTTTCTCTGACCATTTCTTATCATTCCAAATCGGGGACGGAAAAGTAGGAGATACCGAGTGGCTCCTTTGTTGGTGAAACTTACATAATCTAGGATCCTGTGCGATTTCAAACTCCATTCCTCACGGATGTTTTCTTCCATCCTAGAAATCCAATAGGGTGAACAGAAAGCCAACCCTAGAAAATGTTGCGAATCTTGGATAGACTCAGACCAAAACGGAAACGCCTACACCGGTTTGCGAATCTCAGCCCTGAGATTCTGAACCTCATCATCGAGCTTCTGTGTAGGGACGGCAAACACCACATCCTCAATGTGTGTCTAGTCTCTCGCAGGCTTTACATCTTCACTGTATTCTATCTCTACCGCAACATTACGCTCGATTTCTCGAGAGCATCCCATTCTCGTCTACTGCAGCGATTGTCGGCACCTAGGTGTCGACTTGCCGAAAGAATCCGGACTATCGTCATTATCGACACCTCAAAACAAGATATACTACAATGGGACGATCTCTGCGTCATGTTCAGTAGGCTTACGTATCTACAGGAATTTACGTGGATTGGCCCTCTACGAATGCCGTACTTTCTCCTTGAGTTACTGACTTCTCGACACCCAAAAGCACGTCTGAACATTACCGCCTGGAAACCCATCACTACGTTTCGGTCAAACTTCGCTAGTATAAATGGTTATGTCATGGCCCATTCAGCGGGTCTTCAGCTAAACAAGTTCGTGTACCGCTACGATGGTGCACAGAGACTTAGCAATGACTTCAAGAAAAATCTTCTTATGTCTCTGAAAGACAAGGCCACACTATCGGTTTTGACCATCGCCAACTGCACTTCATCTGAGGTCAATATATTTCCAGAAATGTTAGATCTTCTTCGCAACAGCAGCTTCCGTTGCGTCGAAAAGCTAGTCCTACATACGTCCATATTCACGTGCCGTGAGTTGTCGGTGTGGGCTTCGAGGGGAGAATGGGACCGGCTTACTTTCTTGCATCTACAACACGCCTCTTTGCTTCGTAAGTAGTCTTATATTTATGTACAAACTATCTATGTTCATGGGCTGATTCAAACTGTTAGACCACTTTATTGGCAAAACTCCTCATCTGCAACATCTCAGCTTTCAGTTCGATCATAGAATGGATACCAATGAGACTGGAACTCAGCTAGTCACGACATTAACGAGTAATCCTCTACCTAAGCTACGTCGTATAAGCTATGGCATTCATGGACAACATCTAGTACCTCCTCCTCTCATCCGTTGCGCCCCTTGGGACATATTGCCAATATACCCCGGAATCACGGAGCTGTACTTGACTCGAGAATGGGATTGGCCACGTGGGATAACATCGCTATACGCGCCAACTGCGGACGATATGCGTAGGATTCGGACACTTTGTCCCAGTCTATTGAGACTCAGGCTCACTATCGACGTACCAGGGGAACGTTCAAGTTTCGCGCTCGTTGTGGAAGAGCTTGCTCGATTTCAGGAACCTATCGATCTGATACTGCACTTGCGGCTTCCGTACAAACATTCGAAAAGCTATAGAAACTACTGTATGAGATGCAAGAAAGTTTTTCTACTCATAGTGTTGCGGCGCAAACTTCTAAGACTCCCATGCGAAAAACCTTTCCAAATCTGCTTCCAGGCTTTGCGTATAGATCAAGAGTCTCCTGGAACATGGGTCAACTCAGAATGTACCGTCTGGCTCAACAGTGCTGGGTGGCTAGCTTCGAGCGGATGCAACGTTAACAAAAGAGAGAAGCTAGACAGAATGTCAACTATCGACCTCGAAGAGATGAGCAAGGAGCAGTCCCGATTGGGACGATACCGGGATAGCAAAGGATACAGACAAGAACTCAAAAGGCGGGAGCGGAACCTTGATACAAAGTTTGGCTTTTCTGAAGATTTCACCTTGTACAATATTTGGGGGCTGGATGCAGAGTCGGAAACGAACAGTGCGTGACGATGCTCAAGCCATGTGTCGTTCTTCTTGGTATTCATAAGGATTGTCATAATCGAGATCCTCGCTTATCGTACAAACCATCGAGTTCAGCTTCTAGTCGTGAATTTATCAAAGAGTCAAAGCGTTTGTATGAGCTTTCACCTAGTTAACAAGCCTTGGCGCGAGCGAGACAGTGTTAGAACGCCCTCGCCTTACTTAACAACAACAAAACTGTCATTTGAACCAGCTTCTCTGATCAAGTCCGATATCAGCGACAGCCAACCATGAAGCTCAGACGCTCGAAGAAGCCCCCACAGCCGATGCAGGCCCATCGTTTAGAGCAACAAGTCACTGAGATTCTCAGTCTAATAATCTCCAAACTACGTTGCCAGAGTATCCAGGACGTCGCAAATCTCTGTTTGAATCCACGCCAATTCTACCTTCTCGCTGTTCCCCACCTCTACCAAAAGATTACCCTAGACTTAGATCGAGCCTCACACCTTCGCTTACTCCAAAGGCTTGAACGACCGGGATCTTATATACCACACATGATTAGACATCTTCATGTGTGTCTGGAGGGAAAGCATGCAGAGCATATGCACAGGATCGAGAAAGTGTTCGCTGGATTGACTAACCTGGTAGAATTGGAGTGGGAAAGGCCATTCAACGTGCCGGTCCACTTGCTCGATGCGCTTTACTCGCGCTTTCCAAGGGCTCGATTCTCTATAGAGTCGAGTCGAGTGGCGTACAAGAGCAGCGAAACTGGCATTTCGCCGCTATGGGGTATGGATCTCTGGAAAAAGCACCCCGCAGCCTCCATGATCACTCACCTGCGCATCACTCTGGACGAAAAGTCCGCAATGTGGCCCGGCTTCAAGAAAGGGTTGGTTCGTATGATTGTCAGAGATCCTGTTCTTGAATCCCTTCAACTTGAGGCGAACGAAGTGATCGATAACCACTCTAACTCGACGGTGGATCTCATGAAAGGGCATGTTCTGCCCAAGTTAAGAGCTTTAGGCCTGTTCGTAGGGAACTCGCCCATTTTTACACAAGACGAACTACTATTTTGGGGCGACCAAGCAGGCTGAGAGAGTCTTACGTTTCTCGGACTGTATCATACTCAGTCTTTCATCCCTTTCGTAGGGCGAACACCGAATCTAGAGGAGTTGTGGCTTCTTCCTTTAAAGGGGGAGGATACCACAGGTTTAATTTCGCATCTAGCTGGATTCAAAGACTCCTACCCGTTTCCAGCACTTCGCAAACTCAAGGCTCAATCTCCCTGGAGAGATATCGCCCTGTCACAACAGAATGACCGTGTTATCCCCTGGAATCTGATCAACCGACTGTCACCAGAACACCTTACGTCCCTAGACATTTCTCGTTCTTCTCACCGCGACCAGGATGTGACGGATATACCCCAAGCCGAAGATATTGCCAGAATTCGTGGTATATGCCCTAATTTACAAGATCTGCGCTTGGACATGATTATACCATGGAGTCACGAGCCGTTCCCACGCGATATCGCAAAGGAACTAACCGCATTCACCAAACCTATCAGTTTGACAATCTACTTACATGTTACTCGCCATCCTCATCTTGGGACAGAAGCTCTGTATCTTTGGATCGCACGCGGCTTGCGATGGTGTTTCAGGTCTTCGTTCAAGATAGCGCGGTGCTTTCTCAAGGAGCGCGAAAGCCAGAGGATCCCCGGCCAACCTCGACTCTCTGTCAATATCATATGAGCCAATGATGTGTTTGCGGAGAACGACTCAGTCAGGTCTGCCAATTTCCATATATGCACTGTTGAGACGCACCAGGACGTTTCACGCTCTCACAACGAAATATTGTTCAGGCACACTACTTCGAACAAAGACATCGAGAAGATGAGTTTAGATCAGCTAAAAGACAGAATAAAGCCACGACTCGGGAATATTGTTGGCGGTCGAGCACGTTGTCTTCGCGAAATCAGACGCCGCGAGAATCTCCATGACGCCGGAACAGGAGCCTACGAGATAGACGCCACACTCTACGACATTCTGACTGCGTCAGATCCAGTGTAAGCGAAGCCTGGCAGCGAACGCGATGTATGTCTATGTCTAGGGTGTATGCAATTTACTTGGACAATCTGTAACGTTTTCTTCTACATGTTTGCCAATCGCTTGAGTTTCTTGGTTTGCAAAGTAAGACATCCAGGTAAGATATAAAGAACAACTGGACCCAACGATACCAGAGTCAACACAAAGGTACTCTAGTGTTTGGACAACCTGATCACATGAATGAAATGATACTGGGGAATGTCTCGCGCACCTGCACAATCGTAACCACAAACCAACTGGCGTCAAGCAGTACCTAATATGTATAACATGTCTACTAGAACGATTGTGCTCATCGTAGCAGCTACTATCTGCTGCAGATCTGTCTCGCTAGGTTCACTATCCTAGATCACAACATACGTATCTACCCGACTATCAACGCTGCCCAGCGCATCATCGACCAGCACCGAAGATGTGTTACATCCTCCTTTCGACTTGTTCTGCTCACTCATGCTACCCACCTCACAGATGCACAAACATCCTGCGTATGCGATACACACAATGCAGTCATGCAATCATACATAGTCTAGACCCAACAAGATGCCCAAATCGGATGAAGAGACGCCGGGTCAGCGACCAAGGAGAGTGTCGGATGTGCCAGGAAAGACGGAGTAGCTTGAGCGTACTACCGAGGAAGAGCTTGGTAGACAGTTTCACGAAGCTTGAGAGCTTGAAGCGGAGGTTGAGCAGTGCGGTGGAGGAACGAGACGGGAATGAAGGCGGAGGAGCTGAGGGGAATGCAGATGCGATGATGATATCTGTGACTCCCAAATTCGAGCGAAGGAGCTCGACGCTGCCTATCTATATGGAGAGAGAGAAGAGACTCGATTTCGGGATTCTGAAGCAGCAGCGGTTACAGCCGAGGAAAAGAATAATGAAGACACGCGCAATCACAAAGCCACGATGAAGACTCATCGAAGCACCAGAGCACACAGAACTTCAAAATTGAATAAGAAATACCATTACACCAACTAATAACCCAAAAACCCGAACGCAAGTACATAAAATCCAAAAGCAGGGGAGAAGCGGGGTATACTAGAATGGTGCGAGCAAGGAGCGAGACAAAAAGCCCATGACTGACACTCCTCACCCACAATATGTGTATATATGTGTGCTCATTCCCTGTCTTGTCTGATATCCATTCCTCGTTCCTTCATTTGCTTTCCATTAAGTCGTACATCCGTCTATCGTCATATCCAAAGGGCATCCACCGGAGAAGTACTTACATGAAATGTCTGTTTAACAAGAAGGACGGCGCCAGTTCTACTGCGTGTTTTCCTGGTTCTGCGGTGGGTTTTGACCGAATAGACCACCAAACCAACTTGCACGGTTGGCTGCCTTGCGCGCCTTGCTGGCTTCTTCTTCGTTCTGGACCAAGCGTAGTGGCCTCATACCTTTGCCAGTCATAACACCAGTGCTAGTGTCACTGCGTGTCAACTGGCGAGGTGGGCTGGGTGTATCAACGTGGCTCGCGGAAGATGACTCTGTCCTAGCGTCGACTTCCTTGTCTTCAGGTATGGTGGGGCCTTGGCCGGAAGGCACCCTTGAAACCGGATTGCTAGATCCCGGACCAGTGCTGACAGGAAGACCGAAGAAACTGTTGCGAGGCGATACCATCCCAGGCGATGCGGGTGAAGGGCGGTACATGTTATTGACCACGCCTGCGGCTCCCGGTACGTCGGAAGTGGAACGGCGGTGGTGGTGAGAACCGCTGGGGTGACGACCAGATGTAGAGCGCGTGAGGGGGATACGTGGAGCCGTATTGGGGTCCTCGTGCGCGCTCTGCTGGTTGGTGACCGGAGGGGGGCCCATGACACTTAGAGGTCTGGGCTTTTTGTTTCCGCCCATGGCGACAGATTTAGCGCGCTGGAGGAATCCTTGTGGCTGGTCGCTCTCCTGGGGAGGAGGCGGTGGCAGATCTTTGTTCTTGTCTGGACCAGAGCCGCGATCGTTCTCACCATCGTTACCCAGGACTGACTCAAAGCCCTGATGTGTGAGCAAGCGACCGATGATCTTGTTGATGTAGAGGGTAAGGGCTTGGTTCTGCGCCTTCATGCTGTTGACTTCAGCCTCGAGCTTGCGAACGACTTCGGCATCGCCTTCCTCGGCCGACTGCAGCTCATCAGCTAAGCTGGTTGAAGGACCGCTCCTGCTCGGTACGCGGTCGTCGGCGTTGGACGTCTCGCGAAGGAAGTCGCCGCGGCTCAAGTCTCCGTTGAGCGTCTTCTCTCCCAGTAGAAGCTGGAAGCTCTCGTTGTCTTCCATAAGCCTAGCATTGGTCATGCGTGTCTCAAGCAGTTGCTTCTCTAGTTCACGCATACGTCCGCCTCCAGCGTTCTCAACTTCCAGCACCTTGACCTGATATTCGGCGAGCTCGAGGCGCAGGTCTTCAATGATCTTGTCCTTCTGGTGGATGAGCTTCGAGTTGTTTCGCGAGTTGCTGCGTTGAACTGAGTTGGGCGGTGCAAAGGATGCGACGTTCTCGAGGTTCTGCGAGGAATTGGAGCGGGATGGGTTGTTGCGGAAGCTTGCTGCGAAATGTGTTAGTATGTGCATGGCTACCACGTTGATGTAGCGGGATTTGTAGCTTACAGGCCCGTGACAAATGCTGTTCCTCTTCCAACTCTCCAGTGGGCATGTTCTTTGTGGCCATAGTCTCCTTGAGGCGCTGGATGGTGCTCTGCATTTCTTCCTCTCTCGACTGCGTCTCCTCCTTCTCCTTCATCACCTGTGCCCTCTCGGCCTCATAGATGCCTTCGAGCTCGCGGTGTTGGCGCGTAAGCTCCCGCTTCACATTCTCCAGCGACTCAACCTTCTCCTCTTCTTCGTGCGCACGTTCCTCGAGCTTGGCCTGCTCGGCAAGGGCATCGTCAAGGCGAGAATTGAGGATCTCGACCTGCTTCTGTCGCTCTGCCGCCTCGTTCTCTGCCTTCTGTAGGCGGTCCTTGAGCTCCTGTAGCAGTGCGGCTTGCTCCTCCCTGGCGTCGTCGTCAGCAGCGTCGGGCTGCGAGGCGTTGCTCAGATTTGAAGACGCGGCGGGCTTCTTGACGGCCGCGCGCGCTGAAACGGGAGTGCCATTGGCGCCGCCACGGACAGATCGTGTCCTTGAAACCCCACTGGTGCCGTTTGTAGTGGGCGTCGAGGAGCGGGCTGGCGTGCGGTTCGCAGCTGCAGGGGACGACGAGGTGGTTCTAGTATTGGCTTCGCGACGGGGCGTGCCTGGTGGCTTGGTTGCTGCTGCGGCCGACATGTTGTTTGTCTTTTCTTTGTCCAAGGTAAAGCGAGTCCCAGAGACTCGGAGTTGGCAACGTCGCTCAAACAAGGGCGGGTTGCACAAGGAGGTCCAATTATAGCGCGATCAACCACCGGTATGCGCCGTAACGTGTGCTGATCAATGGGGCTGTGTGGCGCTGATTGACGTGTGGAGCGGAAACGTTCAGCTGTGACTGTGAAGCTTGTTCTGCGACTCGCAACGTTTACGGGTGCAAAACGTCAAGTCAGGAGTCGAGCAGCGTTATATCAATCCAGTCGGGGTCCCGCCGTTAAAGTTGGCCCATAATCTCCGCTACCTTGTCCTTCCCTGCATTAGTGCCAAGTCCACCCGCCATCACACGACTTGCTGTAGGCCGGGAAACCACATCCCCTTTGATTTGCCGCACGCCAGTCAACTGTTTACCAGAGTCATTGCCCTCTTTCACTGCCTTCTACGTCCATATTGCTGCTTTGATGTCCAACGCCTGGTGTTTTCGTAGTATGTTGTGGCACGTGCGAAGTGTCATTGCCACGAGGACGAGGGTCCAGGGGAACTTCCCGCCTTCCCTCTTGCGTCTCACCTGGACATGCATTCACTAAGCACGTGAATATCTAGATGATGCTACTAAAAGCAAATGCTCTCAACGAAGCTCGTTTGACCAAGTTGGTCAGCTCAAAGGTACTGGTCATCTCACAAGTTGCGAAATGAATTAACGATTCGCACCTTCTTCAACAGGCTGTCAAGAAGCTGCCGCACAACTTTCTTCCTTGTATAAATTGCCGTGAGCGAAGATGATGGAATTGTCTACGTGAGACATATAAGTGGACGGGAAATGACATCCAAAAAGAGACGGCTACTTTGTTTATTCCGCCATGCGATAAGCAACTCTTCAATATGTGCGCCTGTCCCAATGACATCCTCGAACATACTCTCCAGGCAAGGGCAGTACGATACCTGTCCAGTTACATTGCATAATGACGACTTAGTGCTGGTAAAGATGGCAAGGCTGGAGGATGAATGCAAGGGAAAGATCCAGACCACCGCATAGTTAGAGTAACCATCGCAGACACGTGTGTATGGTTAGATAGTTGTGTGGTAGTTAAGTGCATATATAAGATACAGGTAGCGAGAGTATGGGTGGCGTAGTGACCGACACCTGAATCATGGAGTTGGAGACGAAGATGGGAATAGGAATGCAAACATCTACATACTCTTCTCTGAACCTCTCTTCCACCGATAAGACTGATATTAACATCGTCTCACAACCTACTTGTCTAATACCCTCAGTTGACAACGCTGAGGTCAACAGTATCAAAATCCACTTCCTTGCCTCCACACTCGCAGCTGATTCGCGCATACACAAGTTACCTACTGTTGTGGATAACAACATGTCGGTTGCCCATCAATGTATAGATGAAAAGATCTGACCGCTGTGTTTATACGAAAAGAGAAGGCGTCGTACATGGCTCAAATTTCGAACATTCTATTCCAAGATGGATTGGGTTACCCATGTTCAAATTGCTAGAGGTCTCTGATGCATCTTTAGGACCACATGTGGGCAACGTATGCGCGGTCCGCTCGATGACCAGACTCGTTGTCGTGAGGGTGAAGCAAACTTTTCATATAGTCTCCGCAGCACTGCTACAGGTACAAGACTGGGCTTGGGATGCTCGCAAATGAGTCATGATGAGACACGCGACACTTCTTGCAACGCATCGGCCTAGGCGTAGGCACCAATAGTTCGGCGCGTCATTCATCGTCGATGCCGGGAATTACAGGATACGTGCTGTCGCGCGATGAATACACAAACTCCTTGAAGACCGTCTGGCAATAAGCCGCTGAATTTTTGAGGTATGTACTCGCGACAAAAGTAGAGGGTGGCTGAAAGCGAATGCTGCAACTGCGAAGTGGTTGCGCCAGACGTATTCAGCACATTTAGCGGTAGCAGCAGAAAGCTGCCACGGAAATAACCTAAATCTCGTAAGCCTTGGCGATGGATGTTTGCAGATGCGAGAGCCACAGCCATGCTGGAACTATGGGAAAGATTCTGTAGCCGTATCTATGATCATCGTGTTCCATCAGCTGCGAACTTTGTTTTGGATGGTGCATTGAAGCTGGTCGTGTTTCGGTGGGCATCGCAAAACGACTAGTGAAGCGCACGTGACCGTCTTGGCGCTCTAAGCGATCACACGCGCCAGCGAATATTCTCAGTCCTTCCAACGTCAAAGGGTGCCGCGACTCTCGATACTAACCACCAGGACAACCAACCCGCCAAAATGTAAGGAATTCCGATTGCATACCCTCCAGCATGGCTTCGAAGAGCTCTCCCGCACCCGCAACAGCCTTCCCGACTCGCCGCTGTGCTCAATAGGCGCTCGAGATGTGGCGAACCCCTCTTCCCACGACAGCACCTTCCATCGCCTATCACCGTACAATTGATCAAAATACTGACCCAGTGTGTTTTACAGGGTCAACCTCCGCACTCAGAAGCGCCTCGCGGCCTCCGTGGTCGGTTGCGGAAAGCGCAAGATCTGGCTCGACCCCAACGAGACCAGCGAAATCGCCAACGCCAACTCCCGTCAGACCGTCCGCAAGCTCGTCCAGGATGGCCTCATCATCCGCAAGCCCGTCACCATGCACTCGCGTGCCCGCGCCCGGGAGCTGACCGCCGCTCGACGAATTGGCCGCCACCGTGGTTTCGGTAAGAGGAAGGGTACCAAGGACGCTCGTATGCCAAGGTACGCAATCACGACACCACGACCACAGTGGACTCGGGGGAGTCTCCCTGTGGGAGATCAAGGATGATGATGGAGACTGTTTGCTGACGCGGATGTCTATAGCCAAATCGTCTGGATGCGCCGTCTCCGTGTCCTCCGCCGTCTCCTCGTCAAGTACCGTGCCGCCGGAAAGATCGACAAGCACCTGTACCACGAGCTTTACCACCTGTCCAAGGGTAACACCTTCAAGCACAAGCGTGCTCTCGTTGAACACGTACGTTGACCATGACATCATGACTATGTCAACCCCGCTCAGAGTTCGGCAACTAACATGCACCACAGATCCACAAGGCCAAGGCTGAGAAGGCTCGCGAGAGGGCTATCCAGGAAGAGATGGACGCCAAGCGTGCGAAGACCAAGGCGGCGAGGGAGAGGAGGCAGGAGCGTGTCCAGCAGAAGCGTCAAGCTCAGCTGGGTGACGAGGAGTAAGCACGGGATATCATGATGAACACCTGGCGTGGGTCTTTTCAAGGTTAAAGGAGGGCGTCATTCTCCTTTTTATCTGGGCATATGCGGTCATGTTTCATGTTACGTCTGTGAAGGACTCTTCTCTCCATGCATACTCGACCGACAAGGCTGCCCCCGCTCTGATCACCGATGCTATGAGTGTACCAAAAAGGGAAATGAGCATCGGAATTAGAAACCAGTAGTCAAACTTGGAGTTGGTCTGCTTTCATGCATTGTTTGCGTTTACGACAATAGTGATGATACCTGCTCCAACGGTTCTCGTCTCTCAAACACACCACGGCACGCATTCTAAAAGCTCGCGAATTTCCAAATGTCCTTGCCAAAGACGCCATACACCCTGTTACCTGCTCAGGGTATCAAATAACCAGAAGCGCCTTGTCCAAACACCATGTGCAGATCCAACCTCGGTCGGGTTGCTTTACCATTAGATCTATGTTATGTTAGCACACTTCCTTGCCTGCTGTACTGCGTTACTCACCAGCTTCAGCGCCGCCCTGTGCACATTCCTTGTGAAGTTGAGCATGGCCTTGGCCTTGTTGTTACCCCTTTGCAGCCTTCTATAGCCCTCTTGCACATGACTTGGCTGCACCGGCTCCCTGGCCTCCTCAGGCGGATCAAACAGACCCCTCTCTCTCTTTCTCTTGAGTCGGTTCTGCTCACCGCCATGGTTCTTCTTGTACAAGTCTTCCGCATCCTTGACTTTGAGTGCTTCCTCCGTAAGCGTTTGCACAATCTCAAACGTTAAGAAACCCAGGATATCAATGATGTCATCGGAAGGTTTAGAATCAGTGATAAGGCCGAAGCCTGCCCATTCCTTGAAACGCTTGCCTTTGCGGTAGGTGAAGGATGCTTGACGACAGTCGGACCAATGGACATACTCTTCACGCGTCATGTTCTTGGTACGTTCGTCTGCATTCTTCAAGCGTTGTAGGGTGGCATAGTTCATCTCCTCTTCTTCCTCGTCTTCAACATCGTCTTTTTGGGGTGGAAATTCAGTGAAGAAAGATTGTACGTCCCAGACTAAGTCGACCTTGGCGCGTTTGGCTTTCTTTGACGCATCGACGGGGGCGGCGCCAGGACCACCTGCTCCTACTACGCCTGCAGCTATGTCTGCATCTCCAGCTCCTACGTCAGCACCGGCATCGCCTCCTTTGTCATCCGAGTCTTTGACGGAACGACGAACGTCTTTCCATTGAAGGAAGTGTCGCAACCGGGAAATCTTTGCGCGATCGTGGCGAATGAGCATGAAGAGGTCGTCTGTGGATATAGATTTGCTACCGCGGCGTGTAGCTAGAGCCGTACACTCTCGCAGCATATGCTGCACTTGATCTTGCACGATCGATTCAATCAGAGTAGTCGTTTCGGGAGATGGTTCGCCAGTTTCGCCGGAGACAAACATCATCTGTGGGATCGTTAGATTTGGGCCAACTTCGAACGGAAGTACATCCTCCGGCGATTGAGGTCGAGACATGGTGGGCAAGGATGTGAGAAAGAACACGACGATGGCTTCTCGCAGTATGGGTAGGGGCAGGAATTTGAGTCAAGGAAATGTGCGGGTGACACAAGAGCCATGGGCATCTTGTGGATGAACGTTTTGGCGAGCTCGGCTGCCGCTCTACAATTTGGGATGGCAGATGGGATGATTGTGGGTGAAGTAGAGAACGGGCCATGTTGGCTCTGTCCTTAAAAGACGAATCTTAGACGAGAACGAGCCTTGCACACCACATCCCGCAGCATATACTTCTTTAGAGGATACAAGAACATGAGCGACACGGAAGGGACGATCATTCAAACATTGACTTGAGCGCAGAGAAGTGGCCGGCTGAATAAAAAGGGATGTGTAGGTAGGTTATAGTAGAGGACAGCGCAGCCCCAATTTGGGACTGTCCAAAAACTCATCTCTAGCTTGATGAATGTACCAAAACGAAAACACGAAGAGAGTATAAGTATTTAGAAGGAAAGGCGATTGACTAACCTGTTGGATCTCCGTCCGATATTTGGCCATCTTATCCTTGTCCGACATGGTGTCTTGTTCCGTACTCTTACAACTCCTACAATCATACAAAGCGCGTCGCCGACCTCTTTCAACTACAAAATACCGAGACTTGAACACAAGAGGCGATGGATGTGAATGGAGTCCGAGGCTGGAACGCGGTTTGCGGTCTACTAGCGCGATTTCAGACGATGCCTGATGCGACAGTCCCGATGGCCCGCGCACGCTCGGCCCTACCACATGCAAATCAGCCCCGCCTAACTTTTTGTGAATTTGGAGTCAACCCCACCACCCAACATTCACCACACGCGTCACATTCGCCCATCATGCTTTATCTCGTGGGCCTCGGCTTGGCGGATGAGAAGGACATCACAGTCAAGGGCTTGGAGATTGTGAAGAAGGCAGAACGCGTCTACCTCGAGGCGTACACGGCGGTTCTGCTGGTAGAGAAGGATGTGCTTGTGAGTTGAAGATGGAGAAGATGAGTGAGGCATTAGGCGACTAATTACCACGGCAGTAGGAAGCTTTCTATGGCCGAGAAGTCATCATAGCCGACCGTGAAATGGTCGAGTCGTCCAGCGACGACATCCTCAAAGATGCCGACAAAGTCGACGTTGCGTTCCTTGTAGTGGGAGATCCGTTCGGGTATGCTTCTTCATCACTGCATCTCATGCCTAGCTAATGATTCTGTAGAGCGACCACTCACACCGACCTCGTCCTCCGCGCCCGCGAACTCTCCATTCCCACCCGCTCCATCCCCAACGCCAGCATCTTGACCTCGATTGGCACAACGGGTCTGCAACTGTACAACTTCGGACAAACAGTCTCCATGGTCTTCTTCCTTGATAATTGGAAGCCTGCCTCCTTCTACGATCGCATCAAGGAGAACGTTTCCATCGGCCTCCACACACTCGTCCTCCTCGACATCAAAGTCAAGGAACAAAGTATAGAGAACATGGCCCGCGGACGCCTGATCTACGAGCCACCGCGGTACATGACAGTCGCGCAGTGTGCACAACAGATGTTGGAGATTGAGGAGCATGTCAAGCAGGAGGGTGCTTACACAAAGGACAGTCTGGCTGTGGGTGTCGCGCGCGTGGGCGCTGAGGACCAGCAGATTGTCGCAGGCACCTTGGCACAGCTATGTGAGGCAGATCTGGGAAAGCCACTGCATAGCTTGGTACTGCTGGGTCGGCGAACACATGACCTCGAGAGAGATTTCCTTGAGGAGTTCGCTGTGGACAAGGAGAGCTTCAGGGAGGTGTGGAAGAGGGACTATGAGGGCAAGCAATGAGCGTGTCAACATGCTGTCGTCTCCCTACGCTGTTGAAATCTAGCAGCATCTGTCAATGCGCCTGCATAGACACCTGAAGACAAACAATTCTTTCGGCATGTGCTAATGTTTCATTCGCTATCACGAATATCTTGAACCGTCCCTGATTAACCAAAGTCATGCTAGGGTATCATATGCGAATCCATAACGCAACCCTCATTCCCTCTCGTCTTTCCGACTCTGCGCAGAAACTTACAACTTAGGCTCTGCTTCGTCATCCTGCTTCTCCCCGTTCTTCTCGCTCTCTCCGTCTCCAGTCTTGGTGCTCTTCTCAGTACCCTTCGCTTCCTTCTTCTTCTCATCATCAATACCTCCATCGTATTGTCTCGCAATCGGCATAGCAGGCAGAATCCCACTGGCGATGGCATCGAGGTCCGAGGGCATGCAAGTCGCTGGTGATGTATACGGACCTGTGCTATCGTGCTCTGCGCTTAGGCTTTCGACTTTCGTTTCGGCCCATGCGATGGCGGTGTCGACTGCTGACTTGACGCTTTGGGCGACCTCTGAGACGATGGTGGTGGTTGTAGTGATCGGAGTACCTGGAGTGCCTTCGGTGGAGCCATCTGTGGTTGCTACGGGGCCATCCGATGCTGGTGCTGAGGATTCGGAGGTAGTAGTTGCGGTGTCTGGCTCTTCAGTGATCTGCATCTGGTGTGATTTAGTTTGGATTTCGAAGAACAGTAATCCGTGAGTATACCTGCTGCCGAGCTGGTGATCTCGTGTCTGATGGCCTGTCCCCTTCCTTTTGAGCTGTAACAGCATCCAGTGCTTTCGGTCTCATTGTTTGTGTAGTGAGTGCGTCCAGTGCCTCTGATTTCATTTTCGCTGTCGAATGACAATGTCAATCGTCTCGATTGCTGTTCTTCCACTTGCTGCTATATTGATCGCGCGATCTTCTCGAAGTTTAGATTGTTTGTGTGATTGAGTGACTGATCAGGCAGCGATCTTTCCACATTCTCTCAAGATAGCTCATCATTTGTTTGTTTGTTTGTTTGTTGGCAAGACTGGCTGTGCCGCTCCCTTATCTTGTATGACTACCAAGGTAGGCTGTTGAGTTTGTGTAACTAGAAGCGACGTCATGGCGAAGGCAACGCGAGACAGCGCGTTGTCAGTTCCGAAGGACGGTGCGACCACGTCTCTTCATCAGTATCTGTAACGTAATTATTGCTGACCTGTCATTCCGTCATTTCCAGGTGAATTCTGGACCGAGTACCGTTGTCACTAACGGATCCTGCATCATTTCTCCATGGTCTTCCTATTATTGTGAAACCAAAGAATGACGTACGGTGGTTAAGTTCCACAGTATCGGGGTTCCTTCCAACTTGCCATATACAGTAAGTCTGTTAGTATCTGACCCTAGGCTATAGTCGTCATGTTTAGTGTTTGCATCTCTTAGTTGCAGAACTTGGTGCATCAACAGCCTTGTGATGAGAGGCTATAATAGAATACTCAGAGCGTACAACATGGCTTTGCTTGGGTCATTTGACATCTGCCGCTGCATGACGCAGGTGATAAGCCTTGCCTTGACTGTTGTCAACACCCACCTTGAACCCTCCTGCGCCATGCATCGTGCAACTCTTACTTTGCTAGAGGCAACGAAGACGACCTCCTGTCGGCCGGTCCACTAGTGGCTGTCTGAACCCCACTGCACGCCATCGAACGGTAGTCAGATTCAGGAACCCACCGGCTATTCATTTTGCATGGAAAAGGCAGACGTAGATAGCGTGAGACACAATCATCAGCAGAGAGCATCCTGGTCGTGTTGACCTACCGAACGTCTGCCCCATCATGTGGCGCATGACTGGGGTTCAAGCGCTTGAAGCGCAGATCAATAACATGTTTCTACTGTGGTACACATCTTCCTCATCTTCTAGAAGCTTTTTTTATTGGTCGCGTATTCACAGGTCATCCAGCTCGTAGGACCAGCTATACGAGAATAGACAACTCCGTGTCTTGGATTCGCGCCATGACAATCACTACGCCGCCTCAACTCAGTGTTGAGTTAGTCGATAAGAGCGTTTCTATACACGGTGTTGGATCACCGGCACCACGCATAATCGAAGGCAGTCAAGTCCAAGGAAGCAGTGCCGGAGACAGCAGCTGATTTGACTGGTTGGAATCCCAGCCGCTGTGTGCCAGTGTCCACTTGTTCTACGGCTCCTACAGGTACCTTGGTAGAAGCCAGGGTATATCCAGGCACCCTGTGATTGCATTCGGGCAGCAAATTAATATGAAAGACTGCATGGAAGGTTCGTCCCGCCTATGGGAAGGCTTGTGAATCTTCGAGTGGAGCTCGTGTGGCTTGGTAGCAATATGAGATGCTGCGAAAGCTGTGATGGCGTAGCGGGGCTGATCAGGAGATGCTGCTGATGCAGGTCCACTGCCGCCGTTTGCTGATCACAGTCCTGCTGGACCCTCTATGCCAAGGGAACGGTGTGCGCAGTGCGATCTTAGTCGGCCGTTTCCCTCATGTATTAGCCTGTTGTACGCGGTTAGCACGTTGAAGGGCTGGGGGAAGGTCGCTCGCTTCGCGGCCCTCTCCAGACACACCGCATGGCTTTCCCATGCTCCGTGCTTCCTGCGGACCCCTCTGTAAGCAGGCTGCCACCACACTATCATGGCTGCCACCACCACTACGCTGTTTGTATGTCTACTTAAGTGTGCGGCAAGTTGCAGGCAATGTATCGCCAATCGGGCGAAGCTGCGGCCTTGTTGGTGGGTAGAAAGACCATGGTGCAGTGCAGGCCACGGCTTGCGACTCGGGACCCTTGAAGGATCATTTTGGCGCCATTTTCTGATTGTCTGAGCGTGATGTGGAGTGCTTGATGCCCTGGTCGTCCCCGCATTCGCCTCGCTCATCTCGCGAAGGCGGTTTTGTGACATGTGTAGGTGTAGGAGCTAAGAAGAGGCGAGATTTGGTGTGGTTATAATCGTCTCTGGTCCTGCCGTCTCATGCTCATACCGGATTGTTGTATCTTGCTTCCATCAGCTACACCTAGCTTACCCCCCTTGCCGCCTTCGAATCCAGGACTTTGTCTCGATATCGTGGCTGCACGCCGCAGAAGTTGTGCAGCGTGCCCCAGCCGCCTTCTAACCGTCCACCAATCATGGCGGGAATTACTCCTTCCCCAGATGTTAGTCCCGTGTCAGCGGCGACCACTAATGGAGGATTCCCTCGGGACGCCTTCTGCCTCAATCTCTCTACTTTGCCCGAAGCAAACAGCTTTATCCTAAAATCTGCCCTGACGTCTCCTCATCTGCTCGACTCACCGAATGGACTGTTCTCAGGAAGCGGTGGTCTGAGTAATTCCTTCAAGAAGCGGCCCCGCAACATGTCTCAGTCATCTGGTACAGACAGGGAAATGTCAAACGACAACACCCCACCCGCCCAAACAAATGGAGTTGCGCCTACCAGCAATGGCACCAATGGCACCAATGGCACAAACACGGAATCACGACCAAGCACCAAAAAGCGTCCAAGTACCGACACAATAGACTACCCGAGACGTCGTGCAACCATCGCGGTACAGCAGACTCATGTCGATCTGTCAACTCCATGAAACTAACTATGAACAGTGTGAAATATGCCGGTCGCGGAAGAGCCGATGCGATGGAACGAGACCGAAGTGCAGACTTTGTACAGAGCTGAATGCAGAGTGCATCTACCGGGAGCCAGGTATCAAGCTAGACGCAGGCGACAAGCTGATCTTGGAACACCTCAATCGCATTGAAGGCCTCCTTCAATCTGGCCTTACCAGTAATTTCTCATTATCGTCACATTCGCCAGCCGCGAGTAATTCTACAAGCGAAGACTTCCTCGCCCGTAGCACCGGCAATATACCCCATCTCGGCATGGTCCAGCCGATCAACGGCATAGGAACATGGACCAACCATCCTTCGAATATCTCCACTATGCCGAAAACTCACAACACAGCAGCACTGAATCTGTTGTCGTCTCCAATGATAAGAGAGCTCGTATCTCGCCAGTACGACGCTAAGCTTCTGCTTCAGTTGGAGATGACCCGGGAGTCTGTGAGCCTTGGAACGAGCCGTGGGCTGGACCTTTCAAACACTGGCGCATACGTGCAGGCGTACTTTGAGAGAGTAAATGTCTTCTACGCAGTCGTCAACCCTTACACATGGAGTAGTCACTACCAAACTGCTCTAAGCCATGGTTTTCGGGACGGTCCTGAAAGCTGCATAGTTCTTCTGGTTCTTGCTTTGGGTCATGCTGCAAGCACCGGCAGTATTACACAACAAAATCCAGAAAAGGATCCCCCAGGCTTGGCATACTTCACTGCAGCCTGGAGCTTGCTGCCGACGGTCATGACAAGGAACAATATGGTAGCCGCGCAATGCCAAATTCTCGCTGCAGCATACTTGGTGTATCTTGTACGTCCGGTCGAAGCCTGGAATGTACTTTCGGGTGCCAGTATGAAACTGCAACTTCTTTTGAGTGCGCCCGGTCGAGTGTCTCCGGCGGAAGAAGAATTAGGCAGAAGAGTTTACTGGAATGCTGTAATGATTGAGAGTGATCTGCTAGCAGAACTTGATCTTCCCCATTCTGGCATCGCACAATTCGAAGAGGGTTTTTCGCTACCAACCGGCTTCGAAGATCTGGGAACAGAAGCAGTTGGTCGGGATGAATTGTGGTACTTTCTTGCAGAAATCGCCCTTCGAAGACTTCTCAATCGCGTAAGCTCCATGCTATACATAAGGACAACACCATATTCCAAAGGCCCAGCTGCGACATCCATCGCCCAACTGGACCCACTAGTTGTGGAACTAGATTACCAGCTGAATCAGTGGTACGCTGGTCTACCGCCAGCTATGCAATTCCCACTCGATAGAGTGCCTTTGCAGAACCCAGTTCAGACCGTTCTGAGACTGCGCTACTTCGCGTGCCGTACCATCATCTTTCGACCGTACGTGCTTTTGGTCTTGCAGGACGAGACTTTGGCGATGGATTCGAGCGTGCAGGACAATTGCCATAAATGTCTGGAGGCATGCGTCCGCCAACTGGAATATATTACGGCACACCATGCTGGACATCTGCCCTATCTATTCCAGGGTGCTCTCTCGTAAGTCTGGCAGTTTGTCAAAACAACTTGAACTGACACTTTCTAGAATTATCTCGCAGACACTACTCATCATGGGCGCAACTATGACCCCTTCGCTATCTCAGCTACTACCTCCGCCAGCGACCATGGACGATATCATAAATAACGTTGTTCTGGAAATGGAACGATATGCTCATCTGGCACCTAGCCTCCAACTCTCGGCCGAGATCATTCGCGAAGCAGAAGGAAAGCGGCAGATGTGGCTACGAACGGCAGGACTCAAATTCGATGTGTGAGACACCCAGAATGCGGTGCCAGAATGCCATGTACAACATAACCAAGACTGTGGTTATACCCGAACGGAAAAGTTATACCGCTAATGGAGGTACTTGCTCTACGTTGCGCGGCAAGATCTACCTTCCATATTTGGAGGCCTTCGTATACATGTGGACCAACAGGACAAGGGAAGATCACATACGAAAGCGGTTATCATCTACACGACACAGAAGGCGTACCTCGACCAACCCAATGCTGGGTCCAAGCACAGACCGTCATCTTCAACACCTCGAATCGGACGTTGAGACAAACAGGTACTAGGTCTCCATCAACCAGGTCCACATATCTGCCGTACCCCGAGGGTATATGCCGAAGGCGTTTGGCGAGTCAACGCCTAATATACGTTGTCTCGACATGTCATAGTGTCTATGAAAACATTTGAGGATAGGCAGCTCTTTCAAAGATTCAACGCATCACCGTCTTAGACGATCTTTCACGACTAAGGTTGCAGGAGGAATACTGTGCCTACATCACCAGATATTGCAAGACCGAACGAGTGGTGGCAAGGTGCAGCTTGGAAGATGATGTGTGGGTCGAAGTAATGAGTCTGAGGGATGATCTGTGGGTACTAAGGTGTACCCCAAATGAGTTCGGACTCGGTACGGCGCGGTGGCTTCTACCGCCACTTGAACGATGACCGTGACTTAGTACATAGTCAGCATGAGGCGTCGTGCATGAGGCTACGACATCGGATAGCACTTATGCAGCCCAGACATCAAGAGACTCCACACCATATCTAGTCTTAGTGCATCTGCTCATGTGAAGCGCATATCACAATGGTACACATAGCGCGTGCCGCGCACTCTCTCACGGTGACTAATGCACACCCCGGAGAAACGCAATATAGATCCTGCAACGGAGACCAGGGGTAGGGTGGCCTATTACCCCACATGTTTGGGTTTGAGACTTTATCCGTACACCCATCTTTCGGGCCTTCTAGAAAAGCAGTGGAACTTTTGGACGCCTTCGAGAAGTTCAAGTGCGGAGGTGTGCGAGACGGACAAGGGTGAATGGGACAACGGGGGAACCATGTCAGGGACGATGTCGTGTTGGTGGTTGATGATGATGCTGGTAGTCATCTGAGTCAAACCACTTCTGTCTTGTCATCCAGGGTACGGTGTGCATGGCTCTTTTGTAGGAGCTTAGTAGCAAGCCATGCCTTATAGCCTCGTCTTCACCGACCTTTAGGTGCGTTACACGTACATGTCTTCTAGAAGCTCAACCCAACTCAACGCCGTTGAAACCACGTACTGCAGCCACGATCTCGAGTCGCCGACTATGTGATACGATGTTTTGACCAGTCAGCAAGAGCCATGGCTTGGATTATCTGATGATGAGAGTTGGAATGTACACGGCATCATTCCAGAAATCACCAGACTAGCGCTCAGCTTTATGCACGACTTTGATCGCTGGTTGGTTCGCATGCGCCAGGGCGTTCAATAGTGCCTGGCGTCTTAAGCTGTGATTGGTACGTTGGTCCTCACACGACGCCACAGACGGAACGACGGGAGTGCGCTCCGGTAACATTATTGGATAGTTGTGCTGCTTCAAGACAGTACAACGCGAACGCGGAGCATGAAATATGTGGGAATGACGTCTAAGTCCTTTCCTTTACAAGTACCAAAGTTGGAGATAGGAGCAAGGGTATGCCTTTGTTCCTGAGGCCTGAAGGTAGCGCATGAACCGAGACATGGACATGTCCTTAGATTCGGTGATCGTTGAAGCTGAACGTATCTTATATCAACACGAACTCATCAGCCTCACCCTCTCTCCAGTCAACTAGCTCGCCATGCATCCAGTTCTCGTAATAACACTGTCCCACTACTGTGTACTCCGTCCCGTTTTCGCATCGTCTTAGGATTAAAGGAACCGTAGATCCATGTACGATACATATGCAATCGCCTGGGAGGATGGCGTTTGGACCGATACCAAATAACTGCTTGCGGCCGAGAAACAGTCGCTTATGCTCAAGTCTCAGGTTTGTATGATTGAATCGCTGCTTGTAGAGCTCTTCGCCAATGTCATCAGCCGAATGTGTATCAATGTAGTGCTCGTACATTGAAGTCAATTCTTCTGGAGTATATTGTAGTGACTCTCCAAGAGGCTGCTGGCCCGGATCGAGGCCCACAAGTGTAGCGAAGACGCGTGTTTTAGCAAGCTGTGTCTTGGCGGGAGTATCGACATCCACTGTAGGCATGAATGTTCCTATATTGGACATCTCCTCTGCCAATCGCACATTTTCTAATCCACTGTTTGCAAGCTCCTCACGCGTAACACATGACACAGATTGAACCGAGTCGATAACACGCCCTCGAACGGCCAAGCGCATATCGTCTTCGTGTGTATTTCTAGCCGCTTGGTACAATCGATCTTTGGCGGCGGCATATGGGAATTTTTGAGGGTCGCCAATTCTGTAACCTTGCCATTTGTCCTTGGCAGAAAAGGGGCCCATCCGCCAGTCTATCACCCAGGAAGGTATCTCGGCGTCTGCGCTGCCACGAACAAGCCCTAAAAATGGGAGGGAGCCGGTTTGACTTGCTATGTCTATGCAGAACTTCCGATATGCTTGTGCGATAGACAGGTTGTAGTTCGCAACAGCACGGAAGCCAGAATCGTCCTTTTGTAGAGCCAAAAATGCATAGATGGAGTCTCTTGGATCGCTTGCCTCACGTAGAGACGAGAGCCAGAACAGTACATCCAAAAAATCTCCGTACAAAGCTTTGTATTTAGGATCGCCCCGCAGCCACCTGCGTGCCGTATCGATGCTTAGGAAGCGATCAACTCCAATAGTGTATTTTAACTCTGAGTACGCGTCTTGAAGGTACGGGTCTGCGGAATATCTGATGATGAAGATTGTATGGTGAAGGATGTATAGATGAAATGGTGTCGATCCAAGAACAAGTGTAGGCTGAGTCGACAAAACGATCTCTTGGACGATCCAAGCTCGCTCGAAGTACGGGAGACCGAGGACCCAATCAATAGCTTTCATGTATTGTGCTTTTGTATATGAGTATCGTAGCTCATCCTCTTGACGAAAGGTAGCAAGTAGTCTACTTTCCAATCTCTTCATCGCAGGGCGATCCCAATCAACATCGAGCGATACACCACGTAGATTTTGTATCAAATCAAGTAGCACGGGCGTATGTTTAACAGATTTCCCAATCCACATCAGTGTGCGCTCCGCCTGTCCGTAGATTTGCTGCATAAGGGCAACCTGGTGACTCCGCTCATCCAAATCGCGTTGATTCACAGCAATCTGATCTATCCAAATTCTTCCGCTCGAACCAGGTTGTACCAATAATCCGTGAATATGGTTTAGAATATGCACGAGGTGCAGTGTGATATCGAGAGACCCAGCACCGGCTATAGGAATGGACGCATAAGTGTTAGCATTTCCGTCAATGACTCTAGGTTCCTCGTTGTTGTAATCGTTCCACGTGTAGGACAAGGCCTCGAACCGCGGTTTTTCTGCGAGATTAAGTACTTCTATCTTATACGACGGCGCGTCTTTGGTGCCTGAGACGGCCAGCACTCTGATGGAACCAGGAGAAAGAGCTGAATATTGGTATGACGTCATATTGCAGGTAGCATGGCCGGTCCTCGTCCCGAAAGAAAGTTGCGCAGCGCAAAAGAAAGCCGAGAAAGATTTCGAACTGGCTCAAAGGATGTGTTGACGACAGATACTAGGATGAGGTGAAGGTGGGGTTGGAAGAGCTGGTGCCCAGATGGAGGCCAGACACTGGGCCGTGAGTTAGCGTGTTTAAGCCCCACTAAAATTTCTTTGCAACTTCGACATCTTCAACGCGCGGCAACCACGATCACGTCTCCGTCTCAAACATCATGGCCGTCGACAACTCGCTGGAATCGCTACTCGCGACTCTGACTACATCTATCCAATCCGCCACGGAGGCACTTCCAAATGATGATATCTTGCCACCAAAAGAGGGCATTTCACTACTGGACGTGAAGAATGAGCTGCTTCTGTCCTATCTACAGAACCTCGTTTTTCTTATCCTGCTGAAGCTACGGTCGCGCAAGGGCAACCAGGAAGAGACGGATCTTCATCCTCAAGATGAGGTCGTTCAAAAGCTCGTGGAGTTGAGGGTCTACCTCGAGAAGGGTGTGCGACCGCTTGAAAGCCGCCTGAAATACCAGATCGACAAGATTTTGAGAACCGCGGATGATGCCACACGACGCACCACCCAAGCCACAGCAAAGCCTACACAAAAACTAAGAAAGAGCAAGGCCGATACTGGATCCGATTCAGACGTCAGCGACGCCGAATCCAACGGCTCTGCACAAACCGAAGACGATGAAGACGAGATGGCCTACGGCCCTCGCCGTGCCCAAGTTACCCGTCAAAAGACTGAAGCGGCGCAAGAGCGTGCGCGCGAATCAGCAAAGGATGGCATTTACCGTCCACCCAAGATCACCCCAATGGCGATGCCAACACCCGAAGGTCGCGAAGCGCGCCGAGATCGCCGTCCAGGAAAGTCTGCCACCCTGGATGAATTCATCGCGACTGAGCTCTCTGGCGCGCCAATCGCCGAGCCTAGTATCGGAAGCACCATCACGAATGGAGGTCGACACACGAAGTCTGAGCGTGAGCGTCGTGAAGAGAATGAGAGGCGCGAGTACGAAGAAGCCAACTTCACACGTCTGGCTCCTGATAGCAAGAAGGAGGCTGCGAAGAAGAAGGCAAGACAGCAGCGTGATGGTGGGTTTGGCGGTGAGGAATGGAGGACTTTGGGCGCTGGTATTGATCGCATTGAGCGTTTGACGCAGAAGAAGGGTGGTAACCTGGGGAGTTTGGAGAAGAGCAGGAAGAGGCCTGTTGGAGATGGTCCGAGGGGTTCTGGATCTGCTGCTGGAGATGCGTTTGAGAAGAGGAGAAAGGTCGTAGGCAGGTACAAGTGAGGAATTTGATTATTTTGATCCTGCAACAAAATCGAGGAGAGATAGCCCACACAATCATCGTCTGCCATGTCTACAGTGTGGCGAATGTTTTCATTCATATGTCATTATATTGGAGAATCGCTAAAACGCCTATTTTGATTCTCAACGGCATCTAGAATTGACGCCTGTACGACGCCCATAACCTTGTTCCGTCGACGCCAATGCTATGCATTTCACTGTGGTAGTCCGTGCCAAATCCAGCGACCAAACCTGAAACGCCTGCAGATATATGCTGGATAGCTCTTTAAATAGCCTCCTCTCCTCTAGGCCAGATACCTATACGAATCGATCTGTGCTCCGTCTACACGCTCAAGGTACTCGCGCTCAATGAGCGATTCAATGCGCTTCTTGACCATGTTGACTTCGGGCTTGAATTGACCATTTAATTGGCCGAGTGTTTCAGACATGAGCTGTTGATGCGACAGCTCTTTACGTTGCCTGTTTCGTTGTTAGCATGGTCTTTCTTGAAATAATCTAAGAATACTTACTTCATGATTCGGACAACTGCAGCCTCGATGCAGAAGCCTCGCGAATCGTCATTCTTCTTCTCTGTCTCGCGTCGCTCGCGATCGCTTTCGACCTTGTTGCCGCCGCTGACAACACCAACCTTGATCTTGACGAACTTGCCCTGGAATCCTTCGTTGAAAGAAAATCGATCGGTAGGTTTGACATCCTTGGACATGGGCTCCTTGATCAAGATTCGCGTCTTGGGCGCTACAGCTAGCGACTGCAAGTTCCGAATCAGGTCACTCGGAGGAATGTTGGTCTGAGCTTGGATCTCTTCGAAAGTCAGGCGTTCGTCGGCACCAAGCTCGTTGAATAAGAGTAGGATGATCATGCCGTATGTCGACACGTTTAGATCATGGCGACGCTCCTTGAAGGATCCGTCCTTCTGAGCAACTTTGGGAAAGACAGCCTTGATGTCCGCCGATCCCATATTGGGTAGCCAAGTAAGTTGTCGTCCAGAATGCTTTTGGCTGTAGAATTTCTCGAAACCGCGCTTGAGCTTGTCTACGACAACGGGGTAGTTGCACCGCGGTCGCTTGTCTTCTTCGTCGGCAGCTGCACCACCCATAGTCTCGAGAGGCCATGTCATGCTGGTCAACACGTTGATTGACAGCTCGATGCGCTTAGGATCCTTCTCGCCAAGACCTTCTACGTGCTTCTTGAAGCCAGCAGTAAGTTCCTCGGAAATAGTCATGTCCTTGAACATGGCCTCCAACTTCAGGGTGAAGTTGTTGCCGAGCTCGATCTTCATCTTCGAGATCATCTGCTTTTCGACTTCATTGCTGATGGACTTGTTCATCAACAGACGTCGACACAAATGCTTTTTGTAATAACGCTCGAAGAGGTCTTTGTCCTGTACGTATCGTAGCAAGATGATAGCCTTCTCTAGGACAGCGTCAATCTCAGCCTCAGTCTTGCCTTTTATACCCTTCTTCATGTTTTCGTCGATGAAGAGGGAAATGTATTCAGATGATCGCGGGAATGTGACCGAGTTGATGAACTCGGAGAAACTCGCGGTCTGGGCTTGTTGCAGCAACGGATCGCACTCGAACGACTCGCGCCAAATATTGTCAAAACGATCTTTGAGGGCAAGGACATCCTCGACCCATTTGATCGCAGCTACAGTCTGCTGGTTCAGACTCTTCTCTTGCGCCGGACCCTTGCTCTTGTCGGCGGAATCGGCAACAGTTGCAACAGCAGGCGCTTGCGATGCCGCGATTGCGTCCTTGTTGATGTCTGAACCCATTTCGACAATGCGCTGTTGGATGGCCCGGGTGGTCTCGAGCTTCTTCTCGTCTACTCGCTTGTTCAGATCGTAGATGAGGTTCAGCTCTTCTAGCCTGTGGTTATCGATCATGAAGCGTACGCCGCTCTCCATCTCCACGAGCTCGTGTATCCGGTTCTTGATGAGCTCATCCTCTACGACTTTCTGAATCTTGGGCCCGGTACTCTCCAACAGTGTCTGTTTGCAACGCTCGTCTTCTTCGTAGATTCTGCGTCGGGCGTGTTTACAATATGCGCCAGCATGTGAATCGCGGAGCAGGAGCTCCGACTCTCCATGGTAAAACACCCTACTAGTCTCCAAATACTCTTTCTCAAAAGACGTGTTGTATAGTCGCTGCTCTTCTGCCTCGACCTCGCCCTCATGTAGACCCTCCAACATCCACACACAAGACTTGATGAGGTGCTTGTCGATGACGTCGCCATCGCGTTCCATCTGTATCTGGTCGAGGATGATGTGGTTCAGCAAACTGAGTATCGCTCGAGCGTCGGTCGGGGAGATTTGAGAGTTGAGGATTTCGTCGCGGAACAGGACCATGGCGGCGTTGTAGATAGACGGCCGCCTATGGTCTGCACAATAGACACGATCCTTGAACGGGTCCATGTTAGTCATTGTCCTCTGCTTCCATACTCGAAGGCGTATCGTCTTACCATGTACATGAGCACATCTGCCAGCATGCTCGTGCAGATCTGGTGGTCGCTCCATGCCCCCTTCAATCCTTTCAAGAACTTCTCGCCAGCCACACGTCGCTCATTCGGTGTAGTTCCCCCAACGCTCTGCGCGTCGACAAGCAGATTTGGCGAGAGCAGTTGCGAGATTTGGTCTCGAACCTCGGTGCTCAGCCAGTTTCGCTCGAATTCGTGGACCTTTTCGTAGAGGGCCTCACCCTTCTTCTTCAAGACGATACGGTAGGCGTGGCGGTAGAGTTCCTCGTACGATAGCTTGGACGCATTCTTTGTGTGTATTTCTCGAAAAGCGGCCTCGATGGTAGCCCAGGTGTTCTCGAAATCGATCTCGTCACCGTGTAGGCCCTGCGAGAATGCCATTGTCAGTTGAGTCTACAGAGTAGAGGGTACATTTGGGACAGTGAGGTTGAGCGGCGAAGACTCAAGGCGCGATGAAAGTGAAGGTGAATGGTAATACATACCCTCCTCGGCGGCCGTATCCGCTGTCTGCCTCGCCCTGCGATCATGGTTGCTCCTGCCTCCTCTTGTTGGTGTGAATCAGAGCTTCAAGGCTCGGTGTGGGTTGAGTGGAGGGAGGCTGATGGTGAGGCCTGGTGCGGTATAGACGCAGTCAAAACAACGGTATATCAGTGAGACATCCGAGCGCTAAAACACAGTACAGCGAAGGTCAAGACAAAGGAATGGCACGTGTGGCGGCCGACGCGAGTGATGGTGAGGTTCAGGTCTCGGACTTGTTGCGGGCGGCTGGTCCCCGCTGAACGGAAGCACGCCGTCGTCATGGCTTGGCACTCGGTCAATTATTCTTTGCCCGTTGCATTGCCGTTCGTCACACTTGATACCTCGTCATACCCACGATCTTTGTATATCGCTGTCTTTCGAGTCGTTCTCATCAGAAATACCCGCCATGCGCTCCTCTTCCTCTTTGTTACGCGGCATCGTCCGAAGCACTGCGCCTTCGACTGCACGACTTTCCCACGCCGAGCGAATTCCAGCGCCCGCAAAGCGCCTCTTTCACACACCGCGAACGTCAGCTGCCACACGCCCCTCGCCCATACTATCACGAGCGCGTGTACCCGCCACAGTCCGCTTTGAGTCAAATGCAGCCTCCCCAACGTCGACGACTGCACCGGACTCACGACTAGAACGCGAACAAGTCCCGTCGTACGAACTCACCTTCACATGCAATGTTTGCAAGACACGGTCGTCGCATCGCTTGTCTAAACAAGGATACCATCATGGAACTGTCCTGATCCAATGTCCGGGCTGCAAGAACAGGCATCTGATCGCGGATCATCTCAAGGTATGATGAAAGAACACACCAACTGGCGGTGCAGTCTAACGGTTAGCAGGTATTCTCGGATAAATCCGTCACAATCGAAGACCTCATGCGGGAGAAAGGCAGCCTAGTCAAGAGAGGCTCTCTGAGTGCAGAAGGCGACGTTGAATTCTGGGACGACGGCAGCACCACTCCTCGCTCTGCACAATTCCACGCCGAATCGAAACCCAAAGGCGACAACCGCCTCGCCGAGCAGCCTGACCCATCGAAGCCCTCGCAAGACTAGACGCTACGCACCCGAGATAGACGCGTACACCTAGCGGCATAGTCGATTCTCCGTACAACATCTGGCAGCCTGTATAATATTGTTTGAATACCACTCAGGAGTTTTCGTTCCAAATCAAGAAGTCCAGGTTACTGGGTACAATTCAATCACGCATAGCCCCGGTATCATTTTGTCTGCGCACGCAAAGAAGTTCCACAGTACCGCTAGGATTACTTCCGCTAACGACCTCGCTTGCTTACAATGGCATATCTACGCCCACCGCCTCCCGTCTCTTTACCTCAAGTTTCACCATCGGATCGACGACCTTGTATACACCCAATTGTAGTGACCTTACCTCATACCTCTCTGCAAGCTGGATGTCGTACTTGAGCAGTATGTGAGCCACGGCGAGTTTCAACTCATTACTCGCAAAAAACCGTCCTGGGCATAGGTGACGACCACCACCAAAGACACTGAACTCTGAACCGGACTGGACAAATTGACTAGTTTTATCGCCTGCTTCACGCTTGCGCAAAAAGCGGTAGCCGTCAAAGCGGTCCGGGTCGGGATAAACGGTGGGATCCCATAGATTTGTAGAGTCGACCATGACGTGCGAGCCAGCAGGTATCCTTTGGCCGCTCGGGAGTATAGCGTCTTTCAGGACCACGCGTTCGAGGCCCACTGGGTCGGAGTACATGTTAGCTTTGACATGAAACATAAATGAAGACGATGGAGAACGTACCTAAGGGAGCGGATCGTCGCTGTGACTCTTTCAGAATGCTGTCTAGAAGGACCATGGCAGATGTGGCAGCGACTGATACCCCATGTGTGGAAATTTGTTGCGATATCTCCTCTCTCAATGGCTCGATAAGCTCAGGATGCTCGGCTAGATCGATCAAGACCTGGCGGAAAAGCTCACTCGTTGTGAACAGTGCAGCCATTGCAAGGGACAACTGGACATCGCCTGCTTCCATTTTTCCACCCGATGCAGTTTGTGTCCATGCAAGTGCGTCGTTGTATTGTGGCGGTGATCTACCTTCCAAACTCGCCTTCTCAACTTCTTGTCGCCTTCTCACAAGTACCTCGTTCATGATGTCGCGGGCTTGAACGACATACTTGCGACAAGCTGATGCATTGGGAAGGATTCTTTGCACCAGGGGTCTTGACCAAGCGGGATATGCATGGAGCTCATTCACAGCAGAGAAGTAAGCGGCGACGTAGCCCTGTACGACGTCCAACCACTGCGCATCGTCGCTCTTTTCTGGACCAACGAAGACTGAAGACGCGACGCGTGCGATGATACCAGTGGTGTCCTTCTGCCAATCGATCGCATGCCAGACTTTGTCGTTTCCCCAGTGAACTTCAATAGCTTTTGCCGCACTCCTATTCATGGTAGGCATCAGACTATCGTTCTGGCCTAGTTTGGTCTTGATCACGTCCATGAGCATGTCGCCAGAGTGGAGAAGAGTCAGTCCTTCAAAACCGGGGAAGTCTGAGTAAAAGTCTTGTCGCACAAGTTCTCTGTGGTCGAGGTCTTTGTTGGATTTCACCCAGCTCGTGAGTGACGACGGAAGTACGATCTTGCGGCCATTGGGAATGGCAAGGGTGATGGGGCCTTGGTTTTTGGCGAGACCTTTAGTGATCAACGTCGCGGCATTCGTGCTGTATTCGCGATTTGCCTTGCGACTGAAGGGATCGTTGAGGTGGCTATTGATGATGGGGAAAACCGGCCGACGTCTTGAGCGAAGAAAGTATGCGCTAGTCAAAATGATTGCGAACGTCCACGTATGGATACTGAAGATGATTTCTAGAAGCATATCCGTTCGAGTACGACAAGATAGCCCAAGGACTTGAAAAGAAAAGAGGACTAAATAATTCCTGAAATCATGCCGGGGACCTCTTAAAGCAACAGGAAGAATCTCTAATTGCGCGTTCTGAAGCAGAATGACTCATTATGAATACAGAAGCAGTATCTGAGTACGATAATTGGAAACAAGGGGCGATTCGACGAGACGGTATCCCCTCTACGACGAGATTCTCGCGAGGAGTAACAAAAAAGAAACACATACATGGCAGTCAGCCAGCCTTGCCATGGAGAAAAAAATATCAAAAACATACAACAGCGGGGATTCGCTAGTGGTCACCCACCTAACTACTAATCCGCCGGTATCCTGCTTGTATATGGCTGAGCGGACGGGAAGCCTAATTCTCAAGATCCTATGGTCGTATGTGTTGATTCTACTGGCTCCATCAACCTATATTGCGCTTTTTTTGTTTAACGACATCGTCACGTCCACTGCTTTGACAGCGCTGCTTGTCGATGAAGTCTACACGCTTCTCTCGCTTCTAGTTATCACTTAGTAGACCAAGTTCTTACCCAGCCTTGGGGCCATTCAACTGCAGAGATCCCCTACCTAGCTAGAGCAGTTAGCTGGTTCTGCTATACTGATGGAAGTTCCATGGAAGTTCCATGTCGTGCTCTACGACCAGGCTCGTGGACCGCTTGGATATGACCGCGTCAATTATAACAAACCCAGGTGGAATGGTGTGAGAGTCTGCCAACAAGGCTGCACATACCATTACTAAATACAAGAATCTCAGTATACATAACTGTGGGGGCGGGACGGGCTTGGCATAAGCCACATGCCTTCGTCTGGCTGATTATGGTCGATCTCCCACCAAGTATGCGGGCTGAGTGGCTATGTGATCAGGCAAACGTTGCCGAACTTCAACATGCAGCCTGTAATTTCCGCCTGCTGTTAGCCCCCAAAATCAATGCCTCTCGAGGGCGCAGCCTATGTGCTGATTGGACGACGTAGGTCTTCGGTAACATACCCGATGCTGGAGGACCTCTGCCAAGACCTTACACTCCTGTTTAACTCATCACATGCGCTCTAGGCTGGACCTGCCACCAATTGCAGCCGAGAACTAGCTCGAAAGGACGAGGGTTGGTGTGCAGGTGGAGGTTTATTTCCTAGCTGCGCCTGGCTGTGGCTGGCTGCTGAGGTTAGTTGTCCATGCGATAAAAACAGATGGTGACGCGGCTTCGATATGCTTGGATGCGTCATAGGAGACACGGTCGAGGAAACCTTATCAAGGGCATGCAAGTGTACGCGAAGCCATTCTGGGTACGACCATTGTCAACCGCAGAGCCGCATGGGTTGTATGCATCGCTTTGTCCCGGCACTGCTTAGCAAAATCTACCCACCTACATCTTGTGTCAACTTCTCTTGATAGTATTTACCCTAAGAACTTTCTCCTGTGTCCATAAGCTATGACAGGCCTAATGGCGACAGGAGACCCACAGGTACTCTGGGCGGAAGTCCGAAATAACGAAAGGTAACAAAACACCAATCCCTGCAAATAGTGGATCAGCTAACAACTTAAGTCCTGGCCATGTCTCCAAGTTTCCCTTGAATCGAGTTACAGAACGGCACGCTGCCACATTTTATGGACGACATTACCTACCGATCGAAGAAGATGTTTTTATCCGTGGCGTACTCGCACTTCGATCGCAAGATGCTATCGAAAGCAAGTTCCGAAGCTTGCACAACAATGAATCCTGGATGGAGAATAAGAGACTTAAACTCGGCGAACACGAGTACTCCAAGATCGAGACTGAGGTTCTATATAACGCTTGGATGAGAGGGAAGATGGAAACTTTGAAAAACTTGTCAAGATTGCACCGACTTCTGATAGTGGCTTGCATATACGCTGCGATGACACAGTGAGTGCGTGTGCTATCCTTCTCATAATAGAATACTAACACGACATTAGGGGTTGGGATCAAGCAGCTATGGCGGGTAAACTTGCAACGTCGCGCGCTGAAATTCATGGCTGATTTTGTTTCAGGTGCTGCAATCGAAGTTATGAACAATCTGGGCAAAACTACTGATACAGGACCCTCCTCTGGTATCGCGAAACGAGCGACGGATCCTAATGTGCACCTCGACGAGAACACATGGCTTCTTGGTGTCACCGTAGGAGTTCCATTCTTCGCTGGTGCTGTGTTGGGCTTGATAATTACCGACCCTGTCACCAGGTTCTTAGGGTTTGGTCGACGAGGTGCAATCTGCGTTGCAGGTATCTTTAGTCTTATCTCCGTTGTTGGTTCCGCGTCTGTTCACAAATGGGAACATCTCCTCGGATTCAGAATATTGCTCGGTGCAGGCATGGCGGGCAAAGCCTCTATTGTTCCTATACTACTGTCCGAGACATCTCCTAAGAATGTGCGCGGTATACTCCTTGTCTTCTGGCAGCTGTTTGTCGCTTTTGGATTGGCTGCTGGATCTGTTGCTAACTTGAGCGTGTATCGCCTCGATGTCGACTCAAGCTGGCGGTACATGTTCATTGCAGCATTCCTGCCAGCACTTCTTCTACTCTCGTTGATTCTGTTCTCGCCCGGTAGGTTTGAAACAAGACCAGATCATGGTGTACCTGATGCTGACGAGTATAGAATCACCACGCTGGCTTCTGAAAGAGAGTGGAGCATTCAGAGGGCAACATGGCGTTATGACGCAGAGCCAAAAGCTTGTACGAAACGCTTACCTATCGTTGGTCGATTTGCGCGGCGAACCCAGTCCAATACTAGCTGCTGGTGAGCTATACTTGATGCACACGCGTCTCATTGATGAGCAACATCGGCTCAAGGACGAGTTAGCGAAGACGTATTCAACAGCACTCCCAGACGCAGGACCCAGGTCTGAAAGCAGACTTGTAGACGAGATAGAACACATTAAATGGTGGTCAAGAGTCAAACTCATGTTTCTCTACCCCGGCTTCACACGAAGAGCCCACCTAGCTGCAGCTGCCGTCATGATATCGCAACAGCTGTGTGGTATCAACTTGCTGGCCTTCCTAGCTGACAGATTCTTCCGAGATTCCATTATTCATCACACGGAAAAGACTACGCCGGCTGAGAACATGCAACTACTAGGCATTTCTTTCGCCTTCATGTTTCTCAACTTCTCAGCGACCATGATTGCACTATTCCAGATCGACAAACCCAATGGAAGGCGCACGCTCCTGAATTGGTCTTTCCCTGGTATGGCAGTGTCTCTGTTAGGATCTGCCTTGGTAATCACGAAGCCGGGTGAGCGCACTGCTGGCATGATTGCGGGTCACTTCATCTTCCTTGCTTTCTTCATGATTGCATATTCAGCCGGGGAGGGTCCCGCAGCTTTTGTCATATCGGCAGAAGTTTTCCCGCTTGTGAATAGGGAGCTTGGGATGAGCCTTGCCGTGTTCTGGAACTTCATGGGCGCGGGTATCCTGGCTGTGATTGCACCGTGGCTCTTGAGGGAACTCGGTCAAAAGGGTGTGCTCTTTCTTTTCTCTGGTACCAATTTGCTGGCATGGTTCCTCTGCTCCTGGCTCATTCCAGATACCGGCATCGAAGCTCTGGAAGACGTTTTTGACCGACTTGACATCACCACATTGTTTATGTTGAAGTACACAGTATTGAAGATTCTGCGGAGGGTTACGAAGCCTCTACATTGGTGTCTCAACTTCAAAACCACAACATGGTCGAGTGCTGGTTTTTGGCAGAAACCTGGGTCGCCCAGGGATGAGTTTGACGAATCGAAGTTTGGCGCTCAGCGTTTTGACGAAGAGACTGCGTCGCAACCCGAGCGACACGAGATGCTTGAGCGGACTGCAGCAAATGCCGGTCGGCCGGAGGGAATTTCTCCTCGAAATGAACGAAGGCAATCGGTCTGAATTAGTTCTATACCATCTCCATATCCGAAGTATTGTCTATCGACTTGTTATACTCTAGTGAGCTGTTTTCCTGTTTCAGGTAGCCTTTCCTGTATGTTTGCATTCTCCATCTCCAGCAAGCCAAGGTCAAGATGGTGAGAGGGATTGAGATGACGAAGTAAAGCCACAACTGTTTCGATACTAAGAGGTTGCGAGACTCGGAGTCGAAGTCTACAAGGTTCATTCCGAACATCGTCTGTGAATAGTTTAGCATTAGTCATAGCTTCTAACATGATAAACTTACCGCCACGAATGAGAACGGCAGATAGAACGAAGTCACAAGTGTAATAGCTCTAATCGCGACAGAATCTTCGCGAGCTGATCTTGCCATCTGGAACGTATTCTGACTCTGCCCCTTGGCAAGCTGCTGGAAGCCCAAATTCAGTGAGTCCAATACTGATTGCGCAGTGAGCTGAACTCGTTTTTGGAGATATGCGCCTCGGTTTCTATATGAAAGAGCCTCCTTTCGAAGCTCTTCCAGGCTCTGGTGAACGGCTACGCGTGCATCTTTATTCCCATCGTTTGCTTCCAGCAAATGGTCGCCAGCTTGTTCAAGGTCGCGAATCAGTTCGTCCAGCGCTGTCAACAAAGGCTCTGCTGGTAATATTCGTTTTTCGATCGCACGGACTTCTTTGAGTGTATCGAAAGTCACCAAGGGCTCTTCTAGAGCTGTACAGGCGGGCTTCAAATCCTATTCATCTGTTAGTACAGTCTTTGGTAGCTTTACAGCAACTTTACCAGCTTCAAGAGCAAGGTTTCATGGTCTTCCAGATAATCTCGCCAGGATTGGAGATGACTTGATATCAACATCGTGTGAATGATTGTCGGAGTCGATATTATTGTAGATCTGCCCGATACCTGCTGCAGTCTCTTGCGGAGGTAGTCATCAAAAGGTGCGTTCGAACTTGGGTTCACTATCAACAATGTGGACCTAGAGCCCTTTTTGTTGTGGATCTGATAGATCCCAGTATGCCGGATGACCCACGGATTTCCAGACTTGACGTCTTTCTTCTCAGGATATTTATAGACCCAGCCGAACTCTGTCATCTTCTGTCAGCCCGGACAGGAAGCACCAGGAAGATCTACTGACCGGATCGGTCGGCGGTAAACACCGTATGAGAGGTGCCGGAATATGCTTCCTCAGTGGGCAGATGACGTGCATTGAAGCACCTGAGGATTTTCGAGAAACCACAACCAACTTTGCAATGATCCATGAGAGTAGAGACCATGTCTCGGCTTGCATTGAGAGAAGCCCATGTGTGCTGCTGATGGAGAAGACTGAATCTCATTGTTAGTCCCGAGAGATGGTCGCTCAGAATATGCCTACTATATGTCTATCCCGCTACCGAGAGTTTCTCGTCTAGCGCTGCGAAGATGACTGGACAACTGCGCCTCATCTGTGAAGGTAAAAGTATCCGGGTCGCGTGATGAATCAACGCCCAGTTCCAATAGCTCAATCAGATGTTTTTCCTCCCGTTTGGAAAACAGTCGAGTATTTTCCAAGATTTTTGATCGTATCTGCGTTGTCGACAACGCAAGTGGACGTACATCACTTGGGTCGTGAGCAGGGAGACCATCGGCAAACATTGTGACAGAAACGGGCTGGCTATGCAAGCTGTGAAGAGGCGCATAAACTCTCAAAATTCAGAATGTATTCTATAGTGAGTCTCGCTCGACTACGTGCTTATGTAGTTCCGTATGCACAGCCGAAACGCTGTCAGGCTGTGAATGTGAGCCGCCGATCTGCCTCACTAGGCTGACAAGATACCTCAGTCTTGTGCTTCGCTGCAAATCCATACCGTTAGCACATATTCGACCGCTATGTCATCAGTCGTGTCTGCTCACATCCACTCGTCCTGTAGGCGTTAGTGGGACCTTCGAGCCTGATGCACGAGTAAGCCACTTACGTCAGTAAGTTCTCTGGGAGCCTCAAAGGTGAAGAATCCATCTTTGACCTCGTTTATCCTGAAGTTCTTGCAGTCGGGGAACGTCTTTCGAAGGAAATTCAGCAATCCTGTTCGACTGTAGTAGCGATCGTTTGCTTGTAGTCGAACCATAGTGGGATTAGGCTGGAGGAAAACGGTGATGTTATTTTACCGTGAACCTCACACGGCATAATACACCACTATAAACACGTTGCACGAGGATGTGATGCAGATGACAAAGAGTCTGGGGGCTAGGGTATGTGCTGGCGAAACTGCTCGGGAGCAAACTGCCACAGGATTGCCACTTTGTGAAGGCTGGCGCGTCCACATGATGCGCGGAGCGCTGCTACAACTAAAAAACCGGCCACACAGCCGTGCAGCTGCGGCGCGAAGCTGGAGGTGGCAGCACGTCCTGCGAATATGCACAGCCCGGCTCTGCAATTGGCCTTGTCACATGGGCCGTGGTTGCCTCGCGGGTTTATCCCGTCCCCGCGTTCCCCCATCGCCATTGACATCACCCGAATGACAGCCGCGAAGCGAACAATAAAGGGCCCCACGTTCCTCCACGCGTTAGGGGTGTACCTTCGCGCGTTGCAAGATCGATCGAACACATGCCGAAGCCTGACCCTCGAGCACACGCTATCGTGTATCACGGCTGCATGATTAGGCCGTCGATTTAGCTGGAGATCGCCTAGTTCCAATGACCGCTCAGCGGAGCCCGTCATTACCGCGCTCGAGCACATCGTCCTCACAGCCTCGCGACACTCAACAGCAGCACCTCTCCGGAAGAATCAGCGCAAGCATCAAATCCACCATAGTAGGAGTCCCAGACAGTGAAACTCAGATATGTCGGTTTCTACCGAAAGGTGATCTAACAACCATACTGAGCGAACAAGCGCTGAGGACTTACCTGAAAGAACTACTCAGCGAAAGCACCGATGAAGTTGTCGAAAATGCCCTCCATAGAATAATCGGTGATCCAGAATGTAATGAACCTTCGAGAAGGGCCCTGCTTGCGCTCTTTCTTTATCACCAGCGTTCCGGATTGCTCCATCATTTTAAGGACTGGCTGCTAGCACCCCAGCATGATTTCCCATCGGATGAATGGCTACCCTTCGACCAGGACCGCTTGGACAGAACTACACTCCCACCGCGATGTCATGAATACATTAAGGATTACCAATACATCTTTATTCCATCCACGATCAGAGAAGATATGCACCAGACATTCCACTCCAAAGAACGGTTGCCCTACATTGGTCCACCTTTAGCTTCTATAGACGGATCGTCAGGAACTGTCTTTACAAGAAAGGTCGCACCAGGTCACTGGGAGGAGAAGCGCAAGAATGGTAGCTATGCACCAGCGGATACAACAAAGCCAACAGTGTTAGCCTTCAAGGTCTTCAGTGGTGGGCATACTGGACAAGAGGCCGAGACGAATTTTGAAATCGAGCGTAACATGCTCGAAGATCTCCGTAACGGAAATTACAAGCACAAGATGATCTTACTGGATTCAGGGAGCTTTGTCATTCGAGACGAAACTCGTATTATACAACACTGTTTGATTTTCGAACGTGCGACTTGCACACTCGAAGAGTTTCTCACCGACGAAAAGAGAGGACTGAAATCCTGGACCAGTAGTCTATTACTCACAAATCTCGTTGGCCTTGTGCAGGCGCTAGCATGTTTACATGACAATCTGGATACTCTTCATCTCGATATAAAACCCGACAACATACTCGTCTTTGATAGGCCTCCTATCCAATTGGAAGATGGAACTTTACAAGAAGCCAAGTTCGAGTGGAAGATAAGCGACTTCGGTCTGGCTCGCAAACGCCATGCCAAAGAGAGGACAGGGCCTTTATACGACAGAAACCGTTCAGCATCTCAATCTGCCTCACTCTATGCGACAAGACCTGCGGGAAGGTTTCAGGCTCCGGAGGTTCAACGACGGGGATCTAGCAAAGCAAGCCGAGGCAGCGATGTTTGGTCAATGGGGTGTGTCATCCTCATGGTTTTGGGTTTTCTGGTAGACACGCCTTCAAGAGTGTTGAGATTGCTGAACAGCCTACAACTAGAGATTGTAGAGGGAGGGGTAACCGACAACTTGTTTTACGTCACAAGTGATACGTATGAGTGGAGAAGTGTAATGATAAAAGAGCTATATCGCTTCGATTATCTGGACGAACCTGACCCGGTTATCGGCATTATCCCGGAAGCACGACAGATGGAAGCAGCTGTGCATCCTGAAGTTGTGAAATGGTCCAACCAATTATTTCGCTGGTGTAACGACAAGCCAGAGCAGCCGATTTTGAAAGATGCGCTCGGTATTGTATTTCTGCGCGTTCTCTTGATCGAAAAGAGCCAAAGGATTGGAGCATTTTACTTGAGCAAGCGTCTTGCCGATGTGAGAGACCGTTGGAAAGAGATAGAGGCCCCCAGCGAACCCCAAAATGAACACCCAGAACCCAGGAGCCTGCATAGTCTGGAACCCGATGACGATAATGGCGTCACTACACCTCCACATGGTTCAGACAATCAGGGCGGAAGCCCTGTGCCTTCTCCTATCGTTGAAGAACCGCAGCCAGTTGCTCTAGATCATTCCAGACTATGCTCAGCGATCACGCAGACGGGTTCTGCTAGCCCGAAGGGGTTCCGACAAGTCATAAAAGAAGAGCTCATTAGAGATATTAGCCAAGTGAGAGAGCCTTGTCCTTTGTTGAGCTGCCAAAGCCACCCTATTAATGTGGCTATACGGCACAAGTCGTACGATGCTCTAGAAGAGCTACTCATCAAGGCGAACTCCGGTGACTTGATCATTCCCTGTTCTGGTTGTGGGGATCGTACTCCATTGGAGGAGGCATGCGAGAGGCCTGGAGACCCCAAAGCCCTCAAGTATTTCAAGCTTTATAAGAGCGAATTTGGAGTTACGAGAGAGTTCTACGATGGTCATAAAAGCAACATGACAAAACCCGCCAAGGAAGCTCTGAGAAAACTACTTCAGGCCCCGGGGCAGCAACAAACAGATGGAAGTGTGATCAGAAGAATCCTGACAGGTAGATCCAACGGCAGTTAGGGTTAGCGACTTATGCGCGAGATCTTCGTCTACCTCATTAGGCCTGTGTATAGCTGTAAGATAGCTACATAGACTCATGCGTTATACTGTATCTTGCTTTCATTTTTATAAATCATCTTTTGGCCTCAGGAGTCGTTAGAGCGGTAGGCGAAGGTATTTGAGTGCTGGTTCACTGGATTTGGGTATTCGAGGTCAAAATTGCGCTGCGCAGCATGTGATGAATACCCAGAGGATTTCTCAAGAACAATTACATTAACATTAATATACATAAAAGCTTCGCCTAAGCCCTCTACGTTTGCGCATTCAGCCGTGCGGTCTCTGCTATATTGAGACCCAAGCCATCTGCTTGCTGCTTCGACACGTCGTGGGCAAATTCACCCTGCGCTACTTCTGGACTGTTCTGTGGTGACTCAAGTTCCCGCGCCCCTGGACTTCCAGGAAGCTCAACAGGCTTGTTGGCAGATGACGAGTAAAGCTCAGCTCTTGTGGTGTCTCCCCCCAATTCCTGACGGCCTGTGTGGTAATGTGCCCATTTCTGTTGTGAGTTTTGGCTGGAATGGTCCCAAGAGTATGTAGGAGGTGCTACGTATAGTCAGTGAAGAGACAATCAAGGTCAGTTATACGAATACACACGTGAGAAACCTGAAGGTGTAGTAGGCGATGCCAGTTCTGCCTTTGGAATCACCAAAGTGTTTGCCGCCTCGGTTTCGGTACTCTTTTTCTTTTGGTTGCGCCGCCGATGCCACAAGAAGAATATGATCGCTGCGATGATGATCAGGAAGGCGAGTGAGCCCCCTACAGCACCTCCGATGACCGCACTAGAGGTTCCACTGGGACTGGCGGCAGCTGTGGCCCTAGACGTGTCACTAGGCGCTGAAGATATACTGCTGGTGGTCGAAAATGCCGTAGGTGCAGGGACAGAGGACGAGAGTGCAACGTTGAGGTCATGAAAGTAGTAATACTGGTCAGGTCGATCCCAAAATGACGGCTCAAGTTCTCCTTCAGGACATGTCGAATTGTTCATGCACGGATCCTCATTGCAGCATCCCCAAAACGTTGGCGCCATGTTACAGGTCCACATGGGTGTATTACCACCACACGATCCGCCGGGTGATAGGTTGTACAGTGATGAAGAGCGACCCGCCGGTCGTAGCATGTCACCAAAGCAGCCATGCACGCACGGATCCGACATACAGCAGCCGAGAAACTTTGTTCCCGTCTCACACGCATACCTGGTGATGGTCAGAATTAAACTTTGTAGCACTGTCGAAATGCGCTTTATTCGTTGAAATCATTCCGATCTGGTGACTTCTTCGACGTACCAAGTACCTCCACTGGGACAAAAGAAGTCTCCTGGCTTAGCTGCTGTATAATTGGGATTTGCCATGGCGGAAGTAACTTTCTGGAATGGAAGACCGACAACCTTAAGGAAGTCAAGAATACGGAGAACAATGGAACATGGAATTAGGTTGAGGAATATAGAAATGCGAAATGCACCTTAGGCACACAGCACACTTGACAGCTTATGGTTGCAGCTCCAAGAAAGCCAAGTGCTTGCGGCCCAAGATAACATGATTCCGTCGTTGTTGTAAGGGATCCCGTGATGGTTGTGGCGAAGAATACCTTTATCGATTCCAGCGAAGGGCCCCCAAAAGGCCGGCAATGGGCCCGAATTGGGGTAGTGGCCGCCGTGGCTGCGAGGGTGGAGTTGGGTGAGAAGCTTGAGGAAATCTGTTTATACGCCCTGCGTGAGTGAAGAGGGAACAGCGCGCAAATCGAGCCTATGAAACGTCCCGCGGCTGACGAAAACGGGAAAGCTAGGGCCACTAGGCTAGATTTTGGTGAGAATAATTCCCCATGATGGACTGTAGCGAAGCTTCCACAGCGCGATAGTCGTATAAGCTGCTTGGTGAAGTCACCGGTTGTATGTGTGGGGTCTGAAAATAGCAGCGATGAGTTGTTCACACTAGTTGTGAGCAAAGGTCTGAGTACTCGATGGTATGGATGCACCAGCTTACTTCGCCAAGGATATATCCTCCCCAAGGGATGCAAGCCATGCAAGGCATGCGTATTTATTGTGTAGGTTTTGATTTGTACGATTCTGTCAAATTGGTACGATATTGACGGTGTCAAGACACGCGTAGCAAGGGCTCCCTTAACGGCAGACCGTTTTCATTTATCTCAGAACGTGGGATTCGAGGAACCGAGCGATGGAATGTAGGATGCGAAAGAGGTTGGGTAGGTTAGCATGCCCAGCCTTACACGCAATTGACGGGCTAGTCGGACGCACCTACCGATCGATGCAACTGCGGCCAAGGAAATGATGTCGCTACTATGTGGTAATGATGCAGTAACAGCTGTTGCTGACAGGAAATATGCTCGTTTACGGGGTTTCTTTGTTTCTTTGTCCAATTCACACTTAGATCCAGCCGCGTTGGGCGCTTCTCAAGATACGGTCGTCTATCTGCCCACGAAGAGTGGCCTTGCTAGCGTCCGTGCCGCACAATTGCCGCGTCATGGCAACGCGCTCGTTCGTTCCTGCCGAACAGACCATACCTGAGTGACATGGTTGTCGTTGTCTCTAGATGCCCCACAACGGGCACGTACGACTCCGAATCTACGGCCAGCTAGCACTGGTCTGAACTACTGGGGGGTCTACCGAAATATTGTGTTTGCCTGAGTACAGATGCGCATTGAGGCGATAGACCGTGGCTGCCCCGATCAGGTAGTTGCCAAAAGCGAAGATGGTAGCAAGGCCACTGACGACAGCAATCTGAACTCGAATCAGCAAACGGAACAAGACGATATCTCTTCACACATATCTCTAAGTTACCTTCGCATCGGGGCCCCATGCAGATGACGCGGCGGCACGAGCGTATATCAAGATCAGGAGACCGATCAGCAAGTACCATATACTGAATGAGAGCAGCATGATTGGCATTTGCCAAACGTAAAGATGATGGCTTTGGACAGCCTTGTCTCCCCTAAGCAAGGCTTGGAAGACTCGTAGACGCTCTCCGCGGATGCGAGACAAAGTCACGTATTGCTGTGTTCCACTGCTAACGGCAATCATGGCTGTGATTAGAGATGCGTATAATGCAGCTTGAGTCGTCCACGGGGCCGATTCAATGACTGGCCACGAGAAGGCACTGCTTCCAACGCCGGCGAGTAGAACACCCTACGCGATCATGTCAGGCTCAAGGCCGATCCAATGTGAGTTGCCAGATATCTTACAGTGACATTTACCGAGATCAGCTCGGCCTTTTTCTCTTCTATCCATTCGGCGCCCGTCGTCTCTTGCAGTGACGCCACGTTCGCGTGCCATGGTAGGAAGCGTCGGGAATGGCTGATTACATCTGCGAACGATACTGTCGGCTTGGACATCCCGGTAAAATAGTCCGGGTATGACCGGCTGTGGTGAGTACCTCTGGAGGAGGACCTCAGCAACAACACCTTCATCGCCTAGATGTTCAGGCAAGCAAGCAATACGTGATTGCAGCCTCGTCAACGCCTTGCGGATTAGCTTTCCCGTGTTATACCCTGCCATTCGCTGCCTCCTACGTATCTGCTGCAGCCGCCACCAAACAAGACGATGCAGCGGTCATCGCCTCGACAGTCGCCGTTCATTGGCTGGACGGATGCAAGAGAGCACGAGGCTGCTCAACTGGGAATAGGCAGGAAGGAACTCTGACAGTGACTGGCCGAGCTGACAGCGCTGTCGGTCGGGAAGCGTTGCCTCGATAACCTCTGGCATGGTGGGGCAAAAAGGTATTAGCGACACAAAAAAGCAGAAAGATACTACCAAGAATGCAAAAAAAAAAGCAAAAAGATAATGTCAGCGGTGGGACTCGAACCCACGCAGGTTGCCCTATGAGAAACCTCTTGAGAATGCGTCTTCCGGAGAAGACAAGCTTTCGCTTGAGTCACACGCCATAACCACTCGGCCACGCTGACTGATTCGATGAAAAATTTTGACGTAATCAAATTTATATTGTATTTTTGATCGTGAAAAGCAGCCGCGTGTTGGGTCGAGTTGCATTATGCAAGCCCTACAACAACCCCACCATAGCATGAGTCGGGCTACTCCCTGCAATACAGAGCGTCTAAGCACGCTCCTAACACACAGATTGAGTGCCCTATCTCGTGTGTTAGGGGCGTGTAAGCACAGGTCACGCTCAGAAGGAATGATATGGCTTCGAGAGTTTCGCATTCCTCGGAACTTGCGTGCCCCCCATTTGTACATAAATTCGATAGCGCCTTTTACAAGCTCCTTACTGAGACCACTCTATCCACGAAGAACTAATCGTCTGATCTTTGCAACACCTTTATCATCAGCGATGCGGAGCCTCGATAAGCCGTTGCCTTCACAACGACCAGAATTTTCGTCAATATGTGACTTTTTTGACAACAACCAGACAACTGCCCTTCTACCAGAACATCACGCTTTGAATTTTCTACCACGATCAACGAAGGACTGCTACATGATCTGGCCGTATATCCGCAAAAGAGAGGTTGTGCGACGCCATTGGCAAGAATGCTGACTGGGCAACGCCTAAGTCTTAGTTTTATCATTGTCCTCTCGAGATCGTTCTATAGCACGCTTGGTGGCGCGAAGCTCCACATGCGATACCGGGGTGAACGGGTGATGTTCAGCACCTGGGCAATGTCGATGCCTATCCACCTACTTATCGCTTGCCGTGATACGACTTCGGGACCGAGCTACGAGACAATCCCCTCATTGGCCTCCCCGCATCTCTATACTTGATCGATATCTATTTCGACGAGCTTCCAGCAAACGTGAGCCATTCATTAACCCGGTAACAAATTAAGGTACTGCCTAGTGTGCTCGCAGCAACTCTGCACAGTCAAGGGCGAAGACACCAATCTAGGAGCCCTTGGGCGGGCTTTCGCCGGAGCTTCTCGAAATTGGCACTGCGAACATCGGTGATTAGTCTGACTCGTTGAAAGCTTTCGAACTTCGAACGTCGTCCGCTACAAGCTTGATTTCAGCAATCGAAACATCCATCGCAATGGTGAACCTTAGCTCGGTGCTCTTTGCAGCTGGCTTGCTTGTCAGCCCGCTTGTCGCCGCCTCGGAAGGGAAGAATGAGCACAGTACGGAGTACTCTTCCGAGTAATGCCTTATCCAAACTATTTGGAGAGGCTATAAACTAATTTGTCACAGCTATTCGGTGTCTACCTCATATAGCAACACAACCTCTATTCTCGACAAGATCCAGGCGCGCGGCTACCTGAGAGTCGGCACAACTGGTGACTACAAGCCGTTCTCGTACAAAGTGACGAACCGAACAGCTCTACCTGCTACACCGGCCATCAACACTACTTACATTGGCGCCGATATCGATGTAGCCCAGTCGCTTTCAAATTCTCTCGGTCTCTCACGTCCAGTCGAGTTCGTTCCCACTATCTGGACGAACCTCACGACAGATCTTGCAGCACAAAAGTTTGACGTCGCTATGAGTGGCGTTAGCATCACCCTAGCTCGTGCACAAAAGGCCTTCTTTTCCACTGCGGTTCAGCGAGTGGGCAAGGCCGCGTGCGTGCGATGTGCGGACCTTGACAAGTTCTCATCTCTGGCGGCTATTGATACCGCCGGTGTCAAAGTCGCGGTCAATCCGGGCGGTACAAACGAGGCGTTTGACCGGGCTAACTTGAAGGCGGCTACCATCGTGTTGGTGCCAGACAATAACGCCGTCTACAAAGCTGTCATGGATGGCGACGCAGATGCCATGATCAGTGATATCATTGAAGTGGAATTGCAGGTGCGGTTGCATCCGGAGGTGCTTTGCATCGTTAACCCGAATGCGACTTTTACATTCGAGGAATTGGGTTATATGGTAGGGCAAGATATCGTATGGAAGCAATACATGGATCTGTTTGTACACATTCAGCTAGAAAGTGGTGGCTGGAACAGTACCCTGGAGAAATGGATGTCCTATAAATGGCCCTCAGTATAGACACATCTGTAAGAGACGGCAGATGTCGTAATGAATTCATGGGGTTCAGACAAGCCGCGAGCCGACTCAAGTTCCATGGAAGCGGGTAAAGAGCTAGAACGCCTGGTCTCAGAATATCGGGAATAGTACGCAATGTAAGCGCTAGTTTCCACCAGCCTACTTCATACTCAATGCGGGTTGCCTTATTGGCCTGATACAAGCCTCACAGCATCTCCCTCCGTGGCTAGGGCACTGCGACCGTGGGATGAGTCGTCCTACGCGACGCTGCACCTCCTCACCACCCTTCTACTTGTCCGATTGGTTAACTAAGTTATCCACTTACAAGACGTCAACCCCATCTTTGCGTCGGCGCAAATGGCTGTTTCACAGATTCAAGAAGCGGCAGGAGAATCTTCAGGCACTCTTCTCTCGTATCAATCTTTTAACCAAGACAGCAATTCTACTATACTGTTTATACATGGTGCATTTGTCGACAGTAACGACTGGGATCTTGTCGTGCCCTACGTCCTCGATTACCATCTTCTACTTCCAGACTGCCCTGGACATGGTCGATCTTCACATACACCCTTCTCTATCGAGGCATCGGCAAAGCACATCGCCTATCTAATAGAGGCAAAAGCCATTAGTGGTCAAGCCCATGTTGTTGGTCATAGTCTTGGTGCCTCTATCGCTGTTTGCCTTGCCGCGAACTACCCTCATGTTGTTCGCTCCTTATTCGTCTCTGGATACAGCGCGACCCCCGTTTCCAGTGCTCCATTATTGCCATACCTGCTCTGGGCCTCGAATCACATGGAAAACGCCATCCCACGACCTTTTGTTCGCTGGCTCATGGATGGAACTGATCTCCGCCATACGTCTAGCGCTTCGTTGTCGCTTTGTAGACAGATCGCGCATACCGGCAATGCTAAGGCGCAGCTGCAGCCGTGGTCTGCACGAACTCTGATCATTGTAGCGGGCAAAGGTGGCTTGATCCCTTCCAATGATAGCATAGAGGCCGCTCGCCAACTCGCCAGAGTCGGAAACGAGAGTAATACGCAAACACTTGCCTACATTCATCCACTCATGAGACATCCTTGGAATCGGCAAGACCCATCCCTCTGGGCAGCGACCGTTATGGCATGGGTCGAAGGCAGAGACCTCCCAGCCGGATTCGTGCGACTGTAGGCGCATGTCGTATTTCCAGCTTGACTACAAGTGTGGTCTGATGGTTCCCAGTAACCCTGGTCAAGTTTGGAGTTCCTCTTGGTAGATCGCTTTACTCCTAGCTAGATCTTCATCCCCAAAGCTCAGACTGGAAAGCATCATGTACGCGTCCTTGGTCTGGAAAAAGAATTTATCCATCTCGCAATTCTTTCCGTCGTCCACGTAGACCAATAATAGCCCATTGGGCTTGCTCATCCATTGCTCATGGACTACTACGATGAAGGCTGTCGGCCACCACTCCAAATCGCCCGCCGCACCCCCGTCGCTGCGAGTGCAAATGCCCTTGTCTAGAGCGATGTGCGCCTGAACGATCTCTTGAAGCGTCTTGAATGATGTGATGGATGGCGCGGGCCGCACGAGATGGCTTTCGTTACCTTGTTCTAGCCACTGCTTCTCTAGCACTTGAACAACATTCTCGAGTGGCACCTTGTCACCAAGAAGTGCGTAGACTGCGAATGCTGCGTCGTCCCAACTATAGTCGCCGTATCGGCCAAGCTCGGGCGCTCGAGATGGCAAAGACAGGTCAAGTGTCATTATGGTAGACACTAGATCATGGCGCGATGCCCTCGACTTAGGCTTCCTGCTAACGTAAACTGTGATTTAGTATTCAACAACAGATGTGCGTTGTGCAACTGAGGCGGCAGGTGTGGAGGGTGAAATTATGTCTTCCTCAGTTGAAAATCAACATCATCCGTCTGCATTTGTTGGCCGCGTGAATGCATCGCGTTGCTGCTGCACGCAGAATACTCGCGGTATTGAGATTGCTACGACCGACGAAGCGGAGATGAGTGATACCGTCCGCAGCGTTTTATTGAAGGAGCGATAGTGGCGGGCATGTGAAATTAGACGTGAGATTGCATCAGCATATCTACCGATGCGAATTGCGAGAAATCTGAGTCTGCAAGAGCGAAGACAGCCCTGGAGTGAGTCAACAATAGAAGCAGTGAATGTTTCTTGCTGACCTTGGGAGGTCTGACTTGGCTGCATAGTGGCGATGCGAGACTGTGGTGGCTGGTGGGTAGGCCTCCTGTTCAGGCGGCGATGGCGCGTGGCCACGGCGGATGTGATGGCGGTCGGGTGCTGGGGCTAATGATCTACTCCCAAGGTTAATCACGCAGGTCTCGAAGTCGAGCAGAGTTTCTAGACCGCGCAACGACCAGCTACGTGCCGATCGCACAACTTGAACACAATCTGCAATCACAGTAGATGGCATCTCTTCATAGACTGTCGCAAATGTTCGACTCGGTAAGGGATGATTTCATAATCACAAGAAAAGCACTGTGGGATTGTTGAGCAGCAACAAATGTATTTCGGGCCTACAATATACGAAGGCACGTCATCCTTCAATGCTGCACTTGGTCTCTTTGGGCAGCTGCAGTTGTCAAATTCTCATCTAGTGGCCGAGCATCTATTTTTACGACCATGGGGGAATGCACAGCCACGCAGGTACCAGTACCGTTCATGGGGTCATCGGAGTAGGCTACCAAAGTTGCTTGGTGATGGATTACTGTGATTCTCTGTGCACAAGAGCGGCCAGCAGTAGTGAAAAACGTCTTTGTGCATGGGGCGACGCCGTGCGCAGTTCTCCAACTCTCGAGCGATGACACGATGGTTGACTTGGCGACGGTCTCGAGCGGGACCGGGGTAGTTTGATAGGCTCGCCTTGCGCAGTAGCATTCCTCAGCTGCCATCAATACGACAGTAGTGGTGTGTTAGCATGTGAGGGCAGCATGCCTCGCTGAACGCAGTGCAGCAAGACAGCCAAGCGATAAGAAGCAACTGCAGCCCCCAGCTGGCGCAAAAGTCGCTGACAAGTCCCCAACGTCTAACCCCCCATCCTGTCGTGTTCTCGAACGCGGCCCAACAACCCTCTGCCCTCGATAGCGTCGGATCCAACGACTGCGCCATCGCGGGATTAATCGAGGCTAGCGCCGCGCGTCCCTGCCTGATTGGAGTGAGCCCCCTTGGCTGTCGCCGCACGGTTTCAGAAGAGAGGCAGAATACCGGCTTCAGCGCCTCGTCCTCATTTCAACAACAATCGCTCGCTCGTTCGTCAGTCGTTTCACCTTTGCGTCCCTCGTAACTGCCGACTCGATCCCAACCCTCTTCCCAGGCTCGCCGCTTCCTCCATTAGCCACTCCACTGCGACGCTTGCCCTTTGTTTACCGTCTTCATCAGGCCCGAGAAAGGTTGACCCTGCGGCCGACTCCCGTTTAATCACTGCTTGCTTCTTCGTCTGCGGCACCATTCTTCTGCCAGCAACCACCTACGTATACGAACCATCCCCAACACATCGCTACCGCGACCACCACTCGCTATCGAAAGTCGCCTCCCCCAAGGAACGCCCGCGGGCGCAAACATCAACCATGCGACCTCACGCGACGTACTCGGCAATGCTCGCACCCTTCATATTACTGGCATCGGCGCCACTGGGTGTACTCGCCGCCGATATCCTCAAGACTAATGGCTTCAGCTCGTGTCTGGAAGGGCAGGGAGACATCAAGGTCAACAAGCTCAACATCGAATTCGACCGCTCTACCAAAAAGGTCACGTTTGACGTATCTGGCACCAACGAGGTCGAGCAGAAGGTCATGGCAACCCTCACCGTAAACGCATACGGTCGAGAGTTGTACAACAAAGAGTTCGACCCTTGTTCCGGCGAGTACAAGGTCGACCAGCTGTGTCCAGGTATGTACATGCCTGCCTTGCGCCTGCTTCTTTTGTATGCTAACGTACAGCAGTTCCCAAGGGTACCTTTGGTGCACAGGGCGAGCAGAGTATCCCCGATAGTATCATGTCCCAGATCCCCAGCATCGCCTTCAATATACCCGACATCGACAGTCAAGCCAGGTTGCAACTCAAGGCCATAGACGGAGGCAAGGACCTAGCTTGTATTACCTCACAAGTCAGCAATGGACAGTCGCTGTCAACCGCCGGAGTGCAATACATTGCCGCTGGAATTGCTGGAGCGGCCTTGGCTGTTACTGGACTGGCTTCGCTCGCCGGTGCTGGACACGCTGGTGCGGCACAGTCTAGCCCTACCTTTGGCGATGTTATCGGATGGTTCCAGGCCATGGCTCTGAACGGCATGATGAGCGCCGACGTTCCCGGTGTATACCGCAGCTGGTCTCAGAACTTTGCCTTCAGTACCGGTCTTATCTACTGGGAGGGCATGCAACACTCCATCGATAACTTCCGTGCGAGCACTGGCGGTAATCTTACGCAGAGCAGCGTCGAATTCCTCAAGAACGCGACCCTCGTACACGTGAACCAGAACTCGACCTTGACCAAGCGCAGCTTCGACCTTCTGTTTTCTCGCGACGTTCTGTTTGCTCGCGATGAACTGAACACAGATGTCAACGGTACTGCCGAGGAGGGTGGCGACAACAAGGTCATCGTCTACGCAAAGGACATGCAGGGCTTCATCCAAGAGTACACAATTCCCGACCGTAACGCCTTCATGACTGTTTTGCTCATCTTTGCCATCATCGTCGCTGCCATTACCGTTGGTATCCTTCTCCTGAAGGTCATCCTGGAAACCTGGGCCCTGTTTGGCAGCTTCCCGAAGCGCCTGACTAGCTTCCGTAAGCGATACTGGTGGACTCTGGCCAAGACTATCACCAACTTGATTCTTCTACTATACGGTATCTGGGTTCTCTACTGTGTCTACCAGTTCAAGAACGGAGACTCATGGGCTGTCAAGACACTTGCCGGTGTAACCCTTGCGGCATTCACTGGAGTCCTGGCTTTCTTCACTTGGAAGATCTGGAGCACCGCCGAGAAATTCAAGAAGATGGAGGGCAAGCCTGACGCTCTTTACGAGGACAAGGAGATCTGGCGCAAGTACAGCATGTTCTACGAGAACTACAAGAAGAGCTACTGGTGGATCTTCGTCCCCGCTATCGTCTTCCTGTTTGCTCGTGGTTGTGTTATCGCCGGAGCAGACGGGCACGGTCTCGCACAGGCTGCCGGTCAACTCATCGTTGAATCCCTTCTCCTTATCATGCTTCTCTGGGCTCGCCCATACACCCTCAAGTCCAGTACCTGGATCAACATTACCATCTCGGTCGTTCGTGTCTTGTCTGTTGTCTGCATCTTGGTCTTCGTCGAAGAATTGGGTATGAGCCAGACAACCAAGACCGTCACCGGTCTCGTCCTTGTTGTTGTGCAAGCTTCGCTCACTGGTGTTCTTGCTATTCTCATCGCCGTCAATGCTATCATTATCTGCTGCAAGGAGAACCCTCATCGCAAGAAGAGAAAGGCAGCTGGTAAGTTTAGTTTTCCCTTTAGATTCCAACATTATCTAACAAATCCTCCAGAGAAAGCTCGCGATCTCGACAACCTTACCCCTCTCGATGCACGCAACTCGCTTCTCATGGACCCCCAAGAGTACAAGCGCACCTCGCTTCCTTCACCATTCGGTCCCCGCACCGCCGGCTACGACCGCGTTCCTCTCGCCGACCAAAACACTGCCTATAATGGTCCTGGTGGTCGCTCTTTCGGAGATGACCAAGGACATCTCCTTGCCGATGCTTCCACTTTCGGCCGCACAGCAACGCATGAGCGAAGCATAAGCCGTGACAGCAGTCCAGGACCCGACCCGGGCGCCGGCTACCACCAACCACCCGGCTACGTCTCCAACGCCCCATGGCAACCTCAACAACCACGAGGTAACAATGGCGGCTATGCGTACTAGAGCCAACAAACTCTTGAAGTCTTCTAAAAGCGAAGACTCGGAGTGGTGAAACATCTCACCATCAGGCATTATCTCCTTCTGTTATATTCCCTATCTGTATCGCGGTGGTTGTATTGACATACCCTAAAGCGGTCAAGCCACATCTAAAGTCATCTCTCTTGCATACGGGCTGGGCCATATCTGCTCACAACGCCCGTGATTTTTACGAATCTTTCTTTGTGTTTATCTTTAGTATTTGGTGTAAAGAAAGATCTGATACAAGCTCTTGTAATCTCATGCAAGCGGTAAGCCTGGGGCTCGCGCACACACATACACAACTATCTTTTCTGCTATCGTCAAGGGGGTGAAGGAGAAGGACGGGAAAGGAACTGCAAGGAACGGAGTGTGGAGTTGGAAATGGGATGTGAAATAAGATGTAGAGAAGATGTGAATACCAATACTTAACTGTTACACGTGTAGCTCTATCTACCTTTTTATGATATATGCCCAGAGAATGCCATATCTTGAGTCGAGGTCTCGCTGGGCTCGGCAGTGGTAATGCCATTGCCCAGAGTAGGGAGCACGGTACGTGCGGTTTTAGCTTTCGCCGATAAGCTCCTCGCTGCAGAAAGCTGCAAGCTGAACACTTTCGCCGCACCGCCGTCCCGAAATGTTGGGACGACTGCGCATGCGCCACCCCTGAACCAATACATTCTAGCGACATATTGCATGAGCAGAACGCTTGAACAGAGACCGAGGTTTCCCACAGCGAAGCCGTCCACGAGTCTAGGCAGTCTTATACCTGCAGATCGCCCGATGCTGTTTTATTCCTAGAGCCATGTCCCACCCAAGAGATGCGCTTTTTCCGCCGAACGCCTCCGGTTAAGTCGATCTCCCGAGGATTTGCTTTGGCTCGTCCCCTTGTGGCGTGCCCGCCAGGGCTTGGGCCGCTTGTACCTGCGTCACGACTACACTATTCTGGGCGGCACGGTAGCAATCTAGCCGGCTACCAAGAGCCGGTTTATCTCTAGGACTGCTCTTTTCGATATGCTAACGTGCATGGTGCAGGTGTAGCGCGGGATGATGTGGACTATAGATTACATCGTTATCTCGGGACTGGGAGTTTCCTCTGACGAGGCTTGCGGTTTTGACGTTTGACGGCGCTCGAAGCTAGCTTGCGCAGGTACTATTTGGGGAGAAGGGATACGCTTTCAGGTACCTAGGTATTCGCTTTCTTCTTCTTCATATCTCCGTTCCGAGTTTTTGGGTCGGGTGCACGATAGACCGCTTGCTAATTCCCCGTTCGTCTTCAAGTCACAAAGGCGTTTTTGTGGCTTGCGTTACGACTCGCTTTCGTTTCTCTTCTAAAAGCTTTGGGATTTTTTTTCTTGGTGGGCCAAACTGTTTACAAGAGAAGGAGATTTCGTACGAGGTACTATTATTGCGCTGTTTTCCCGATCGCGTCCTGTTCTCTACGTTGCCCACGCGCATCAGCAACGAGAGAAGAGTGACCCTGTGTGGTGACGACCAATAGCGCGACGACAGAGTGTTCGACACCAAATTTGTTCGCGACCCATTCTAATATCGTTGGTAGCGAGTGCTCTGGTACAAATCCCAAAAAGGTCAAATTCCTACATCGTTACGCTCCAAAGCATTCCAACACACCGACCTCACCACAAATATGCGACGAACCGCACTCTTTTCCGCCGCAACGGCACTACTCACTAGTACCACAACCGCACAAGCCACAGCATCAACATCGTCAAAACGTGGTCTCTGCTACGTGCCCTCCGAAGACCATCCCGACGACGACAAGATATGGACAACCGGTCCATCACCACCGACATGGTACTACAATTACCAGAAGGACCCCTCACCTGCCTACGCCAACGACCCAGACATGCAATTCGTCCCCATGCTCTGGGGAGCCAGCGATAGCGACACTGGAACCCCCTTCCTCGACTCAGTCAAGAAGCAAATCGCCGACGGACACAACATAAGCTACGTCCTTGGCTTCAACGAGCCCGATGGTGGCCACAGCACTGGCGGTTCCAACCTCGCCGTCACCACAGCAGCCGCTCGCTGGAAAGCCGAGATTGAGCCTCTGAAGGAACTCGGTATTAAACTGGGTGCGCCTGCTGTTACTGGCGCAGAGTCTGGTTGGCAGTGGTTGGAAAACTTCTTCAACGAGTGTGATGGCGGTTGTAATCCTGATTTCATCCCTGTACATTGGTACGGAAACTTTGAGGGCATGATGAGCCATGTTGGACAGGTTACGAACAAATGGCCGAATCTGACTGTCTGGGTTACCGAGTATGGCTACCCGAATCAGCCGCTCGAGGCGACGCAGACTTTCTATAATCAGAGTGCTCAGAGCTTTGATAGCTGGCCGTAAGTACTGCTTCTATTTGCTTCCTACGAGAAGGGTATACAGACTAACACTATGATCAGCAACGTCACACACTACTCCTACTTCGGCGCCTTCCGCTCCGACGTCAGCAACGTGGGTGCCAACGCCGCTATGCTTACCCAGGACGGCAAATTGACGGATATTGGATCCTGGTATATGGGTGGTGCTGAGACGAACAATGTGCCAAAGGCTTCTGGTGCTTCGACGGCGGGAGCTGCCCCGAGTGCTTTAATGTTGAGCCTGGTGGCCGTGGTTGGGGTTTGTTTTGCTTAGGGCTTCGAGGTTCCATGGCCATAGGAAATTGCCCTGTCGGTTGTCGTGTAATGACGGGTCAGGATACTGAAATTACGCCTACACTCAGGCGTGTACCCTTCGAGCTCCGGAAAACTGGCTGGGTATTAATGAGCGGCACGTGTAGGCCTTACTGGATTCATTCTTTAGTCAACCACGTTGTCGCTTCGTTACAACCATTGTAGGCGAACTCTAGAATGCTATTCTTAGTTAAGATCTGAGTTGTCACGAATCAACGCCGTCTTATCCGAGACAACATCTGCACGTAATGCCTACGTGTTGTACCGACAGTCTGGTTAGGCTGCATCCTGGCGCGCAAAGACCGAAATCGTACAACCTCAAATATTGACCGCTCTTCTTAGCGCAATGACCGTTTCTTATTATTGTACCAGTTGTAGTGAAGCTACCTATACACTTGGAGCACTAACATGTCTGGTAGCAGCGACACCTCACAGCCGATGACGTCAAGGAATTACCGCCCTCGAAGAGTCCTTCAAAGGTCATCAGGCTGAATACCGGTGAGTAGCAGCATGCGTGAGTGATCAAGGCTAAGCTGGCCGGTCAAACTTGCTTTTGCTCGGCTTTCAGATATGATGGAAATGTGCACTCCCTCGAGGCAAATCACAAGGCTCCTGAGGTCTTTCGTGGATGTTTTAGGGCGGATCTCCAGCAAAGACCGATGATACAACCCCGCATCCGGCCGCGGGGCTCCTATGCTGTGATAGCAAGCATTATAACGATTGGACGCCAATGGAACTCTTAGGTGAGATTTGAAGGGCCGATAGTGTCTTAATAGCGGGCAGATCCCAGATAGCTGGTCTTGACTCGCGTAACCATGGCACGACACTCGGATGCCAATTCTTTACAGCCACCCGGTCCTCTAGTTCCTCGCCAGGACGTACAAAGTAACCAACCTTCTCGACCCCAACCACAGCGCAGCGGTGCCAACATAGACGGAGTAAGGATCGAACTAAGGAAATCAACGTTCTACAACAAAGATGCGGGCAATCCTCAATACAGCGCAATGGACATGCCTTACGAGTCCAATCATGAACAGATTGGGGAAGGAGCTCACGCAAAAGTTTACAAATCCACGATCAAGGGAGGCTTTTACAATGCCGGTCAAGGACTCATTTCAACTGTAAGCAAGTTTGTCAAGATGAGATGTTCATGTCTGACACGTTTTGTAGGACTATCAAGTTGCACGGAAAGAATTTTCGGGAGTACGGGCGAAGGACAACTTCCTGATTGAGAATAAGATCTGTCGAGACTTTTACGACGCAACTTCGGGGATTACCAAGACGATCGTGGCTCCCTTGTTCAGTTATGCCGTTGAGGATCTCGAGGGCGGTGTCAGTTACAACATCTGCTATGAGCTTGCGGCTTGCGATCTACAGACTTATCTATCGGATGACAGTAACTTTCCCCGTGGCAAATCACGTGCGAGAGTTGCACATATTGAACAGATGTTGAGAGTCGCGGAAGGATTGAAATGGCTCATGGAAACAACTACGAAAGAGGGCGGATTATTCAGAGCTCTGGGGTTTACGCACTGCGATCTGCATTGGAGAAACATCCTGTTATGTGAGGATGAAAACCATCCCGGCAGTCTCATCTTCAAGATAGGTGACTTTGGAAGTGCAAGAACCGGACGAGACTTGGAGAACGATCAGAGATCAAGAGTTGCCTTGGTTGAACGCATTAATGGCCAATTCTCCGCCCCTGAACCTGAGGCTCATGTTAATGGTGACGTATGGTCTTTCGGGTGCAACTTGTTGCTTGTCCTGGTGTTCAACTACTATGGAGTGGGAGGCATTAACGAATTCTTGGCAAGTCTACTACGGCATTCGAATCAAGACTGGTTTTACGATCGCATCACACGCGTAGCAAGTAACGAAACTACCAGCTGTATGAATCATCTTCGCCGACGTGTCGAGCATGATGCTGATCGACTCGTCACCGTCGGACTACTCAATCTACTCCAGAACAGTATACTGGTGCCCACGAAGAACAGAATTAGTATATCCGAAGTGGTGACGGCTCTCCAGACTTGTTTAAGGGAGCAACAAACGGTCGTGCCAAAAGTCATGGTTGAAAGAGCTAACAGGTGTTTTGAATACTGCTTTCATGCTCCTGGAGGAAGGTTTGAGATGTTTCGTAAAGGGGCTGGTGCATACACCATGAGTGTCTGGACTTGGAATCACGGAATAGCCTCAGAATTGCCATTCCTAGAGCCTATCACTGGACCAAAACAAGGACGAAACATGCCCGAGCAGGGCCGCATCTCCCCGTGCTCTTCGTGCTGTGGGGAAGAGCATATTTGCCAAGTCATCGCGACAAGCAACACGCTTGAGGTTCGTCAGTCAAATGCCTGAATATCATTGAAGTACTGATCATATCACAGTTACTCTTGTATCAAGTGCCAAAAATCCCTGGTGACCCTATCGCAAGAGAGTATATCAGTTTGACTGATCTTAAGGACGTCTCGCGCGTTGCTTTAGCGCCAAACGCCAAATATATTGCCATCGATGCAGACCGCAGATTACGGCTCTACGAAAGGCAACAGCTACTGGATTCCATGAAGCTGTAGGTATCTGTTATGCCTAGATATGGCATAGGATTATATTACCACGTTACTGACTACATGAAAGGTCTGGAAAGCTTTCCAGAAATCGTACGATACCGGATGGAATATCCCAACTTGGTGTCGATGGTCCCGAATTCGATCTCTTACAAAACCTTGCAAAGTCTAGAAGCTGTGCCGAGCATTCGGTGGTGCTTAGATTCTCTCCTCACAATCAGTATCTATACCATGCATATCGGACTAAGTCTTCCAAACACAGGGGTAGCTATGACTGCCTGATCACAGTCGATCTATGGTGCACCACGAAGCGATTACAGCTAGACTCAGTTGCAGTAGAGAAAAAGGTTAGTTCACGCATTATATCCCCGCTGAGTCAGGAGACCATTTATTGATATATTCTCAATCAGGAAGTCGAGAGAACAGATTTCCTCATCGACCTAGCACCATTCAATGTGCACAAAGCATTTTTGGTTGTTACATGCTACAATCAACTCACCCGTTATACCTTTGGTGAGGATCAGGCGAGATGTCCTCCACGTACCATCAATATCCAGGATAACATTCAAGCCGTCTTGATTTCCCCAGATGACTACTACGCTGTGCTCTTAGGCCAAAAGGATAACTTGAGTGTACATGTAATTAATCTTCGAGAGGGTCTGGGAGAACCTAGGCAGCTTGGCTTGTTGAAATCATCGATCCCTAAAGAAGTTTTTGAACGGCATCGTGATGCAGCGAGCATCGTGGATCGCGAGACTTTGTTGATCAGCTACCACAATGGACCCTCGGTACACATCACTCTGACGCCAGCTTTGGACATTTGTCTCGATCGCAAAGGGGATTAGAGTAAGCCGGTCAAAATGCATCATACAACTGAGACAAGAAGTTGGCTGATTCGATCATTCAGTAAGGTGCGAAGAAGGTGCAGAGGTTTCAAAAGCTCAAGCAATGCAATGAAGTCTTGGCTCGTGTTCATCACAACATGCATAGTTGCATCAGTTTCGATCAATGACCATCAGTGATGGGAAAGTGTAGTGTAACTTGATTATCATTAATGTTCGGCATACCTGCCGGTGCGCGCACCGCACATCTTGGTGACTAGCCGCTCCGTAATACCACTGTCCGAACTATGCATCCCAGCCTTTTGATCGGCTGTGACAGGATAGAAATTTCGCGTAAAGGTGTAAGCGCATACGAACGTGATCGCCTATCCAATTAGCCAGTGGAGAGTATAAGGTAGGGATGTCGGCTTACCATAAACGCACTGCTAATGAGCTGTATTGTGGTGGGGTGGTCACAGTACCTTGCATAGTGGCCACCAATAAGAATGAGGAAACTCAAGATAAGCGCGATATAAGCACAAGGTAGCGTGTATTGGTCGTTTTCGTGGTTCCGCAAGATGGATTCTGGTATGCCAGCGCGAACATACAATATGCGATCATTTCGCACACTTACATGATCATCAGACACGTCTTTTCTAAAAATGGGGTGTTGAACTTACGACTTGTGAAAGCGCACATTGACAACAGCTCGCATCATCCACAGCACCAACGTGCCAGAGCATACGAATTCCTGTACGAATCGAAAAATCTGGAAAGTGTCAGTGGGTGCTGAGTATCTTATCTGAGAATACTCACAACGACTGTAGCACTTGGATACACCCATATAACCGGCAAGAGCACAAGTGGCAACAGCGTCAAAGACAGAACCGACACCCACGGCTGGTCAGATTTTCTCTCTGAAAGCCATGACCAGAGGAAGCCAAGTCGGGTGCTTCTATTGTCAGAATAACCGGTGCCATCGGTTCGTCCCGAGAATTTTACTGCCATCCAGTAGAGGTTTCTTGATGCAGCGTGGAGAACAAATCCTTCCGTCCCTACGCTAAGGACGATAAATAGAATCTTTATCCAAAATGCTAGACTCCCCGATGCTGCTTCTGAAGTGGTGACGAGAATCGAATCGGCAAGGTCCAGACGTCCATCATGGTGAGACCGCAAACTGTTCGCGGTTTGGAAAGTCTCACTCATAACGGTGACGGTGACGGCAAATAGCATCAAAGCTATACAGAAGGCGATCGTAGTCGGAGTTGTCAATCGATCTTTATATACACGCAACATCTGCTGTACGGACTGCCGAAAGTTAGTACTTATCCAAACAATGTGACATCGTACTTACAGATCCCTCATCAGATTCGTGTAGTCCTGGTGACTCGACTGTCATTTCGGGAGCAACGGAAGACAGAGTCTCCACACCAAAATAGATACGACTGAGCATAAAAGCTGCATACATTGTTCCGGTAATGTATTTGTGTACCAGATCTCCGGAGAAGATTGCGTCCTCGCGTGACACCAACCTCGATTGCGAGTATGCAATAGACTCATTAACGTAGAACATTATGATTAGAATGGCGGAGGCGATCAGGAGCTTGACTGCCACAAGCCAACCCTGCAAATGTCTGAGCCACTCGTTTGGGATCAGGGCGAAAAGTACGGGAACGGCAAACGTGATAGCTTTGGTGAAGATGTCGCTGGTTCTGCCGAGCCCAAGAGCATCTATAAGCGTGGTTCTTTGTACAGTCAAACCAACGTACCAGCAGCTGTACATAAGGCAAGGAAGGCAACCTATGACAATTCCAAGCCAAGGGTCGACGTAGTTTTGTGCGAAGATTGTAGTGTTGGATTGAATGGGCCAAAGATGAAGCATCTGGACATGACCCCGGCTGATTACCAATGCGAGAAGTGCCAAAGCGAACAGGGCCAGTAGTGTACGGCCTGTACCTGTACTTTCCAACACTCGGCTAACAATGGTAAAGAGGTCTGGTCCAATAATGTACTGGCATATGAAGCAGAAGACATGACTCTGACTGAACACGCACGGAAATCCGATTGTTTTCTTCGCGTATCGAGTTGCGCTGCTCGTGCTTTTTTCGAGGAGAGATGTGGTATCTTGGCTAGCGCTTTGCGACTCTGCCTCAGGTGGAGGTGACGTTTTGAGGTTATCGCTCATGTCCGTCGTCGAGCCGACGGGTTGGGGCGGAGAGGTAGCGGGCGCACGGTAAGCCACGGACAGGCGGCGGGACTGTTCGTCTCGGAGCGCGGGAGCGGTGTATTCTGAGGGGCGAATCAGGCGATCGTGGTAGGCTGTAGTCGTTTGGGACTACACGGGCTGTTCTGCGCGCAGTAGTTGCAGTAGTTGCAGTAGTTGCGTGACTGCTGCATTGAGAAACGAACGGACGGGTTGTGGCTTGCGACAACCAGGCCGGCGACAGCTATGTGTAGGTCGCAAGGGCCCTCTAGAGTTGTGAGCGCAGGAAGAACAGGAAAGAAACGAATGTGGGTTGTAAAGCAGTGTCGGAGAGGATGATGCATGAAACATCCCAAATAGTTGGGATGACGGAGTAGGGTCCGGGCGCAAGGTGGATCAAGACGCAGGTCCGACCTCGGTCAGGGACAATCGTCGTCATCATGGTTGGCGCTACCACGATATTCAGTCGGCACAAGCGGTATATATAGCTACGCAACAATCCATCCGAAGCTTCAAGATCACTGTGTCAATACGAAATAATGGCGCACTCGTTTGTTGGCAGATCACGTCGAGTCCTTACCAGGTTTACGGCGCCTTCACGCATGGGCGGGTTCCTGCGGCCTGCCGTACACACGCGCCACCCAGCCCTCACACGTGGCCACGTGAGGTCGCAAGAGAACACCAGAAGAATTACTCAAAGGAAATTTCCAAGCAGTATCACGATCGGACATCGCGTCTTCTACATCATGAGGACTACTCTGCGCATCGCGCTCCCACTGCGGCTCGTACATAGTGACTGTTGGGTGAGGTCATGCTGGTCAAGGCACCGTTTGCTCAGGCCCTCTATTCTTGTTCGAATACAAGGTCAGCTTGGCACCCCAAGGTCAGCTTGGCATCCAGGTTCAAGGGTCAAGCAGATCGTTATCGTTGCTATGCTTTCCGCTTCGGGTATTATGCGTGGAATCCCCAGTCGCAATGCTGATTGATGCATAAAATGGACTGGGAGAGGGACCTATGCAACGACTGTTTGTTTTTTGGGCTTACTACTGGTGCGCTAATGACGCGGGCCGTTGTACCACAAACGCAACGCCTTACTCGCTTAGTCTTGATTAGGTCTTAATGGTCCTTTTTACTGTTTCCGATCTACAACAGGGTCGTAGCTGGAGTACCTAGTTAATTTCTTTTAACATTACTACGTGCTTGTGAACCATAGTTCGCGAAGAGTCAGAAAGCGCGAGGCCATCGTGTCAACACATGTAACTTCAATCCTCCACTAGCTTGATTTTGAGTCTTAGCGCAAATCACATCATCTTTGTGATATATTTACTCGCGTCGTATCGCGGTACAGAGCTCGACTACGTAAGCACATGGTGGATCGTACAAGATCGCACTTATGCGCCCGACTTAACCAGATCCTGCATCGTCCTTGACCGCACTGCACGACTGAGACTCCACCTCCAATACCCGAGCGTCAATAAAGTCAGCGGTATAGCTAATCCGAAGAACAGCCACACGTAGGGTGAGGAGGTCCAATGTACTCCGGCATCGTCTCTTGAGGCGAAGAATCCCATGCCGAAAAATGTCTGGTAGGTGTTCAGTAAGGTAAATGCAAGCGCAAGAGTTGTTCACATACAGCCACGAAAGTGGATGGAAGATATACAAGCGTTACAACTGTGATAACCCTCATTGATGTGCCATCCTCAACTGCTGATTTGTTAAGTATCAACATCTGATCTGACACCTTTTCTGTAGTATGCTGGCTCTTCAAGTCGATAGTATCCGACACCTGACTGATGAGCTATGATAGGCTTGGCCAGTGAATCGGAAACTTACTAGTTGAGTAGTGCTTCGTATCTTGCCGAGCACAAATGCCACATTGGCGTTATATGCTTCAAGCCGCCGACGCAGGTTACCAAGAGTTTCTTTCATCTTTGAGCATGTTTCTTCGGAGACTTGACTTCGATGGAAGAACTGCTCGTTAAGACTATCCAGCTGACCAACGAGTTCCAGCTGTGCATCGAAGATAGGAGGAAGTGTTGCCAGTCTGGTCTCAATGTAGTGAAGGTCTGAGATGTCTTTGTAAGCATCTTGGAACGGCATTGTGCTTTCAAAGTCGACGGTGAACGCAAGGTTTGCCTGTGTCGGTCAGCAAAGATATCTTAAATGGACGTGGTCAGTCTAACTAGCTCCCAAACCTCATTTTCAAACTGACTAACATACAACCTCCAGTTATGTATACGCGCCTGCATCAGAGATACATGAAGTGAGAGCGGATGATATGCTGTCTGTTCCATATCGCAAGTTGAGCTCAACTCGTTCACTAGATCTCTTCGGGTGCTGGAGTCGGCAGTGGGAAAGAGAAGAATCCATGTACTCTGCATAGCATGTGGGTCGTAGCGGTGGTAGACACCAATTTGTCGTATTGACCAATCGGCCTTTGCTTCGGAAGAATTCCTTGTCTCGGTATATTTGAGAAGATAGGTCAATTCTACCATGCATCAGCAACACTTTCCGCAAAGTGACGAATGAGGTCATGACGTAGAACTCACCCGTAAAATCCTTTGAAGTTGAAACCCATATACTATCTGAAAACGCTTCTTCCAGCCGGTTTGTGTGTCGTCGGAAAGAAAAGAAAACTGGTAAGATCTCAGGGGTAACATCGAGTTGTGCAATTATCTCCTGCAGCATTTCCTTCGGTATGTCAAAAGGTGCCCAAGAGTAAGCTTTAGACATGGCACTAGACATAATTAGTCGCATATCATCAGACTTGATCTATAAACACACATGATCCTTGTGGTACGCTCTTCACGGGGGCGGGTCAGGTGACCTTTGAGTGACGCGATATCTGACAGCACGGTTGTCTGCATATGCTTCAGTTGCGAATCAGGATCTGTTGGAGCTGTCAGTCAATATCACCAAGTTGGCATATATCAGAATCACCAACCTGAGTTTCTTGCCCACATGAAGTCCCATACCTCAACCGATGGGAGATTTGTTGAACATGCAAGACTGGGGAGTGTCTCAAACACAGCTAATTCCATGTTGACAATGCAAGTCGAGTGGTTAGATGTTCCTCATTCAGATTATAGGAGAAGGTTCAGATGCGGTTGTGAAGTACAAAGATTCTTGTGAGACCGACAAATGCAGGAGATATATGCGGGGAAAATTCCGACCTTATCGAATTGCCAAGGTTCAGCCTTGCATGATCTCAGCAGGGCAAACGCATCATCCGATCGTAGTGCCTGTTCTGTATGCCTGGCCTTTGATCCCAAAATCAATTGCGGGTCTCAGCGGGTCTGGTTGTATCATATTAGCGTTTTCATAGCACTGTAACTGTTGATAAGGCCACTGACAGTAGCTCGTCCGCTGTAAGTTGTTCCGGCGCCTTGTACGACCATAGATCTCCTCTACGCTAGAGAATAACATACAATGTTAGCTTGAGATAGTTGGTCTTGGAGATATACTTACTGTGATCTCGAAGTCCGCTTTACTGATGGTACTGTGCTTCTTGTGGAGCACCTCATAGAGTGCATCATCCGATTTGATGTACTTGCCAGCAGTGTACCTCTTCATTTCTTACACGGTAATAGGGAGTAACTGAATGTGTTACAAATGTATTGTGGTAGGCTATGCAGTCTCGAAACGCAACTGAGAAAGCCTGAGAGATTTACCTCCCCTAAATAAAGCCACGTCATTAGTCGAAAGAGCTTGAGGGAAATGCTATCTTCAGCCTCACAAGTGGGCTGCAGTGAAGTATGCAACCCCTACGATATGTGGTTGATTGAATGTGGGGCAGAAGTCAGCACACAAAATCTCATAGGCTGGATGCAGATGATGGTGTAGGGCCTGCATCAACTTGTGCATTATACGGCAGTGGCCAGCCTTGAAGTCCTTGAGAAGTAACCTGCCTTTGGAAGAGCCTTGTAGGTGACTGGAACTAGATCCCGAGAGGTTGGCAGAGATATGTCGACAAGTTTGGCTAAGGCTCGTAATCCGAGACTCGAGCTCTGCTATATACATAGGTAGTTATCTAGGTAGCATGTATCATGTTCTTAGTTCTACCCGGCCCCGATTAAATTAACGTCCGGGGTGAATTGACTGCCGGTAAATGGCTGTGTTACGTCGTCAAGCATAATCTGGAGAGGCCTTATAGGTTAGCGGGACGTTTTTGTGGCTGTCATCGTGACCTCTGGCATTCCCCGCACCCCGTGCGGGGCTGAAGACCTACGTCATCTTCTATCTTTCTTAGATGTCCTACAATCTACGTACATAAAACATATCATGTCCTTCATGACGCGACAGTAATGCGAGGGCGATCGAAGAGGGAGACATTCGTGTGTGGAGTGGTCGTGGCTGGTTCAGGAAGGGGTCAGTGACGCTACACATCGGCCTGCACGTGCACATCGTCATCAAGCATCACGAAACTCTGTCCAGTCATTCCGGAAAACACCTTATCGTGGTTCTGTGAGATGTTTCTACTCTAGCTTTCTACAACTCGCTTATGCCTAAGTGTTTCGGCGTTATCCTCCATTCTCCCATTCTTTCAACTTGTTTAAGCAACACGCGCAGTGACAGGGATGACGACGTGACCCTTGGCGGGAACATCGCCCTGTCCGTACACGACCTGCTCGGTGGGCTTCTCGATGGTTTGTTGAATCTTCAGAGCTACGGACAACGTTAGTTCTATGTCTCGCGTGCATGCGCGCGGCGGTTCAAAGAGCACTTACTGCCGTCTGTCTGGGGCTCAACCGAGAAGGTATCTGGGTCGCATACAACGTTGAACTGCATGCCCTTCTGCGACCAGCTGCACTTGGACTCAAGACCCTTGGGGTATTCCTCAGAAACGAAGACTGCGGTAAGGTCATAGGCTACGACCTGCTGGCTGATGTCCCTGTAGGAGCGGGTGACGTTCCAAGCGGCCTCGATGGGGTTGCTGGCGCTGACGGAAGCAGCGAGGGCAAGAAGAGGAAGCGTGAAGTGCATGACGGCGGTTGTAGTAGGTTGTTCTTGTGGTTACCGTTTGATTGAAATTGGTGGGATGAGTAACGGGGCAGAGACCAAGACGTGGTGGTTATATATTTCAACGTCTCGTATTCCGACGTCAGAAGTATCCACGTTACTTCGTAACCTCAACATCAAGCTCGGAGGTTAGTGCGTTGCATTGACCAACGCATAGTTGGTACGAAGGGACCAGAAGATACTTGCGTGGATACCATAGTCAAGAGACGGTGAGAATGTGTGTTCTTGCCTGTCATTCAGAACTCATTCGGTCCATCCAGCGGCACGGGCATCACGAAGGATGTCCTCGAAGCCGTCGCATATATCTCAGAATGGATGCCATGCATCCTTTTACGGCTATTCGCCAACATAGTATCTGATGGACTGTGTCGCAGGAGGCACGGAATCAGGCATCAGAGATGTTATGTTGTTACCAGTCCCTGTGTGCTAAGCATTCACGGAGAAAAGGGGCCCGTAAAGACGTGCCGGGAGCTTCGGTTCCCTCGTGTACATGCGGGGAAGCCGGAAAGGTACTCCCGTGAATACGATCGTAAAATTCGGTCCGATAGAAGGCGAGCGAGCTGGTCTATAGCAAGGTATACGTTTTGTACATGGCGGATGCGGTCCTGTTCTAAAGATGGAATGTCCGCAACCCTTAACTGAAATTAGAAGCAAGACAAACAGGCCGCTTTTCTCTGGCCACTTAGAGCTGTCGCAGCTCAGCCCACGACGACAAGCCACTCTCCACGCGCCACAAAGGAGTGGCACGCGCGGCCTCAATGTATAGAGCTGCTTAAACCATGCACTTTGTAGCTTCGGAAGTAGTAGATGACCGAAGACGCTGTTCCGCTCCAGCCGTTCCCCACCAATCTTCCTGACTAGAGTACGAGAGGCGGTGAAGTGTAGCGGTGAAAGCATCCTCTACTCTCCCTGTCCAAGCCCTGACAAACTTCATTGCTGGAATAGGGGCAAAGTGGATGCTTCGCAGATTTTAGACGCGGCGAAAGTGTGAGCTTGGGAGTAAGAAGGCAGGCGTCAGGGCGCTAAGATGAACCCATCGGCCTTCCTTGGCCGTCCACACCTTACTGACAATACATCGCAGTGGAAGACGCTGCTGACATGAAACTCAGCCGATTGTAAGACATGTTAGTTGTTTGCATTTCTAGGTGTATTGTATATAAGCGTAGGTATATATCAACTTTCAGAGACGAGATCAAACGCCCAGGTCCACGCTGGAACTATCTCACACTCGCAATCACCCATCTAGAGAGCCAGTTGCCACAGGGTTTTCCTGTCATCTCTTCTGTCCAATGTGTCAGTACCAGCCACCATGGTGACCATAGCAGGTTCCGTAGGCGTCGAAGTAGCTGTTGGTTCAATGCCAGGTTTGGTAGGCCAATTGAAACCCGAAGACCAAGCGGGTTTGGTGCTAGATGGAGGAGGCCAATTGAACCCTGAAGACCAAGTACTATGTTTCTCAACTGCCTGCGACCCACGTGCCTCAATCTTCTGTGCAGAGCCCAACGGCAGCTCCGGACTAGCATAATCCATCTGCAGATCCCGCTGCGTGGCAAGTTCTTCCGCAGCTAACAGGGCCGCCGAGTAAGCCAGATACCATGTGCGACTTGCGCCTCCATCGAGTTGTTCATTGAAGTTTGGGTTGGCGAAGAAGTCGTACGAGGCTTTTTGGTCGAATAATGCTTGGTTGGCTTTCAGAATGCTTCTCCAGCCGCCTTGGACTTGTTCGGCGCGTCCGTTGTCAAAGTATGTAGCCCACTCTTCTTGGACGAATTGCCTACGACGAGTATAGGCGGAAGAAGGGTTCAGAGGAATCATGTGTATGCCCTCAATATATTCAATGTTTCCTCCAAAGTAAGTGGTATGATCGATCTTGTTCTCAAAGAGAATACCGGTAGCTTTGTTTTTGACAAAGCCTGCAGGTTGGTTTGTGTTGTTGGCCTCCATGAGGAAGTAGTTTTTGATACTGCGCGCTTGCACGGCGAGTTGCAAATTTCCGCGAGCCTCCATGTTTGGATCCTGAATGACCCTGCCCCACATCTTGATCGCGTAAGTCGCGAAGGTATCCTCGGATGTTGATTCCTGGTCCTTTCCATCACCGGACTCGAAAAGACCCTTTGCCCATGAATGGCCATGAAACCAGTCAAATGAGCGCTGGAACGGGAAATACTCGTCAGCTACTGGATTAGCAAAGTCGCGCACAAGGGAGTTGACCCAGGCTTTGTTGCTGCCTTGACCGAGCCAGGTAGGATCAAGATGTCCGATGACAGCAGCAGTATACACGAAGTACCCGTAATGGAAGTGGTGATCATTGTATAGCGTGTTTCCAAAGTCTAGCCCCAGGTCTCCTGAATAGCTGGCACCCGAGACGATGCCCTTCCAGACTTGATCGTAGACGAGCGGCTCGGGTTGAGTGTTGTTAACAAAGACGTTGAAGGCATCCTTGAGGCGGTCCAAACCAGCCGCAGCATACTGGCTGTTGCCCGTCATGCTGTTCAACGTGTAGATGATGGTAGCAAACTTGGCTAGGCCTTTGCCGGAATAGTACATGCTATTCAGCGATGTCTGCCGGATCATGTCCTGGCTGAGCTCAGCTATACCGGCTTGATTTATAAGCGCAAGAGCCTGTGAATTCACGTTGATGTTCTCCGAGCCCCCAGCCGCGTTGGGGTTCTTAGCCCATGGAGCAAAACCAATCGTGTCAGGAAGGTCGTTCTCCACCATGGTCATCCGATCAGCGACGATGGCTCGTGCAAAGCCTTTCGTGGTCGTAACAAGGGTGATGTCCCTTAAACTAGCAGCCGTCTGTTGATCGAACGACTCGACGTGGTGAGGTAGTGCATACATAAGCAGCGGTCGGTCCACGAGGCCACCTTTGACCCAATCTATCGTGTAACTTCCGAAAGCTCCATTGACTGTCGCAGAAATAGTCGCGTTGATAGCGTATACGCCGGCACTATAATCAAATATGCTTTCTGCTGCCTCGCCAGATGGATTCTTGGTAACTTGGATTTTGCCCACAAAATCGGCGGGACCAGAAATTGTAGTGCTGTTCTCCAATACGAAGGGTAGCGTACCGATGGATCCGTCTGATGTAACGTACAAGAGCCAATGTGAGCTGTCATTGAGTACAATGCGGTATTTGTCTGTGACTCCGTTGACCCGCTCAACCCAGTCTAGAGAAAGGAAGAAGACAGTGGTTTTGATAACGGGCTTCGCTCTATCGTAGACAGCGGTCACCATGCCCATACCCTGAGCAACGGGAAGAGACATCAAGATGCGAGTGCCTTGCATATTGTTTGGTCGCAGGTTCACCCACGTCGAGAAGGCTCCCAAGCGTTCAAGCGAAAGAGAGGTATCGGACTTCAGCTCCGCAGCGGTTAGTATAATATGATGGATGCCAATTGGCGAGATGAAGAACCGCGTGTTGTTTGCATCAGGGACGAAGGCAAATTTGTCTCGTGTGGTGTGACTAACGGCGATACCTGTAACAACAAGGGGCCTAAATCAGCAACGGCTCGACCCCAGCGCCTTAAATACGTACCATAAGTGCCATCATTGGGGTTGTTATCCCATGACAAAGAGTAGGGGTGTGTCCACGTCGAGAAAGACCGGCTGCCTAGGAAGAAATTTGCGTAAAACTTGTTGGTCTGAATCGGGACGTCCTTATCGTCGATATGCTGCTTCTGGACGGGATGATCCACTCTTGAAGGCAGGGCTTGCGGAGGTGCCCCAGTTGCAATGGGTTGGAAGATGTTCGACGAAACCGGGTTGAAAGGTGCTGTGGGACCGGGGTCAAGAGGCGTTTCATTGGGGCACAGTGGCTTGGTGGCGGTTGTAGTGCCTGGACCGTCGGCTGGATCCTTTGTGAAACCGCCTGAGGGAAGGCCTGTCAGAAAGCTCTACTGGTAGTTAGTTTCTGCATCTTCAAGGTCTTGCAAGGGCCTTTTCAGGTTCTAACATACCCCCGAATTGGATGGTTCGCCAGTGGGAGAGACCGACTGCAACGATGTAATAGCTGTGCTATAACTTGTAGTGACTGAGACGTCTGTCAAGGTTATCTCACGGGCTATGACTATGTTTGCGTCTCTTTTCGCTCCTCTGTTTGCAGGCAGACTGCGAACGGAGGACACATGGGTAAGTGCCAACAAGAAGCATGTCAGCTTCACCATGCTGACAACCGAATATGTTCGAACGACCGACAGATAGAGAAAGGGGGGCTGTTGTGAAACTGGAGTACAGTACGCGTGTATGTTCCAAATAGGGGTTCGACGAAGGAGTGTGTTGAACGATGGATTATGTCTTGATGGAGAGTGCCTGGCCGCAGGGGGAGACGAGATATATAATGAAGAAAGGTAAGCCATGAGATCTTGGGCCCGGAGAATGTTTTACCGGGTCATCGTCGTTCATGATCACTATAGGAAGGTCAGTACGTACACCTAAGACATCAGGCTCAGGTGTGAGGAGTGGAAACTCTAGTCGCGGCTAGATTACTAGAGTAAGCTCCCAATGCCTCACCCCGCATTACACAAGACTCTCGGGTACCTGAAGCCTCATCATATGCAGGCTCCCAAAGCCCGCCCAGGACTACTGTGGCACTCTGATCGTCCCGTAAGGTCTTCACTAGTAACGATTAGAACTCGTTGATATAAGTCCTTGCCTCAGACAGTGGTGTTGTAGAGTTCTGAAAACGGACTGAATTCTCACGCAGTAAAATTTGTGGTGAAGAAACAGCGACCGTGGGCACATACAGGGCTTGCGCTTTGGTCTGTAGATACGTGAAGTATAGTCTCCATACAGGAATCATGGCTGGCTCGCATGATCGAGAAACGGGTACCACTCTTTCACGAGCTTATCCAAGGGGAGACTGGAAACGGTGAAGGTCCGGTACAGCGTCCCTAAAGCATTCGTGAGTAGTTGCCAATGATCTGGATTATGCTCAGGGCGGTTTGGTTCCCAGGGATACGTGAGACCAAATGTCTCTGGTAGAGAAGAGAATGATGGGAAATCGACAGGTGACCAGCCTTTTTGACGTGATCCCAGACCGATTTGGTTTTCTCGGCGTCTTTTTGGCCTTTGAAGAGCATGAAAATACTGTGTTGAAGTTTGTGGATCATAGCCCTTCGTGCGAAACTTACGCTAGTCAAACGCGGTGAAGATGTTGCTGTTGTCTTCTTCTGAACTCGGGATAAAGCTACCTGCCATTTAAGTATTGTGGTTCAAGGATTAGAAGATGATGTTCAATATGTTCGCAGTGCCCTCGTGACAGTACCCTTGGTCAGGCTTGACGGACCCAAGAAACAATAATGTCGGCAATAGAACCAGAAAACACCTATGCGCAAGAAGCGTTGAATACAAGATCTCAGACTACCGAAACCAGGGCTGGGGTCTCGGTTGTCGGTCTCGAGACTGCGGTGAGACACGCGCCTTCTGTCCATGTGGAGAGATCTGCAGTGTGACAGGCGCACATGGTGGAGAGACGGGGCTGGTGTGCACTCAGAACGGTCCCAAATAGCTCTCGTGGCTGCGCAGAATTTCCAGGCTTTTGCCATGATTTATGCTAGAGCCATGATGCTTCATGGTATGGATGGTAGGGGGAAAGGAATGTGGCGAGCATCACATGCCAGAATCCCATCGGAGATGCTCTATTCGTAGCTCCGTCGAGTCGCACAGCCACAGACACCTTGACGTCATCATGATCGGCGCCACTTTCCCTACCAAAGGATACTACTGCATTCACATACATTGCGACAACCTGTAATCTGCTCTCCTACAATACTCACTCCTTCCCTTTGGAACATACGACCTCGATTGTCCTAACACAAACGTCGTCCAAAACACCTCATCACATTCTACTACCTACCAATTCTACAATGGCGACATCACATCCACCTAACGAGCCGCCGCCCAGCTACGAAGCTGCCATCTTCGATGCCGACCCTTCACCTGGCTTACATCGTGTCTCCACGGACGGTCCTGCAGCACGTACCGAGCGTAATGGCATCCCACCCGACCGACGGCGCTCCATGGAGGACGAGATGCGCGAGCTACCTCCAGGCTGGGTACGTAGCTTTGATCCAGAGACTTCGCATCAGTTCTTCGTCGACACGAAGGCAGATCCTCCACGTAGTATCTGGACACATCCCTACGACGATGAACAGTTCCTTAACACGCTGAGCCCCGAAGAGCGTAAGAAGCACACTCGCATGCATAGGACCATGACACTGGAGGATCTCACAGCAGAGGATTCCGACGCTGAAGACCAACTCCCTCCGCGACCTACTTCCAAGGGCAAGGGTGCTGCGGCGCCTGGTGAACCTACAGGCATACACAAGTTCTCTCGCAAGCTAAAGGACAAGATCACTGGCCAAACCCACACAGAGCGCGAACAAGCTCGTGCCCGTCGCGCAGAGCAAGAACGTCAAGCATACCTTCAACATCTCCGTACACGGCAAGCACTTATACGCGCCATGGAAACAGGTCAGCCGCAATTGTTAGGCAAGGACCGTCAGGGCAGAGACGTGTACATCGAGCCACCTCATGGTCCTTACGCTCCAAGGGGAGCTTACGGATACAACCCATACGGTGGCCGACAGTTCGGGAATCCAGGCGTACGGTATATGCGCCCAGCTGGACCGTACGGTAGGCCGTATGGATACGGCTATGGGGGAGGGGCTGGGTTACCCATCGCAGCTGGTTTCCTTGGTGGCGCCATGCTTGGTGGCGCGCTGTTCTAAAGGACTGGTGGTAACGATACCTGACAACAGGTGTCACTGACTGAGCACATGTCCATAGTTATGATGACGGGCTTGGGCCATAGATATGGAGACCTTTTCAATACTTAAGATATCCTTAGTAATGACTTACGAATTAAACATGATTACAGTATAAGATGTGTCCTTCGGTGTCTGCTGCTATGTGAACTTACATTATGACATCTTTTCATCATCCTACGCCCCTGAGAAGACTTTGGTCAAACAACTATATCAATACTTTAATACAAATATCCTTCTAAAGCTACAGATCCAAGGCCACACGGTGGAAAGTACCAATCTTTGAGGCAAAAACATGGGGTATCTTATTGTAACTCCTAGCCTAAGTTCAAACCACAGTCACAACCCTCCTGGGCTATCATCGCAGACCAGATATGTCTCTCGACATGGAGGTAACACGATCTTCGAGTTCCTTCTTCTTTTTCTCAAGTTGGCGCGTCTCCTCTTCTTCTCGCCTTAGATCTTCTTCCGTCATAGGCGCCGCAACAGGCTCCAGCTCCTCTTCGACCTCGTCAACATCCTCGTCCATGTAGTCTCCTCGCGACCGGTTCAGTTTGCCAAGCTGAGTTTGTTGTTCGGCGAGGCGTGCTTCGTAGTATTCTACCGAGGCTGCGACCTGTGCATGCCGTTGGCGCATGGCTGCGATTCTGTCGTGGATCCCTGGTATGGGGCTACGTTTGGTTAGCCACGAGTAATGTTTTGTAGTATTCCAAGACGTACTAGACCCGGAGCAATTTCTCGGCACCTTCCAGCAGGGACTCAACGTCAACTTCGTTCTTGTTGCTGCCATTGTACATTCTGTAGCCTAGGCCTGAGCCTGCTCCTCCTCCGCCGCCTCGTCGAATCCTCTCCACCAGCTCATTGCCGAGCACCGCAGCCACAGCCGTGTTACGCCTGGGTGCTCTTACAGCATTTGCACCGCCTCCAGATGTGCTTGTGCCGCCGCCTCCATTGGGATTGAAGATGGTATTGCGCCTATTGGTAGATGGAGCTGGTTCGGCATGCTTAGGGGCTGCGGGCGGCGGAGGGACGGAGAATAGAGCGCGTTCGTGGATTTCAGTGTCTCTGATCAAGCTCGTGATATCATGGTTTTGAAGCAAGGCATTGGTGAAGATCTTGGGCGGGGCGAACCTGGGGTGTGTTCAGTCGAGTGCTATAGCAGATGGATAGACAGTGGACCAACGGCAACTCTGCGATTGACGCGGCGCATAGCGAGATTTGCTCTAGATGCGCATCTAACAGTGTCATGATGGGCGTCAGCTGTATATAGAAAGTGTGTACCGGGGTGACGCGGGGTGTAAACAATGGCCGGCCGGTGCTCGATAACTATTCCCCGATGTTCCGCCGCGCTGGCGTCAGTGAAGCTGGGAGCTCAACCTCAGCAAAGCATCAACACCAACCCACACCCACCACCACTCCCTCCACATCACCCGCACCTTCCGTCTTCTCCGTATATACACATCAAGAGCGACCATCATGGCGGACAGCATGGAAGGCGTCGTCGTCGAGGGCGAGCAGCCCAAGGCCGAGAACGTAGAGCAGAAGGCCATTGCTGGTAAGTAGACGACTTCGCCGCGCAGCATGCCTTTTACTTCAAAGTGTCCCTGTACCAACTGCACCACCTCGTGGCCGGTCCGCAAGATGTGTCCGAACCATATCATCGCCACCGAGATTGCGGCTTGCAAGTATCTCTACCACCGTGCTGACCCGACGACTACAGACATCCGGGGCAACTTTGTCCTCCTCGAGCGAGCCGTCGCCCAGTTCGATACCCGCTTCACCCTGCGCGCCCTCCGCTCCATATCATCGCTCCGCAAGAGGCTCACCGACCGTGTACTATGCTCTGTCATCATCCTGACATACTCCCCAAACAACGCCACGGCGCGCAACTTCATCGAGTACATTGGCATGGATGGCGAGGCGATACAGAGCGTTGTATCCCAGTACAAGGAGGAGGTCCAACTCAACAAAAACAACACCAAGGAGCCCCTGCCCGAGGTGGACATTTACATAGCCATTCTGATACAGGTACGTTTGTAGGCGGTACGACTGCTGGATTCGCTAACAGGCGCAGGTCTATCTCTACGATCAGAAGGAGTTCGAAGAGGGAGCTGAGTTCGCCGAGACGCTGGTAGACAAGATCCGAGAGCTGAACAGGCGGACATTGGACTCGTTAGCAGCCAAGGCCTACTTCTACTTCTCCCTGTTCCACGAGGAAATGGACCCCAAGCCCCCGTCGAAGCAGTCGCCCGTCATTCAAATCCGCGGAAAGCTACTCGCTGCGCTCCGAAGCGCAGTGCTCAGGAAAGACCCAGACACGCAGGCCTCCGTTACCACACTGTTGCTCCGAAACTACCTCTCGACCGCCGACATCACACAAGCCGATCTCCTTGTTGCGCAGACACAATTTCCACCACAAGCCCCAAACAACCAGGTTGCGAGATACCTGTACTACCTTGGCCGCATACGGGCTATTCAGCTGTCCTACACCGAGGCACACGAGCACCTAATCAGCGCCACCCGCAAGTCGCCCTCCGCTCACTGCGCAACAGGCTTCTACCAGGCTTCGATGAAGCTCCTGGTAGTCGTTGAGCTGCTGATGGGTGACATTCCCGAGCGCGAGGTCTTCAGCCAGCCCCGTCTGGAGCGTGCTATGGAGCCTTACTTCCGCCTCGTCCAGGCAGTGCGCGTTGGTGATCTACAAGGCTTCCTGAAGGTGGTGCAGACGTCCTCGTCCGTCTTCCAGCGCGATGGCACCTACACCCTCATCCTCCGCCTGCGACAAAACGTCATCAAGACCGGTATCCGTATGCTGTCGCTTTCATACTCGCGCATCTCGCTCCGCGACATCTGCATCCGTCTCGGTCTTGAGAGCGAGGAGTCGGCCGAGTACATTGTTGCCAAGGCTATCCGCGATGGTGTCATAGAGGCTTCTATTGATCACGAGAAGGGATTCATGCAGACCAAGGTTGCCGGCGATATCTACGCAACTCGTGAGCCTGGCGAGGCATTCCACGAGCGTATCCGGGCGTGCTTGACCCTGCACGACGAGTGTGTCAAGGCAATGCGATACCCCATGAACCAACATCGTCTGGAGCTCAAGAACGCCCAGGAGGCGCGGGAGAGGGAGCGCGAGTTGGCCAAGGAGATCCAAGATGGTGACATTGACGAGGACGACGCGGGTGGAGACTTTGAAGGCTTGTAGAGGGGTCATACAGCTTGGACGATTCATTCCGTGAGCGTGTAAGATAGCCGCATAAGGGCTGGCATTGATAGACGTTCCAGACAGTGTGGGACAGACATCGTAATGATGCATGAATAGAATAAATCCGAGACGTCACCACCTAAGTTTGGATACAGCAGTGACATGTGATGGATGCTACAAGAGTCGCTAATCTGACAGATGGATCCATGCTGCGCATCCGCGCGAGAACTAGCCAGTTGCAGCAAGATTCCGTGAAGGTCCCCGCAGCTTGTCCAAGGCCCAACGCTCCCGCCCCACACCAGCTCTCCCTCGCGAACGTCACTTCGCGATTGCCATCATCTCCGTGCCGTCTGACCACTCAATCATGATTCACTGCCGCAGCCATGTAAGTCGTATCCCACAGAGTAACTCGACCCGCCGCCGCACACAGCCCATCCGAACCCGTCCCTAATGTCCAACAACAGGATTGACGTACCCCGGCGACTCCGGCGCGCCATCCTACTCAATGACCTCGCCCTCGTCCAACGCATTATCTGCAACAACCACACGTACCTACGCAACCCCGACTTCGAAGACCGCTCCAACACGTCGCTGCACCTCGCTGCGAAACATGGCTTCACATCCATCGCCGAGTTTCTCGTCGACGCGGGCCACGAAGACGGCATGATCAGCCGTAACAACGACTGGGAAACGCCTCTCATGCTGGCCGCAAGCGCTGGAAAGGAAGAATGCGGCGTCTACCTCGCCAAGCGCTTCCCCGAATCCGTAGACTGGAAGAACAAAGCCGGTCTCGACGCGTTGATGCTGGCGTGTAAATCTGGTTCGGGGACGCTGCACCTCATCCCCGCGCTGATCCTCCATGGACCCAGTATACTTTCTGCAAGCGACGCGCAGGGCAACACGGCGCTGCACCATGCTTCTGCGGCAGGAGAATTGAAAGCGCTAAGGATGTTACTGCAGTATGGAGCGAATCCGCTGGCGAGTAATAGCTACAGCTGGACACCAGTTCATTACTCGGCCACCACAGCGGCAGAAGCATATTTCAAGACTCTCATCATCGAGTTTGAGAAGAAGAAGGCAGAAGGGAAACGCGCGGTCAAGGAGAGGGAGCGGCAGCGTACTGCAGGCGTCAGGCTGGTTACTGATGCCGAGGGTTTGGGAGGCGCGAATGCAGGCGTGCCAGAGGGGAGGGCTTCTGTTGAAAGCAACAGACAGCGGGCGAGGGATGATGCGGCCATTGCAGGGCTTCCGGCGCCCGGTATGATGGAGTGGAGTCCTATAGAGAGGAGGAGGGCTATGACGCCCACTGAGGGCAGGGGGTGGACATTTACGCCGGATGGAATGAGGCCGAGGGCTGAGACCGGCGAGTCTATATAGGCATACATTGGGTGTTAGAAGGGGTTGGCATCGAGCGAGGAGCATTGAAGAGCGGAACTTTGGCGTTGTGGGGTCACGGTTCGTATATTGATATTTGTACCATCACGCATACTCTTTTGTATTCCTTCGAGCTTTTGAACGAAACTTCTTGAGCTGATCCTTATTCTCTCATGCATCATGCATTAGGCTTCTCAACTCGATTCGTGGCGATGCTATTCTGCCAAATTCTACACTGAATCAAAGAAATATACCATATACTACATCAAAGAGAGAAACCAAACATCTCTCTAAGCATACCTAGGAAACTCTTCCTACTAAAGTAAAGCGTGTTAAGATGTATATAGACATAGAAGATCTAGGAGTCTACAATACTGTCAATTTTTACAAGTTTTCTTGTTAGGAGCTAATGTAAGCTGCAGGATAGGACTTGTTATTTCTATACTTGTTAACTTTTCCATTGTATCTGGTGCTAGAAGACTTACCTCTGGCGCCCGAAATATCTAGCAGATGGACCCCTTATGCTTTCCTTCCCACTACCTCCTCACATCCAAGCAGCCATTTCCCTCGTCGCAGACACAGGACACGCCGGCCAATGGAATCTGCTGAAAGTGTGAGGTACGAGCCTCTCATGCACACATCCAGGGCAGCCGTGCTGGCTATCTCGGTGATACCAAGCTTCGTGGAGTTCTACTGGAAATTGACCGCGTTGGACATCGAGGCCTGGAGGCTGGTATCGACCTTGTTGAGTGTAGAAGATTTGAGGCGGACTGTGGCCGTGGTGAGGAGAAAGCCTCGGCGGTGGGTTCTGAGCTTGTGGTATGTCGAGTCTAGGGGGTGGTTTGACTCCTCTTTGAGTGAAGAGACTCGAAGGTGGCGGGCGATAGGGGGCTGAGAAAAGTTGGTTGGGATGAGTTAGGGTGTTGTAGTTCGGATGGACATGACTTTGGTGGTGGGTAGAAGACATGCGGTCTGCAGGAGAAATATACCTCCTGCCTGTGGTGGTGGAAGACGAGGTGTTGAAGCTGTTTCCAGGTACGTTGCTGGAATGGCACGTCTGAGGATTTCGTGTGTACGACGACCGGTTGACAGTTGTGTCGGCTATTGTAGTAAACGTATCATTTCTGGGCGCGCAAGATAAGACGTCACGGATGCTAATCGAAATGGCTCCAGTATCAAGGGGGCGTTTGTTCTTGACTGGGCTGTCGGGACGTTTGAAGCCGTAAGAAGGCATCTTCTAGAATGTAATGTGTTGTGCGAAGTTGGTATTGAATGTCTGTTGGAAAAGATGTGTTCGATAAGACTCGAGGGAAGAATTTATTGGAGTATAAGAGTGATGGATTGAATGCTACGGGGGATTTGGCTTTATAGGCAGTACGCTGGCAGCTATGGAAGGTACCAATAACAACACATGAGATGGCTCCTTCTCATCGATTCTTAGCTGAACCGACCACGAGTTATGCTCAAGACGAAGATAATGTGGTGAACCAATGATGAATGACTATGATATGGTAAGCCTACCAACCTCTTTCAGGGGTAGCCAATGACTGTGATGGTAAATTTTAGTCACGAAGCGTTATTTTGCGAGTACGGTCTGTCCAAGTCGCCAGATCCACGGTACAAAAGTTATACAAGTAGATTGCAAGATTTATTGCCGCATCTGATCGTGGTCTAGTTGGAAACGGCTCCCTCATGGTACGTTGCAGTGGATATGATTGTTAGCGAGAGAGATTCTTCTTGGTGAATCGTGTGGACAAGGAAAGAGTGCTCCAATGAAAACAGCGATAGGGAGAGTGGAGTGCACCCACGCAGTACGCAAAGGTGGGCCCATGGTCACTGCTAGGCATCACATCACTGGCAGTGGCTTGCGGTCACGAACATCGCGGGGGAAAGTGTGGCCATTACATCGTTTAATCAATTTTGTTGGATTTCGCAAATTCTATTTCCATGAGGGCTGAAGCAAGAGGGCATGGGGCAGATTACACTATGTTCATATGATTTTAAATTCACTGATTCGTTACCACTGCCTATCAATTTAGCGTTCCACATCTCTAAACCAACAAATCATATGGATCTGATCATGACATCACTTTTCTTATTCCAGAGGAGAGGGCCTCCATCGACGCCCTCAGTCTGCGTTAAAACGGCACAAGCTGAGCTGCGTTCTATCTGCCCATAGTGAAGTCTAAATGCCTCCACGACGTTCTCACATCACAAAACTCATTACACCTTCTTGCCGAGTAAATATGCACATCGGATTATAGCAAGGCTCAAGTCAAGTCAAGTCAAGTGATTTGAAGTTTGATTTGCATTTCATGTTAAAATAAGCTCGTCTGGAGTCCGCGAAACGAGAAGGTAAATTGGAGATCGTACCAAAACGCCGAAAAAAAGTGAAAGGCAATTGCCCCCTCACTCCCTCGCTTCCGAAATAAACTGGTGGTTTCCAAACCGCCCATGATGCATGCCCCTAGATCCTGCGTGACGAATGTGAAAGAAACGCCGCCTAATCACGCGTCCAGTCCCGATATTCATTATAGAGGGCTGACGCAGTCGTGATTGAGATATATCGTGTGAGTTTAGATGCGGTGACATGGTAACGTAGTGAGAGAAGCGTGCGAACGTCTTGATGTTCAAAGGTAGCGGAAATCTGGTGCACGAGATCTGCGGTTGCGACCTCGAGGATTGACCGGTTGCCTATCGTACGCATCGTTAGGGTCTTGTTGTCCCTGTGCCTGCCCTTGCCCGTTGCCCCATTGCCCTTGTCCACCCCATCCGTACTGTTGCTGCTGGTTGTACTGCTGACCGAACTGTTGTTGATTGTAACCAAAATTTTGCTGAGGAAACCACTGCTGTTGTGGCATCTGTTGCTGTTGTTGCGGCTGGAAGCCCATCTGATAGCCGTTCTGGAACCCCATTTGCTGAGGCATCTGCATTGGCATAGGCATACCCATCGGCATTCCCATGGGCCCCATCGGTGCGTTCTTGAGCATCTCCATCTGTTGTATAAAGTCCTGCTCCATCTTCGAGGCGGGATCGGCCGCTTGACGCATGGCTTTCGGTGCGGTGGGAGGCTTGATGTCTGTAGGAGGCTGCTTGCGCTTCTTTGAAGAGGTTGAGTCAGTATCGGATACTTCGTCAGCCGCAGCAGTCGCCGCCGCTGCTGGAGTAGCAGTAGTGGTGGCATTTGTATCGTCATTTGCGACAGAAGAAGATGCGTTGTCAGTAGCAAGTGATTGATTAACTGATTCATTTGTTGAAGCAACTGCTGCCTTTGCTGCCTTTTCCTTCTCTGCTGCCTTCTCTGCGTCGTATGCCTTGAGAGACTTGACCATGTCGTCATCAGTAACGAGATCATCCATTAGAACATCCTCCTTTGCGCAGTTTGGACAAATCAGATCACCGTCTGCCAGCGCATTGTCGATGCACTCACGGCAGTATGTCTTACCACAACAGGGTGTCTTGACTGGGTCGACAAATCTTTGGTTGTCGATGGGGCATTCGAATCCGCGCTCGCGGAGCTCTTTGCTTGCGGCGTCAGCGCTTGCTGCGCGCGCTCGTGATGCATTTGTCTTCTCTTGAAACTTGTCCCATGTCTTCTGGTCAGTCATGACTTGTACGTATTCGCCGTCGGCGTTAAGCATGACGCCCTTTGCAGCCTCTTCGTCGACAGGCTTCTCGACCTTCTTTAAGAAGGACTGTGGTATGCCGGTGGTGCGCTTCGCTTGGAAAACGGGTTTGAAGTCGGGATCGTCGTTCGTAGGGCAGGCCTGAATCCAGTGGCCTTTGATATTACAGCGGCGACATACGTAGCCAGGAGGGGGAGGATGTGAAGGGACTACGACGTTCTTGGTGTTGTTCTTACGGTAGACGGGCTTTGCATGTGAAAGTGCCTCCTTCTGCGCGTCCCAGGCCATCGCCGACTCAGCCAAAAACGCGGCCTCAGCATCTTCTGGTGTCGCATTGCTTGTGGGAGGTGCAGGCGCGACAGGCTTGCTTTGTGTAGTAAAGGCACGAACAGGGGGCTTGCCATTGACATATCTGGCAGCTCGGCCCTGCCCGCGAGGCGCTGGGCGGCGAATCGCTATTACGGTGGAGGATCGCGGTATTAAGGTAGTGTCGTCTTTGTACTCGGAAGCAGGGTCATCTTGAGGGTAGATGTGTAGGTTGAAATCCGTTCCATCGCCGAGGCCGCTCGCGCTGATTATCTCCTTCTTGAGCTCGAAAACACTCAGATCGGTGCCGTTGAATACTATACGTTCGCTATCCTTCGAATTCTTGAATTTATAGAAGATCGATGAAGTCATGGTTGCGATTCGTAGTTTGGCTTCAAACGTGGTGGTGTGGTGAGAGAGTGTAGAGCTGACGGAGGAGGAAGGGTGTCGGAAGCTGAGTTATGGCCCGCGATGCGCACGGGCCACATCACGTCGGAAGTCGATTAGTGCCCGCAAACCATCAATCTATGGATCCTACTAGACTAGATGGCCCTCTACCAGACTAGAGGCTAAAGGACCTCACGAAATCCTGTGGAATTATCTCTACCTGGAAAACTCTCTGGGCAACTCCACGCATCGTTCTCAAAATATTTCATTAGCGTGTTTGAACCACGGTATTTGTCATGCGACGAGCGGTTTCCAAGATATTCTGGTAACTACCATCCTCATGAGTAACTCCAAATATGATTTCAGGAGAGAAAGAACTTTATTGGCGTGTTTAATTCCAATTGTTTGCCATAAGTTAGCAACTTCTATGGTATTTGGTATCTACTCATCCGCAGCATCCGCCTCCAGCTCATCCGGCCCCATCTCTTCCCTTGCACCACCAGCATCACACTCATGTATAATCTTCTTCCAACCCAGTGGCGCGGACGCATCCTTGATGTGCTCGATGGTTGGGAAGTAGTGTTCATTCTTCTTCATAGTCGCGACCCATGGTACATTGTCAAAGGTCATTACCTTCATACGGAAGTATTCATTGTCCTTTATCTTCTTAATTTCGGTGAGGAAGGCCGTCAAATTGGGAGTAGGGACGTTATTCACGTGTGTGACGAAGTTGGTAGGCGCGAGCTGATAACATGGTCAGTAAGGTGTTCTTAAAATAATTGATAGGTGGCAGGTCGCCACAAGCAAGGCCTAAAGGTATCCACCGGTTGGAAATCCACGGTCCGATGACAGAATACCATCCGAGCCACAGGATGAGTGCCGAGGGTCTAGAGCTATCCAAGTCAGGCCTAGGGGTATCCGCCTTCTGAAGTCCTCGGAGCCCACACCGAGCATGATGAGTAAGCAGACAGGAAGTCCATGGTAAACAAAGTGGAGCCGGCGCATATTTGCTGGATGAACTTCCAGGATCCTAGAGCAGTGTTCAAGCCATACAAGAGTGGGCTTAGTAAGCAAAAGAAAGAAACTCCTAGTGTATCCACGGGAAGGCTTGGAGGTCCGATCCTAAGACCTTGCGCGAAGACCTTTGGGCTTCTTCGTGATGTTGGTTGGCGGTAACTAGATATGAGAGGGAGGCAGCTTGCTCCATGGGAGGCCCGGTAATGTTCGCAGACTGGGGTGACCAATTGTCTCTAGCTTCCAGCTTTCGGAGCTGCCCAACCCAGAGAAAGTGACCGGAACGTGAATGTAAATCTCCAGTCTCCAACGGCGTATCCAGGCTCCCATGCGGAAAGAATGTGTGCTAGAAAGAACAAAAAGAAAATGAAATTAGCACTTACCCCATACATGTATGCCGGTGATCCACGAGCCCGCGACGAGATGTAAACATCCGAGTGAATCTTGCTGATCTGCTGGCGTACAGCCTGATGAGGGCGATGGAAAGTGGCACCACAGAAGCTGACTAGGCGGTCAGTCTCAAGGTCCTCTGTTGCAACAGTAGATACCTTGATAGTCTTCTCCTCACGCTTGCGCACAACGACGGCGTCCAGGAACTCGTTGTTGTACATGACGTCGAGGTCGGGTGAACGTGTGACCAGCTTGCCATTGAGCGTAAGGAGGACATCGCCTTCGTTGAGACCATCGCCGTGACCTGAATCGACCTTGCGAACCATGAAGAGCTGGTGGCGCTCTGGATCAGCCGTCTCAGTCTTCTCGATCCATTCCTCTGAGACACCCATGACGCGGGCCTGACTCATCTGGACGGTCTGGAACTCGACGTTCAAGATACGTAGCTTGGGTGTGGTTCCGCCTCGGATCTCGTTGAGAACTGGCAGAAGGTTGGGCGTTGCAAGACCAAGATGGTATTCAACATCTTTGCCACTATGTGATGTCCGCTCGCCTAGGTACGAGAGCCACAGAGCCTGAACGGTGCCATCCTCAGCGATCAACACGCCAGAACCACTATGTGAGGCTTGGTTCGTGTCTACAGTGATGGCGTCGAAGTTGGTCGCACGGTATCTAGGTGTGATTGCGCTAGCTGGAATCGCGACTGTGGTGATATCAGTGACGACAGTCTTTGCTACGACAGGTCGGAAGTTTTGGTTGATGCCAAAGAAGATGGTCTCTGCTCCTTTCTTGATGAAGTCGGTGGCGAATTTGGGTGTCTTTACAGGAGCGTTGACAAGAGAGGCATCGTACTTGACAATGGCATAGTTCTGCAATGGGTGCATGAAGACAACCTTGGCATCGACAAAGATGCTGTCAGCAATGATGAGCGAGATGTCGCAAAGGTCATATGGCAGAATCGCTCTCGAGACAAGGACAAGACCCTGTTCAGCATCGACAACGAGTCCATAGCCCTGTTTGTTCATCTTGGGGAAGCCATCTAGCTTAATAGGCATAGAGACATGCACTCGTACGAAGCTACGAACAATGTCTACAGCCTCAGGATAGCTTGAGCTCATCTTGACGAAGTTCGCACGGCGAGGAACAGGAGGCACAGATGGAATGGCATCGGCGAGTGGTTTGAAGTCCCACAAGCCTGTGGAGTCATTGCGTGTTGCTACCCGAATCTTTGCATGCCAATGCCTGTCCACAGCAGTAATACTAGTGTTCGCAGTATGCAGATCGCGCAGATGCTTGTACATCATAACCACTCGCTTACGGTCTGGGATCTTCTTCATGACTTCAATAAAGGTATCAAGGTCTGGTGTCGGCTGGTTGTCAACTTCCTGAATCAACCACCCTGATGTGTAGCCGTCGGCGAACCTGAAGGAACCAGCTGCCTCGCAGACGTACACACCCGCGCCTTTCAGCGAGATGGCGTAGAGGCGAGCTTGTTGGTATGAGAGGTCGTGGAAAGATGCGCCTGCGACAGAAACAAACTTGTCAGGGGTGATGGCATGGAGATCGCCAACGTCTAGCTCAACATCCATGTTCTCCCCAGCACGCTGTATGGTCACAGAGATAGTCTTGCCAACGTTGTCGTCAAGAATGGCATCAAGTCGGACGAACTGTGTGAGCAACTCTCCGTTGACACGCAACAGAAGATCACCTTCTTCAACCTTGGCAGACGCAGGCCCTTGGGGTAGAACCACCTCAGCGACCAACATGCCTGTCTCCTTGGGGAACTGAGTGCGGATCTCTTTCTCCAGGGCAGGAGAGAGACCTAGTCTCCGGCACTCGTCGAAGGGCTTCAGTATCCACTGGGTCTGAATGGTGCCTCTAGAGACATGCTGGCCTTGGCGGACAAGCTCGAGAGCACGTAGCGGTCGGTCCAGAGGCAGGAAGTAGTCGGTCGCGGCACCATCAGCACGTCCGCCGGCTTGCAGCGCAACTGCGAATCCGTCGCGGTCTACTACGGGACTGCCCGAGGATCCTCCACTCGCTGCAGCTGCAGCCTGAATGTAGTTGGTATTGAAGTCGGAGTAGCCCTCGCCGTATTCGGGCGCATTGCGATCCAATCGACTGATAACTCCCGACAAGATACTGAGCTTCTCTCCGGCATCGTTACCCACGACGCGAATCTCGACGCCGACTTTGGCGTTGTCTGGGCGGAGCTTGAGGGCGGTGACGGGCATGTACTTGATCTTCTTGGGGTCGAAGCGGAGGATGCCGAAGTCGTGGACGGGATCGCGGTAGACGGGGTGGACGTCGCATTCCTCGTGATTATCGAAGATGCAGTAGCCGATGAACGGTCCCGCGCCGACAACATGCCTGTTGGTGAGGATGTAGCCCTTCTCAGCATCCACGACAAAGCCAGTTGCCTCTGAGCTAATGGCCGGGTCTGTGTCAAACGAGCATGTCTGACAGAAGTGTATCGATACGACGCTCTTGACCACATTCTCTATAGTTCGTTGCCACTCTGCCGTGTCCTGTCCTGTGACGGCTGTGATATGCGCCGATGACGGAATCTCCTCGTGAGAGCTGTACTCGCTATGCGCATCGTCCATGGCCTCTTCCTGGTCGGGCGAGTGCGACATGACTCCGTTGGAGGCGTGTGCGTCTATTTCGGGCTTGATCTGCTTCACCGGACGGTCTGTTGCTGGTGACGTTGGTGGTTGCTTGCGCTTGGTTGTGCCATTTTGTTCCATTGGCGGCGGATTATTTATAGACGAGGACGTGTGTAGGGGGCGCTTGCCGAGAGCAAGTGCGCTAGGACTGTGAAGTCTCGTAGAATATCGCGTGTGAAGGAGGGAGAGCGGTCGGGAGACGGGCAACGGCAGGATGCGTGAAGGTGTTGCAAGGAAACTTCGTTTGCAGGCGGCGAGAGACACTCGGCCAAGCAGCATGCCAACCCTGGGTAAGGCGTCTAAAGGAAGGAGGCAGCGCAAACGCAGCTGCTGTGGATTAAGAGTAGTAGGCGCAAAGAAGAAAGGCAAAAGACGCAGTCGATGAGTATGCGATGGCTTTGAGGCCAAGAAGGAAAGTGCCTGAAGAGCCCTGCAGCTGCATGCGCCACGGTCCCCCGGTCAAGCTTCGCCGCATCTCGCGAACCATCGTCATTCGTCTCCACTCGCATCCACTCCATAGCAGCAGTGAATACATGCTCCGGTCATATCCCAAGCATGCCACACTGCGCGCCCTTTCCCACAGCTCATGGGGTAAACTTTCATGTCGCGTCAAACACGGGCGATGAGCAAGATGGCACAGGTTTATTGCGACGCCTATCGAGTTGTGGTTCTCAGCCCGCTCAACGGCAGTATCCAAGCCCAGCCACATGAACAAAGCAAAGAAACCTTGGAAGAGACGGAGTTGAGCGCCCGATAGCTACATGAGAACGCCGAGCCGTTTCAGTATCCGCCCAATGTGCCACAATGCGACAGCACAACCAGCCGATGCAGGGCAAAGAGACAGATTCTTAGATCATCTCTTCACCTTTTACCTCGACAGCCTCATTCTTTTTCTTGCGTGGACGCGGGGTGGCCTTCTTCTTCGGTGAATCTTCAGCAGGACCATCCTCGCCCTCAACGGTCTTGTTCTTGCGCTTCTTGGGCGTCGTCTTGGGTTTGTCCAGAGTGGCGCCAACTCCGTCACCGGCAGCAGGGCCCAAAGGTAGGCCGTTCTTGATCTTCTCCATATCTTCCCCATGTTTCTCCTTCATACGGAGAATAAGCTTGCGGCAAGAGAGCGTGGTGCGGCCGGCGGGAACAGGGCAGGTCTGGCAAATATATATAAGCGTGGTAAACCATCATCAGGTAACACTTACGTTGGTCTTGGACTCGAATTTTTCGGTGTCAGCTGCATGCTCGCAAAGAACCATGAGGTACGCGATCTGTATCACAGTCAGTGGCGGGCTTGATAGAGACATAGGGCTTGTATGCAGCACAGTCGATCCAATCGGTGCCAAGTAGGAGCCCGGCAGTGAGCTCACTTTCATATCCCATACCTTTTCTTGTTCGGACCAGGCGCCGCCGCTTGATGCCGCCTTACTGGGTGTCTTCTGTTCTTCGTCTAACATTTTGACTGTGTATGTTGATATTGGGAGTACAGTCTCAAGGTTGCGTGGCAACAGAGAAAGCCGAGAGAAGAAGGAAAACGGAGCTGTTGGTCAGACTGGTGAACTAGAATTCACCTTCACATCGGACTTTCGTCCATGCGCTGGCCCTACTTGCTGAGGAAGGTGAGCGATGAAACAACGGCATTTACTTCTGAGCATGTTAATCACCACAGTGAGCCTCACCTTCTGTGCACTATCTGAGAGCCACCAATTCTTAAAATGTGCATTACACAAGCCACGAGACCACATTGCCGGGTATATTGTTCCCTTTCATCATCTTCATACTGTGCTTACGCTCTCTGAGTGACCATAGAAACATCTATCGTCATTACTCTGAAGACCCCGCGTCTTTCAGTCTTCGTTGGGCTTAGATGAGGATAGCTGACGGCAATCTCACTGTCAACTTTCCTGATACAACTGAACCGCCTAGATGTTCATCCGAACTTCCATGATCTACTGCCTTTAACGGCTTCTTGGTTTTAGGGAAATATGAAGATGGTGTCCGGCCTGTAGCGTAGTCATGTCGTCAGCCAATCCACTTGTAGCACTAGCCTGGCTCAAGCGTTGCCCCACAACCCACCTACTGCTCGTCTCCCCATCTTACATGACAGCTTTCACCTCACACGAATGAAAAACACCATGCTCGAAATAGCCTGCTTCAACGCTTCTTCTGCAACCGTAGCAGCTCAAGCAGGCGCTGATCGGATCGAACTATGTGCCAACTACTCCGCTGGCGGGGTCACACCTTCCCTCTCCACACTACAACACGTACACAAGGAAGTCACGATTCCAATTAATGTCATGATTAGACCAAGAGCTGGCAACTTTGACTACTCAGACGAAGAGTTTATTCTTATGAAAAAAGACTTGGAAGTGCTTAAGCCTCTAGCTAGCGGATTCGTCTTTGGCGTTCTAGACGCCAATCGTCGAATAGACCAAACTCGCAACCGCGAATTGGTTGAAGCCGCAGCCCCGCTTCCATGCACGTTTCATCGTGCAGTCGATGAGGCTGAGGATTTGGAAGAAGCTGTTGAAACAGTGGTCAGCTGCGGATTCAAGAGCCTGTTAACTAGTGGCGGGGCGAAGAGCGCCTTCCAAGGTGCTGATAAGCTCTATCAATTACATTCAAGGTTTGGAGCAGATCTGTCGCTAATAGCCGGTGGAGGGGTCAGAAGTACAAATATCGAGGAGCTCAAGAGGAGGACCCACCTAACATGGCTTCACTCAGCAGCCATCACAGCACCTGGAGAAGACGTGAATTGCCAGGAAGTCAGCAAGATGCAGAGAGAGTTATCAAAAGTGGCATGACACAAAGCAAGAGCTCGATGTGAAGGGTAGGATATTATTCATTAATCGTGGCACATCAGTACTGGATTGCCACAGTACGTGTAAACATGCGTATGCTAAAGCTCCAGCGGGTATCATCCATTCAGGAATGCCTTGAATATAACTCCTAAGATCAATCCGTCCACCTAATACACTGCGACGAGCATAGTTTCCAATAAATCAGCCGCTTACAAGAGCGCATATAGTAAGGCACCGACAACCGACATTCCGAAGGACCTTGTTGTGTCAACAGACATCTGTCCAGCTGCTCCGGTGCTTTGAGGTGCAGCGGAGGCAGTGTTTGTTTGAGTGACGACGTTGGTCTTTGCGGCGATCGTTGTGGCCTGGGTGATGGTGGTAGCGGGAACGGTGGTAGAGACCTTCACTCCGCTGACAGTGGCTACCTCGACGGTTTCCGCAACAGTGGTGGGTGCAGAGTATGTTACGGCTGGAATAGTGGTGGTATAGACGATGATGGATCCGAGTTCTGTGACTGGGATCGCTCCTCCAACACCAGTACCGGTGTATTGGGCGGGAATTGAAAGGGTCGACGTGTTTGGCTTCTCAGCCTCGTTGTTGGAGTAAATGTTGGCACTCTGGCCATCCTTGGTGTAGTCTCCGCTAATGAGGTTGACTTCAGTACCTCCGGAGCTGTATGTTCCACCAGCAACGTTTCCGAAAGAGCCGTCTGGGAATTGGAAGTTTGTGGTGAACTTGTCATAGCACATGGGGATGTTGATGTTCTGAACATTGACACAGTCCAAGCTTTGGCGGCAACCGAAGCCGTCCGCACGGCCATGAACAGATCGCTTGTCGAAAGTGATACCCTGGATAGAGGAGAGGATATCGGTGTAGAGAGAGCTGAGCTCCGTGCCAACTGCTGGTGGGGTTGTGCCGGTCGCTCCTTGCGGTTGGCATGCCTCGTAAGGGTCGTCGCTAGTGGCCTTCGACATAGAGTCAAAAGGAGACGCAGTTGCGACAGCCGCAAGAGCGAGGGATAGGAACTTCAAAGACATTTTGAAGTAGGCTACTGTGTGGTATATTGTGGGTGGCGTTGGCGGTAGTAAATTACGGATACCGAACGGTGATTGTAGGTATTACACGGTGTAGTACTGAACGACCGACGATTATCAGGCTGGTAACGAATGGCAAACGCAAGCGAGCGAATGTGAAAGCGAGTGACGGGAGGGTACGACGGATTGCTTGCCAAGGGGCAAAGGAGCAGCCTCGAGTCTATATACCGACTGTACAAGTAGCCCATACCGCTGGTGCTGACAGGGTTTAATCAGGTTCGTCTCTACCATGCCGAACTGGCCAACCGGCACCATGCGCTTTACTGACGGCGCGCCACAATACGATAGGACCTTTACCAACTGACTGGGATCCGTTATCCGTTGGGCGATCATGTGTTCATCCCCAACACCTTGCCCAGGGGCGGCCCTCGTATGGAGAGTCGCGAAGGATTGGCTGTCAACCACACGCGACCCGTACATGTGGCCCCCGCCAACAACAACACCGTCGCGTTTAGCAGTTCTAGGAAGGTCGGCCGCGATGCCAGAATCTCTGCTCATGCGACCAGTCAAATCCCTTGGGCCTATGTTCACCGCTAGCCAGTAAACGAGGTCAAAGTCGCGTGATTCGACGGGAGATAAATCGGCATACTCCAACCGAAGCGCTGCGAACGGACACTTCTTCATCCCTCAGGCAAGCCACGACACGGCCTCTAATTCGACATCACGAGAATTTTCCATTGCCGACACGCTTCCGTCTCTCCAGGTTCGGCCAAGTCTACCACGCCTACCCATCAACAAATAAAGAAAATGCGGGCTCAACGTCATACCGGCCGCGCCGAATCCACCTCGACAAACACTAAAAGCATGGCCCTGGTTGGTCCCTGACAGGCACACCCACAGAACTTGCGGCCACGCGCACGCTGCCGTCCCAAATTTCTCTGCAGCGCTAACACGCGATGGGTGCTGTACCATGATGATCATCCCCCTGAGCAGCGATAGCTTGGGTGACAAGACTTCGCGGACAGCTGGGCATTCGCTCGAGCCTTACCTTATTTTATCTTGCCCAGGTAAACCACCAAGCCTTTGTATCGTCATCCCAAGATGGCTATTCGGCTAACAAAGAGCACGATAAGAATAGTCATTTTTTCTTCACCGTCTAGATCGTGCACCATTGTTGGCATCGAAAGTCAATGAAACCCGATGCACACGCAAGGAAAAAGATTACCAATTAACAATTCGCGCAATAATAGTGCAATAGTCTGCGGTTATTCGGCACTGGATTGGGTTCCTGACCGAGACTTGTGTGAGTCGCACCAACCACGATTGCTATCATGAGTGCAGTGCGATAGTATCCCGGACTAAGCAAAAAGGAACACCTCTATCATCGATTCATTCCCGGGCCGCTTCTGACTAGACAAAATCTCGCGTGCGTTGTTCCTTCCTACGGTTTTACCCCACTATAACGCCAAGTTGTAAGCAAGGCTAGCTAATAATAGAGTTTTCTGATGATCGACGCAGGAACAAGGTCTGCATACACAACGTTGTGGTTGCATAAGGCACGCCGCCACAAGCATGGTTGTTCCTCATGTGTCTGGAGTCGCAGTGCAACCAACTGTGTAGATCTGGGCATCAAGATTTCCACTGTGGATGCTGCGGATAGGCGCGCGCCGACACAACCCCAGAGGAATTTTCCAATGAAATTCGATACGAGGTAGGACCGATAGTGTTGGATCCGCTGTTATGCGATGCGACCGGAGGTGCAACCTGCATACGGTAGGGTGTACGTGCAGTGGCCGAACCACATCGTGAACGACATCTAGAACTTCAAGGCCATTTTCTGTATTCCTGGGTCGACGAGTTCCTTTCCATCGTGTGTTGAAACTTTCATTTCTTCTTTCTCTTCGCGTACAGCGATGCGATGCCGTGATGCTTGCGACATTGCGTCAGAGATGTCTGGCGCATGCGATGATCGCGGCAAGATCGAAAATGATGTTGTTACGATACAAGACCGATCGGACTTATTGGTGTTGTTTGAAAAGCATATGGAATCGCACAGGCGAAAAACTCTCCTCGGCCAGACTACCCTCTGCTAGATTGTCAACGGCGATGAGTGAGATAAGCTGACTACCAAGAACTGTTCTGAAGCATATATTAGATTCGACATTTGTGAGGCGCTCCGAATAAGAGGAGAGTCCTGGTCATATGCCCAGCATGCCTTAGGGAGCCAAGAACAAAATAGGGTTCTGTTTGAGCGGACAGGGTACGGTTGACAAAGTCGAACGAAGAGTCATTCTCGACAGTTTGCCGGCGATGCATCCATATCAGTTTTCCAAGGCTGCTATACCCCATCTTCCGTCTACTTCACCTGTCGACGTGCATGCTCAGGAGCCTTTGCTCGCCGACATGGGTGCACCAGTACGCGCAACGAGAGGTCAGTATTAATGCTGGAGGCATGAAGTCAGTGAACTTCGAATCCGGGAATAGATCCTTCTCGCTTTGAGGTTGAGTGACCTACCGCCAGCGAGACACATACGCGCCGATCCGCTAGAACCCTCCAATTACTACGACCAAAAGGCGACTGTTGAACAAGAGCTTCCAGTATGTCGATGTGCCGTTCTGTCCTTCACAGTTCGTCAACACTCTGTGTGTACATCTTCGAGCTTCAAGAAGGTAGGACGCTGTCGGTGTTGCTTTTATTTGATACCAATGCATGTACAGCCAGCGCCCCGGGCTCACATTTTTTAGCCGTCAAGCTCTTCGCAGAACACTTCAAATTCTGAATCTCTTAGCCTTTCTTCTTGTCCTTACGCCTCCGAACCTGTCATAAACTTGCTCATCCCATTCTACGAAACACATGTGCCTGAGTATAGAAGATAAGACCTCTGGACAGAGAAACATCGTTACGATTTGCGTTTGTGACGATGCGATCGCGAGCCTGCTATGGCAGATAGACAATGTGGAAATCAAGTCGAAACACATTCTGCATCTTATTTGTATGTTTTCGCATTGGTACCGACTAAGGGGGTGTAGGCAATTTCGCCGCATAGCCGCGCCGGAATCGGTGCTCATCCTAGAAGCATTCCCCAATATACCTTCACCCCGGGCTGTTGTTGTATGCCTAGAAGGCGTCCACTGGCAATTTTGAGCCAGCATAAAGGACTCACATTTTCCAAGAAAAGCAATAGTTTAACGCAGTTCCTTCTAAGGGCCTGTCTTAAACCACTTCCTACAGTCTTGACTTTGGTTGAAATCGATGGGCTCACAATCCTGGTCTTGTTCAGCGGCTTCGAACAACGGAACAAACCCTCATCGAAATGCGTTCAAAGTACTATCAAGCTTCAAAGGCCTGCAGTTTCCGCGCCGCGAAAAGAGTCGATGCACCAACTTGATCATTGGTTGGGTGTTTACGACAGTGGTATCCGATGGAGAAATTTATGTGCTGTTCGACCGGTCAGAAATAACGCGACTTCCTGTATCTTTCTCTGGAAAGGAGAAAACCTCCTTGCGCCGCAAATATAGCTTTCGATGCATTTGGATATGCATCTGGTATAAGTGTCATGGTTAGACCACCTGTACATGATTCGGGTGGCTGTGTGAAAGCGCTTGGCGTTACTTCTCGATTATCCAACGTTCAGTTCGATTTGACGCGTGTGCTCCCGTTGGAGGCTCCAAGTCTATTGTGCGCTTTCACTGCTCGTCTTTATAAAAAGGCACTGACCCTCAGTGTTCGTTCTGTCATATAGCCGCCTATCATGGCGGGTCCTGCTCTTCTTAGGGTGCATCTCCAAGTACGCTTGGCCATCCTTGCCCTCCATCACTGGCTTGTCTCTTTACATTACGTCGTCATCGAAGACCGTCTCTCATCGAAATTTGGAGAAGAAGACACGTTGTGATGAGGGCGCAATTGCTGTCATGCGGCTAATACCGCAGGCCCGGAGAAGTCGGCGATTCCAATCAAACTTCCACAATCCCGAAAGAGATCGAAATGCGACATGCGTAAGCAGTTGCGTCAGAGCCTCAGGTACCTGCATATTAGACGCCAGGCAGCAACATTTGAGAACGCCTCGAACGTGTTTCTCGCGTTCTGTCGACTAGCCGGTGATCTCAGAAACGGTTGAAACCTGCTGCGCCACTTCTGTGAGCGCAGCCCTAAGCCCAATCTGGTATTGCTTGCGAGAAAAACTAGCCACTACAACGACCCCTTCCTGCGATGCGCATCTCGGTGAGCTAGAATAACCGACTCGGACTGCCATGTCATCCCTCGTCCGGTTTCAGAATGCAGTTTACAATCTTGTCGTTGTCTCCCTGTCCTTCCTATAGGTCAATTCCTATACGCTAGATACACGCTCGGTGGTCCGATCGCGAATTCCTTCCTTAGCGAGTGTTGTTTGCACAATCATCCGCACGGATTGTCCGCCCTACGTCAACGTCAATTTTCTTGTGCTTACCATCGCGTGCCTCGGTTTATGGGAGCTCACGTTTCCGTTGATATACGGGGCTTGTCAGACATTGGAGAGCTGAAGCTTTTCGCTAGGATTAAGCGGTAACGTAGGCTTGATGGTAGTCGTAGGCTTCAGAGGCGGAGTTGCCTGATATCCAATTAGGAATATTGTTGTTTACTGGCAGAATCTTTATAGTCATCAGCTAAGGGCTAGAATTGCCAGACAGGTGTTGTCTTCGGGCCTGGAGTTTCAAAACGTCGCCTCATTGTCTTCATTCACTCCTTGGATTACACTTATATCACAATGGTTTACACCGGAAAGCCGAGCAGGGGATGTGGCATGTGTAAGAGCCGCAGAATCAAGGTATGTCTTGATACCTCGCGACAATTACTCCTTCTTCTTCATTAGCGATGTCGCCTCCATGCATATCCGAATTCGCTTACTGACTATGCATAGTGCGACGAGAAGCGACCAACATGTGGCAATTGCAAGAAGTCGGCTCGAACATGTCCCGGTTATCCCGACGACTTCGATCTGGTCTTTCGAGATGAAAACAAAGCTATGGCCAAGAAGGCAAGGAAATCCTCTGGAACGACAGCATCAAGCAACAGCACCGGCGCGTCAAGTTCCAACCCTTCTCCGCATCTGTATGTACTACGCTATCTTGTCTATCCCGTCCCGCTGCATACCCTTGACGGATACCGACAAGCTTTGCCGAGCTATGGGTACACTAGTCGTGGTATATGGTCTGTGGGTATTTGCATGTGATAGACCCAAGCCGCAGATCCACATTGCCCTTGTAAACCTCTACTAACGTCCCAGGTCACCTTCTTCGACATTTGATGTATCGCCAGGAGAAAACGGAGTACCAGGAGAGAAGGCCTTCCAGATAATAACATCACGATCACATTCTCCATCAGACTTAAGCCAATCACAACAGATACTGGCTTTACCCAATTACACAACACCACCATTACCTCTTAATCAGGCGTTTGATTTCGAAGCGTTCGTGTGGAATCTCGAAAATGCAGTGCCCCCCACTATCTCACTTGCGCCAGAAGCCGAAGCCGTACCCTTCTTCTTTAAGAACTTCATTACCCTACCACAACAAGCAGAAAGCACCAGAGGCTACCTAGAGTATCTCGTGCCTCTCTACAATCGTGCTCGCCCATCCTCCGTTCTTCACCTAGCCACTACTGCTGTCGCAATGGCAACATGCGGCCAGTATCCTGGCCGACAAGAGCTACTCCGGGAAGCAGTATCTACCTATGGCAAAGCTATCAAGAAACTGAATGACGATCTGAAAGATCCAGTGATGGCGAAGAGCGATGAAAGTGTGCTTGCCATTCTTATGTTTTCACTGTATGAGGTAGGTGAATCAGTCTCTTTCTGCAGGCCTTCAACCAGTTGTGCGAAATGTTTCTGAAGCTAACAAATGCCAGACAATAATGAGCACAGACGATACTATCACAGCGTGGGGAAACCATGTTGACGGTGCTGTCGCGTTGACAAAGTTAAGAGGCATGGATCAGTTCAATGACCCAATCTCTCATGCCATGTTCCGCGCTGTACGGACGATGATGGTAATGATGGCCATGCCACAAACTGCATCTCGAAGGCTAATCAAGAGCAGATCACAAGCTGCGTTCAACGCTCGAAGCCTATCGACTCGTTCCCTGGCGCGGGAGGCTGGGTTGGTAACGGCGACATATCAGAGGAAAATGCTGCCAACCGCCTGACACTCATCTGTATCGACCTTCCAAACCTCCGTGCCCGCGCAAACACCCTCACCACCACGCCATATAACCCGGCCTATGAATCAGAAGCGAAGCAAATTCTTGAGTTCGCACAAATGGTCGACGACAACCTCGAAGAGTGGTACCGTACACTACCCCCCGAATGGAAACATCGTATCATTGGTGTCGTTAGCGAAAGACTTGCCCCTGAGGATATTGCGCTGGCGGAAAAATGGCCAGGAGAACAGCATGTATATCATGACGTACCATTGGCGAGTATAATGAACGACTACCGTGTATGCCGGATATTCTGTCGGAGAGTAATCATGGCATGTGTGACATGGTTGAGTTTCAGTGGTAACTATGCAGATGGCGACGAGGCATGGAATAAGAGTGTGTTTGTCATCCAGATGATGGTGGATGAGATCAGTGCGTGTGTACCGTTCCATATGAGCTACGAACTACAACCAATGGCCAAGGAGATGGGCCAGGAGCAGAATGGTAAGTGATGGTGGTTTTGACAGAAGACTGGGAGTGTGCTAACCGCTATATAGCTGCGGAGGCCTACGGAGGGTACTCATTAGTGTGGCCGCTGTACGTTGCAGCAAACGCTGAGACGGTACCGCAACAACAGCGTGACTGGTTGCTAGGTCGACTATCAGTCATTGGCACCAAGTTTGGGCTGAGTAGTGCTCAGGTGCTGGTATTAGCACGGAGACATGTTCTGACATGTGGGCCTATGTTTCCTTGACGCGAACCGACGCGTGTTACTAGACATGTAATAATATTGAGGGAAGAAGTTGTTTCGAGTTCGCGGTAGGCAACATCGCACGTGTATTATATATAGCTTTGGTGGTCACGGGACATGGCATTTCGGTCAGAATCCAATACGAAGCAAATGTACCGCTCGGGGGATAATCATCCATATGGAGCAAGTGCTCTTGCGACCCACCGGTTCGACGCGGATGATCAATGTGGAGAACCCCGTCTTGTCACGCGTCAGGCATCCCGAGCAGGACCCTCGTTAACAAGGCATCATCAGCACCCTTCGCATGGCAAGCTCCAGCGGCGCCGCTCACATGTCGCAATCATTGATCGAAGAATCGCCCGCGGCGATCAGCTGCGGCCCGTTTCCGTGCCAAGCCTGACCCTTCAATTCGTGTTCGGGGTTTCATCTGCTCAGCCACGGCATCCAGAACGACGGCCAACTGTGGGTCCTCAGCCCTTCAACAATTTGCGAAGCTTGTGAAAGATTTCTTTTTCTACGTCTACTTGTATCGCACCATCCTCTGCCTCATTCACACACGCACTCAGCCTCCGCAAGGTTTACCCCGCCACCACGCACGTCAGCACTACACCAGCCTCACTCACTACGTCACCACCACCACAACCATGGGCGCAACAAACCTCATTCCACTTGTGATCCTCTTTGCGGTCGTTGGAGGCTTGGGATGGGTGGGCTACCAGGTAACCCAACAACTCTGTAGTTTGCGCATTGTATCGCTAACCTGCGTCTCTCCCAGATCTTCCTCTACTCTAACGAGCTCGCTGAACGCGGCGTCAAGAAGATGGAAAAGAAGAACGTTGTCTTCACCAAAGACGGCGCAAAGGTCGGAGTTAAGGAAGTCAGCAACGAGACGTATACGGATAAGACACAACGCGCTTTTGTCAAGACGTGGAATGCCGCGCATGACGGGTAGGTGGTTGATGATTGAATATAACGTGCAAGTGCACTACTGACTATGTCGAAGGGGATCCCCGGTTGCACGCAAACCTACGAGATAACCACAAGTTCATGTGCGACCCGAGTCCAGACCGACATTTCTTATCGATGATACCTTTTTCCTTTGTCATATACCATCTCATATCGCAGCTTGTTTCGCACCAAGTGTCGGTAGACGTGAACATGGTTAGCAGTTTGTATTGACAGGCGTTGGGACGGTTTATATCACAATAACATGTACGAGCGTTGACGCGCGCGGTAACGCTTAGTGCATCCACCTCTCATCTGCGGCCTCTCTAGGAAGGAGAATGAAGAGACGATTCATTATTGGATTCCACCAATGCGGTATGCATCTATCCTATTGCCAACTGATCGCATGACAGCCTCTGCTATGGCCAGACGTCAATGCACCTGTTGATCCACTTCTGCACACGATGTCACACGCAATCAAAAGAGACCAGGTTTACACCCTACAAGTAACAGAATGATGTAACTTCGCAGGGCGGCAAACCATCACGACGGATCTGTTGAACCCCACTCCATGTACTCAACGGGTGTCACCCTCCGCGTTATGTGAAAGACGCTCATTCAATACCTGAACTCGCGATGAATCTGGAAGCCAAGTTCCAAGGTAACAGAAGAAATGGAGCAGAAAGATGATACTTGACACAGGAAGAGCTTGGGAGGCAACGGAGAGAAAACAGAGCGACAGAGCGAAGAGCAAAGAGATGGGGTACGTGGACAGTTAACTACTCCTCGGCCGAGATGCTTGCGCATTGTATGAGGGGCAACTGGAGTCTAAATGTGCTGATCTGTTGTCGATTCGTGCTAGCTTGTCCCTGGGACAAGCAATGTCTGGAGCTTAGTGCCGCGGACCATCCGACGCTCCGTCGAGCCGCACACTGCTTCAACGTTTGCGTTGCATCAATCATGAATATCTCTAACGCATGCGTGATGTTATGGCGATCTCTAGGTTAGCGAGTCAGGTGGTTCTGTTGCTATATTATACCTCCATGCCATACCTACTCCTGACGAATTCACCAGATTGACACATTCTACTTTAAGTTGTGGCCGTTCTTTCCCCTAGCCATGACGTTCTTAGCGAGTATATTGCCCGCAGACTCTGAGCTTTTCAGCTTCAAAGGCGCTATCTTTTGGTTTGCAGTGTTTTCAGCATTGGTGAGTACATGCTCCACGTTTCTTATCTTGCTGTCACTTCCGGTCTATCCTTTGCAGTCTCCTCAATGCTTCCACATTGATAGATGAATCGGAGCTCAAAGCAAAACATCAATTGTGCCGAACTATGGGCATCGACTGACATCGAATAGACCATCATCTATGCTGTTTATTCAGTTATATACAATGTTTTCTTCCACCCTCTGAGGCATATCCCCGGTCCATTCTTCGCACGCGCATGCGGTATTCCCTGTGCTCTACATATGCTTGACGGAAGTTCGGTCAAATGGGTAAAAGAGTGCCACGATAAGTACGGCGATGCGGTTCGTGTGACGCCAAGTGAAGTTAGCTTCATCTCAGGAGAAACTGCTTGGCAAAGCATCTACGGCTTCCGTGTAGGCAAGAGCAAGAACACTGGATATTACCTCAAGGACAGGAATTGGTAGTAAGTCAAGTCTGTTCGAAGATGCGAGCAAAAGATGCTGATCAGAAAACAGCTTAGCACCTACCAACGGCGCTGATTCAATCATCATAGCAGATGAAGCAGGACACACGCGAATGCGACGTAACCTTGCACATGCTTTCAGCGACAAAGCCCTACGAGGACAAGAGAGTCTTATTCAGTCTTATGTCGATCTTCTCGTTCAGCGTATGGACGAACACGCCGCTCAAGGCAAAGACATGGATATAATGACCTGGTACAGTCAGTAACCTATGTATCATAGTGTACTTCGCATTCGGACTGATCATGTGTGTAACAGACTTTACAACTTTTGATATTATATCCGATCTCACCTTCGGCGAACCGCTCTACTGCCTGCGCGATTCCATCAAACACAGCTGGGTTTCTATTACTTTCAAGTCCATATCGGCCGTTGGTTTGAACGCTGCTCGGAACAAACATTTCGTCTTTAGGTGGGCCAACTCCCTGCGCGAGATTTTCCAAGACAAATCAGTCGCTATGCGCGCACGAATCGAGTTCTTCCAGCGCGCCCGCGACCAGGTCAGCAAGCGACTAGCGAAGCTTGACAGCGAGAAAAAAGGGGAAAGACCAGACTTTTTCACCCACATAGTGAACAACCAAGAGAGGGAAGTAACAAGGATGACCAGAGACGAAATGGACAGCAATGCAGTGGTCTTTCTCATTGCAGGTAGCGAAACTACTGCTACAACATTGTCGGGCGCTACCCATTTCCTCCTCCGTAACCCATCTGCGTATACTAAACTCGCTGCCGAAATCCGCTCTCGTTTCTCTTCTCCTGATGAGATCACTATGGAAGAAGTCAACAATCTCGAATACCTCATCGCCGTCTTTCAGGAAACTTTACGACTCTATCCACCCGTTTCCGCAGGCTTTCCTCGTGTTGTACCAGCGGGTGGCGACAATATCTCAGGTCACTATATTCCTGGCGGTACTTCGGTATATTGTTCCCACCACGCAATGTATCATTCCGAGCGCAATTTCAAGGACCCAGAGCTCTTCGTTCCGGAACGCTGGTTGGGCGAGGAACGGTACAAGGATGATAAGAGGTCGACGCTGAATCCGTTTAGCTTTGGGCCAAGGAACTGTTTGGGCAAGAAGTACGTATACCTTTTCTCTTCTTCTCGCCTCCCATCTTGTTTAGCAACAATCATTTTTCCACCTGTCTGCTCAGTCAGGAAAGACTAAAAGACTCTCGAGCTGACATTATGGTTTTACTAGTCTTGCATACGCGGAAATGCGTCTCATCCTCGCTAAGATAATCTTCGCTTTCGACCTCGAACTCGTAGAGAAAGAGAGGGATTGGATGGGTGAGCAGAAGGTTTTCACGCTCTGGGACAAAAGCGCGTTGATGGTCAAGATAAAGCCCGTACAGCATTAGTGAAGCATGGCGTTGTAGTGAGAGTGACTAGCTTTTATAAGAAGCGAGTATCTTGGGTTGTTCAAATGCGCGAAGGTAGCATTTATGGAAAGAATTTTCATTCATGTTAGAACAGAGTAGGGATGGCTGATGATTATTTCCGCATTGGTCCGCCATCGACAGACTCGTAAGTCGCGAACTCACCGCGGGTAGGACGATGATCAGCCACGCCATTTTCAATTGTACAATCCAGAAGAAGTTACCGGCCCAAAGCCAATCTGCACTAGTTGATGGGCTAAGAGTTTGGGGTCTGTACAAGGAAGTTTGTGTTTCATGAGTTGTGCCTAGTCACATCGCACCCTAAAGATACATGCTGTGTCTACACTGAGAAAGCAGGAAATATAGCACGCTGTATGTTTCGAGGAGATAATTTGAGCATTTGGTAGAACTGGTCGAAATGAGCTCCTTCGTAAGTTTCACGCGTTTTTTGTAAGCGCCGTGGCGCAAGGCTGATGATATTGCTCAAGCACGTCCGCTTCCTCACGAACCCTGGTTGGTCAACCCGACACACACGGGATGAAGCTCTTATCATGCGGCGATCCCCCAGCCTCGAAATCTCGCAGCTTCTTCTGCTGACAGAAGGAACTGTCATTGATTCTGTACGATATGATCCACCCATGGGCATAAACAAAGTAGGCACAAAATATCTGATCATGGATATAAGCATCCTTGTTGTCGAAGATTACCCACTGTAGCAGCTCTCTCTATCAACCGACAGGCAACAGGTTCGGTATTGCTGTGAAGCACTTCGGATTGTAGGCTGATTAGCCTTCATGCCAACCATGTCGCAAAACGCTGACCACATCCCTCCCGCTCATCCTGGTCGAGAAAGCAGCTCCTTGCACTGAAGTCCAATCGTTCCCACAAAAGCTGCCGATTCAGCTTTCGGTTTTAGCCACGCTTTACCGAATACAGGGTGGCGTTCGAGGCAGGACACTGTTCTGACAACGTACCACGACTTCCTATAAAAGCTCAATACTGATCGTCTGCGATCTCGTTGTCTTTGGACTCGAACCATGCTTGGAACTGTGATGCGAGGGTAATCACACTGTCGCTCGAATTTTCCAGCAGCACGAACACGTCCATTGAGTCATCCTGAAGAAGAGTGAAGTATTGATACAAGGCTGAGAAGCTTAGAATAACAAGAACTGGCAGTGCCTGTGCGCTATGTACATGGTGTGCACCTACACTAATACAGCCACTTTTCGCTTTGAGCGAGCGCATTCTCAGCCCAACGCATTCGCTACACAACTTGTTCGCCCCATATCCTGAACTAGAGCGCGAAACCCTAATCTTCAGCGCATCCTCATATCATACACTTACAAACAACCACCTCTGAGTTATGGATCGTGCAGTAGCAGGCGAGGCGAACGGAATGTCCACATACGACCGCAGGCTAAAAGATTTCCTGCTAGGAAACAACAATGAGCCACAAGACAGAATTGCCAGGCAAGGAGCACCCAGCCATCGCACCCAATATCGAGGCCAAGACCTCTGGAAGAGGTACTTCAACCATCCCAGTGTTAAGCAAGCCAAACGGGTTAAGCGGGCTACACAATCCTTCAGCTACGAAGGCCTAAACCTCAAGGAAAACGACCGTCAAATCAGGCTCCTACGTATCCATCCACAGCGTGTGGAGTTCTTCGATGAAACCGTGGTATGCGACCTATATGTCGTGGGTCTGGCTCAAGTGAAAAACAAATTCGAAGCTCTGTCGTACTGTTGGGGCGACAGTCAAGCTGATCAGATCATCTCCATTCATCGCACTGCTGTTGACGAGAGAGGCCAACTTCATTGTGGACCAGCTCAAGAATTTCCTGTCCGATCCAATCTGCACCAGGCTTTGAAGCACCTACGCCACACCACGCAATTCGTCAGTCTCTGGGTGGATGCTATATGCATAGATCAAAGGGATACGCCACCTGCGACTGCGGAAAAGAACAGGCAATTGTCCATGATGAGTGAGATCTATAACTGCGCTAAGAATGTATGCATATGGCTTGGGGATTCTGATGAGCAATCAAGCAAAGCTCTCAGCTTCGTCCACAGAATCAGCAACATCGAAGAGCTCGAAGCATGCCTTCGTATCGTTGATGAAGCAACAACAGAACAGTGGATGAATCTCGTCGAAACATTAAAGAAAACGCAGTGGTTCAGTCGTCGTTGGATAATCCAAGAAATTGCATCAGCACGAAGCGCTTCGGTTCACTGTGGACACAACGTAGTGCACTGGGATGATCTCGCAGTCGCTATATCGATTTTGGAGGAAAATTAAGCAATGATTGAGCGCGCCTTCAGCCCAAAGCCGATATTTGCGCAAATATCAACTTTGAGTGCAACTCAACTGGTCAAGTCGCTTACACACGTGTACCGAAAATTTTCTACAGGAGAAATCGCTGAAAAGCTCCTCGATCTTGAGACACTTGTTTGCACATTCCAGCAATCTCAAGCTAGGTTTCCCGAGGACGTTATCCATTCAGTACGGGCACTCGCGCACGATTCACCTGGGTTGGAAGACTTTGAATTCAGTGCGAATAATGCCAAAGGCACGCCAGAGCTGTTCATTGCATTCGTGCATCGTTGCATTGAGAGATCAGGATCTCGAGATATCATCTGTCGGCACTGGGCTCCACCAGTGACTGACACTTCACGCGAAAGAGTTCAACTACCTTCCTGGATATCAGACCTTACTAATGCTCCTTTTGGTTTGCCAGGCACGTCTCACGAGAGACAGAATGGTGAAAATTTCGTTGCTATTTCTCCACATCGAAGATGGAAGCAGTATAATGCTTCAGGAACTTGGAACCTTAACCTAGACGAATATCTTGGCCAAAAGGATCCCCAAGTACGAGTTCCAAGCGCGCAAACTCGGTGGTCAACCGGCAGTGTTCCTATGCCTAGTATCTCATCCAGGGTCAACGGCGCACACGCGCACGAAGATAACAGCCCTCCATCCTCGCCAACAGCCAGATTTCAGAGTCGACCAATTGTCAGCACACTTGATGAGCTCTCATTGCGTGCTGCTGTTCAAGAGCCTCCCCCCAGATCGACCGACAGTCTTAGCTTTATGTCCTCAAACGAGGAAGCTACGTCAAGCGCGGCTTCTCCAACAAAAGGCCATAAGCGCTCTATTACTGCACCTTTGATCACAGCAAAGAAAGAGACAGACATGACCAATGACTGGAACCCGATTCTCTCAGCTTTAACAAAACCCAATGGACTCAAAACTATCAGAGAACTGGCCGATTCCGCACACCCACCTAACCAGCAAAACCCGAGATCCTTGGAAGGGCTTTACATACAAGAGGGCAAGGAGCAAGTGCATCATATGAAACAAGCCGATTACCTTAGTGTTTCAGGATTCATTTTGGGTGCTATTGAGAAAAAGTCTGATACGATGCGAGAGGGTGTTATACCGGGCGACTGGATAGCGATACTGAGAGGAGACAAGAAAAATGTCGTTCCCGATAGTTTATGGAGGACACTGGTTGCCGACCGGACTGAGAACGGAAACAATCTCCCGGAATGGTACAAACGAGCATGTCTCCATTGCCTTGAAGACTCACGTTTCGTCAACAGCCAAGGCGATTTGAACACCAACAGATCACTTTCGGACACTCCGCTCGACACCATGACCTCGAAATATCTTGAGAGAGCCAAGAGCGTGATCTGGAGACGCCGCTTTATACAATTGAAATTGGGAGCAGATTTTGGGGATGATCTGGTGTACGGGCTAGCCCCTGAAAAGTGCAAGAAGGGCGACATTGTATGCATCATCGGTGGTTGTTCGGTACCTGTAGTTCTCAGGAAGGTTGAGGACCAGGAAGTATGTGGTTCGTCCGAAGCCGCCGGCGTATTCACACTAATTGGCGAAACTTACATTCACCAGAAGATGAATGGGGAAGCTGTGCAAGATGTGGGTCGCGTCAACAAGCTTCGGAAGACTTTCGTGTTGAAATGAACCAAACACACACATCAACCAGTGCTGCGGATATTTAGAGTTATTCAAGAAACCTATTGCTCCTATGTGACTCAAAAGGATGAAGAGAACCTTGGAAGCGTGGTCGCACTAACAGATCATCAGGCAACTAGGACAAAGCAGTGCACATAAGTTGCCGATAGTCAGTAGGAGCCTGGTTGTAGCGTCCAACGTGACGAACTTTGCGAGACAGGTAAAATACTCAAAGGAAGCACATGAGCATCTAGCATACCCACCGAAGATCGTGGGCGAACGCCCCCACGCTGGGGGTCACATTACCGGTCTCAACACTTTATCGACAGGCTCCCACCAACCAAATGCAAACGCAACACACTTCCCGGAACGCAGTGACTCTCATAATATTTGTGACTAACGAAATCCCCTGCTACCGCCCCATAGAAAGTAGAGTTATACATATATTCATCTCCCACAAATATCACGGTGGGGTAAGGTTAAAGTGGGTGGCCCAAGGCTGAGATGCAGCCGCGCAGGCTACCAAATGGATCAGCATGGCTGGCTTCATGCAGCCCTCGTGCGCCAGCCCTTAGCCGGAAACAGCGATCAGGTCGATCGTAGACAAGAGATGGTGTGGTCGGGCATCTACAATAACCGAGGTTTCCAACCAGGTTCTATCATGTTTGGCTGGATATAAGTAAAGAACCGACGGCCTTTGGTTGCTATAGTTATATTCAATCGGCTTCACTTGTCTCAGGAATGTCTGCTGTATACCCAAAGCCAGAGGCTGAGAGTCCTGCGGCAAAAGATGTAGAAGAAAAACTACAGAAGGCTGAAGCTGACATCAGGATCGGAAACCACGTTAGTGGATTTTGGTTGGCACAAGAAGCTATAGCACTTGCTGAAAGCTGCATTGAGTGGGATGCTGGCGATGTTGTTTCGACACAGCAATTGGTTGTCGTAATGCTAAGAAGGTACAACCTGTTCAAGGAGGCTGAACAGATAGAGGCAGAAATTGAGTTAAACCTCGAAGACCTCAGCGATGAAGAGACGAGAAAAACGATACAGGATGAAATCAACGTACACAAGAGGCAAACACCAAACGGCCTGGAGGCGCTTGATCAATCGATTCGTTCAGGTCACTCGCAACGACACTCACTCCCACAACCATCGTTAAATACTGGAGAACCTAGCCATACGCCAAGTACAAAGAAAACCATTACTGGCGTCGAGCATGGTTTGGTATCACAAACGTGCCCCCACCAGCCGGTTCGAAGCATGGATAACACGGCAGAGTTCAGCCTGGAGGATCATTCGAACAAGAAGCTTCATGCGCTGAACCCAAATGGCCGATCTGGCACTCGTTAATGGAATCCGAGTGCACGATTCCTTTCGGTCCTGGAAAGATCGTTGACGGACTGCTCGAGAATTTTGCGACAGGGGGCATTATTGGGGGCTACATTCTACTCTATAGCGCAGGTCGAAACGATGACCGAGCATCTTTGTTGGCTAAATGTTGAATAATTGAATGACTGAAGTGTATTGAGATGAGTTTTTTTTTTTATTTTCTATCTACGAGTAAAGTAGCCCTTATATCCCTTAAACCTTTCTTTGTCTTGAAGTTTGATTGTATAGTCGTTTGTCTTAGACAACACTAAAAGGTCAAATCTGCGGCAACAAGAGCAGTGGTGGAGGGTATCACATGTCATTTGCAATCTAACGTCTCCACTGATTATGCCCCTATCCCCCACTCAAATGCTGAATTTTTGCTTATCCTTGTCCAAAACGCCATGAAAATGCATACACAACACCCACTACAGCCCATCGTCTCCAGATACGATGTCAGCCTACCAACCCCTACGCTTTCCTCTCTCCTCAGCACTCCTCTCCTTCCGCTTCACTCTCTTAACATCATGTCTCCGCCTCTTCTCCTTGCCAACCTTCTCTGGATCCAACACAGCGTCGACCTTCCTCTTTCTCCTCCTCTCTTCGCGCCTCTCGCGGACACCTCTCTGCACTTCGGCCATGACATTCAGATACTCTTGCGTACCGAGCCGTTTCTGCAATGTGTTCATTACCTCGCGTGCCTTGTCAGCAAGAGATTTGTACGGGTCGTTGGGCGCGTTGTTGGAGACGAGGGCAGCGGAGGACTTGGGGAAAGTCACAGTGGCGTCGGTGAGTGTTGATAGAGTAGTAAGAAGATGTGGGAGGGATGTAGATAGAGGTTCGAGAGGGAACTTGGCAGCGATAGTGTCGAAAAGGTTCATGATGGCCGTCTTCGCGTTCATGGTGCTCTTGTCTTTGCGGACAATACCCGAGAGCCGGATCATCAGGCGGTGGATGGCTGCTGGTGGAGCGTCTTCCGTCTTCTTGGGTTTTGCGGTCTCGGGTGGAGGTGAGAAGCCGCCGAAATCTTCCTCATCGTCTGTGGCCGCTGTATCACCGTTCGTTGGAGCCACAGTCTCTCCTTCTTCGTCGTCATCTGTCTTTTGCCAATGCCACTTAGCGCCGTTAACAGCGAGGCATCGGGCCAGGAAAGCGATGTTCTTCACACTCTGCATGCAGAGCTGTTCTGAGACTTCCGGGTTGAGCAGGTTTCTTAGGAAGGCATTGCAGAGCTGCGTCATGCTCTGTTCCGCTAGCTGCAAACCGCCTGATCCTTCGAGGGGCAAGGCCTCGAGACCAGTATCCTTGTTTGACACTCCCAGATGCGCGAAGTATGTACCCAGGAGCTCTGCAGCCTTCAGCTTGACCCACAAGTGCGGGTAGGTTACGCTGGCCTGCACCGCCGTCCAGAGGCTATCTTTGTTCGATGCGAACATGGTGTCCGTGTACTTCTTACAGATTTTGGAGAGCAGAGTGAGAGAGTAGTATAGCAACTCCCAGTCGTCTTCGTCACGGCGTGTTAAGCACTCGTCGATCGTTGAGTCCAGTCGGTCAAGAACGTATGTAAGTTCTTTCGGTTCTTCATCCTCCTCCATCGCCTCGAAGTAGAAACCGAAACATTGAATACCAAGACGTTTCAGGCCAACATTTTCGTCCTGTTCCAACCAGCTCTTGAGATCACCCGCAAAACTCTGTAGCCGCTTGTCGCTGGCGTGTTGGAATAGCCTCTTGATAAGTAAGCTAGCCATTTCACGGCATTTGCTTGAGTCATCGTTGGCCACAGTGTTGATCAGCGGCAGGAACATGATACCATGGTACTCGTCCTGTGCCTTCTCCGGGAAGCGGGGCAGCGCCTTTCCGATTATGAGGTCGAGTGCCTCCATGACTGACTGCCTGCCTTCTACATGCTCGTATCGGAGGTTCTTGAGGAGAAATTCGATCTGCTTCTTGAAGCGCTTCTCGCTCTGCGTGTACGAAGTCAGGAATTGGAAGAAGTGTGAACGGGCAATGTCGCGTGCGGATTTCGTCTGGTTGGTGATCATCATCTCAGCCACCCTGTCTATGGCTTCATACATCTCAGGAACATCGATATGCCGATTCATGACGGCCTTGAGGAAACCAAAGCTGACACCCGAGCGATCTGGCTCGTCCAAGTCGGGCATCATGCGCTTGAGTAGGTGTCCGATATCTCGTTCCTTGATTTGTACATTCGGTCGCTCACGTAGAACAGCTGATACCAACTTCAATGAAGCCTGCGCAAGCTCCGTGTTGGACGAGAGTGCGCCCTTAATGGCGCGCATCGCTTCGTCAATGTACACGGGGCAGTTCGTATCGAGCTCCGTCATAGGTACCTTGATTATGGTTGTGAGAAGACGGACAGCCGAAACTTGCACTTCCTCTTGTCCTTGTACCATTGCGTCGCCGATAATCGGAAGGAAGCCTGCGAGGTTCTGGGGTGTCTGAAGGTCTTCGTGCTTGCGGAGTACAGTCCGGAGAATGTCCATACCGAAGCGTATCATTTTGTACAAGTACGAGTTTGTGCTGAGTCTCGCACCGGACTTCGCTGCGCCACGGTTGTTGATCAGATACCGCTTGTTCTTGGGGTCGATCTTAGCCTTTTTCTCAGTGGAAGTGTTCGCGGCGTAGACTTCCTGAATGAGCTCATAGCAAAACACCAATATATCTCTGTTGTTGACTGTTGGGTTCTGTAGAACACCGAGTCCGATGCGTCGTAGAAGCTCGTCAATCTTTTGAACCATTCTGGCGTTGAGCTTCTCGATCAGGAGGGACCTGATTGGGAGCACAAGCTTGATGATATGCGCAGGTGTAGCTGATCGTGCTATGATGTCCATGGAATCAAAAGACTTGCTGCTCTTGACTTCCTTCATTTTCGAGATGTACTCTTCTGCGTCCTTCTCTTGACCTGCAGCACCAAAGGTGTCATCCATGACCTATATCCAATATCAGTTTGTTTTCTCAGGTGTGAATTGTTCCATTGAGATACTTACCACGTCGACTAGATCCGCTAAACAGTAATCGAGATCGCCTGGGTTGGTTTGGTCGGCAAGTTTGACCAGAATAGAGTGTAGAGTGAACGAGAGAACGTGAAGCTGGTATCCTCGCTGAAGCGCAGTTCGCAAAGCCTTCAAGATGAACCCAAGGTAGCCCGGACCCATTAATGTAGCGATGTCGCTGAGTGTGTTTCTCGACATATCACGTGCTTCTTGCGCACGACTCTTTAAAATATAGCAGATGTCTAGAAGAACTCCTGGCAAGCGTGTCTCGATTTCAAGTGGTGGGAGCACCAAAAGGATCTTCGCAATTGCGACTGCGATCGGCACTCGTAGACTCACAGTGGCTTCATCCTTCTTGTGCAGGAAGTTGGTGAGATCGGGCAAAAAGTTGTTGATGAGATCGACGCTCAGCTTTTCCTGTTGTGGGAGGGTTTTGGCTAAGGTCGACAGAGGCTCGTCGACATCCATCGCGTCCGGAGCCTTCTCATTCTCAGGAGTAACCTGGTCATCTTGTCCAGACGCGGCCTTCGCGATGTATCCCTTGGCGCGTGCTGCGTGATTCAATCCGTCCATCAAACCAGCGATTAGTCGGATGATCGGCTTTTGCAGATCTTCCTTGCTCGTCAAGTAGCCGATATAACGTTTGAGCAAAGAGCGAAACTGCGGCCACTCTAGACCTTCAGTCAACGACGTGAGTGTTTTGATTGTCTCTCCTAGAAGACTATCTGCAGCCTCATCATCCCCTTTGTTGAAGACGAAATGCTCGAGAAGTGGGATGAAGACGTGGTAGATGTTTGTACCGCGCAGGTGAGATGCACTTGTTGCCAAGCGGCGCAGGGCTCTCAGTCGGCGATGGCCCTGGATGTGAAGAATGTTGCCAAAGAACGACGCCTCATCATCTTCCGAAAGGAGCACGTGCAGGTCCGCTACAGGAGTCCAGTCGGGGTGTGTCTTGACCAGATGCTCAAGGACAGCAAGGTATTCAATCCGCACAAGCTCTGAGTTTTCCCGCATACCGGCATGGATGCCAGGTAGAACAGCTGCTGAGATGAAAGCTCTGAACGGTTCGCTTGACGATACCTCGCTAAAGCGACGCAGAGATAAAGAAGCATTCACCCGAATGCTGAGTTCGTCGTTGTCTTTAATCAAATACAGCATGTTGTAGACTAGGGGTTTCCATTGTGCGAGCGTGTAGGACCGATAGCCTTGTTCATTGATGACACTGAAAGCTTGGGAACGGCGTTCGAAATCCGGCTCATCGATGCGTCCAATGGCGAAAGAATTAAGATCGTGGCACAATTTCGAAATTACCACGAGATCGCAACTGGTGTCGGAAAGGTCCTGGAGGACATCGCAAAGCAAGGTCCGTGCTGTTCGATCTTGAACGAAACTGAACATGGGACAAATCGCATCATAGATTGTGTCGAAAAGCTCAGTCAAACCCTGACCGTCACAACGCTGAATGAACTCATGAAGAATCTTGAGTAGACCCAGCTTGGTTCGCGGGTTTACGCGCTTTGAAGGCTGGCGAAGCAGGAAAGTTGCGATCTCGATCATGCTACGCGACTCCGTGGCGCCGACCACATGAGGGGCTAGATCCGCGACTGTTTGTACGCCAGCCTCAAGCACTTCCTTGCTAGGACTTTGGCGAAGTAGTTGACCAATTCGGTGAAGTATCGCAGTTGAGTACGGCTGGATGATGTCCGTGTGGATACGGTTCCGTAGAAGCTTTGAGTCCGTCGTCGGCACTTCGTCTTCAACAGTGACAAGAGAAACGATGTTCCGGATGATGTCGTTCAGTACAAAGCACTTGACATCATCCTTGGCTGAGGGTACCTCAAGGCAGTCGATGACCTTGTGTAGTATGTCAGGGTTGAACTCTACTAGAAACGGGGCCGTAGCGCTCGATTTCGACCATGCCGCGAACAATCGTAGAAGCCCAGAGACGGATTGAGCCGTCTCAATGGG